CTCCAGGACACCATCCGTTCCTTCAAGGAAATTCTTGAGGGCAAGTACGATTCCCTCCCCGAATCTGCTTTCTATATGCAAGGTTCTGTTGCCGATGTCGTCAAGCGTGCTGAGGAGCTTGCCAAGGAGATGGAGAACCAGTAATTCACTATCACTAGTTGAAAGTGCAAGAAAGATGGCTTTTTCTTGACGTTGAAATTGTCATGAGCTAAACAGAAAATGAAATTTAAGCCGACCATAGATCATTTTCTCATCAAACCCCAATAAAAACAAATACAGTCGTTATATTCACTTTTGAAAGTGTTGTTCAGCAATGGTTAAATGCATGTTAGCAAAGTTGATAACTTACTCATATTGCAACAAAAGACAAGAAACCCTCTTGAACATTGTAAACACGGCTTTTATGGATAAGCAGTTAGTGATCCTTTACAAGAATATTGACTTTAGTCGGTCAAGCAGCAGTTGAATAAATAAACGACTTCAGTTGCATGCATTGAGGTTTTTTCAGGACGTTCTTATACTGTCAAAAAGATTTGATGCTCAGGCATATATTAGATCGATACGTAAACATATTGGGAACACAGGCCTATATCATTTTCTATCATCTGTAACGTTTCATGCCATAATGGAATAAAGGCCCAAAGTACAAAATTTTCTTTAAGTAATTTTACAGGGTGTTGGTGACCAAAAGTTTTCCTGGCCCCTTTTACGTGCGATTCCACCACTCTAAGGTTGACCAGAAGGTAGTCAATGAAATTCCCTCAGTTTTCTATGACTGAACAATGATTTCCCTTAGAATGTATGAGGGACGGTTCTGGGACTTTCAAAATAAACGTTGTGGTGAATGCTCTAATTACCAGATTCCATATTGTGCAGATCCCATTTTGAAACTGTGGAAATCAATCTACCCGATACCAAATTTGAGATTCGAAGGATCACAACCATATCGTTTGAACGTCGACTAGGCTGCTACAGCTCACGGTATAGGTCCCGGTGATCCGAGATATGTAAATTTGGCCGTATTCGGCAGTAATGTTGATTAGCTTCGTTTACGTTGGCATGTATACAGTATATCACTATCCATTGGTTAGACTGTGCTCAAGACGCAGAATTCAGTTACAATTTGAACTGGTGGCCGAGCCATTGACTTTTTTTTTTAAACGTGCCCATTTGAAAGGTTCACAACCGCTGCTCTATCATCAAATGTACGCAACTTCCTTCAGTTCAACGGCATATCCAGAAAACGAGCTCATCGACATTCCAACTATAGTCTTTTCGAAATGATCTGGTTACGGCCATCTAATGACATGCTCCTTCTACTCGAACAAGCGCTCTAAATGTCTTTTCAATCCCTGTCATCCCGACAATTTCGGCTGAGGGTCTTGTGTAGTTCTATGAAAAATCTTGCTTTGGTTAAGATTAAGGAGTGCAACTGACTGCATGGCATGTTGTTTGCAGTATTGTAAATCTCACATATGAAAATTGAATTTCAACCTATGTAACAGTGATGCTGATTCAATGTGTTTAGCTGTCGGCTAATGAGTAAAATTAGAAATTGCGAAACGTGGTGGCTATTGTTGTCAACCTAGCCATTGAAAGTACCTTTTTACTTTTGCAAAGTAGAGATAACGCATATACTGTTCATTTCCTCAACCAATTTACTGATTCGCCTGTGAATTGCAAATATAGACAGCTAGCAGTGCGAAGACTAGAAGCTTGACTGGAAGTTATAAGTGGCACTTAGGGAGAATCTACCAATGGGCGGCAGATCAGCCGTTGACGCCCCTTTTCCTTTCATGGTCAGAGATCAATTTGAAAGGGAGACAAAGAAATACCACGTAAATAGCCAGCTAATAGTCCAATTCGATAAACAACTTTCTCACAAATCACTGCAGTATGTGATATAAATAATTAGGCGCTTACTAAAATCATGTGCTTCTGTGGTCTGGGTCACATTTTTTTTGCTGATTTATGAGTTACGCTGAATGGAAGCAATAACAAATGTGACATACTTTGTTCATGGCAATCACGTTCACGTTAGCCCACGTTTTCTACAATCATAGATGATGTCACCACACATTGGCATAGAAAGATATTGATAACCGAAAGTGAATGGAAGGTAACAGCGGCAGTAAGATTGATGATACAGACGCTATGCACGATATTGGCCAAACCAGTTTGAGTCCGTTAACACTGATGCAGCTGTTTTGGGAGGGGGCAGCAAGAGAGAATAGAAGTAGTAGAGAAGAATAGTGGAGAACGCTACACATGTCCACGCAAAAGATGCGCGGAATTGTCAGTAACAAACAAAAGTAAGCTTGTCTCCTGGACGATTGTGGTAAACGATACAGCACCAACAAACTAGCCAATCGCCATTTCAGCGAGCTCATTCAAATGATAATAAATATTCATTTCCTCTAGATGGCTATTATGCAGTACTCGCCAGTAAAGACTTAGAAAACATATCAAAAACGTGCATTCATAGACATGTCAAACAGACTCCATCTATCGTTCGCCAGTTTCCGTGTGTTGATGAAGGCTGTAGATGCGCATTTAAAACCAAGGCTGGCCTTACCAATTTACATGCCGAGGAAACCAATTTCAAATGTCTGGTATCAAAATTTGGTTGGGTTCATAAAGCTAATGCTTCTTCCAACAATCACATCATATATCTGGCTCTTAAGGCCAAGTTTCATGCATGAATTTCATCAACGGAAGACATTAAAATTCAACACAAGGTATTTTAGCCACGTTTCATATTCGAAGGAATGATTTGATAAACTTATTGCAAATTTATTTTTATTTGCTCTATTATTATTGATGTTGAAAATTGCTTGGTATATACAGTATTGTAGTTGAAAAAGTAGAAAATTGTACATGAACAGTAAGAAGATTTAAACCTTCTCAGCACCGGAGAGACCAGCAGATTCAACAATTGCGAAGTTGGGCTCTTCTTCAAACTCCTCAAGATCCTTGCCCTTAGATTCAGGGATACAGAACCAGGTGATGATAGCACCGAGGGCCATGACACCAGCAAAGATACCCAAGGTTTGGGGAAGGAAAGCGTGTTGACCAGTAGTAGTGTCACCGATTTCAACAACAACGTTGAAGGCAAAGGAAGCAAGAATAGCACCGGCCTTACCGCAGGCAGCAGAGATACCGTGAGCAGAAGCACGAACTTTAGTAGGGAAGACTTCACCAGGAATAATGAAGGTAGTAGCGTTGGCACCCCAGTTTTGGAAAAGTTGGGCAAGAGTGAAGATAACAATGAAACCAGGCATGGAGCTGTTCAAAAGCTGATGGTAAGCACCACCAAGGACGGCAAACAAAACGGCGCAGACTGTGAAACCCATAAGCTGAATGGTGCGACGACCCATCTTCTCAATGGTAAGGACAGTGAGATAGTAACCGGGAACACTACCAAGAGCAGAGATGATGATTTGACCAGTAGCATTGCTCCAGAGAGTCTCCCAAGGAGTAGACTTAGCAGAGAAACCAATAGCATTGAGAATGATGCTGTTGTTGAGACCAAGACCGTAGAAAGCGATATCGATGAGGAACCAAGTGGAAGCAGTTCCGAAAAGAAGCTTGAAGTTCTTCCATTGACCGAAATAGGCACGGAATTCAGCCCAGTGGTTACGTTCTTGTCTTTCAACGCGGGTAGTTTGTTGAACCAATTCATCGGAGGCATGTTGTCCCTTGGCAGCAGCAGCAGCTTCAGCATCGTGTTGGACGTTCAAGGCGTAACGAGGAGACTCGGGCATGGTGAATCTGAGATAGATGGTACCGACAGCGGGAACGCAGCCAAGACCAATACAGATACGCCAGACATAATCGAGAGCCATAACGTCGTTGTTGACGGCAGTCTTGAAGCAAGCCAAGACGATGAGAGTAACGATAGAAGCGGCCAAGTTACCAATACCTTGCATGGAGAAAATCAAAGCCATCATCATACCACGACGGCCAGCAGAGGACCACTCAGAAGTGATAGTAGCAGACATGGGATAATCACCACCAATACCGAAACCAAGAATCAAACGCCAGAAACCAAGGAAACCAATGACGGAGACACCGCGAACGGCAGAAGCAGAAGTAGCACAGTTGATAGTACCGAGAATAATAATAAGAAGTTCGAAACCGTAGATTTTGCGACCGAAGATATCACCACAGAAACCGAAGAAGAGCTGACCGAACATGGTACCGACACTGGACATACCCTTGAGGACACCTTCAATGTTGGCAGGCATCTTGTTGTTGTTGGAGGAGTAGTAGACATATCCAAGCATGGGGGTGACCAAGTTGATGATGAAGACATCGTAAGAATCGGTGAAGAAACCAGCACCAGAGGTAAGGAGAGTACGGACGGTGAACCAGTTCCAGTATCCAGCACCGCTCTTATCGAGCTTTTCCAAGGAGGCCAACTTGTAAGCGGCTTGGTCCAACTGCTCTTGTTCGACGTTATAGATAGACGGGGATTGAGGAGTCGACATTTTAGCCAGAAGGGGAAGAGGAGGTTAAGATAGAGGAATAATTTGAAAACAAGGAGATGTAGGTTCGCCTCTTTATAGGTTTGGTAAAAATTATGTCTTGGAAGACTTTTGATGGGCCAAAGTCGGGACTGAGTTTCAGATTATTTCTTTTTAATCCCATTTCAGAATAACACCTGAGCCCGCGTGCGCCAATGAAGACGATGTCGATGTTGTACTAACCCACATGTGTCCTCACGCAGGTTCACAAAAGAAGATGAGTGATCTATTACTGCTATGTATTGATATTCTTGAAATGACAAAAGTATGAAAAAATTTTCACTCGCAGGGTCTTGGTGTACTCTAGATTTTGATCATTTCCAATCAGTTTTTGACGCGAACTCAGCCATTGCATTTTGCATTGATGAGAAGCGTGGGGGAAAGCATAAAGATGATTGGCTGACCCAAGAAATCCTTCGATACCTGTCAATGCTCCAACGTGCGGCAAAAGAATAAATATGATTGGCTGAGTTGACGCCACCTTAGCATGTGTGGTATTAAAATGAATTTGATTGGCAGCGGGATGGCAAGCCACAAGACCAATGGAGTTGCTCACGATGGTTTCCCTAATAGGCGATAAAAGTTCGTGCACCGAAATAAGCCTTATTCATGGAACAGTGGCGGAAAGTCAGTTCCACGCTTGGCTATAGCAAAGTTATGAAGGCCATCCTGTTTTAAACCAATGTGTGAAGACGTTTGACGCATAATCCAACTTTAATCGGTATGGTAGCAACGATATGCCATTTTTCCGATTTTACTAGCCAGCTGATGGCATCAATGATCAATATTTACACAGTGCAATCGAACATTATCTAGATCATGAATCTTGAATTTCCATAGGCTGATTTATTTTTTACATCAGCAATATGCATTGTGGAGCATGTGCGGTATAGTACTGGCAATTCAGGCAGCCGGCGGGTTTTACTAGTTATGGCAAATACCTAGATTCTGAAAACTGGCGATCTTTAGGATACCTGAGACCATGTCGACCATAGAAAAGAGGGCGCCATCAGTGGTTCCTGTCCGACATGAACCAACGAGTGTGGTTGTCTCACTTTGAATTTAAGGTGTGATAGACAGACTGGAAGCCAGAAACTGTTAAAGAAAAACATTACCACTCCGCTGTCATCTCCCTTACAAAATTGATAACACAGATAAAGTGTTGGGATCTTAGCTAATTTAAGGATGGATACTGGGAAACAGTGCGATCACAGGCACGAATGACCACTGAAACTGTGTAATGCCAGTACGTAACCGTTGGACAGGGGGTTAGATCACCATTCAAACCGTGCATTGAGGGCAGATGCGCGGCTTTACCCCGACGCTCAAACATCGGCTCATTCTTGATAAATTTAAATACTGTTAGTATTTACTTTAAGCTGATAACTTTTATAATAATGACTCAAACTACAACAGATGATCACTCCTGCTGTCTGCTATATGCTTATCTTCACTTGGCGTAGAGGGTAGTGTAGGAGAAACATGGAATAAGGCTAATTATATGTCACACTCTACTCCGGTGATTTTCTTTGACACCGCTTATTTCATCTGGAAGAAAGAACATCTCACCACTACAATTGAGTTGAGAACCTTATGTACAATGCTTCCAACAATATCTTTGATGCTGGATTTCACACCGTTTAATGACACACCTTGTAGAGAGACGTTAGCCAGCTATTTGAACCTACAGATATGACCGGCACTTTTGTTGCACCTTCTTCCCCATGCTATTTTTCTACAATGGTAGAAAGGTCATCAACTTATTGTTTGTCAATTCATGTTAGCATGTATAGCTATATGGCCATCATGAACTCAAGTGTAATCCATAATGCTTGACAAGATGTATACTGCTTAATCAGTTTGATGGCAATTTTAGCGGCATTAGATGTCACCGGGGATACGCAGCCAGCATTCTCCTCTTGATCCCTGGGCCAAGATGGTAGTGTGGATTGATTTTAAAGACAGATATTATAAAATTCGCTCATGATGTGACATGTTCTAATCTCAAAGCTAACGGTATACTGTAGTTCTTGCTCATGGTATAGCAAAATTAAGAACATATAGTACTGGAGGTTATGGGAAATTTGAGACGTTAGAAGTTTTAATGCTTAGCGTCTGCCATTTCTTGGCAAACGCTCAGATGAGTCCTAAGGCATATTGGCTGTGTACTGGGGTTTCAAGCCGTCTGTTTTTCAAATTGTTCCAGAGGAGACACAGGTCTTAATTTCGTCCCTATTTGAACCTTGGCCTGAAGCATACCAGTATACAGGGCATTTTTTTTTTTTGAGAGTGGCCTTTTGAATCAATGTGAGTTTTCGCCGCTATAGGCGGCACCGACAAAGGACTGTCACCTAAAAATCGACGCTCGACATCAGGAAAGTGTCGTAACGAATGCATAGCCTGCATTGTCATGGTATTAGGGGTCGCATCTCAGTGAGGCAGCGTTTTTTGTCGGTTTCAAAATAGACAATGCCTTATTGATGTCCATTTTGTGAAAAGATTTGTCTTCAAAATATCGACTATAGGTATTTATTAGGGAAAATATGAGGTATGCAGCGACGATGAGAAATAATTGTGCGTGATGGATACTTGGACATACCATACATACAAAGATTTTCAAGCAACAAATTCTACGTCTTGTAAATATGCTGTTGTTGATCGAGCCTTTGTACTCACGAGACGGCTGATGGAAAGTAGAGTATTCTACACATTGCTCAAAGTGCCTTTGCTTGAAATACATTGATTGGGAAAGTGCTAGACAACAGAAAATATGACGTTGTTGAGTAACCTGTCACATCAAGCAGAATCGACGGTTTTCTGGTAGGCACCAAATTTATGTGCGTAAAAGAAATGTGCCGTGGGAGTGTGACTAAATTGCAGGCATAGGCCAACTTTTATCTGATGAAAGTTTTTCATTTACTTCTCTCCAACTCGAGCTACACATAGGCTATACATTTCGTTCTTTCTCCGGTTTGCAAAATCAGCTTCGGTCTCATCAACTAGAAACAAACGCTGTTCCTGACGGTATGATACTTTCTTCTTTCTGCGGATACACCTATCACCGAACAAGAGGACAATGCACTAGATAATCAAGAATGCCATAGATTAAAAAAGTTGTCTATACGTCTAGTACGGGTTAAAAGCCTTTGCCAATAGGTCACACACCGTCTCTTCATGACATTTTGACCATAATCATTTGCCATCCCAGTGACTGCCTTTTTTTGGACGGGCCAAGTCAGGCAGACCCCCTTCCAGCTTGGGCTACCTCGACTGTCTTTCCTTTGATTGATATTGTCATGGCGCCAGATTACCGTTGCGGTATCGTCCATTTCAACGACGTATATCATGTTTCTCCAGGTAAATCAGAGCCTGTAGGAGGAGCAGCCAGATTCACGACCGCCATTCGAGATTCTCGACAGCACCTAGAATCGCAAGGCTATTCCGACCCTATGGTTCTCTTCAGTGGTGACGTTTTTTCACCAAGTACTGAGAGCTCAATAACTAGAGGAAAGCACATGTACGTGAATTTATATGGAAGCCCCATCATGACTGTACGTTTGCTAATAGCCTGATAGGCCAGATATACTCAATCAATTAACTATTGACGCCGCTTGTGCGGGCAACCATGGCAAGTAAGCACGGTGTTTTAAAATAGTAGACTTTGACGGCATTCTCATGCTCCATATTACTTTAGATTTTGACTTTGGGTTACCACAATTACAAAAGCTCATGAAAATGACCAACTTTCCTTGGCTACTGTCCAACGTACTGGACAAAAACACAAACTCACCACCAATAGGCGTCAAAAGACATCTTGTTCTAGAGTGTAAAACCAGTGGACTTCGCATCGGAGTTATTGGCTTGGTTGAAAAGTAAGTTGGTGTATTCTCTGTACGTCATCCCAAGCGCATGTACTTTGGTATTAACCTTCGGAAACAGAGAATGGATAGACACCATCCCTTCGTAAGTTCCTTGGAAAATGTTTCAGTGCACGGTGTATGAGAATTACTCGTGACTTGAGATATTAACCTTCATTTGCTGATGGATAGATTTCCTCCTGAATTGGAATATCATGACTTTGTGAACGTGGCTAAAGACATGTCCCGTAAACTACGGGATCCGAATGGCGAAGACCATGTTGACTTGGTGGTGGCTTTGACGCATATGCGAGTTCCAAATGATATAAAGCTTGCAAACGAGTGTCAAGAGGAAATAGATTTGGCTCTGGGAGGGTAAGTTTGCGTGCGAATGAATGAGAGAAAACGTGAGATAAATGGATTGACTTTTTGATTACTGTTATTTTCAGACATGACCATTTTTACTATATATCGAAAGGAATAGATATTGTAGGTGATACATGGACTAGAGAGAAAAATATAGATGAAATAGGATTTGATCCGGAAGAGGGTATTCCAGCGTCTACAAGGCTTCGTGTCGTGAAAAGCGGAACCGACTTTCGAGAGCTATCCGAAATCACTATGGATATCGCTAGAGACGAAAATGGACAATGTAGGATTGACGCTATTCGAGGTAAGGATGAAATGGGTAATAAGTTGCTTGGAGGTGGCATATAGTCTAACTAAAGAATTCTACAAGTGACCAGGAAACCTATCACATCAGATGTCGCGGTAGATAAAGAAACTGAAAGATTGGTCGATGATATTGGAAAAACTGTATCAGCCAAAACGGAATACGCCATTGGCTATACCTTGGAAGCGCTCGATGGTAGAAGTAGTGCTGTGCGTACAAAGGAAACCAACCTTGGCAATTTGACAAGCGACTTGATGATGAATGCATACAACTCTGTCATTGGTCAAGTGGACGCTGCGTTCTGTTGCGGTGGTACATTTCGTAGTGACAAAATTCATGGCCCAGGTCCTGTCACGCTGGGTGATATTTTGGACATATTTCCATATGAAGATCCAGTAGTGGTCATCAAGGTAACTGGTCAGCAGCTATGGGACGCTCTCGAGAACAGTGTCTCTGAATACCCGAAACAAGAAGGGCGGTTCCCACAACTGGCTGGATTACGTATTGAATGGAATCCATCCGCTGAACCAGGCAAGCGACTTCGCAAAGTGCATATGGTGGTTCATTCCAAACAAGGTGTGTCAGAATGTCTGGAGTCTGGTCGTTCATCTTCACCATTCAATTATGAGCCAGTCCCGGTTCGACCCAATCAAGAACGTTACAAGCTAGAGAATATGGTGCCTTTGGACCTTCAAAAGCATTATTGGCTGGCTACCCGTGCTTATATGGCTGATGGATATGATGGATTTCATTCCTTGAAGGTTGGCGCAAAGAACGTCTTGATTGATGACGAGCAAGGTCTTATCATTTCAACTTTGTATCGAAAGTTTTTCCTTGGTTTGAAGTATGTCAACGCCATCCAAGACACCCTAACTGAAAAACATCATCATGATGAAAAGGTCCAAGCAATTGTTGCTAATGTAGCGCACAAGTGGCGGAACAAGGCAAGCAATCGAACTGAAAGTCCAGAACGTCCGGAAACCAAGGCGCTACGACACTGCACGACAGCAGCAATCCGTAAAGCTTTTACAGGCTCCATACGCGGCCATCCCGAGTGCGTAAAAAGCGAAAGTGATGATGAAGAGGATGAAGTACACCCCACGAGCAACTCACACTGGGTCCGGCGATGGGCTAGTATTGCGCCTACAGTTGATGGACGCATCATAGCGGTCGATGATTAGGTTAACTTCTGTGCCTATCCACCCGAATTGAATGAAAGGGAAGGGAAAGGGAAAAAAGGAGATACCAAATAGAAATTGATAAATGACCGAATTGAAATCATATTTACCAAATAAAACGATGCTACGATCAAGAGTAAAAGTACTCTATCTTCGCGTAGAGTATTTTGTGCAAATTTTTCGTAATTTGCAATATTTAAACAAAAGATAGGACACAGCAAAAGAGATAGTTGACAACGCAATGAGCACTGGCCACCAGTTGATATAAATTTCGTACTATTATATCCTCAGTACAGGATGAGACCTGAAGAAATTGCCATTATTTCTCTCAAGATAACAATATAATAATCAATTTTGAAAACGGATGGGATACCAGAGTGCCACCCCATATTTCCATGAAATGTACCATGATGCATTTGAAAATAAGATAAACAGGCGCGCAAACGCAACGTGGCATTTTTGAAATCTTTGTGATTACTTCACTTTCGGCTGTCCATCTAGGAAGGTCTCTTACATAACTTTCGAAGAATTACCAGCGATGGTCTCTTGCTCGACTGGGACTACGTTTCTTTAATTTATTTTTCAGACATCTTTCGAAAATTTGCAGCGTTTGCTGGCGGTTACTGGATTGAGCTGCTGTCATAGAATTATTTTTTTTACCAAAACAAACGCAGCGGACGAAGCGGTGGAAATATACCCGTTATGTGAAATTCCAAGAAAATTGTTGATTGTAACACGAACTATCACTTTATGAAAGATTGCCAATAGAACAACAAAGAGTTGAAACCAGATTATATGGCGATCAGCTTCATCCATTCACTTCGACTACTTGTATGTTTTCATATGCAATTTTGCGGTTTCGCATTTAATTGGAACAATCTGCCATTCCTGTTTGCCAATATCCAAAACTTACCAGACGTCGCATCTCTCGCAAATAATGGTCACAAAAGATGTAAGGCAAAAGAGTATGAAGAGATGCTCTGAAATTTCTTTTTTTTCCTCGTCCTTTCTGAGTGAGAACCTTAGAAAGCCACCTTCAAGCAAGAATCTTTTGAAATAATGGCGTAAAAATGATCAGCATGTAAAGATGCGCATCACAATTGATGTGCAAAAAAAAGGCTTTTCTCTGCTTGTGATTGAGGTACATAGTGTATAGCAACGTTTGCTCTCAATCAATGTCAATTGACAGTGTATTGGACGATATGTAACGTCAGTCGTTTTCTGTCATGTTCGTTGGGTGCGCTGTATTTTCTGATCCCTGCATTTAAGGGCAAGGGTTTTCACAAGGGCCCAGCCTCAGAGAAACAGAGATGATCATCGCCACCAATGGCTGTTCAAACCAGACGGGATATATAAGACATTAGTGAATGGTCTCTGGCAAGTACAGCAGAGCCAACGACAGAAGCAATCCAGTGTTGGATTAGTCTACTTGCCATTCATGTAGCTGTTGTTACACGGTTGACCCGCTTGCCCTGAAAAGTCTGCCTTGTTTCCCGCCTAATTTTTCCATTTCCCTTTTTTTTTTTCGGGTTGTAAAAATCCGCCTCTTTTTGGGTGGAGGTCGCTTCTTCTTTCACTTCATCTAATAGAATGGCCGCCGACTCAAAGCCTTATGATGGACCGCTACTGATATCAGCACCTGGCAAAGTAATTCTGTTTGGAGAACATGCTGTTGTCTACAAAAAGGTAATTCTCCCAAACTAAGAAAAATAATAATAGTCCATGTACAAAAAGTCTCCCTAACTTTTGAGCTGTCAAATAGACCGCTATTGCCGCCTCACTGGGTTTGCGTTCTTACTTGTATCTAGAGAACCGAAGCGACAATGTCATCCATCTTGAACTCCCTGATGTTGGCCTAAGCCGTAGTTGGAATCTGCATGACCTGCCACAACCACTTCCATATGCAGGCAGTGCCGATGGTAGGTTTCCATGGCATGACCAAAATGGCCATGATGGAAACATCTGTACTCATTATGTTACCTTGTTAGATTCTCATCACCCACTGGACATGCCAGCTGAACTGAAGCAACAGTTAATGTCGCTCATCATTGGCGATGACTATGACAAAAACCCGGCCAAGGAGCAAGCAGCGCTAGCCTTTCTATACCTTTATATCAGTCTAGTGACACCTGGCGATGTGCGAGGACTGTCCGTCTCTGTCAAATCGACGTTACCGGTTGGAGCAGGCCTTGGCAGTTCAGCAGGATTTGCAGTCGTGCTTGCAACGGCTTTGTTGATCCATTTCGGTCATATTGTGGTGCCTACGAAAACAGTGGCTGAAGACCAGGTTCAAGACAGGTCAGAAGAAAGAGAACAGGCTTTGAGTCAAGTTAACCGATGGGCCTTTAAAGCCGAACAAGTCATTCACGGTAACCCCAGTGGCGTAGATAACGCAGTTGCTAGCTATGGTTAGTTGTCGATCCATGTCGAGTGCATCAAGCTAGGATATGAACTGAATTGGTTTCCTTCTTTTTTATTTTATTGGCATTTTAGGAGGTGCGAAAAGGTATACGAAAGGAGAAGGATTTGCAAGTTTGCGCGGCTTTAAATCGCTTCGTTTGCTGTTGACCAATACAACTGTGCCTCGATCCACTGCAGTGCTAGTCGCGGGTGTAGGAGACAAGTGTAGAAACTTTCCCAATGTTATGAATCCCATCATGGATGCCGTTCAAGCCATATCAGATGATTGCGCCAGCTTGTTTGAACGCCATGCTGATGGTGAAGTTAGTAAGGAACAAGTGGTTACTCGCATTGAGGTAAGTTTTGGATGCTGGAATCGACGTCGACATATCAATAAGACAGATGTCCTAACGATGTTTTTTGTTTTTTACAGGATCTATTCGATTTGAATCACTGTTTACTTTCTGCCATGGGCGTCAGTCATCCAAGCCTCGAGCAAGTCAGAAATATAACTCGTCAACACGGACTAAGAACCAAGTTAACGGGAGCTGGCGGAGGTGGCTGTGCTGTGACCATTCTTCGTGATGGTGAGTTTGCCAAGAGTGTTGGCTTCTTTTACCTTTCTTCGGCTAACCCTTTAACTCTTCAGATACCCCACAAGAAACGGTTGATGCCATCATTTCAGATTTGACCTTGGCTGGATTCCACTGCTACGAAACGTCGGTTGGAGGACCCGGAGTTGGCATCAGTCTGTTGAAGAATAATGAATGGAACGCAACGACTCTCTGTAAAGCAACTAGAAGTGAATTAGAAGCTGTATCAGACTGGCGATGGATGTAAAAAAAGTAGCAAGTTAATCCGGAGTTTTAATAATAATCATAATATATTCGTGCTGCCACCCAATTGTCGGTTGTTCGCCATAGCGCTTGTTACCTGTATATTTTAAAATAGTACCGACATGGGTGACATCCTGAAAGACGTACCTGAATTCTTTGAGAATGAATTGGGAGAATCCATCATCTCGAGAACAGATGCCCTTGGTAAGAGTTTGACCATGCCTTCCAACATAGCCAATAGCCATGCCCTGACACCCTTTGTTACAAAAGGTACCTTTCGTGAGCTTGGACCTCCCGATTTATGCCACATCATTAAGGCCAACGTCAAGCCTGGTGTTAGAGAGGTACAGTACAGACTTCTACTGAGTTTCGAGCGGATGGCTATGGAAGCTACACGCATGGTCTACCTCATCTGCTAACCTTGCGTTTCATGGGGTCATCTTGAATCTCGACAGTTGGGCAGTTACCATTATGTTTCAGGCGTCGACGCTTCGTCTTCAGCTACACTTGCAGCTTATTTGAACTCTCTGACTTACTCATTGGTAAGCTATTTAATGCCTGATCCTTTGACACTTGACCTGTTACTGTTTCCGCTGGACGTCAAGCTTATTTTATCTTTGTAGGACGAATCTCAATCATGGTTCTCCAAATCAAACGCATGGCGTATTCGCTCTGGTATCTATTGGTATGGATCAACATGATGATGCGACCTGATACCCTCTACAGTTGCTAACACCTATGTTTAGCTGCTTCAATGCATTCTCACGCGTCGATGTTCGAGTTGAGGTCAAAATTCCCGGTGGAGTAGAAAGCTATGTGGTTGACACGAACGGCGAACGGTAAGCGACCTTTATGGCGGTATAATTCGGCTATTACTGGCGCTTGATCTAACATTTCATGTAGTCACGAAGCGACTGCCGCCATCTGGCAGGAGACCTTTTTGTCTGCCTTGTTGAGAGCTATTTTGTATTCCGACGACAGCTATTACCGATTAGCAGGTTATAGAAAGATCGACCCTATTACTAGCTTGTCTGCTGAGGCCAAGTTTTTGGAGGCCGCAGAAAGTCTCTTCTGGCAAGGTGAGGTTCTTTAACCAGGTTTCACAAATAGAGATAGCGGAGCTCCTCAACACCATGCTTTTGTTCATAGGCTGGCAATTGGGAAGCAAACCAGAAATTCAGGTCGCCACTTCAACCAATAATCATTTGACCAATGCTATCATGAAGTACTTTGGCGATAGCTTCCGCTACGGACCAGCCATCACTCTATTTGAAAAACATATCCTTTTTGACCTTGGTGATACTAGTGCTTTGCATATCTGATATCATACTTATTTATTTTTATTCGAGATTTATATCCTTGACTGTTATGTTCACTGTACCAGAAAGATCCTGAAGTTGCCGCTCTCCTAGCACAATCTTATATTGGACAAAACGAAGAAATCAAGGCCGTTCAAATTTTGTACGAAGCATTGAAATCGGCTCCAATGAGCTATGCATTATTGCATGCTCAGATCGACTTTTTGCGTAGCAAGGTGAGCTTATCTGAACAGCAATGGGGAGCGGATAATGAAAGCTGTTACCAACGGTACTTGAAATATAGGGAAAATACGATGTAGCTCTTAAGCTTGCCAAGCATGCCGTGAACAATACCCCATCAGAGTTCCTTACCTGGGCAAAACTGACAGAAGGTGAGTGTGAATGTTCCATTGATATTAGCTGGTCATTTATGGGAATCTCTAAATTCATTATCGACTTTATTGACAATCTTCTCTACCAAATAAGTTTATATTGATTTGGAAGACTACAAGAGTGTAAGTTGAATATATTGTAATGCTGAAATGTCTTTTGCTGAAAACTGACCTCCCATTACCCATAAGGCTTTGCTCACATTGAATTCATGCCCCATGTTTACCTACAGCGAGCGCGATATGCACCGCATGCCATCACCAGCCAAGACACATTTGCCTATCAAGCCTGAAATTATTAGCTCTGGTGTTATGGAGGACGATAATGTAGGAAGAGACTCTGAGGTAGGTTACGAACAGTTTGAATGGGTGTTTAGGGTAAATGTGACCATCGTTTCTCACCTTTAAACATTACAGGCTGACCCTAGCTTGCTCCGCTTGCCCGCCCCAGCCTTGCACGGCACATTTGCAAAGGCCTATTCGCTCCTCACACGACTTGCTACCAAGGTTGGTTGGGATGAGTTGCTTCGATTTAGATCTGCTGTATTTGTGATGGAAGAAGAATATCGCATGCAGAAGGCTCAGGAGGAAAAGAGAAAGACGGATGTCCCTACTCACAACGAAGCAGACAAACCCCATTCAGAGACTCCGACCCAGTCATCCGAAGAGACCAAAGATGCAACAGACGAAACAAACGGGGAATCTAAGGCGGAAGATGACAACGAAACTGCACAAATTGCTGAAAAGCTGGAAGATGTGGCTTTGGATGAATCTGAACCCAGTAGTAAGCCCATCGAAGTCCCACACGAACAACTTGAAAAGCCTCAGCAAGCAGCTGAAGATCCAAAGGTAAAGTGGCCTTTTTGTAAACAAAAGTTATTGTACCCTTGGCTGCTATGCCTTGTCTGCCAAACCCACGCATGACTAACTTTCATTGATCGTAGGAAAAGGCTGCAGAAGGCAATGCTCAAACTGTGCAAGATTACAGCTTCTCCTTCAGTAATAAGCGACTTTGTGAGCGCTGGTTGGACAACTTGTTTATGGTCTTGTATGAAGATCTCCGCGTCTACACATTCTGGCGAACCGAAGCTGCTCACTACAGACAGCAGCACATGCCATACCGCAAGACTGGCACGGAATGGGAAATCCTTGGCGATCTTGGACTCCGTCTCTGGCATGAAAACGAAGCAAAAGAAGCCTTTGAGCAATGTCTTGATCACAAATTCTCTGCCAAGGCATGGATGCGATTGTTGGAGATATACGCCAAGGAAGGCAATGTTCAAAAAGCTCTGTTGGCGGCTGTCAAGCTCACTGTATACCATGAGCGCTGGTACCATGAGATTGTTGTAAGTACATACAGTGGTTTACAACATGGGAGAAAAACTAGCAGCCATATTTCACACTTCTAACTTGTGGCATCCTCCTCCTACTTGCCTTACTAGTACCCTACCGACATTGCTTGCAACTTGAACAAACTAATTCGAATGGAAGGTCTTTCCAAGATGCAAAATATGCTGACCTCCATGAACTTGCCCAAGCCTGTGCAAAGACTCATGACACGTTATTTTGATTATGGTGAGCTCTTCCAGGTCGAAGGCTACGAATTTTAGACGTGCGGTGCGGTCAAGTACACTTGATATTAAAATAACCAGAAATTTACTCTCTGTAATATGCAAGATTAAGCCTTTTGATGCTACTGTAACTGAGAGGCACTATGTGATTATTAAACAAAAACATCATAAATTCGAAATCACCCGCCCATTTGAACTGTGCACATGTGAAATACGTTGAATAAGAAGTGCAATGGGTATGATTAATACTTAATGACGATAGGTAGAGGTTTGCGGTTGGACGCTTTATTAAAGGATATTTACACATGGTATATTTCTACACAGTACAATACTTCATCATGAGCATTTGCGAAAGCCCAGGGGAACCAGACGTAACGTAAATTAAGTGAAGGTTATAAGCTGCTTCACTACGAATGTCGGTTTCATCATCTACTATGTCATGCCATGGATGAGGTGTTTCCCAGTCATATACGGTTTCCAGCAAATTGGCAACGGTATGCCCACGCATAGCTTCCTCTTCTCCTAGCTCCACCACAAGCTTTCGAGACGGCAGAACCAGCGCGCGCTCGTAATATGGAATGGCTAGGTGAGTGAGGTCTGAAAAGGTAGGCAGATATGGTTGGTTATTTATATCAAACATATATCAACAAGTTGCAGACTACTTACTGATGGTATGGAATGCTCTCGCGATATTGTACTCTGCTTCTTGTGCGTACTGCATCTCCTTACGTCGCTCATAGTACTTGTAAAGAAAAGTGAAGCCTTGAACAATTTGTAAATGCCGATTGTCTGTAATTCTTTGAACAGCTCGACTCAAATAGGCAACTCCAACTAATAGCGACAGCATAGGTTCACTTGGACATAAGGTATACGCTCTGCAGTAGTAAACTTTGGAAATCGATAATAGAATTAGTGCCGTTTGAGCAACGTTTCTTTCTAATAACTTCAAACTTACTTATGGCAGCAGTCTGGTTTTTGCCCATCTGCAGTACACTGCCCAAGAGAAGTAACAAGGATATAAATGGCTTTCTGGGATATTTGTCACGAGTTAATCGTCTTGGTTCTCTATGCGATGACTCGAGATCTGCAGTGGTTTCTAAGAATTGTGAAAGCGCAGGATCTTGCAATTCCTCTTCTTGTGTGACTTCACCAGCGTCTGCCTTATGTGCATCTCGTATGAGCTTGTCCACCAACTTGACCTGTCGAACAAGGTATTTTACCGTCATAGATGGCGCATACCATGTTATATTGGAAGTACCACTTTTTTAAAAAGGCAAACGAACGATTAGTAGACCATCCATGACAAATTCCTTACGCTGTAAAGACTCACTTTGATAATAAGGCAGTATAAAGCTTGTAACCGTCATCCGTGAATTGGTAAATGCCAGTTATGCTCCTGACTACTTCGTAAACCGTCGCATAATCATCAGCCAGCATGGCGCACGCTATCATGTTGTTCACTTGTCAATATCGATTAGAAATGATAGTCTGCAGATACGACACCGTGCTTACCAATTATAGTCAATTTCAGACCTAATCGGCGTTGGGGGTCATGATAGAACACGTTGGCATCGCCAAGCCGTGTCAACAGTCGATAAGCCTCTTTCTCGCTCCCAGAGTTGGTTAGCATAAAGCAATACTACAGAACAGATATATCAGAACATGCATACACATTATGTCATATAACAACAAAGGAGCATTTACCGTAATAAAGGTATCTAGCCATTCAGTAAAGCTAATTCCGCGAAAGCCCGTCGCACTAGCAATTTGGCGGTACTTTTCTTCCAGTTCCTTTTGTTCTTCTTGAAGGTCTTTTAGTCTTTGGGCTCCTTCACTATCGTCTGGCATATTGTTTGATGACATTGTTTTGGACAATCTGATAGCCATTTGGTGTAGTTCTCCTTCTATGTCGGCTTCTGTTTCCCATCGGCTGCCACCAGGTCGTTTAAGTTTGAAGCCAATAAATTTTTTAGTCTATTAAAAAGAAGTGGCATTATGCATCAGGTTTACCCGCTATTTGCTTATTGTTGAGTGGCCCTTACCTTGTCCGCAGGATAAAGTGCCTTGACATTGGAAAATTCCTCCCACAAGATCCTAGCCTCCTCCATAAAATGACTTGATGCGGATACATCTGTGCCGCCACTGTTTTCAATGCGTTTCTTGATTTCAGTCAAACTTGCAAATGATCGCTTAGTCCACTCTGTCCTCTCTTCTTCGCGTTGCTTTTCCCTAGCCCTCTGGGCTGCTTTCATTTGAGACTGCCTATTCCGTTGTTCCTCAGCAATGAGAGCTTCGTCGAAAATAGAACCTATGCCAGGGGTTTCTTGCATTGGTGACATCGAAGATGATGCATTGTCAGCGCCCTGGATTTCCAACAGCCTTCGATTCTCTCTGTTTCGCCTCATGACTATGGTAGATGATGAGTTATGAAGCACACTGCTGATGATAGCGAGGAAGACTCACCTTGCGTTACTAAATCGAATGCCTTTTCTTCTTCTCCGATTTCCTCATACACCTGAGCTAGTGCCATCATGACATCCAAATTATCCGTTTGTTCCTCCAGAACTGTAGGCAGGTGAAAGAGTTTAGTCATACAACTAGAAGTGGGAGTAGAGAAATAGCCTCATTATTGATAACTCACCAGCATGATAAAACTGAATGGCGGTTTCCAATTCTCCAACTTCACGATAACAATCGCCAGATCTAATAAGGACATCAACATCGACTGCCTATATGGGGAAGTGTAATATAAGTACATATGGATCGAGAAGCCTGGTTCCAAAATCTAATTGTTATCATACATCTTCTGCATCAATGATGGCTTGCAGTAGTTTCAGTGCACGATCATAATGTCCCTTCTCCATGTATGCAGCAGCAACTTCTTGATACAGATCGCTATATTCTGTTACAGGTGCGTTCGAAAGGTATTTAACATGTTTCTGTGTAGTGAAGACGATTTGCGTCAATATCTGGGGCAAAGTCTACGTCTGAAATGGGCGCGATACCAACCTTGGCTACATCAATACGACCGAGATGAATTCGACACACCGCCATGCGCGCTCGTAATTCCATGGGAAAATCGGCATACCCCTTGGTAGAAGGGTCTGCAGGATCAAAATCGAAATCCTCATCATGATCTTCTGGGTCAAGAGGGCTATCCCAATCGATTTCATCAATACGTCGCTGAAGATAGAGTATGCCAAACTTAATACATAGGAGAGCCTTTTCGTATTCATTCACCATTATATAGAGTTCGGTAAGCATGTTGATTTCCGTATATCGAAAGACATTTTCATTGTCATCACCAGCTTCGTCTAAATTGTCGTTTTCAAAATGGTAGTCCATTGCGCCTTCGTAAAGCTCTATGGCTTTCACCAAGTCATCTTTACTTCGATACAACTTGGCAAGTTCGTCTATGACTTTGACATGGTGGGGTGTAATCTCGAGCAACTCGGTGAACCCAAGAAGAGCAGCTTCTGATTTACCATCCTCCTTCAGTAAAAATGAACGATCCCACAGCGCATCTGCATCTTTCGGGTTGGCAGAGAGAACTTTTTTCAAACAATATATCGCTTGATGGCGTACTCCGAGCTCACTGTGTTCAGATAGTAAGGTTAATAACATTGACAAGTCAGAGCGGTTTCGTTGGTCTGTACTAACATGGACGCGGCAGCAAGAGACTTCCAAGTATCGACATCTTTCGGTTTCAAATGAGCAGCCACCATTTTCAAGAGCAACGCTCTCTCTGGATTCCCTAATTCTTCCTGGATCATACCCAGATTGACCCAAGCACTGTGAACTTTGGAATCCTGTCGAACGATTTCTTGATAGAGTTCAATCGCTTCGGCATATTCTCTATCAATATAATGCTGATTGGCATCTCCCAACATAGCTTTAATTTCTGGCGTTAGAGGATATTCTCGGGGACCTCTCTTTGACTTTCCTTTTCTTCTCGCTTTTCCAATTCCTGTTGTCATTGCCAAATCACGTTCAAATTCTTCCATATCTCCTTCTGGTACATCCCAGAGTGATTCGAGGTTGGAGTTTGCAATATTACTATCATCGGTCGTTGCTGCTGCCATAATTTGTCTGAAAAAGAAAAATTACGAATGAGACAAATAATAGCTATCATTGCTCCAGGCTATAAACCACATACTCAAATTGACGTTCATTGACCTCTTCGTCGTCATCAAATCCATTATAATCGCGATTATCGAGTCCCATTCCTTGAAAATTTTGCTGCATTCCAATTTCTTCTTCCTCCTCCTCTTCCTCCTCCTCTTCGTCATCGTCGGACGGTTGGTAGAAGTCGCTTTCACCAGAGAATGGCTCTTCTAAGGCGGATTCGAAACCTAACTCGGTGTCAGAATCTTCGTTCATATCATCATTTTCTTCGATATTAGTTTCTTTCCGGTCATCTTCTGTAGCAATTGAATCTTGAGTAGCGTTTTTCCGAATCGATCGCTTGGGCGGCATTGCTTCCACAGGGCGTACTCGCACACACGCGTTTTGGCAGGACTTCACTCTGCCCGCAATTTCCCAACAAAAGGCAGTCACGTGTACGTTTCACTGAGTATCGTCAAGTTTTTATTTCACATCATCGTTTGAACCAAGCTGAGATATTTCCACCAATGAAAACGCTAACCGAAATCACTCACTCCAACTCACCCATTCCAGCGAAATAACACCGTGTTCATAGTGCGTCTTGGCATAGCTGAGCTGTCATGGTGCAGAATAATGCTTATCATGGAACCTATGCAATGTCGTTCTAAAATTTACGCCAGCCGTGTAAAACCTGGTGATAAAACGCACGTTACGTATGAATAAGCGCTTTCTTGTGATTTTGAGTCATTAACATGGTGTGCACATGAAAAAAAAAAGATTGATGTGTCATGGCCTTGTCATTTTTACGTACTTTGTTAACCCTGCAATTTCGTACAAAACGTGTATCTTTTGAAAACGACCTAAAAGCATGGTTTGAGAGATAGTTTCGGTTGGGTAATTGATAAGAACGGGATTTGGGTGGGCAATGGGTGGACTTTCTTACAGGGAAGGTTCCGGATACTGTTGGGCCAATTTTATGACGATTTTATTTTAGCCAGCCAATGATGTCCACAAGCATTCTTCAAGTTCGAAGCGAGTTCTGCTATCGATAGCCTAAATCCCACTTCGTAGTTCTAGATTTTTTGTTCAACTCAGGGACCAGTTTCAGTGACAAGGTCTCAGAATGAGGGGCGATTGGGTGTGTGAGTGACTGGCGGGTTTACCGGATTTGGAAGCCGGTCCGCGGTGGCAGCTTGTGTGCTTGAAGTCAAAACCCCAAAAGCTGATGTTGAACATTTTGAATATAAATAGGTCCAACCGTGGATACCATTCCAATCCATCATCCTCTCACCACAACTCAACTCAATCAATCATGTATTTGAAGACCTTCGTCCAACAAGTCCGTATCGTCACTCCCCGACGTGCTGCTGCTGCTACTTTGGCCAGACCTTACTCTATGATCCCAAGCACTCCTCACGTCTCTGCCTCTTCTCCTGCAACTGGTAACTCGGACATGTATGCTACGAAAGCAGAGCAAGAAGAAGTTCACTCCACCGTCTATGTCTCTGGTGATTATCACATCGCTGATGTTGAAGCTCCTTTCACTCCATCTGTCAACCATGTCTTTGATGATTAGGCTATGATGTAGACCTTCAATCTTTGTACATATACTCGAAACACATATCCTGTCACCCTTTTGAAATTGCTTTAGCTTGCCTTTTATTCTTGAACGTTTAATAATATCAAAAATGGCCTGATCTGACAATGATCGGCCATCAATTTGTCACTCCGAAAGTGTTTGGGTTTTTTGATAGCAGCTGGCGACAAGCAATTTTTGTGCATCTGTTCTAGCTGCAAACTGTCAGAAATGAGCGAAAGAGCGCCTCTTCTGGGTAATTCACCCAACGCAATACATCATGCTGAGCCATCGTTTGTCTCGTCTTTCAAATATGCACTGTGCTCCACATACTTCAATGTGTTCTTGATCTTCGTGCCGCTTGCCATTACGGCGTCATTTCTGAAATGGTCAGACACTGTGGTGTTCACTCTTAACTTTTTGGCTATCATGCCGCTAGCCAAACTATTAGGATTGGGTAAGTTATTCAAACTTACGCGCGTAGTATAAATTGTCATATCTAATTCTGTGGCGCATAAAGCAACCGAGGAGCTTGCACTTCGTACTGGTTCCACCGTGGGAGCTCTGTTGAACTCCACATTCGGCAAGTGAGTCATATCGCTATAAACCAATGGTTTGAAAAGTGTGTGAACAATACCCCATTGAACGTGTTGTTTTTCCAAAGTGCCGTGGAGCTTATTTTAGGATTCATTGCCCTCAAAGAAGGTCTGATTCGGGTCGTGCAAGGTATGTTTGCTTCCGTCGGTTGTGAAAAATGTCACATTTCTCACCACTTACATGACCAATCATCACAAGCCTCGATTCTTGGCTCCATGCTTTCAAATATCTTATTGGTAAGCCCGACACAACATGTCGTTGTCATGAAAATCAAGTGTGCTTAGTAGTGTGCATTAGGTGCTCGGTTTCTGTTTCTTTCTCGGAGGCATTTATTACCCGGAGCAATCTTTCAATGTCACAGGTATGGGTTGGCAACGTAATGGTAGCTATTTCCAGCCCATACATCTAACCCCTGATATATTGCATAGCTGCACAAACTTCCTCATCACTCTTGGCCCTAACCACGCTGGCCCTCCTTATTCCTGCGGCATTTAGCGCTACATCGGCTAGTGGAGACGAACGAATCGCTGGTATTCTCAACCTCAGTCATGCAACGGCTATTTGCCTCCTGATTATCTACGTTTTGTTTTTGTTTTTCCAGGTAAGTTTTTGCGAACATGCTGGTGGTCATTCATACTTCGTACATACTCATTTTCTCTTAGCTCAAGACACACAATCACTTGGTAAAGAACTAGTTGCTATTGCGCTGGGAATGAAATCGAATGCGGAGTACTTATACACAATTTCAATCTAGTATGAAGAGGAACCCGATGATGAGGAACAACCCCAGACGACCCTCATGTTTTCTATACTATTGTAAGTCATTGAGATGTCTAGTGTTGTGTCTGGTGGTATATCATTTTGTGTTGACGCAAGCTTCTTGAAGGCTGGTTATGATTGCTGCTTTAGTCTCACTTCATGCCGAATTCCTAGTTGGAAGGTAAGGAGATGATCAATTGCCTGTGACGTGACAAGCAGCCCTAATCTAAACTTTCAATTTTCAATAGCATTGAAGGAATTGTGGAGCGATGGGGTATCAATGAGACATTTGTCGGTATAATTTTGCTTCCTATTGTTGGAAATGCTGCAGAGCATGTGAGCTCGGTAACATTTGCTCTAAAGGACAAGATGAATCTCTGTATAGGCATTGCTGTAGCTTCTTCCCTTCAAATTGGTCTCTTAGTTACTCCTCTCTTGGTCATTGCTGGATGGATCATTGGTCAACCTATGACTCTGTTCTTTGAAAACTTTGAAACCGTCGTTTTATTTTCCAGCGTACTCATAGTTAATTACCTGATTGCCGACGGTAAAAGCAATTGGTTGGAAGGCGCCATGTTACTGGTATGTAGAGGATTGGTCTATTGTCCCACTATGCTTCAATATCATTCGTACTCATCTTAACATCAAAATAGGTTGCTTATACTATCATCGCCATTGCTTTCCTTTTCCACCCCACCAATGAACCTGATATTCACTCATAGGGTGGATATGGCCATTTAAGGTTGGCATTATAAATGTGTATGTCAATTTCTGCAATGGAGAGCGAGTAACCGACAAAATAAAAATCTTTATTGAAACCATCCGCGTGCGATCAAATGTGACGATACTAATTTTACACTTGAAAAGATGGAGCCAAGTTACATACTGAAGGCAACTCAAGAGGTGAATTACAAACTTTGGAGGCACTAAAAGCATACAAATACCTGTTGTCGTAAATTCGACGACCCAAGAAACGAAGAACGCTCTTTTTCACTATATTATCATCCAAACCAAATTTCAAAGGGCTCGTTCGCCATCCATTGCATCGAAACGAGTCGCTCACAGTATCAGATTCTGTTAATTCATTAATCAAAGGCATTCTTAAAAGTTGTGCACATCTCATATCACTCACTACTGGTACTTTGACATTTTCTGCTATGGTGAGTGCGTGAATACCATTGTATAGAGAGCCTTCCTTTTACTGACAAAAAATCATGATGCTCTGTTGGAACCCACAAATCATTATTCGTTCAAATCTATGACGTCGGCAAAGTTGAGATTGGGTGCAAAATTTTTGCTTCCAGAGCAGAAAATCATTCGCAGAGGTACAAGCTGTGAAATCTTTCTCTTCCTCCTTTTCAACCCACTTGAATTGAATCATGGCCGGTATCACCGTTAAGGACGTCAACGCTCACGGTAAGCATACCACAGTCTTAATGAAATTGCAATAGCATCGTGCGATGATTCCGTCATGAATGGTTGAGATTGCATGTGAAGACGAGATCCAAGCCACCATTTTTCGACATGGACCTACAATGTTCTTTTAGGTCTCAATGCGACGCTGCATTTCCTTCTATTCAAACACACCATGACGATATATCGGCACTATCAATTAAATTGACCATCATGACTTTCTGAAAAAAAGTTTTTCGATCCTAACTAATATTTTTCGATTTTCTTAGAGTTCGTCAAGGCCTATGCCGCTTACCTTAAGCGCACTGGCAAGCTCGAAGTCCCCAAGTGGGTCGACATTGTCAAGACTGGCACCTACAAGGAGCTTGCTCCCTATGATCCCGATTGGTTCTACGTCCATGCTGGTAAGTCTCTTAGATCATTTTCCCAACTTGACTCCACCATCATAGCTAATTGTACTCGGGAACCTTTTTCTCCAGCTGCTGTCGCTCGCCACGTCTACCTCCGCAAGAGCGTTGGTGTTGGTGCCCTCCGAAAGCTTCACGGTGGTCGCGTCAACCGTGGCTCCCGCCCCTCCCACCACGTCCAAGCCTCCGGCTCCGTTCAGCGCAAGGTCCTCCAGGCTCTTGAGAAGGTCAATGTCCTCGAGCAGGATAACAAGGGGTAAGTGTAGTTTAAGGACAATGGGAACGTTGAATGATACAACAATGAATGTCTCATACTAATTTTTACCAAACATAGTGGCCGTTCCATCTCCCAAGACGGACGACGTGATCTTGACCGTATTGCCATGACTCTCATTGAGCAAGACGAATAAATCATCCATAGAGCGAGATTAACAATTGAAACACAACCATAGCCCAAAATTAAAAAAAGCTTTTTCATAACCTAACCTCACGTTTGTTTTGGATTTCTTTATTATTCCACGGCACATTACCGTCCCCTCCCCCCATTGTAAACACACGCACGCGTGTCCCCTGTGAGACGTTCACAGAGATCCACAGCCGCACAGGCGAACCTTGATTTATTTATGATGATTTTTACTTTATCATGATGATGTGGGACCAATTCTGTCTCGCTGCAGGTTTCTGCAGGTGCCACCCATTGAGGGGCGAAGTGTAACGTTCTACGAAACTCGTGAGGTTGACCAAGCAAGCTAACGCAGGACAAACAGAGGGGTACGGCTGTTTCTTCCTGTCCCCCCATCCATAGGAAACATGCGATTGCTGGGGGGGCCAACATCCTCACCAAGTTATAGTACATGTTGTCATAACCCCCAATCATGTTAAAAAAAAAGACTCGGCAGGTAGTTTGGGCATTTTTTATTTTCAGTGGGTTTCTGTACAAACCAAACCTCTTTCTCTTCTTCCACCACCTCTTCTTTTTCTTCTTACCTTTGCTTCGCCATCCAACATGACTGCGATGGATACCCTTACTACTTCGTCATCGTTTGCAGATGACTATTCAGCTTCACGACAAGCGGATGCTATTGAAGCTGGTTCGATTTTGATATCACTCGCCAACAGCCACAAACCTGTAGCGGCAGATAATAAACAGGAATTGGAAGCCATTTCCAAACATCACAGAAGCTATTCATCGGAGGACCGCCACCACTCACCACCAACCGCTCCCCATACAAATGACCATGAGGTACATACCAGACACCGTTCTTTTTCCGTTTTTGTTTATTTGCCTCTGTAGTTGCCTATCGCTACTACTTCCTGCTACACCCTGCCTTATCCCCTTGACGCCTACCGTCCATCAGCCTGGCTCATTTTTCCCTCCTTATTTATACAATGATATTACATTTGCTTTATTTGCTTGTATTTCGCAATTTATATTGACCCAGCTTTTCCTTGTTAGCATTACAGGCGCCCCATGTCCATACATAATCTCCTGTGTAAGTTTGGGGGGATTTTTTCTTGGCTGCATTTTGCACCTCCCCCCCTTCCTTGTGATCAGTGCATTGGGCAAATAGTAACCATGGTCATTTTTATTATGTAGCTGATGATCGATCTACGCAACTAGACTCACCGCCTTTGCGACCCATGGTGAGTGGTATCTTCATTAATTGACATGGATATGTGTGTCGCCAGTGACTGAACGGATTGGTATGATGATATTTTATATATTCAGCATCGCCGACGGTCCTCTATAGAAGACCAAAAAGCACCTGTGCAATACCATTCATCTCCGCCTATCGTTCATAAGCGTTCGCTCGAATCCGAAGACTATGCTATGTCGATGAAGCGATCGTCTATAACAAGAGAAACCCGAGAATACTGTAAGCGCTTGGTATATTTTTTTAACCCCCAATCTGCATAAGCGCGTGAGTGGTACTGAGATCTCATTGCCCTGTCCTACAGCCATTCCTCCACGATATTCATCAGATTACGATCGCCATGCCGGCAACAACACACCAAGTAAGTCATGTTTAAATTTTCCGAGGTTTACCGGATCTGTTCTCGGCTCACTCACTTATCAACCCTTTTTAAGCAGCTCTTCCCAATGGTAAACCCGTGTATCGAGACAACGTAGATGATCCATACCGTTCTAGGAAGGATCACAAGTTCAACAATGCAGATGCATATCGTTACGACCATATGTCCAATAAGAGTCAACAAAGGCAGCAACCACCTCAGCAGCAACCGTCTCATCACCACCACTCTACCCTTCAGCATAGTCGCAAGACATCTATGTCATCGTCGTTACCACAAAAATACTATGCCATGGTAAGGACCAGCCTCTCCCCCAAATAGCCTGTAGCACAACAGCGGCTGAAAAATTCCCATTTTTTTTTTCTTTTTTTTTTTACTATTAGAAGCAAAGTCCGAACGTCAAGAGAAATGCAACCCACGCTTATATTAGTTACACCATCTTCATGGATATTACACGCAGAGCATCCGTAAGTAGAAAGTTACATTGAGGAAATGAAATTTATTGTAACTTACGAAGGCAATCCTTGTTGTTAGATAAAGCACCAATTAGCTAACGATGACCCCGTGGTTCCTTACGACCGAGCCTACCACACGCAATACTCACCTACACCCAAGTTCGATAGACCCCCCACCATGTATTTTAATGCTCCACAACCACCAAGAAAACAATCGCAACAATACAGTCGCCCCCCATCCGAACGCAGACGTAGCAGTATGAGTTATTCACACTATCCAGCGTCTTCCAGTGAAAGGCAGCACAATGAATCTCCCTCACAACCACCTTCACGTTATCGTCCTCCTCCTGCCAATCTGGACATGTACCAAGCTCCACCACCACAGCAACAATTAATGACCCAGCCATTGACCGCCTATCTTCGTGATCGCAACACGGGTGTTCCGCGATAAAAAAAGAAACTTAGAATGTCCCAACCAACCTAAAAAAAAAACCTGCCCCCCCATAGCAAACAGCGATGTTATTCTTCTTTATACAAGCAAGACCATACTACTGATCAAATGATGTATATAATTTGTTGGACTTTCATGGATTTAGCCATCCCCATCTTTATTCCATTGTGAAAGCGCCTTTCCCCTCTCTTTTATGTAGGCGTGATTTTCTCTTTTTCTCTCTCTCTCTTCTTAGCTGCTATCTTCTTGTACATAGTCTGTAATTCATCGTTTTTCCTTTCTATTTTACATACATTCGTCACTGATTGACAATTGCTTAATCTCGCGTGGTGTGTCTGACGGGATCATACGATGAAAAACAGCATGTAGGTCATGCATGCTTGGCTAAAAAAAAAAAGTGTGGCCGACTGCGTAGCAAACAATGCGTTATCTTGTAGTGCAAAAGGAGATTTTTGTTTTTTTTACTGAGTGCAAAAAAAGAAAAAAGGTTCATCCTTGAATACAATATGTACATGTAGGAAGCAAATAAAGAGAAAAGGAATAGGATTGTTTCATATTGAAGATGAATTATGAATGAGCAAAAGCTCAGTTCTTGAAAAACGATAGCAAGCTAAATCTATTGTGACCGAGGGTATTGGCAGTGTCGATCTTTCACAGAAACAACCTGTAAAACAAAATGAGTTAATGCTTTTGTCTCTCCAACATCGTAGATTGTATGGGTTTTTACCTCAATGGTTCCTGCTTGCGACGTGCTGATGTAATAACGGTGACTTTCGATACCGTGGACCATATGACTCTCCAATACCTTGCCTTTAGAGTGTCGCTTATGCTTACTATCCCACACAAGCTCATACCGTCTCCACTCAAAGTCAAATGGTGGCGTTCCAATAAGGTCGACAACAGCTTGGCCAGAATCTCCTATAAAAGAGTAACCTAGTGTTAGTAAAAGCCATCCATGCAAACCCCCTCATTCCCGAACATGCGCCTGACAAGCTCCTATGTGTCACTCCCGCCCATCAACGCAAACCCCTTTGCTGGTGGAACCTAAATAAAAAGGCTGAAAACCCCCCTACCTTCTCGAATATTTTCCAATGTATCCTTGCCAGCACTCACGCGTGTGGAAGGCAATTCGTAAATGATTTTGGTCAAGTCCCGAGGATATGATCGACACTTGTTGCGTTGATCGCCAACCGATACAATGGTAAAGTTTCCAGCCTTATCAGCAATGGTGCTAAGGCGAGAGAAAGGTGATTGAATCTTTTCGTGTTTGCCATTGAATTGGTAATCTAAGAATGAAAAACAAGAAAAAAAAACGCCATGGAATAAAATTAGTATAACATGTACAGCACATTATGGGCGCATTGAATGTTTTTCTTCTTTGCATCTTACTGATGCCCCACTCCCCTTCGTGATCCCCCCACTTTCTATGTCCCTTTGTTCCTTTATCGGCGATCTCGATTTTTTCCAATTTGAACAAAACAAAAACAAGGATGCCTGTGTTCCCAAAGTAGCATAAAACGAAATCGAACTTACTGATCGTAAATGGCCCGACGCCAGACAGGGTGAACTCCAATTGATCGCCAACACAGTGTTCCATGGATGGGTCGATGGGAATAATCGTGGCGATATCCAAAGCTGTGATTTTGACCATAGCTTCAGGTCCAAGGCGAATACTTTGGCAGCCAGCGTCATCTGACACACTTTGAATCTCTACTTCGTAATCTCCAGGAGCTTGCAGTTCATGGGGTAAGCTCAAGTCGTATTTGGTGCTGTGGATATCTTCTACATGATACATTCTACCATGTGGATCTCCTTGATGGCGAACCCGTATGCTTGCGGAGAAGGGTGGACGGCCGGAGAACTCCATGGGCAAGGCTCCGGCTTCATTGGAGTCCAGGGACTCACCCACACACATGACTCTTTGAGCGTTGCCCTTGGTCACAAATTTGGCACTAGCTCTAGGCAAAACTGTTTGTTCGATGGAAATGGCATAGTTGTCAGCAGCCTTGGGTACGGCTGACTGTGTGTAAACTTCATCGGAGAGACGATTGAAAGCATATCGCCAAACTCCACTCTTATAAGTGTTCAATCCAATACGTGTGCGTCCAAGTCCAGCATGAATGGTCTCGGACGACTGTACATGGTAGTCACGTCGACCGTGAGCAGAATGGGCGATATCATAAGAAACGATGAATGGGCTATGGCCTGGTAGGTTTACGAAAAATAAAAAATTATGTTAATAAAAAGTTCCTGGCCGATGCATGTTTGACTAATGTTTTGGAAAAATTTGTCTTACCTGACAAGTTGATATTGATGGCATCATCGGTGCCTTCACATACAGGTCTGCGCTCATAGGCTCCATGCTTCTTGTACGTAACTTGATTTTCATCCACCATCAAAGTAGGTTTGTCAAGGTAAGCGACGTTGATAGCAGCAGCGCTCACGTCACCAGGGCAATAAGCATCCTGAATGTTGACCAATTCATAACGACCAGGTTCTCTAACCACCAAAATATCGTTGGCGTCATTAAGTTGAGCATGATACACCTTGTCAGGGTTCTTATCAGCATTACGGAACAGTACACGCCATGGTCGTTCTCCAGTCAGACGAAGAGGAAGTCGAGCTTCGCGACCTTCAATGATGGTCATATGAGCATCCTCGCCATTGGCAGTATAGAATGAAGCGGTAGGTCGGTCCTGGCGAACTTCGATAGTCACATCAGCAACATCCAATTCCTTGCTGCATCCATTGGCATCTTGAATCTAAGACAGGGTAAAAATTAATGTTTTATCGCTTTTTTTAAATCGAGGACGTCAGTCATCAATTTGTACATACCTTAGCAAGAGACACAACATATTTGCCGCCAATATCGAGAGGTGGAATGGTGAGTGTATGTCGTGCTTCATTGGCCACTTCTTCAAATGAATGGCGTTCTCCAGCGTTGAAAACGTTCCAATACAGTGTGTATGGACCGGCACCACCAAGCTCAACATCCAAGTCAACACCTTCGCCAATACAAGTTCGAATCAATCCTTGGCGGGTCAAGCGATCGCTGAATTTGGCCGATGGTTGTGGATGAACTACTTGCTTGATAGCCTTAATTCCGGTCTCACGTTCCTTATAATTGGCATCATCCAATCGAGCAAAATCATAGATATAGGTACTGAGCCACATAGAAAAAACGTCAATATACGCCATCTTCACAAAGTCTCGATTATTGTGCAATCTGACTTACCCGCTTGTACTTGGACGATATTCAAAAACATATCTGCTTTGATCGATTTTCTCAAATTTGGAAGATACCACCGTCTTTCTTCGCCCTTCTTGCTTGGAGACAGTATATCCCAAATGGAAGGGAGGTGTACCCTGGAATTCCAAAACAAACTTCATGCCAATTTCATTTTCATCAGTACACTGCGATGGAATTGGTGTTGCGGACAAGAGTACTTCAGGCATAGGTGGCTGGACGACTCGGCAGACCGATGGGTACATAACGTCGCCTGTGATATAAGGGTAGGTGGTTAGAAACAACACAAACATTAGGTCACACAATGGAATTATTTGACTCACCTCGGCAATGACGATCCTGCACACTCAATATCTTGTAGTCGCCAGAAAGGGCGACGGAAATAGCATTGACTTGGACATCAAGAGTCACGGTTTTTTGGGTAAGTTCAAGTGATTCAGGATGCATGTATTCGTATTCAATCTTCCATGGTGCTTCTCCTTCCAAGCGAAGTGGCAGATTGGCAGTTTTGCTTCCAATAAGTAGTTTGGCGGGTCTCTGTATATCACACTCAAACTTGACGGATGGTGGTGGATGCACAGCCAGTTTAGTCTCGACGGGCTCTTGGTACTCTATAACATTGCCTGTGCCATCTGTCACTTTGTCGATTTGATACCTATAATCGGTAGGGGAGCTTAGAGTAAGGTTGAACATCAGCGTTATATGATGAGAAGCTGCCCAATCCATATCATCTTCGCTTGACATGGCGGTATTAGTTTCTGTTGAATACAAGGAATGTTCTTGCTTGCGAAGAGGTGAAATATAGTTGTCAGGTTGAATATTGTCGATTTGGTGCCGGGTGGCTGATGTTCCTACTTTTCTGGTATATTCTACCTTTAAGGGAGGTACACCAGAAACAATCATGGTCAGTGGCTGTTCCATGCCTTGGCAGTACTCGTCGTTAGAGATGGGCGTGAAAGTGGCTTCTGGGCAGGTGAAAACCATGGCCTCACTAGACTGCAATCTGACGTCTAACTGATCCTTGGAGGAAACACTGTCCAGTCTATAAGCTCCTGGCTTTTTGACCTTGATATAATAGACCTCTAATCCCTGTTGTCCTTGGCTAACCTCTGTTGCTCTTCGTAAATCGCGCTGAGAATAGTCTACATTGGTTCGCGCTTTCGTCTCAAAGTCGAAGCGGGATAGCGTAACATGGCGGGGGATGGTGTTGTTCAAAATAATAGGTAGCATGACCTCGCGCTTTCCAACTTCGTTTGAAGGTATACAATAATACTGATCGTCAGGGTTGAGTTTCGCAGTGCTGCGGGAGGGTAAGGTGTGAGAGGCATGAAAAGAGCCTAGGTGGAAGCAGCCTGTGAAAGATATAATCCTTACCTATACGGCAAAATGTTGATTGTATGTCTTCCCAGAAGATGGCTAGAATTGTGCATAACGTCTTTTACGCGAACCGTTGTTCCTCTAGAGACGGCAAGTTGTTGACCCATAACACCACCTGTTCGTAAGTGTACCGATGCTAATTAGTTACCAGCATCACGAGTATCCCAACACGCAAATCGTTCAAGATAGAAAAAACATACCGGTCAAAAGTTGTAATATGGTGCCGCTAAGAACTGCTGAAGGTAATGCAAAAAGAATTGGGTTGACAAGAAGCACTAGCAATGCAAGGACTAGTGTCTTTGTGTTTGAGAATTGGAGCCAAGGTATCTTCACGATCCACAGTGTGAAGAGATAAAGAAGATCCAGACACCACCATTTGAAAAGCGAACCACCGTAGTTTTCCGGATGCGACGTCCAGTAGAGTTGAATGAGATCGACTATTTTCAGGGATTGCAACAAGCCAAAAATGGCCACTGCCCATAATCGTTGTGCCGGAAAATCAACGAACCGATCGGGAATAAGAGCTCTTGAAGCTGCATGCGACTTGGTCCGCCTTGCAGTGATGGTTGCCGCCGTCATTTGTTGTGCAGTTCAACGAGAACTTTTTTTTTCTTTAGCCTCGACGCGATCCTGACCTTTTGCGGCCTTATTCTATGCATCAAGCCACAACAGTCACATGACTACTTCAATGAATTTTTGGAATTGCACTCAGCCATCCCATCATTACTTTACTACTTTCTGTTAAGATTCAAGGTTGATGTTACTGGATCAAAATATCCAGAACTTGTTTCATATGCGGCATCCTACGATTGGTGAGAATTGATGCTCAAAGTGAGAATATTTACAACAATCATGGTTATAAAAACCCGTCGCTCCTTCTATTGTAATTCTTAATATTGAATATTGACTACTGCCGAACCATAAGATTGAGTGGAAAGTTTATGTTTATCTCATAGGTATTGCTTGCAAATCCCAATATATCTTCAGCACATTTTCATGATCAAACTGAAGATCTCCAACAATGATGCCAAATTAAAAAAGAGATCAAATATCCATTTTATTACGTCTTGGGAGCATGGCAATGTAAGGCCACCCTTTCGTCGTCAAATGCTTCTCTCTTAACCTGGAGGCAATTCTCTTATGTAAGCTGTATGATTAAAGTTGTGCTAGTTATGATAAACTTTTGCAAGTGAATTGACAATAAATAGGCATCAAGTCAACACAACCAAGGTATTATGTTCTAAAAAATATTGTTCCTTTTTGTTCCTTATACATTAGCTACGTCGCCTTACTGAGAGCTTGTCTTACAAAGTTGGCGACGTCGACTTTCGTAGATTTCATCATTAAACCTAGGTCAAGTAACCGCTGAAGTTCCTGTAAAAAAATAGGGTTAGCTTACAAGGCTGTTGTGTATAAAAAAAGAAAACTTTTAAAAATTACCGAGAGCACGCATTTTGCTGTTGGTCGTCTTCTCATGTCAGTATCCAGCATCCACATCACTATATCCTTCATTCGTTCGGTAGGAAAAGCAAACGAAAATGATGCCGGAGCTCCCCACAATATTTCGGCAAAGATATCGTCAGTGTTATCCAAATAGTATAGCGGTGGGACACGATCCATCATCTCGATGATGGTTATTGCCATAGACCACACATCAACCTTTTCAGAGTACTCTAATTCCCTTATGACTTCAGGCGCCACTAGATACAGAAGATGGAGTTAGGGTACGTTTTGAATGATATCCATTATCATGGTACATTGTAAACTTACTCCATTTGGCAGTTCCTAGCCTTGCCGAATTTATAACATTTAGAGGGGTGGCCAAGCCAAAATCTGCAAGTTTTACCTGGCCAGTTTTACTAACCAGCAGATTTTCACATTTGATATCTCGATGAATGTATCCTTTTGAGTGAAGGAAGGTCAGCCCTTGTAGACACTAAAGAAATGAGATGGAGTGAGATACTGTGTTGGACAACTTTCTGTCTAAAGAAGCAATGGTTTACCTCTTCCACAAGGAATACTGCAATTTCCTCAGGCAGTCCAGTGGATATTTGGCATAGTAATCCAAATATTGAACAACTCATCATTTCCATGGCAATCCAAATATGATCGCTCCATAATGTGACCTCCTTGATGGCAACAACGTTTTCATGATTTAACGAACCCATTATTCTCAATTCCCTGAGGATATACGCCAGGTGTGGTTGGTCAGTGTCATCTATGAAGCAACGCTTGATAGCATAAACTTGTCTGCTTGAATGCCTGCAGTTGGCCTTTATAACAGCACCATTTGCCCTGGGAGAATGATTAGAATATGTTCGATGCCAAAAACTTTTTGATTTCGTTTGGTAGCTCACCCACTGCCAATTTTTATAAAATTGACATATCGATCCTTTGGATTTTGTTGAATGATTTTGCTGGAAGGCACTACTTTTTTCATCACCTTTTCGAAATGAGCATGAGGTTTCTGTCTAGCAGACTTGGAAACCGGTTTTGGGATTGGGAAACAGTCAGGAGGCTTTCCTGCAGGGATCCATGGTTTCTAAAAAGAAGTGGTGCATTAGTATTACTTTCTCATTGGAAGAAACAAAGTGCAGAAGAGTTTGGCAAAGACAAAGATGTGCTTTGAAAATATTTTTTTAATCCATGGAAAGGTCACATCTCCACTACTTTTTTTTTTAATTCCTAATGGATATGAAAGGACTTACCTTGTGTAAACAGGTTTCGCTTCTTATATTTAAAACACGGGATCTATTGGCTTGATCAGGTGTAGAATATGATTTTCTACGCTGTGTTGCTACTGAAGTGGGTACAAGAGCAGGGTATGGTAATGGATCAGTTTTGAAAACATCAGGTATTTGCCACTTGCCGGGAGGCCGCCAAGGAGCCTGGAAAGAAAGTTGCATGAATTAAGTTTTGAACTGGGAGGCAAAAGACCACACAATATGGAGAGAAAAGTGCTCCCACGTATTGTTCTAAAACATCCTTGATTTTAATACATGCAATGCGCAACGTACCTTTGTCGACGCAAATGCGGATTTTCTGCGAATCAGTCTGTGGCACTGATCTGATGGTGATAATAAAATCCTGTTTTTGGCGTGCCTGTTGTTACCAGTATTGTAGATCACCACTGTGCCTTCACGGAATGGTCTGTCCGTTTTATTCAAACTCTCGGCGGAACTGAGAGACATGTGCTCACGACATTGACTGTTTGAATCAGAAGCAGTGAAAATGGATACTGTGGCTGTTGAATCATCCGAATCAAATATCATTGTTGGATGGCCATGTCTTGCCATGGCTGGTGAGCGCGATGAAGCGTTGTTGGAGTGCCGTATTGCAGACAACATGGGATGTTATAAGGGGGTTTGTTGCCAGGAACTTCAAGTATTTGAGGTATATGAGTGTTTATCTAAGAAAGGACTGTGAGGAGATGTGTGTTCAAATGCGGGTTGGCCCTTTGTTTGGGTTGACTGCAGGCTGGTAGTATGTATCCACTCCTAAAGACAGATTGATTACGGTCAAAGTATTATGAAAAATACAAATGTAATAATGTAAAAAAATTAAAAACAAAGGAAAAATTAGAGAAAGCAAGTGGAAACCGAAATGTGGTGGAAAGGATGCAAAAGAAAAGGAAAAGGCTCTCTGTTTCTATGTTGACATTCCTGTGTTGCCTGGATAGCATAACCTTCCCAAATTAGGCCTTATTTTCTGCCAATTCCAACTGCTTCCGCACCGATATGATGTATTTTCAAGATCTTCTTGCTAGAAAAAAAGGCATGAAACCCACACCATCTGGATCAACCATTATTTTATTTTGTTTACTTTCATTATTGTACTGTGTTGTTTTATTTCGTAGCTAACGGAAGGAAGGTAATTTAATTTTTACTTTTATTCATCGTCGTCGCTAAGCAAAAATTCTTGAACTTGTTGACGAAGTCGCTCATCTCTGTCCTTGGATTTGATTACTTCAGCTGCATAAGGCGGCAGATCAAACTGGCCTGCGTTATAGTCTCGTGCGTCGACCTGACAGCTATAGCACAGAAAGTTTAAGAATGGAATGGACTGCGTGCTAGAACAACATGTCTTGCTTGACGTGTTGCTACCACAATTTGCATTCTCTGAGCCTCCGCAGCATTCGCCAGCATCTGACATTTTTGAATCATCCTTCTTTGGACCATCCTTTCGGGCTTTGTCGAGTGTCATCACCGTAATACGATCCCGCCATCCAGTGATGTCCCTTTGGATAGGCCTGGTCCAATAGGAAGGGGTTCGGTTAGTGGATCATGAGATAACAAAAGCACGGGTCGCAAACATATACCCATTTCCGTCTAAAATAGCACGATTTGAAATAATCAAATAGTCCTTACATCAGGCAAATTGCACACTTGTTGGAGACATCAAGATCATTGCTCACTGTCAGTTTGGAGGCTGTTCGAGAAACAGTGCTAACAGTAGAAGGAAAATCACGGTCTAAACCAGTGATAAATTCTAAACGATGAGGTATAAGGAGTCAGAATTTAACAGAAATATATTTTCCATGTCACCCCTTAGTTGTGAGTACCTTCTGTCAACCGCTCGATACTGCTTTTGGATGTCGCTTTGGTAGACCAGTTTGTTGTTGGTATGACATAGCCATCAATGTTATGATTTCGGTTGTAAACAGCGATCTCTTTTGCCAACATATCCTTCATAGGGCGAATGATTGCCATGTTTTGATACGTAATCGTGTTATCTGATCCAACATCAAGGGCAGCACTATAACCTCTGCCCTTGCTTGTCATAGAAATCATCTTGATAGCTTGCCGCGTTGATGATTCCCCGAGGAAAATAAAGTCGCACCTAAAGGCATTCAGCTCGAAATCAGATATTGCCATTGAAAAGAGCATCAATGCCTGATTACTCACTTTTCTTTCTGTGCCCTACGGTAAAGCATATTCATCTTAAGATGCCAGTAAATATCTTCTCTTGCCGAATTCTTTCCAATATGTTGGAACAATGCTTTAAGTTTCTCAGCATTGGTTAGCTTGCTTTGGTGGATATCACGTAGCTGCGCTGAAATCTCTGCAAATGGGGTTAACATGCTTGAAGTTGGCTATGGTATACCATTCATTAATCATACCTTGTTGCCCAGGTCGCAAATCTTTGCTTACAACCTCAAGTACCTCTGAAAATGACTGGCTTTCTGTATATTCTGGATCAAACACATCCTCTAATTTTTCGCAGTGATATGGGAATATAGAGTATTTGCTTTCCATCATTTCAGAAATTCGGGGAATCGTACTCTCCTAAGACAGTCCATTAGTAAATTGGATGATCAAGGGCTACGTTATGGAAAAATGAAGTAGTATCTTACGGAGCCTTCGAAAAGTGAAGATTCATCAATATGGCATACGGATACTGAGCCAAATGTATGGATCTTCTTTTTTTGCTCGGGTGCTGCGAAAGTGAAGCCAGCTGTCAATTCCAGCATAGCGCTGTAAATTCAGGACTTAGCAAGCAGAAATCAAAGGGAACGATGGCAGTCAACGAAAAGACTTACAGCGATGAATGGCCACCAGATACAGCCAATAGGACCTTGCCTATGCGTAGCTTTGACTGAATCGGCTTGGATCGGTTGATTACAGTTCTGTACTTTCCAACAAAAAGGAATTCGAAGCATGGCCTGTACGCAGGAGTTTAGCAAGAGCGGGTAAAGTGGCGGTGATAGTCAAAGGGCGGTCTCGAATTACTTACTGACAGAATGGAGAGTGTCGAAGTATGACAACTGCCGGAGCAGTCTTACACTTGGTACATATCTTATGTGTTGGCTTCGGTGGAGCTATAGATCCCGGAGTCGTCGAATGTGGAGAAATTACTCAATTGCTCAGGTAATGGTTTTTATTGTCAAATTATCAATGATACATACCAAGTAATACAGGCTCTTCAATGGAGCACATTGTGTTAGCTGTGATATTAAGTATAGATGGATTCTCTGCTGTCAGGCTTTGGCAACCTTTTTTTTTTTTTTTTGTGTGTGCAAGCCAAATGGTCGAGAGCTGTGACTGTCAAAGATTTCATCAACGTTTGCAGCCGGTCATGCTCAGGCACAGTACCAAAGCAACTATGGCGACCCTTCGCAACTGCATGCGAGCGATCCATACTCACGGAGCGATCCGAGTGCCACGAAATGTAGCAATACCGGTGCGTGCAGCTTCGCGTTTTGGTCAATTTGAGCGCCTGAATCCTCCTTCGCTCCATTCCGTAGATGTCACCAAATGGAAACGACGAGAAGTTCCGATAGAAATAGAGCGACCACCCTATGCTGAAAGCGGGGAGCCGTCAGAATGGGAAGGCCATATTCCTATTCTTGATCAAATTGAAATTGACAAGATGACGACAGCCGGCGATTTAGCGAGACGAGTACTTGATATGGGTGGAAAGCTGTGCCAGGTAAGCTGGCCACGCCGTTAACCTTGCCAATTACGTATGTGAACTGCACTAAGTAACACCTTTTTAGCCTGGGATAACGACAGATTCCATTGATAAAATATTGCATGCCGCCATCGTGTCCGAAGGCGCCTACCCATCACCACTGAATTACATGGGATTTCCAAAAAGTGTTTGTACTTCCATAAACAATGTTATTGCGCATGGAATACCAGATCTGTGAGTTCTGCTTTTCTTGGACTATCCTCGAGTACAACTCCTGACTTAAAAACCTTATCAATGCGGTAGCCGTCAGTTGAAGAGTGGGGATATCATCAACGTCGATGTAACAGTAAGTGAAGGAATTGATTCATAGATTGGATATCGGTAAAAGGAGCTGGTACTCAAGGTTGCGGCATTAGGTCTACCTTGACGGTTATCACGGAGACACCTCGGCAACTTTCTTGGTTGGCGATGTTGATGAGCCAGGTCGTGCACTAGTAGATTGCACAAAAGAGTCTTTGGATCTGGCGATAGCTGCATGTGGGCCAGGCGTTCCCTTTAAAGAAATTGGAAGGGTTATCAGGTAGAATCAGCATGTCTTTTTGTTTACTTTTCATGCCAAAATGTGTCTTACGTTAGCGTTTCCAGTGACTGCGCAGCAAAGCAATCTTTCTCGATATCGGAAGAGCTCTCTGGCCATGGTATTGGACGGAATTTTCATTGTCTACCTCTGATTTATCATCATGGTAACATTATTATAACTCCGTTCGGCTCGATAAGCGGTGGGTTTGCCGATTTTTCGCTAACCCAAAATTGCTTACTTTTTTCTCCATTATAGCCAACAATGAGGAGGGAATCATGGAACCTGGGATGGCATTTACTATAGAGCCGATAATATGTCAAGGCTCGGCTGTAGGAATACAATGGCCGGACAAGTGGACGATCACTACGGCTGACGGGGGTCGAAGTGCTCAATTTGAACACACGGTAGGACTGTTTTTAATCATGACATACCCGCTGCCATCAATTTATACTAAGCGATACTTTTCTTTGGTTCAGATTGTCATTACAGAAGACGGTTGCAATATATTGACTGATTAGTGTAGAGATCTAAATATATGGATTTTTTGTATATGAGCCTGCACGTCTCTGTTCTCGAATACATGGTGCGGTATTTGGAATGTCGTTTCGGAGCTTGCATGGCGTTTCATTTTTCCGTTGTAAACAGTATAAAAGCAAACCTGGCTTTCCGCTTCATAGTTTTCTCGTTAGCTCACCTTAACTACTAAATTATGTCTACCGCTAAAGCTTGCTGCCAAATTCCTCCTGTTGTTTCCAACTACCAACCTGTTGGAACCGTTGACAACCTTGGCGATTTGCCTGTCTACACTGTTGGCAACAAGGTATATATATCTTGCATAAAAGTGCTATTCCGTTGGGGATCTACTTTCTGTTTGTGGTACTGACCTAATACGTAACTTGATGGATGACAGGACTCCAAGAAAGCCATCATTGTTATCATGGATATCTTTGGTTTCCAGTATGTTATGTTTTTTATGGACTCTGGGTAACATTCTATTGGTTCTAATAGTTTCTTCCCTCGTGTATCTTAGCGTCAACACCAAGCAATTCTGCGACGTCCTTGCTAACCATTGTGGATACAGAGTTGTGTTGCCCGACTGGTTCAGAGGAAAGCCTGCTACCCATGATATGTTGGGCGATATGTCCAAACTTACGGCTTGGCTTCAGCAAGTTGGAACCATTGACATCGTAAGTTTACCAGCGTGCTGGTTTCATGTTTATTTTGTAAAAACAATACGGCAATGGAGTTTAACAAGGGCTGTTCCTATCTAGATCAAGCCCCAAGTTGATCGTGTTAAGGAACATCTTGTTGCTGACGGTGTTGTCAAGACCGGACTTGTTGGATTCTGCTGGGGTGCCAAGGTAAGAGCTGTAGATCATATTCTTAAACGGAAAAAGCGGCCAATAGAAAAAAATAACGCGTGGCAATAATTTCTTCCGTCAGATTGCTATTCAGCTCTCCGCTCAAGAAAGCTACTACAGTGCTGCCTCTCTCATCCACCCCTCCTTCTTCGTCGTTGATGACGCCAAGGTTGCTCAGGCTCCTCTTCTCGTTATTCCCTCCAAGGATGAGGCTGATTTGGTAAGTTTGCGTGCTTGATTGGATCTGACAACCATACTTGCTTACTAAACCTAAATTTTGGCCATGCATAGACCGAATTTATGGAAATCTTGAAGCAAAAGCCCTTCGGTGACAAGTGCAAGCACGTCCGTTTCGATGATGTTCACCACGGTTTCGCTGCTGCTCGTGGTAACTGGGAGGAAGGCACTGCTGACAAAAAGCGTGCTACTGAAGCCATCCAACTCACTGCAGACTTCTTTGCTGAAAATATCCAAGTGTAAATGTTTCCCTCTATATAAAGTTTATCAACCCGTCAAGTTACTGTGACGAGCATTAAGCATTCGCTTTTCTTTTTCCCTTTTTCGTTAATTTCCACAAGTAGCACACCAAACAAATTGTAAACAGGTCTCCATCTTGGCAGAACAGTGGTTAGAAGGATGAGTTCTTAATTCATTGTATTCGTGTACAATATGTGGATATGCGCAACAATAAACTCTCTATTCCTCACAACTTGGCCTTGATAGCATTTGCCTTAAGCTCTTCGGGTTTGGCAAAACGAGCGATTCCTTTTCCAAGTTCTTGACGATCCGTTTTGGTGAGCAGTCTCATGGAATCAAGTCTGCCTTTTCCAGCCGATCGCCAAGCCCAAGCTCTAGTATACTCATTATCGACGGCCTCTACAACCTGTGCGATCTTATAACCGATGATGGGAATAAATCTGGGTTGCACATCATATTAGAGCTGAAGTAGAAAAAGAGGACAGGTGCTAAAATATGATTGGTACTTACTTCATGCCGTGTCCACTATCACCGGTTGCAACAATCAAGTTTTGGTATTTGGGATGAGGGGAAATAATGAAATCGCCATCGAATGAATCGCTATACCAGCACACCCGACTGTCCGCAATATCCAATTCATTCAGCTTTGGCAAGAATTTGCCAAAGAACTCTCGGTATTCTATTAATGAATTATGGGGGAGAGTGTCATCAGGATTAGCGACCTTGGTTCGTGGCACAGAGACCTTGCCATCTTCACACATATTGAGGTATCCTGCAGCGTGACATGCCACTTTGACTTTTCCTTCATGGTTGGCAGGGAAACCATAATACCCTGTAAAATTTCGTACAATCAGTGGGTCAATTTTTTCACTTTGGTACAGTGTTTGTGTGCCTTACCAAGGTACGAAATGTCACCAGACCATACTGGGAAGTCCTTTGTAAAGTAGTTCTCGCAGGTTTCCGCGTCAGGTTTAAAGTGGACAACAGCATGTCCAGTGGCAGTCAAAGTACCCTCCATGTCTATCAACTTCGCGGTCCAGGCGCCGGTAGCCAAAATAACGAGATCAGCGAAATGTTCTTGTCCATCCACTGTTCGAATTCCCTTTACTTGTCCACCATTCTCCACAATGAGTTCCTTCAAGGTGCTGTGAGACCCATTCTGGTGAAATTGTACACCATTTCGAAGACACTTTTCATACAAGTGCACTACAGCTCCTGTGGAATAGCACCACCCTAGTACAAGAGGCTGTGCAGTTAGTATTTCTCCGTACATGAGGTGCTCCGCTCATCTCCAATGTTACCGCAGTATCTGTGACTCACCAGCATACTTGTTGAGATAGGCAATGTTGAATCCGTTGGCAACAGCGTCAGAGAATTGAGGGAAGCGTTCAACAATACTCTCAGGTGTAGGGAACTCTTCAATGGCATGTCCATATCCCGCACCACGGATATTTTGCATACTCAACCGTTCATAATCAGGGAATTTACCGTTTCTGCTAAACAGAAGTAAGCCGGTCTCATTATACACAAGCGGCTTTCCTTCCGCCTTGACCTCCTCGTTCCATTGTCTCCAGATTGGAAGAGCCTCACATGCCAGTTGCTGATAGATCAAATCATCACCGTAATCCATTCGCACAATCTTGTTAATGTCTATGCAATCCATCGCCAGAGTTCTCTTGGTGAGCAAGGCGCTACAAGCCATTGAAACTTTCATATTGGCTTTCGCTTACCTGTAGAGGCTGCATCAGAGGCAGGGATCTTTTCACGATCATAAACATGAATATCGTAGCCTTTAGCCTTGAGCGACAATGCATGGGCAGTGGATAGACCGAATGATCCACCTCCAACAATGATGATTTTAGCGCCGTTCTTTGGAGGTTGGTATGGAGCAGCAGGCATTGAGAATAGGGGTCGATGGGACCGGACAGAATATAGAAAAAGGGAAAATTTACAATAGGTTGTTCGAGATTTTTTATATATTTTCCCTCAAAATTAAGCTTTGGTGAGACCGGATGTGCGAAAAAAAAACCAAACACGTTCGGATCCCTGACGTTTATTGTACACAAGATCAATTGCAAGTAAAAAATACATTGTCAAATAATTATTTCTATCGCTTGACCAAAGTCTACATTATTTCTCGCCAGGCTAGGTACAATGGAAGGGTTGTGGAAATCGAAAGAAACGGCGTGCATATGAAGAGCATATAAGCTATCTTCTGACTCACGCCGAGGTGTGCGGCTGACTTGGGTCGATCGAGGCTCCGACTGTCGGCAATCATCCACGTCGCGCCAAACAAACTAACACATATAATATCCCAGCCAATACTGGATTGAGCAGGATGACTATACAAGACATTGAACATCAATTGGATCAAATTTTTCGATTCACTAGTGGCCAACACAGCAATCATCTGTTGCAGGTAGTTTGCGAAATTTGCGCCTGCAGCAAAAAGATAAATGGCTGCTAGTGCCAATGGTTGGCGAGAGGTATAAGGACGAAGGAATCGCTCGGGAAGAACTAAAGGTACAATCAAGACGGCGTGCATGGTGAGAAGATTGGGCATGAAGGCTGACGAGGTAGCTACGTATGGACTGATAAGCACGGTGGCGATACCAATGGCGGAACAGAAAGCAGTGACAGGAGCATTGAACTGGATGTTGCCTGCTGCTCTCAAAGGTAGAGCAGCCATGACGGCAAAAAACAAACAAGCAGCAAATGAGATAGCCACCACCTGTCCTAGCAACATGTAAGCCCAAGGGAATGGTATATTTCTTCGTTGAGCTAAACCGATAAATAGATAGGTAAAATAAAAAAATAAAAAAATTAGGAAAAAAAAATCTCGGCTAACCTGACGGCTTAACAATGAAACTAATGGCCACAAATAAAGTCTTACCTTCTAGAGCTAGAAAAGGAGTCCAGACGGAAACCGTGAACGCGCACAATTGATGGCTCCATAACCACTGTATGGCACCAACGCTAACAGTTCGCCATGCATCATCAAACAACGAGACGTTATGAAGCCAGTGACTTATAGAATCGAGTAGTGTCTCGGGAATGACAGTGGCGATGGCGCGCCATTCCGAATAGCTGTGATGAAAATATTTCAACATGTAGGTCCATGTTGCCAATAAAGCGATTGCAGCGAAAGCGAGAAACAAGGAGGAAGAGCGGTTAGAAGACTTTTGTGCTTCAAGTAACGAGGGCACAATACCGGCCAATAAAGCAAAGATAAGAGCAAAATAAGCTGCTAATATTGCAATATCCACGGGATAAGTTATCATTTGAGTGAGGGCCCGCAAAAGGGGGTTTATCGGCCTGGCGACACGCCAAATTTTTTTCATTTGATTTTCAGTGCTTGATTGGCCCGTGACAGGTGAGCTCACAAGTAAGTCACCTGCCTGCTTGCCATGATTTGATAGCCCAGCCCCAACCTTTCTTTTACTCTCCCTCCCTTTCCACTGATAGAATCCATACATCATGGCTTTCGCTCAACAGCATCGTCGACCGAATCATTCCAATTCACAAGCTCCGCCTCCTTCAAGCGATTCGGAAGACTCATATGCAATTCTACATCCGCGTGGTTATACTAAATCAGCAGCCGTTCAGCGTCGACTGAGCATAGGTTTAGCAACAACGTCTGACTCAGATACCGATTGGCATGTTATCAATGCCAATAGAGCAACCCTTCAGCGTACAGGCAATGCAGCGCTATCATCGCCACAATGGACACCTTCAGAACCCGAATCGGTCTCCGCCAGAGCCTATGCTGATTCCGAATCTATGGTATCTGACATTGACACTCAAACAGATACCACCACAGGTCGCCAGCAGTTTTCTTTCTTACCCGCTCATGATGGTACAGGCACTTTCGCCGATATAGGCGGGTTTGTTTCGGATAGCTCATTGGGAAGTATCTCCACCGCCTCTGGCCTACCCTTACGTAAAAAGCCAGCCACAATCAAAGCTCAGACCACCGACTTCTTACCGGTGACTGCCAGCATGCCAAATATATTGCTCCCCGACGGAGGCATTGCACCCCCCTCGTTTACTGGAAGAATACCACCTCACAATCATGCCCAAAATCCTATGCCCGAATTTGTCCCCACCATGGCAAGCCGATCTTGGCGAGAATTCCGGCTTCAATCTTCGTCTGAAGAAGAAGGCAGTTTAAGCGAAAACGATGCCGTATGGCGGAAGCGACGCTTGCGATCCAGTAGCCCCACTGATGAGCATTACAAATCTGAAAGTACAACCACCAATATAAGCAGTGATGAGATCAACGCAGCAAAACGTAACAAAGATTTGGACAGGTAAGGAGATACGGTTGTAATAAATATTTGGGGTATACTTGTTTAATTTTGTGAACCGTAGCATTCCGACACATCACCCTTCGTTACCGGGGTCTGCCACCTCGGCAGCCATTATACACTCTGTGTGGAGAAATTTACGACGGCTTACTACCCATATTATTGAAAATGATACCACTACCTCTGAAACATTCGGAACGCTTGTATCGGAAGCAACATTAGAAGGATGTCTACCATTTGGGTCCCACTTACATATGGATTTCAATACTGGCAACTTGTCCAATAGCAAGGATTTTAGCTTGAACGGATCGGCTATGGAACAAGTGGGACGACGTTTCACTCACTAAATTTCTTGGTTGGCCGGAGATCGACCACATTTGGTTTACGTATTTTTCTGGGGTGATTTAGTGCATTTGTATTTGTTTGTCAGAACAGCTAAGCGGCGGTTTATATAATGGGTTTTTGTGGGGAGAAGCGCCGAAATCAATAGTTATTTACATCAACAGAACAAACTTATTATTCTCAATGTTGAAGCATTCGTAGCCATTAGTGACCCGTGACAAATCTTTGCCCAAGATTGACTTTGGGTTTCTCAGACATGCCCGCCACCCAATACATAAACAATGGGCTGAAATTTTTATTTGACTAAAATATAAAAGGGATGCAAAATCCCATTTTTTTTATGGCATGAATCATGGATCTCCCTCAACCTGAAAAAACTCTACATCCGCCCACAACCTCGACGAACCAGTGGAAAGACCATCAGCGTATGCTGTTCAATACTGCTTACAGTCACACCGATCAGGTCGCTACCTATGGTTTTTCCAGTCCCAGAACCCACCCCTGGGATACCAACGGTGGGCCTTTCATGCAAAGCAATAAACCTGATGGCAGAAGTAGGGATGTTGGCCTTGTTTTCGAAGACATGTAGGTTTTTTTTACAAGTTGTATTTCATGTTGTTGCAGTGGTCTCGAGCTAACATTTCCCTTCACGTAGTCAAACAATGGAACCATGTTCCCTTGATGAATCCCATCCCCTCCAAAATAACCAATAAATACCTCCAAAATGACAAATGATCTTTGTATGTATATAAAATGCAAAAAACCAAAAAATAAAGAAAGTGCTTTTCATAACGTAAACAAAAAGGCGATTAAAAATAAACAGTGTGGGCAAAAAGAAAGTGTGTGAGAAGCAGGTATGGATAGTGTGGGAAGGCAGTGGATGATGGCATCTTAGCAGAAATGAATACTGGCTTCATTGAAGGCAACAAGGAGTCTGGGGGGGGGGAAAAGATGGGGTTAGATAACAGTGCTAATAATGTTCTTTGTTCTACGTGGGATAACTTACTTTAAAAAGTCATCCAAGTCACATTTGGCCGCTCGCGTACCACCCATATCAACGCTCTCTAAAACAGCATTGATCTTTTCCTTAATATCGAATGTATCGTCAATCATCTAGAAAAAATGCATGTTAGGATCTGATGGCGTCTTCTCATGAAACTCGGGTGGTCGCCGTGCTACATACCATATCATGCGTAGAGCAGAAAGTCTTGTAATTCTTTTCAAGCATATCCAATACGGATTGCGTCTTGAAACTTGATGACAAGGTCTGTGCATTATCAAATACAAATTAGACACATATATTCATATACCTTGGTCGGTGTAAAATTCTTACCTTGTTCTTTCGCACAAACAAAATACGCATCAAACCGTCCCATTCCTTAAAATCAACAGGCGGTGGTGGATTTCTAGGCTCGAGACGAACAACGCTGGATTCGACTTGAGGAGGGGGTCTGAAATTGTTCTTGCCGACCTTCATAACATGCTCGACTTTGGCGTACAATTGGACGTTGACGGAAAGACGGCAGTAAAGTTCGTCTCCGGGTCTGGCAATGAGTCGAAGAGCGAATTCACGTTGGAACATGAGAACAGCAGACCGGAACATGGGTCGATGCTCGAGCAGTTTGAACACAAGAACAGATGAAATCTGATAGGGTGTGTTGGAGATACAGACATCAAAGTAAGGGAGTTCAGCCTTCATGAAATCGCCAATCATGATTTCCAAGCGTCTTTGATCAGGGCTAATCACAAAATGGGCGGACGGGTGTCAGTCATTGAGAATAACCACTCACAAACACAGACCATCTCGTCTACTTACGTTCCCTGAACACGCTTTTGAAGTTCGGCAGCTAATCGAGGATCCATTTCTACAGCAACGACCTTTTTGGCAGCTGCTAAGATTCTAACTGTCAAGTTACCAGTACCAGGACCGATTTCGAGCACAGTATCAGTTGTGCGCAAGTTTGCCTAAGTACAGTGAATTAGTATCAATTTGGTATGGGGTTATGCCGTTAGAAACTGACGAAGCCTGTCAGTTGGTCAATAGCTTGAGAGATGTACCTTGTCTACAATACCCTGAGCGACCAGTGGATTCTTCAAAATGTGCTGACCGAGGTCTTTGTTGAAGATAGGACCAAAGGCACGGTTGGTAGCCGATGAAGCGTCTTCTTTGCTTTGCTTTTGTGCTTTCTGTCTGGCCGTTGTAACTTTAGGCATGTCGGATCGATCGAGACAACGTTACAAAATACTTCAAGAAAAAAAAAAAAAAAGGTTACTCGAAAATGCTCAACCTGAAAATGACAGTCACACCTGAACGTCAAAATGGCAAGTTGAGCAGGCTGACGTTGACGGATTCAACCATGCTGCGAACAACGAGGTTATTAGGACCCGCATTGCGTGCCTATGCGCGGGCCGACATCAACAGAGCAGCAAGACCATACAGTTCACTAAGAAGGCAGAGACAAGCAGGTAATCGATGCTCTCCCATTTGTTTTGTACCGCACCCCCACCAGTCTTTGACTCAATACGACCCACTGCAGGACCACGACAACGTATTCTTGGCCACCAACCTGTAGCTCGACCTCACAAAGTTGCAGCTGCTTACGAGACTCCACATGTGCCCGGAGAAGATAAATCTGCATCGCATGCTGAGCCTCTTATTGAGCATGACGCCAAATTGTCCGAAGACCCTGCCGCCATTGAGGTCAGTATCCCAACTCCCCCAGGAGCCGTCGTCACTCCGGATTACAAAGGCGCTCTCGTGTTGGCACAGCCTGCGCTGGTGATTGGAAGACAGATTGAGATGATGAATGTGTTTTTGGTAAGTTTGGGGCCGCACTCAGTCCATGCCGCGAGTAATGACTAAACATCGCTTGACGACAGGGTTTCGAGCAAGCTAACAAGTACTCTATCATGGACCCGAATGGAAACAACGTCGGATTTATCGCCGAAGAAGACAGTTTAACAAGTACTATGTCGCGACAGCTTCTACGTACACACCGCAAGTTCAATGCTACAATTATGAACGCTCAAGGCGAAGTCGTGTTCAAGGTATGTCGCACTAGCATAATACGACTACTTTGATGTGGGTGTGAAATTGGACATCGTCATGATGTTCAATTAAAAAATGTGACATTAAACTCATGTTTCTTGCGTATGATTCCACTAGATTTCTCGACCATACTCTTTGATCAACAGCCGTATTTTCATTCACACAGTTGATGATGAGTTGATTGGTGAAGTTCAACAGCGATGGCACTTGTTACGAAGAAAATACGATTTGTTTGTTGGGTAAGTTTAAATGAACTCTTCTACACTGATCGCCCCATTTAAACATGCATGCGGTTATTGACTTTTTGGCTCATCTTATTCCCGGTAATAGTACAAATCAATTTGCTACCATTGATACTCCATTCCTCGGCTGGGACTTTGATCTTCGTGATGAACAAGGAGAGCTTATTGGCAATGTCAACCGAAACTTTGTAGGATTTGCTCGTGAAGTACGTCAATTTTCATTCATCAACCTTGATCGTTCAATGCGTTGGCCAAGGTGACTGATTCGTGAGATTTGCAGCTTTTTACAGATACAGGTCAATACGTCTTGCGTATGGATGCAGTAGAAGGCAACTCCAGAGGGTTGACTTTGGATGAAAGAGCGGTTGCCCTTGCCTGCGCTGTCAGCATTGATTTCGACTTCTTTTCACGTCACTCTTCGCATGGTGCTGGTGGTTTCTTCCCATTCCCATTCTTTGGATTCGGAGGTGGCGACGAAGCCCGGGATGACAGCCGCGAAGCTCCTCCAGCAACTGACTCCGCTCCGTCATCACAATACCCATCTCAACCCCCACCACCAGCCTCGCAAAACGAGTATGGCGACGTATGGGCGGAGGAGTCTGTTGAAACCCCTGAAGATGAAGACCAAGGCTTTTTGGCAGGATGGAAAAATCTAACCGGAGGCGATGACGGTGATGATGAATGGTTTTAAGCAAGCAGAAACAGTTGTGGTCTCTTAATGCCCTATGTTAGAACAAATGTATAAAATAAAAAAATCCTCACACACCAGCGCTAAGAGAAAGTTGCCCCTGTGTGGTTTTGATGCAATCTCATCACAATTTCATGAGCGAGCAATGACTTTAAAGGTATGGTATTGTTTCATTTTATTCAGTGGAAATATGTACGAGAAATAAGATTGGATGGATGGAGGGGGAATAAATAGCCAAATAAGCTAAGCGACAACTGCTTGGCTAATGGTAATATCACCGTAGGGCTTTGCTTGCTTGACCTTGACCATGTCTTTAGAAGAAAGAACCAAGACATCAAAGAAGAGCTTGACAGCGTCTGCCCGCTTCAAGTTTGGGCTCGCCATTTGTTGATATGTGATCTTGGGCTCCTCTGCCATTTGCTTCTTCTGGTCAAATGTAACTTGTAGTCTTTCCATAGTATCGTTTGTCTGCTTGCTGATGCCCAAAGGAGTCAACAGCTGTGATGCCGATGAAGTAACTGGGTTTACATTTGCTTCATAAGGCATAATGCCTGCCTGTGTTTCTGGCACATCCTTTGCTGCTATTGCTGCTGCTGCTGCTGCGGCTGCGGCTGTTGCAGCTGCTGTAGTTGCCTCCTATAAATCGTCATAGAAAAAAGGGAACGATGGTTAGAATAGCCGGCTACTTTAACGTTACTTTTTGCATTATAATGTACGACAATTTACCTCGCCAGCTCCAAGGACAATATCATATTCATCCTCCTCTGTAGCAGTTTGGAGTTTAGTTGTTGGTCCACTGATCAATTTGGGTTGCTTTCTCTGATGCTCTTCTTCTTCGTCTTCATCACCTAGACTGGTAACGCTAGGTGATCTCTTGCGACTTCGCGTGAAGAGAGCTTGAAGTTCGGGTGCCAAATTGAGAGGAGCATTAAGGTTGATGAAAAACTTGATGCCTTGCTTTTCAATCGACTTGAAACGAAGCATCTCAGGAGATGTTGGAAGGAACGTTGCCTCTGTGACAATGTCGGAGGTGTCATTGATTTGATCCCTTATCTTGTCATGAGGAAGCTCAGTGACCTTGTCAATAATTAATCGTCGTCGGTGGATCTGAGGTGTATTTGCTTGAGCAGACGGGGTTCCAACATCAAAAAGTAGGTCATCGCCAATGGCCTGCGTATCTGCAATGAGCGCTACATGAGGGAGGAGAGTCAGCAAAGCTTGGTTAACAAAAGGTTTCAGCTGAGGTAGTTAATTCTTTACCAGAGTTGCTTTCGGTAGTCATGGATGCATCAGGAAGATCAAATGATGATTCATTCTGACGCATGTCAGGACTAGCCTCAGGCAGGAAGTCGGGTTCAGGGCCAAGATCAAAGTCAAATTCTTCATTGTTGTTGGTATCCTTGATATTCATGCGTTCCAGTGGAGCACCAATATCGTCCATGGTGAGTGATCGCTCAAAAGCTGCATCTCTTCCCATCTCTATTTCATTCATGTCGTCCAGGCCGAGATCGGCGAGCTGTAAATCTGACTGCGCGCCATGCTGGAACAAATCACGACCGGTTTCGATGCCATCCAATATATTATCGTTGAATCCAAGACTGAAAAGTTGTGCATCATTACCACTTTGGCTGATGGTAATATCTTGTCGGCGAGATATATTGCTCATTGAAAGTGAAAGGTCCATAATTGGCTCATTTGGGTCTCTGTTTGAAGAAACATTCATCGTCATTAGATATCTGTCTGTCTTGTCTACTGCATTTCTAGCACAAAATTATACCTGTTGAGATGCAAAGGTGCCTCAGGTAGGAGAATGTCGAATTCTGTAAGATCGTCTGCCAAAGTGATAGCATTGATGTTGGCGACGTGACGGTGGGTATCGGGCATATCAACATCACCCTTCTTAAAAGCCTATTGATAGAACGAAAACAATATTTTGTGACTTGTTAGACATCTCAGAATCCAATATGCCCTACGCGGTATGTCCTAATGCTATTCTGTTTTCTTACAGTCTTAATTTTGACCAGTGCGTCATTGCAGTCTTCAAGAAGGTAGCGCGTTTTTCGCGAGTATATGCGTACAACACCGAGCAAAAGCTGACCGGAAAGGCGCAACGTAAGCATCTCCTGCTCTTCTGCCGTGATGGCGTCTATATTAAAACATGCAAATGTTATCATTGTGTAATGCCAATGCGAAGAGGGGGGAGGTTTTTCCATGCAGATAGATAAAGAGAACATACCAACAGTTTTTTCAATGTTGGTCTGCAAAAACTGATTCTTCGATATCTTTCTCTCCCAATGTGCAGCTAGCCACACTCGGGCTAATGGCCCTTTCTTTGAGATGATTGCGTCCGAATACATCATGTGGAATGCGAGAAAAGGTAACTAAACGAAAGACGCGGTAACGCGCGCAATTTTTTTTTCTTCTCGTGTACAGGAATTTTTTTTAAAACTCAGCCCCCCCCACAACTCTCATAATGCTTGCCATCATCGTGCAGCTTTTCACCGAACCGAAAGCCGTGCATTCAAGAATAGTTTAGGCGTTACATCCCTGGGGTTTCTATCGCCTGATTCAAGGAATTCAACAATATATAACCCCAGGCCTCTTAGTCTTTCTGTTCTGGTTGGTATGTTCTATGTTTTGCTTATCATAGCCGCCTCTACAGTAATTGCCATCACTCTGCCAACGGCTATGGTATTACATGACTGTTCATGCTCCTCACCACCTCAATGCGCAAGTTTACGTTGTAAGTAAAGTTCAGCTAAACGGGAGAGTTCTTCAAAGCTATAAAGGTCGACCGTATTCAATTCCCTCCTGTTTGCATGCTTCTGCTTTTTGTTAGATATTGACATGAGGATGTGCCATGATGAATGCGATTTCGCTCTACCTTGCACCAGAAAATGTTTGAAGTCAAAGTGTTTGCCAGGCACATACTAGCAGTACTATTTTTCTAACCACTTATCCCATTCAGTTTCCCTTTCGTATGTATAAATATAGTTGCCTGTACACAAGCCGTTTTGACTTGCACCTAGCCAAAGAATTTCCCATTGGACACAGATGTTGTAAAATACATTTTTGCATTTTCATGACAGAAAACAAGCCGTGCTCATTTTGTTTGCGCCGTTAAGGGCCACATTAAGATATCATTCGTATACAGCATTTAGGGATAAAAGGGAAGAACAAGGAAAGAAAACGGGAGAAAGAGAAAAAAAAAAAAAAAAAGGTATTCTATGGTACGTTATGTGAGGAAAGGTTTTCATCAATATTTTTGTTACGACCAGATCCATCCGACCAGTCTTCACAATCAGATAGTAAAGCAAGTAGGGATTGTTGAGGCATAGTGAAAGGTGATTTTCATTTTTTGTCGATTAACTTGTTTTCATGTTTTTTTGGGGGGTTTCGTTTTCATTACTTTTTTTTCTCTTAGGCCTTATTATTGTGTTGAAGGTGGGGGGAGGGGATCTTGGTGTATGTGAGTCGTGCGTGCGATTTTGAAGACGTATATATGTCATGCTTTCCTACAACAAACCAACATCTCGAAGATTGTTCTGGATAATAATGTCGTTCACGGCTGCCATAACAAACTTCACTTGCTGTGTATCGGTAGCACAGGTAAAATGAGTATAGATTTGCTTGTCATCAGACTGGTTAAGTGACACAAATCGGTTGAGAATATAGTCGCACGCAGCATCATAGTTTTCACCACCCTGATTGAACGGAAAGAAGCGTGAGTAGAATAGTAAAACCACATAAAAGTTGTGGCAAAGCCCTTACTCTGTAATCCGGGAAGTAGTCAGCCAATGGACTGATGGGTAACTTTTCGGCAAACCGATCAATCTTGTTCAAGAAGAGGATGATAGAGGTTTTGACAAACCAACGTGAGTTGCAGATAGAATCGAACAAGGTCAAAGCTTCTTGCATACGATTCTAAACCACATGAGGAAAATTAGTAACTGCAAATTGTAAAAAAGATGGCATTGCTAGATGACCACTTACCACAGTTTCATCTTCAATTAGAACTTGATCGTATTCAGAAATGGCCACCAAGAAGATAATCGCAGTAACGTTTTCAAAACAGTGAATCCACTTCTTTCGTTCGGAACGTTGACCACCGACATCGAACATGCGATAGGTAAGATCACCAATAATAAAGGTGGTTTCGGTAATACCCGTAGTCTTGACGCGAGATCGAAGGACATCCTGATCGCTGGGAGTATAACGTGAGTCGCTAATGCGGTCTATGGAATCAAAGTAGCTATTGAAGAAAGAAAATTGTTGGAAAGGGGGAAAATAAGGGTACGTTAGTGGTGGATATGAAAACTGCAGGGTGAGGGGAAAATAGACTTACTATTGAGCAGAATCATTGAGCTGATATTCGTTGCTTCTGTTGAACGCCTGTCTGACACCGTTATCTTGCCAAAGCGCCTTGACGGCATTACCAACGTCTTGTGGCATGATATCGGATTCAATCTGAGGTGGCTGCTCAAGAATAATAGTGGCATGCATACTGTTATTTGGGTTCTGGAAATTGATGCCCATGGTTTCCATTGCTTCTAAGATAACTCGCATCGATTGTGTAGTGTTACTGTAGATGATTTCTCTGAAGCTTTCGCGTTCATCCTGTGAGTAGCCGCCGTCATGAATCAATTTCATCTGCTTGAGGATAGTTGACTTTCCAGATTCACCAGCACCTACATTGAAAAAAGTGATGAGCGGATGCTGAGTTGAAGGTGGCGGTAATGGTTGTCAAGAACAGAAAAGAAAAAGTACCTAAAAGCAACATCTTGATTTCATTACGCATGTTTGCTCGATCTCGTTTTAATTGGTTTTCAATTTCGTCATTGCGAAGCTTTCCATCTTGATCTTCTACTGATTGACAGCAACCCATCTTGCAAGAAGGATGATGGAAGAGAAACTGCCTGCAACACTGCGAGCGGGAATTTCTCTTTTTTTTTGGGCCAAATTTTTTTTTATTCTCCCAGCTAAAGTAATATTACCAGTGTGTCCCCCCCCCCCATCTCAGTAAATTTCCACCCCCCAAAAGGATCCCAGTTCCATGATCAACATAAACAACAGCTTTGATGGTTGCCATAGGCGCGTGCACTTTAGCCGACAGACTTCCGGTTTCCCCCTCCTCTCATCATGTTTAATTATATAAAAGGGAAGCTAGTACTTTTTGCTATGCGGCATAAAAATGTGAAAAGGAAATGTGTAACCCAATCACTCAAACAGCCTGAATTATTGTGCATATTTTTTCGTCTCGTCAATTTCTCCCTTCAAATAGATTAAAATTTTTACATGCCTCGGCGGTCAGAAGCGAAACCATTCGAAGGTCAAGTTAATTTTATTATTTCTTATGATGATGTTGTCATAGAATGAGGATATGTATAGTATGTGGGATGAAGTAATTACAAGGAATTTTTTTGATCCTGAAAAAATAGTAGCGGTGTACGACATTAAACGTCGCTACACGTGTATGCCTTACAAAAAAATATCGGCCGCTGAAATTGGTTGAGCTCAGTCTACGGCCCAATCATATAAGCTCTACCTGTCCTTCTTCCAGCAGTAATTTGATGTCGCTATAACGAACCATATATATGGACTCCGGAGAAAGTCGAATCTCGTATTGCCTGACGACCATTTGACGTGAGTAACATAAACTGCCGAGAATGTTTCAGCCATCTTTTCCTTACCTTCTTGATTCTAGTTCAAACATGCCTTGCTCTTCTTTACCACGTACAATTACAGCTGAATATTCATCAGGAACACTAACTTTTGGACGGTAAGACAAAAGATTAGGTCCCATGTCCAGTTTTTCATAATTATCATTCGGCTTCCCCGGAACTGCCTATCATGAACAGCGAGCTCTTGTCTTACCAGAGGACAAAGTGTTTATCTTTTCGTTGACATCTTGCTGTGACTGTGGTAGTGTATTAAGAAACGATTTGGAATAATGTTTTTCTAGCAATTCGGCGTAACTTTGGCGTTCCCGGGAAAGATATTTTCTCAGATTAGGAACAATAAATTTGGAGTCGAACAGCATGACCAGAAACTCACCTTTGTGCATATTCATACTCTTTATCTGATAGTCGCTCTCGTACATCCGGTCGATTCAGTAGATACGTGGTATATTTCTCGATCTATTGTGACCGTGTTCAGTTTCCCGAAATAAGCGGATCGTTTGTCAACGATTTGTTTACCTTGTATAGTCGCGTTCGCAGATAATTGCGTATCAAGAATTTAATTCGCTCCATCTCTGTCTGGTACAACATGGATCGAAATCGCATATCTACGTTTTCCGAAAGCCCTTCCATAGCCACCATGCCCTATACAAACGACGTTGAATATTTCTAGCTTGTGAACAGGACTGACTCTTTTCTTGTCACCTACCTGATGCTCTATGAGCTCTGTAAGATCTTCCACCAGTCGCCGTCGGTATGGTAGAATCTCTGGAGAATTTCGTTCATTGATCCAGATCTGTGTCATTTCTGCAACATCGTCGGTAGCAAATTCGTCATCAAGCCCTGTTTCGTAAAGGGCTTCGCTCGATTGCGTTATATGTATCGAAGAGTTCAATGTGCTATTGTTGTCCATATTCGGTACCACGCCCTCAAGGAGAAAGGCGAACGCGTCGAGAAAAAAAAAATAATAACGTCGAAAAATCCACGTACCCAGAGCTTTTTGTTGTGACCACCAAAAATTGTTAAAGCGTGTTTCAGCTCTTCCACTATTGATTCTACATTTTTATTTACACTTGTTACATTTTTCTACCCAAACCAACTATAATGAGTACATCAATAGACGACAATGAGTTGCCAAAGGCCAATGTCACCAGAATCTTAAAACATGCTGTAAGCACGTAAAATGTGTATTCGTCACGTATAACCCAATATTCTGACCATCACAACGCGAATGCTATAGTTGCCTGCAAGTACGGCTTTACAAAAGGACGCTAAGCTAGCCATCAGCAAAGCGTCTACTGTATTTATAAATTATCTTAGCGCTACGTAAGTCCCTCTTCTACCTAAGCACGTGTGTTGTTCACATCCTGATCGTGCTGCTCAAATACAGCGCAAACGATATTGCAAAAAGCGCCAACCACAAGACCATCACAGCACCCGACGTTTTCAAAGCTCTGGAAGTTCTGGAGCTTGAAGATTTTGTGCCGAAATTGCAGGAAGCATTTACAGGTACAAAGATGAATGCGAACTATCATATATCCTATAAGGCAGCTTTGTATTGACAAGTTCCTCTGCAGCTTATCAGCAACTACAGCAAGAAAAGAAAAGCCGGAAGAAGGAAGGAAAAGTGGAAGGGGATGAAGATCAAAATGAAGAGGGAATGTCAGGAGATGAAGAAGAGGCTACTTCATCGTCACCAAAGCGAAAAATGGCGTCCTTAGAGTTAGCAGATGAGGAATCCAAACGGCTAAAGACCGATGCCGCCGCTGACAATGGCTTGGAAGCGTCGTCTGAGGCTGCCGCAGAAGATACTACTGTAGACAGAGCGGAGGATACGTCATGAGAGGCATCAAAGCCAGTTACATACGCAAAATAAAAGAACGAACAAAAGATGTTCTTTCCGGTGGCAACGATATCTAGTGTTTGGATAGCTATCATCTGCTTCAATCCCCAGCACACAAACGACCCGCATTTTTTTTTCTTTCGTTTAATTCCAGATAATGTATGGCAAATAGCATGTACTATTTTATAGTTAAAGACAACGAGGTTATTTTCTCAAGTGACGAAATATGGTTTACAAGTGATTGCCTGCTGATGATATATGAACATTGACTACTGACTATGGAATGGTTTTTTTCAAATATTGTATGTCTCTAATCCTATGCTTGACCAAGACGACCAACTAAGAATACGACGGCACTGAGAGCAGTGACTACGGCGGCTCCTTGATAAAGGACTGCTCCACCGTAATTCTCAAAGAGATAGCCACCTAAAAAGCATCCGAACCCAGTTCCCAGTCCTCCGTGGAGACCAGCCAAGATACCTTGTGCTACACTTCGCTGAGTAGGCGGGAAGTAATTGTCGACTTCAGAAACAGCGGTGGCCCAAAACAAGGCGAAGCCGATACCTATACACCGTAATGGTTAGTCAAAGCAATTTAGTGGTCCACATCTTTACCGGCTGCCACCCTTCTCTTTACATATGTGTAACTTACCATTAAGCATCTGAAGGACCAAAGCAAGACAATTCGTGATGAGAAGATTAGGCACGAGGAAGGTATATGCAAGGGATCGAATCAGGGTAACGATATGGGCAGTGACCACCAACTTGGTCACGCCAAAAGTCTCAGTGAGTTGTTTACAGAATAAAAACATGGTGAGCTCCATAATTGCGCTTGCTGGACCAGTCAATCCCAACCAACCAGACGCCACGCCCAGGTCTTTCTGAAGGAACAAAAAGAGGAATTGGTTGATCATGGCTAAAATCATACCGTACAAAAACACCGTGGTCAGGAATGAGACGATTCTAAGATTCCAAATCATTTCTGGGGAAGGGGCTTCAGCGTCTTGAGTCGGGTAGGGTAGAATACCAGCCATGGAGGCTTCCATAGAAGGAAGGCGAGAGAGAGCGAGACCCATATTCAATGCTCCTGTCTCTTCCATATAGTCGTCAGCTTCCTCTCTGATAGTACGTGTCAGCGACGATATGGATGTATAACTCATAGATTTGGTCAGACTGTGCAAAATATCATCAAAAAAGCCGGTCTCTGACAGGTTGAGCGGTAGCTGTGGAACGGAGCTGGAACCTTCAGCGGGAGCTAGATTGGCCTTGTATCCTGAAGCACCGTACGATTTTTCGAAAGTTTGTATGCGATTGGGTAAAAGCGGAGCATTAGGGTCATTTTCAATGGTATGGATGCTTTTAGATTCATATTCTTCAGGCTCCACAGTGACCGTAAATGAGAGTGCCATGAACAGCAGTGAGGATACAGCGAATACAATGAAGATGGCATTGAGATCGTTGTTCCAAAGGGAGACAGCTTGACCGGTGAGAAAAACTGTGAGACCAGCTGAAATTGAACCCCAAAGTCTTTGTTCGCCTATTCAAATGGTGATTAACATCCGCTCATGTCATGCCAGGCCATGTAATTGGTATTTGGCAAACCAAACAAACGTACCATATAAGATCTTATTGGGGCCTAGAATTTTCATCACAGCGCTATCGACCAAGGAGACAAGTGTTCCAGAGCAAAAAGCATAGAGAAATACGCAGATGGCTGTCAGTACCAGGAAAGAAGGCATTTCAATCCCAAAGTTTTTCTCATCTGGAGTGATGATTCCCAGATACATAACGACCATGATGGCAGAGCCACCGGCAAGACAGAGTAGACCCATCAGACTACCGTGGTATTGAGGTTTCTTGTCAACGACGGCAGCCCAGAAAGGGCAGGCAATGGATTGTACAAAAGGAGCAATGGCCAATAGAATACCGATCTGATCTGAAGAGAAATGCATGATTTTGTCGTAAAACAGTGCCAGATACGGCGGTGCACTGGACACCGTGGCATATACCGCGACGAACAATAGCTTGCAGATGAAATACATTGAAGCAAAGCGAACGAAGAAGGGAGAGAGTTGAATCCCTTTTCTAAGGATTTTTTTTTTCAGCGATGACTAGAGCTACATTATTTAGTACGGACAACGCAGCATTGTGTCTGCATATTTGGTAACACCCATTACCCCTTTGCTTTGGAAAGGGCCTCCGTTTGCGAGTGGGTTGTGTCTGTTTATATATGTATACATGTTTTATTTGTTCTTATTCCACATTTTTGTTAATAGTCTGGATTTACATAACGCGAAATCGATCACAGCTGCTGTCATGTGTATGGAACAAAGTGGAAAACGTAATTTCATCATCGTCTCAGGAACAGACTTTGCTGGAGTTTAAAAGTTTGGGTCAATGATGAAAAGTCAAAGTCGTCTAATTATGGAAATTTTGGTTTCATTACATCATTTCGTGCACCCTTGCCGTTCCGCTGATGGGATCAAACGAAAGAGTATATAAGAGGTGAGCAAGGATTTGTTATTTCGATCATTCCACCAAAAGAATAACACCCAACTTATAACAATGTCTGCCCCTACCACAAATCAAAACACTGAGAACCAATCACAGCCATCCCAGATTGTTGGCAACATCAAGCAATACGCTGGTATTGCTGAAGAGACCATTGGCAATGCCCTTGGTAGCCAAGCCTGGACTGACTCTGGTAAGCAGCTCAAGGAAGAGGGTCTTCAAGAGATCCAAAAAGCAAAGGAGGTCACCGCTCAAGCTGCTCCCAACAAGACCAATGCCAACGTCAACTCCGTTGTGGGTGGAATTAAGGAGGAAGTCGGTAACTTGTTAGGCAACGCCGAAATGGCCACCAGCGGTGCTCAACAACGTCAAAAGGGACACACTGAATACGAAGCTGCCAAGGCTGGTGAATACCTTGAAGGTGCTGGCGATGCCGTTCGCGGAAAGGTTGAAGGTACCGTCGGTAAGCTTGTTGGCGATGAGGAAGCTCAGGCACACGCAGAACAATTGCACTTGAGCGGAAAGCAAGCCATGCAATTGAACGAACCCAAATAAGTTCATTATCACAGATCCCCTATCCTCCACTATGTAAATCAATGTATCTGTCATATGTATAAATAATTTATTAAAAGTGAACATACTATATGCTAAATCATGCACTCGTCTGCTATGCCACTTTGAGAAGACTGTGTATATGACATGTCTATGAAAAACCCTGTCGATCGGTATATTGCATATTAGATGCTTCCCGCAACACCGCCGTCACGAATACCAACGGCTTTTTCCACCACTTCGCGTAAAAGATCCACCAAGGTACAGCAAGAGATGACCAACAGAGCCTCTAATTCATCAATAGAGTCGCCACCGACGTCGGCCATGGTTGCATTATGTAATTTAAGTTTGCCGATGTTCGTAAAGTAGCCCATACCATGACTATCAAATGAGGCGATCACTTGCCTTGGTTTGTCAATGACTTCGCAAATCATATTGTGTGTAAGTAACGAAGGTCGTGCCCATCGTAGACGTCGTGTTTTGTACTCCATTTCATAAACAAATAACAGCGGGGTGACCGTCATGTTCTTGAATTCAGTGCTGTTATCCTTCGCTTTGCTGTTGCCAATGGCTTCACCCCACGCAATGACCATTTGATTCTGGTATGCCTGCCTCTTCGTTTCAGCCACCGCTGTACCGCGTTCCAACGCTTTGCCCAATGGAATTCGATATAGTGTGTTTTGAAATCCCCAATTGTAAGAGTGTGGTTGTATCTTCCGATAGCAGAGCTTTTTCGTATCGCCCTCACCCAAAAAGATCTCATGATGTTGAGGCTTAAGAAATGAATGCTTCTTGATCTGAAATTCAGTACTGTCGACAGTATTGGTTCGTGCTGTAGACGATTTCATGGATATGGATGTATATTGCTTGGCCATTTGCATGAAGCCAGTAGCGGGTTCTTCGTTGGACTCTAGTGTGGTTGCAGCAGGGGGCGATGATAGAATGTGAGATTTATCATGATTAGCATCTTGCTTCTTGGCGGATGGAACTTCACTGTCAGGGACATCTTGTATACTGGTTGAAACTGAATTAGTGTCAGCAGGCAAGGCGGATTCGGAGGAGGTTGCAAGTGGGATGGATGAAATGATATGAGATTGGCTGTGAGTTGCGTTGGGAGTTTCCGGCAAAGGAGGTTCTATCGCAGGGCTACTTGTTATGGCTGAGCTGGCCACAGTAGACGATGGTTTGATTGAAGGTTGCGGAGACAGGACGGAGCTGCTGGCGTCTATCACCGTCAAACCAGAGCACTGCCTGTCGTACTCTTCCACGGAGAGGCCGTGGAGTGCGTTACCCAGAATTTCAGTGTCTTTGGCAGTGACGATGTCATCTAGAGCATTAGGCTTTTCGTAAATTTGTAATTCATCGACATTGGTAGGTTCTTCGTAATAACGTTTCTGTTCCTGAGTCATTCCAACAAGTGGCGAAAAAAGGAAGCGTAGAGGAGTTTTTAAATTTATCGAGGGCCTATTTTTGAAACTTTCCATGCATAAGCCACTCCTGCCAAGGCCGTCTCCTTTCCAAGCTAATGGACTTGTCGACTTTACCTCCGTCGTTCAATGAATTTCTCAAAATCAACGACGTCGATCCAGTCATTTACACTGTAAAAGATTTGCCAAGGTTTGTTCGATGGAACACCCGATTTCCCAAATCTGAATTGCCTTCAGCCGAAGAACTCCAACAACAGTTGAGAGCGCGGAAAGTGTCGCCTGTCAAAGGTGTTGAAGGATTTTTCGGTATCCAACTTGGCGAAAATTTACCCGACAGTGAAAGCGAGAGTGACACGATGCAGAATACACGAATTGTTGATATACCAGCGTAAGACCCTTGTTCAGCATCATGGTTAAATTATACTTGACCACCTAGCTCTATTTCTGATGCCTTATCGACTTTCACTAGATACCGTGAAAACAAAATATTCGGAATTGATCTCAGTTCTGGTCTCGCTGTACTAGCGCTACAAGTTCAGCCCAATGATCACGTACTCGATTTGTGCTGTGCTCCAGGTAATGGCCATGAAGTGATTTGATGGGCAAGGTGGAACAATGTAAAATCTGTGCTAATTGGACTTGTAGGCGCAAAGCTCTGTATGATCTCGAATATCATAGGCTCAGAGGGAACAGGAACGGTCACAGGCGTGGATATCTCACCCCATCGAGTTGCAACATGCAGGTCTCTTGTGAAGCGATATCAGGTCGCTGAACGTGTTCGACTGTTCAATGCTGATGGCACGACATTTAAGGTATATGCTCCATCTCGATTAGGAGCGCGAGTGATTAGAGAGGCAGATGGTGAGAATCCAGACCGCAAACGACAGCAAATCAGCCAGGGACAGACTGCAGAGTCTTCCAAACCTGCCAGCATTAAACCATTTTACGCGCCAAAAATTTTACGATTTGACCCGCAAATGCAAGGAGAGGAATATCTGTACGATAAGGTGAGGAATCTTAATACTTGACAATACCTGTGTAGTATAGTTTAATGATGATGAAAATGCATGCAGGTTATTGTCGATGCGGAATGTACCCACGACGGATCCATCAGTCATATATTAAAGGTTTGTTAGCTGAAGATGACCCGTCCTGTCAGCCATGTGATATTGACTTTAACGCATCGTACCACCAGTATCAAACTTGGGGATGGGATGCTTTTGAAAAAAACTTTATGGACCCAGACCGATTACGGGATATCTGTCAATTACAGGTAAGCTTCTTTTGTGCATGAAATTTCAGCCTACTTTGGCTTATAATGCTAACTCAATGGGGGGTGACAGCGAAACCTCATAGAGTCAGGCTGGTCATTACTGGTAGACGACGGCATTTTGGTATATAGTACATGCAGTCTTTCGGTACGACAGAACGAAGAAAATGTTGCTTGGTTTTTGCACAAGTACGGCGATGAAGTGGAGTTGGAAAGTATACCCAACATCCATAATGTGGGCATCAAAGCAGCACCGACCAAGCAAGGCTGGACGGTCCCAAACATGACGGACGAGCAGAAGCGGGGTCTCCAAGCGTCCATTGAACGCTGCTGTGTGCGATTTGACCCAATTACCAGTGCGACCAGTGGCTTTTTCGTAGCTCGATTTAGGAAGGTACGCAAGAGGCTGGAAAGGAAGGACCATAGCAATACTATAGCACCCATCCACAATCGCGCGGAGTAGGTGATGGTAGCCTTAAATCGAACACTGGGATACATTTTATCACACATCTTGTTAAGATTGTGAACAGGTTCAGAGCCGCTAACAACGTGTGCTGAATCGTACTGTGTGGGTGGGGGTCGGAGTATGGTTGGCCTTTTGCTAGGTCTAGCGAAGTTTGAAATTTGAAGTTCCTGCCATGTTATTCGTTACTGATGATCGGCACAATGACAAACTATGTTCCTAGAGCTTGCCTTAATTTTCAAGTGTATAAAAAAATTCTTGTACATAAATTCATAAATTCATTAGCCACCACAAATAAATATTGATTGCTTTGTCAGTAACATTTCCTTTCAAATGAGTGACTGAATTCAGGATGAATTTCTGGTTATGGTAAGCATATGGCAAAACGCTGATCGGGGTACCACACCAGTTTGAGCTATGGCTTCGAAAGGATAAATGTCGATAACAAAAGTTAATCCATTAAAAGTTAGTCAGATAGCAAGGAAGAAGTATTTGTACTTCTAGCAGCTGTCAGCTCCACAACACTAAACTTTTATGAGCCAACGTAATTAGTTTCCTAGAATAACCGACATTCGGACTTGATGTGCTAAACTGCTGTCTAGCAGAGGCGACTTACCGTATATCTGATATGTGCCAAAAATACGATAGAGTTTCTATACGCTCGATGGCTTCAGCCACACATGCAGCGGCCAAAGCTGGCTGGCGGAAGGTATATTGTGTTGTAGTATCTAGTTTGTAAATTTTTCAAAATAGACGTTATGAATATTTGGCTTATCAAGAAGGTCGGTTGAGATAATGGCTTCTTCTTCTTTCAAGGTCAAAGCGTTACGGCACTCCCGTGCATCAGTACCGTTTAACAGATTGGGCGCTGTCGCATTAAGGGCCAGCTCCACCGAATCTAGCTTGTATTATGGCGGAGATCTTTTAGCGTCCAAGAAAGGCACACCGAAAATCCCATTCATCCCAACTTTCCTTTTTATGTTTCTGACCAAAATCAAAATGCCCACTGTTTTGAATTTGCGGGTCAGTTCATTCAAATGGCAAGCCAAAGCAGTCTTACGAATTACAAACCATACTAATAATCATATGCGAGTAAAGCGATTAGGACTGAAGCGAAAATTTAAGCGGTTTTTTGTTTACGTGGGGTAGCGTGTTTTTATGTGGTGTGGGTAGACAGTCTGTTCTCTTCACATGTCTTCAGTTGTATTGTATTTTTTTTACTCTTAATGTACTGTATCACCAAATAAGCGGCCCTTTCGCCACATTAAACCCCGCCCGTCGGTTTATTTCATATAATTTACAAAGCCTGAACGAACAACAACATCCCTCTTTTTTTCTACCTTCCTTTACTCACTTGTCTTCCTTTTCAATCGTTTTCCTTCAACATGACTCACTTGAGCGACTTCAGTTTCCTACGTATGTTCAATTTCAACTCGACAATGTCATCATCGTGAATAGAGCTTAATGCCGCCCTTCATTTGCAGAACGAGCGGTTGAACTGGTCGGTCTATACGTCTTCTTCGTTTATCGCGTCTGGAAGGTTCGTCTCAATCACCATGCCCGAGCAATTTCAAACTCTAGTTTTTTAATGATCAATTTGTTCAGGTCAACCGATTTCAATGCTTAAGACCTTCGAAATTTCGACAAGGCGAGTTGAAATCCATCATGACGTTCCTAGTAGCGATAGCTATACCGTTTCAGCTATTTTATGGTAAGCTTTTTGATGGCACAACTGGGTGATCTGCCATGGAGTTGCGACTGAAGCAATGGTATTTCAGATATAACGTCGACTCGTATAAAGTATCAAGAAGGCTTCGCCCAGGTACCTTACAATGGTCAGATAGAGATCATGTCCAAGCCTGAAGTAATGTGGACCAAGGCTGATCAAGATTTGGTTATTCCAAGTATGTTTTGGATTGCCAATCGATTAACTTCATTTTGAAATTCGCACACGTTGTCTAATTCATTTTCGTTCTAGCCGATTATTCCTTATGCGTCGGATTTTCATTGCAAACGTACGTGGGTTCTAACTCCGTTCTATCGCGATTCCGCAGACTTAATTATTCGTATTTTTAACACTTGATTTCAACTTACCAGTGGCACGTTGCTACTTCTGCAATGCTTTTGGAATTACTTGTCGGCCAGTGTTGCCAAAACTTCATTCATGTCCAGCTTTGAATTCCGCTTTTATCTCATTTGGTAAGTTGATTTACGACATATTCAGTATAAACCCCTGTTGGGTTGCTAATGTCGTTTTGTAGGTGTGTACTGAGTGTGGTGATGTTCCCTCTGTTACAATGGGAGTTCAGTAAATCCAAGTACGACCCGAACTGGAAAGAAATCATTCCTGAGCTGGCTTATGGTTGCGAGCTATTCATTGTTGCCCTGCTCGGTATTTGGGCTAGTTTCCGTTTCAACCGTCTCATCAAGCAGACTCGCAATTCAGCCAACGCCAAGGAAATTTTGAGCCGACTCAACTACTTTGTCGATTTAAACGCTACCTTGACTGTTTCCTTGTTGATCGATTCAGCTTGCTTCGTCATCCTTAGTGCTGACGGCCTGACCACTGCGCAGTATTTGAATGGTCACAAGTAAGTATCGACCCCAAAGTGTTCAGCAGCATGAGATCTACATATTCTAACGGGCTTATCTTTTCAGATTCTCAGCCGATCTTTTCATTTGTGTTGCTAACTTTGCTAGTGTTATCATTTGGTTCTTACTTATCATGATTTTCCACCCTGATCATGAAATTACCAATTTGGCTAATACTTATTCCGGCGCAAGAGAACTGTCTGACATGCCATCGTCGCGTGTCGGTCAAGCCATGTCCAGCCATAACGAGTATGTTTCATACCAACCGATGCACCTACCTGAAAAAGTCTACAATGTTTCGCCAGCGGCCGATCCCAAGTTCGATCGCAATGCCACTCAATCGCCAAACTGGCAGCGCCCAAGCTCTCCACAATATTCTGACACAAGACCGCTGGCGGTAGAAGAAGGAATCAAATTTTTCCCCGTCACTAACATTGGAGGTGCCACTGGAAGGGAGGAATACTCTATGCAAGACGTAGAGGGCCGTGGTGATCGGGACTGGCTTGCCCAAAGCCCAAGAAACCGAGGTGGCATGAAGTATAGCCCTGAATATCAGTAACATCTTTTTCCTTACCTTTTACTTCATAAGACCATTGTGTATACTCTGCAAGCTATTTGTGTTCTCTCCCAAATAATTAATATAATATTACTATGTTTTGCACGCATTCGCTTCCATGGTGTAGGAAGGGGAAAAAAATCCGTTTGAAAAAAGTTGTCACGACGCGCTGATCGCGACGCGACCAATGAGCCGAAGTAAATTTTAGGAGCCTACCCCGTGCCTGTGATTTAGAGATCGAAATCGCATTACTCTTGGTCACTTCAGCAGATGACTTCTCAATACAAGCGTGCGGCACCCGGTATGTCCTCTAAGCTTGACCACTTTTGCCTAGTCAGTGGTAGTGAACTCGTCAATAACATGTGTTTCTAACTCATTAGCGGAAGACGACAGCTTCGATGACGGGTTTACCTTCAAGAAATGTAAGTCAACTAAGCTCATTCCATGCATTACCTGTGGCAACCAGGGAATTAACAGCACTTTAGCAAGAAATTCGGATATCAAGAATGATCTTAATAATAAGTCTCCCTATGCACTTTCGCCTCAACCTATGCACCTTGTTAACCACGTAAGACCTAATCAACTGTATCATCATTGCGCATTTAAAACTCTTCTTTAATACAATTATCCGATTATTAAAACAGGAAAGAGAACAGGAAAACGATACCCCTTCCAAACGATCATTGTGGAAGCAAGAATCCCCTTTACAAAGACGTACGCATGAGAACAGTCACCTGAAAGAGATTTTCAATACCACTCCGTTGGCTATTCAATTTGACGATGAGGATATTCACATCAAGAAAAGCAGCTGGAATCCAGGGAGACGATCTAGTTTTATGTCTCGCTCCAAACAGGAATCATCTGTCTCTCGCACGTCTGTTGGTAAGGCATTTGTAAACACTTTTGTTCAACACCACGTTCGGCAGTATACTAATTACTACTGCCAGCATTCCCACATCCACACTTGGAAGCTAAGAACTTTTACAAGCATATTATGCCGGATTTACCTGATCCTGTGCGAATGAGGCAACTGTTAGCTTGGTGTGGCCACACGATAATGTCGCAAAAGGCGTCAAAAGCGGATAACAAGATGTCAGTTGCGGAGTCTGCAGGTACGTATCGAAAGAATCGATTACATCCACCATATTATAGTATCAACGATGCTGATGTATTGAGCAGCATACTCGATACAAAAGGCAATACTTAAGCAGCTGCAGGACGGCAAAATCAATACCTCCTGGTACACACGCGCAGTAAGTGTCATCCATCATGAAGCAGTCATCCGCGGTCATACTAAGAACATTTTTCAGCCCACGAATAATCCTTTGGGATATAAGCGAAAAACCAACCCGAGAAATCAGCGTAATTTCAAGTTGGTTGAAAAGTATGAGCGCACAACTGCGATGTAAGTGATGCTTGGCGAGAATAGCGGATCTGAAGGATAGATGATTCGGAGTGTTGTTGAGTAACATATGGGGCCCCCCATTTTAGCATGGAGAGAGAGGACAAAGCTTGGAAAAGTATGGCGGTGAAGCTCAACAATTTTCACGCCGGTGTTTTAGATTCATGCCCACCATTACCCAAACCTCTGGAAAAAGATGAGCACGCAGATAATGATTTAAAGACTCGATTTCAGCAATATTATCTTGATGGCATCTCACAAGAGCAACTACAATTCCTCAACAAATATTGCACCCCGTCATCCACTGATGATGTTGATGCAAAGTTAGTACGCACGGTCAACTCGTTGCAGGCCAAGGTATGAATTATTAATTGCATTGAGCATCGATGGGGTTGCAAGTGACTAACATGCGCACTAACGCTTTTGAAGGTTGACCTACTACAAGAGAGCCTAACCGCTAAACTTCACGACCAGCGCAGAGCTGAAGGGTTTGGTAAACAAGTTTTGGAAAAGGTGACCTCGTTACTTGACAGGCGAGAGGGCATTCAAAGAGATATCTCAGATCCATCCACCATACCAGATCCTATTGAAGTGTTGCGAGTACTGGCCAATGAGGACGACGTATGATGGAATTATCATATGAAAGTTTTGTACTTTAAGAAATTTGTATATAGTGCGTAAATTAACCTTTGATTATAATACACTCATGAATTTGATTTGCAATGTCTTGGAGCCATAGTATAGTTCATTGGGTGTAGCAACATTGGTAGTGCTTTAATTTTATTTTGCAAGAGATCACACTCAAATGTGGGGTAGAATTTCCGCTGACCAACTGGATTTCTTACGTTTTTGCCACATGTGGACACACCAGACACTAGCTTCAGCGTGTGAATAGGCTCGGTTCTACCATTGAACCGCTGGTCATTTAAAAAGCTCTAATTTTCCTTGAAATCCTTTTCTCTCATTCATCCATTTCTCTACAATCATGCCTAAATCATATGTCGTTGGTGTCGGTATGACACAGTTCCTAAAGCCCCGTGGTTTGGTCGATTACCCCGGTATGCATCCCCACATTCCACCTGCGCTGACATTCTATGATCCCCACAACTCATAACTTTTTTCATAGAAATGGGTTTGGAAGCCGCCACAAAGGCATTGTTAGATGCTGGCATCTCTTATGATCAAGTTGAATATGCTTTCACTGGTTACGTCTACGGTGACAGCACCGCTGGTCAACGTGTATTATATCAATTGGGCATGACCCAAATCCCTGTTATTAATGTGAATAACAACTGCTCAACTGGATCAACTGCTTTGTATCAGGCCCGTCTCCTTGTTGAGAGTGGTGTCGTCGACTGCGCTATGGCCCTCGGCTTTGAGCGCATGGAGCGCGGTTCTTTAGGCTCAAAGTTCACCGATCGCACCAACCCTCTTGGTAATTTCTCCGCTCATTCTTACATGGCTGTCAATCCCGTGATAATCCCCCAATTTTTCTAAAACAATTGTTTTTAGACCACGTTATGGGTGTCATGGCAGAAAACCGCGGTTTTGAACCTACTGCCCCTGGCGCTGCTCAGATCTTTGGTAACGCTGGTATTGAATATATGGAAAAGTACGGTGCCACCGCCACTCACCTTGCCAAGATCGCTGAGAAGAACCACAGACACAGGTATGATAAACAATGGCAGTCATAATTCATCCTTTGTTCGCCGTATCTAACGGTTTTCTAGCGCTCTCAACCCATACTCTCAATTCCGAGATGTCTATACCTTGGAACAAGTTCTTAATGCTCCCAAGGTGTTTGGACCTTTGACCAAGTTGCAATGCTGCCCTACTTCCGATGGTGCTGGCTGTGCTATCGTTGCTTCAGAAAAGTTCGTCAAGAAGCATGGTCTTATGGATCAAGCCATTGAAATTGTTGCTCAAGAAATGGCCACTGACTCTCCAAAGATGCTTAGCACTAGTGCCATCGAGTGGGCCGGTGCTGATATGACCAGACGTGCTGCGCAACAGCTTTTCAAGAAGGCTGGTGTTACTCCCAACGATGTTCAAGTTGTTGAACTTCATGACTGTTTCTCTGCCAATGAAGTGAGTACAAGAACAGAATGAACAGCTTTTATGTTCATGTTCTCTAACCTTTTCTTTCCCACAGCTCGTCACTTATGATGCTCTTGGTTTGACCCCTCCTGGAAAGGCACATTCCATTATCGATTCCGGAGACAATACCTATGGTGGCAAGTTTGTCATCAATCCCTCTGGAGGTTTGATTTCCAAGGGACATCCTCTCGGTGCTACTGGTTTGGCTCAATGCTCCGGTAAGAGAACGTTTGCGTAGCATTAAATATTCATTACGTATCAATTGCTGACGATATCTATTTTCAGAACTTGTCTGGCAACTCCGTAACTGGGCTGGTGAGCGTCAAGTCCCTAACGTCAAGTACGCATTGCAACACAACGTTGGTCTTGGTGGTGCTGTCGTTATCACCTTGTATAAGAAGGCCAACAATGCGAAATCCGAACCTCGTGTTGGTTACAACCCTGTAAGTATAAGTAAAACAATGAGCTGATCGAAACAAAGTTACAGTACTTACCATTCTACTATCCAGGCTGTTGAAGCTCGTAATGTCACCGATGAGGAAGTCCAAAAGGCATCTGCCAAGGTCAACCAGCGATCTGAGATTCTCTCTGCCAGACTTTAGGAAGGCCAGAAGTGTTCATTGTTTACCTATTGACTGGAGTATTTAAATAAACGCATATCTGTCTACCTTTTGTAAATTTCAACTTGGTCATGCGTGATAGCGCACCGTATGTCAGACGACTTTATCAAACACTTCCTTTGCCTCAATAAGTCTGCAAATAATAAAAACAGTAAAATCTCTCCACACGCCTTCTCATTATCCACAGCTGTTTGTCTCACTGCTTGTCAATCTCATCTTTCAGACACCAAAGCCAATTGTCCGCATACAAATTAATTTGGACTCCGAACATCACGTCCACAGACTGTGTAAAAAATGAAGTTGGCAAGGCATAGGATCGCCGGGCTCATGGCGTATTCAAATCCGCTGCTCAAGGCTCTTTTATATGAAGAAACCCCGGAAGCAGCCGAACTACTAGGACATGGGGATGCTTTCATTGTTATTGTCCCTCCACTAGAGACCAAGGATGAGCTCATGGTTGATAGCGACTTTCTTGGTATGTGGTGTATGAAAGATTGTGACGAACAGCTTGCCCCAACAACCTAATGGAACTTTTTGAAAATACCAGCATCCCATATAATCCATGTCCCAATGGATGCATCTTCAATGAGCCTACTACGCTCACACCATACGTCTTTACCTATCCCTACGGCTTCAACGTCCATGTTATCACGTATCACCTCACCAAGGCTTGAACGTATCGGGTCGCTAAATTTTGGTAATAGTTCAATGGCCGAAGGTCGTGATCCTAGACGAAGAGTTCTATCTTACGATGATGCCAATCGCAACCGATCTACGCTCAGTATTTCCAGCCTTGAGAAACAAGGCATCACTTATACCACCCTTAATCAGAAGACCATCACCATCAGCGATACCACTTTAAAAGCACAGAAAGGCTTTCAGTATGTGAAGCGGACAATAAAGTGGAACCGCTTGTATTTCACAAAGAACGGGAAGCATCTACTGCTATTGTATATAGAAAAGGCGTTAATGATACCAAACTCTGAGGTAAGCAAAGTATGGCTATATACCAATAGACATACAGTGTCTAACGTTTTGTGAATGGATGGTAGATGAATCGTTTATATACTAGAAAACCGACTACCAACCCTCAAAACTTTCGGGACATCTTAGAAGCTTTCCCAGCAATCAGCTCTCCAATTTCGGTACAGCTTGAACAATCTATCCAGGCATTTTGCGATCGAGCTATTGAATCCCAAGATTTATCCAGCCTTCATGATGATATGAAGGCCTTACTACAGAAGGAATATCAGGTAGGAAAGGTGTGACGGGTGAATAATTGACAGAGCACGCAGGTGATCTCATTTATGTCTATCCTGCTAGCTTTTGGAAAACGTGGATTGGCTTGTCATCCAGCATGTCATGAAGACGTGTCGTCTTACAAATGAAGCATTGGATCAGATATATGAGAGGTAACTACTATTTCTTCCGAAATTATGCAATTGCTCCACTTATCATCTAACTTTCCCCTGGGTCATGATAGCTACATTATGGAAAGGACATATGATATTGTGTTCTTTAAAATCACCAATTTCCAACAATCTTTAGATTCATCTTTGGGCAATGCATTACATCGGATGTCCAACCTAGACCTCACACAAGTTGGACTGCCGAATATCAGTGGCATGGCAAAACGACTCTCTAGCGGCCTGGAAGTGTTTCGAGAGATCGGTACCTTTCGTACTCCCAAAGAGAAGCTGGATTGTCTATTAGCAACCATATCCAAATTAACAAGTTCATCTGTATCCAAAGACAACGAGTCGATAGCAAGTGCCAAAAGTCACGGTAATATGATGAGTATATTGACAATTACGATGAATTAAATTGGCTAACATATTGTGATGTTCGTAGAGGACCCACCATTTTTGAACTCAGATGTCCTTATACCACTTCTCATCATCACCATCATCCAAAGCCGAGTTTCTAATTTGGTAGCTAACCTAACATACATGAAGGAATATGCTTTCGAACATAATGTCACCACTGGAGAATACGGCTATGCACTCAGCACGTTGGAAGGCGTGATACAATATCTTGTGGAATCAGAGCATAATTTGAGCGAAATCTCTTTGCGCAATGAACAATTCTGGGCACATTTACGGGACGGTGACTTGTGCTACGTTAAAGATATCTTTGATGACGAAAATGGAGAGAAACTGGCTCACAGCACGCAAAGTCTTCAACCGACCAGGCAAGAATTAGATACTGAAGACGCACCTCCTGATAACTTCCCTTTCTGGACATCAGAGTTGGAGCACTCAGCTGGCACGGAGATCGCCGACATGCTTGACGAGAAGGAGACGATATCTCGTCCAACTCGACCGAGAACAGGCAGCATTCGATCCATATCGTCAGGGCCGAGATCATTGTCAGTACTTCATACTCGGGATCCACAAGGCAATAACGCTCTCCTACTTGCATGCTTTTCTGATAATGCAAAATTGGTAGAATACTTACTCGAACGACAAGGAGGTTGTGGACCTCGTGATCTCAACAATGAGCTCAGAACACCGCTTATGGTGGCTGCCATGCATGGCAAAATCGACGTTGTGAAAGTGCTTCTACGAGACAAATATATACAAGAGACCATGGAGCGAGAAGATGTGGAGGGCAACACAGCACTACTGTTAGCTTGCGCATATGCTGACAATGAGCACTACGTCAGTGTGGTAGAAGAGTTGATTAACACTGGAGGCGCCCGTTTGCGTGTGTCGAACCATCAAGGGAATAGCCCATTGCATGTGGCAGCTATGGGATCTAACGAGGGACACAAGCAAGTATTGCGATTACTATCCAAGATGATGTCCAAGGATTTGTTAGACGGACAAAATGCCGAAGGGTCTACTGTCTTTCATCTTTGCGATAGCCCTGACCTTTGTCTGGCGCTCATCCAAGAGCGTGGGGCCAATGCTGAGATTGCCGATAAATTTGGACGAAGTCCATTCATGGCGTGGTCCTCAAAATGCAATAGAGATATGGTCAAGTTTTTTCTCGATCATAATATTGGACGCCTGGACCAGGCTGATGTGCATGGGCAATCTGCTCTTCATCTGGCGTGCAACAGCGATGTGCTTACTGCATTACCACTTTCTAATGATGAGAATACGAAGCAAGTTCTAGATGTTTTGCATATGCTTTTGGCACAAATCTCTGTTGAGCAACTGAATTGCCGAGATAGAGACGGCAATACGGCTTTACATATTGCCGCCATGCGATCTGGAGGTTGCCCGCTGGTTGAAATTCTCCTGGAAAACAACGCAAGTCTAGACATTTATAACAAACTTGGCCAGCGTCCAGTCTATGTCGCAAAGGATTCAGAAACAATTAACCTTCTTGATGGTAAGTGAGCTAGCATCTTTTGGGAATGAAACTGGGGTCAGCAAACTTACATTTGGTGCTAAATCCTAATTTCACTCATACTTGTTTTGCCACGTTGGTTTTTGACTCGTGATGCAGATATAACATTGTTCCGTAAGCCAGTCGGTAAAGATTTTGACCGACAGTGTACAATCACAAGGGCAGAAGTGCAGGAAGCCAAGATCATGTATATCATCAAATGTGGAACGGTAAATATTTTCGGCGCTGTGGCTGGACTTGAGGAGAATGTGTAAATATTGACAGCTTGATGGTATCCAATTACAGCAGGGCGATCGGCAATCTATTGTAACTGTTCGAAGGTCACTTGAAGACTTTCGATTTATCCGGCAACAAATTTCATTTGAACTGCCTGAAACTTTCATGCCAACATTATCCGATATATTGAATCCAGAAGCCTTCGACTTGAAACCACCTCCACTCAAATTCCTTGAAACAGCTACGCAAACGCTGAATCGCTTTTTGAAAAATTTATTTGAAAACAACACCTTGAAGATACATGAATTGATTTGGGAATTTGTTATGGTCCCAGATCTGCAGGTACGTAGAGATAGAGAGAAAGGAAATGGGTTCCATTATGGTGCCTCGTTCCATGAAACTGAAGCTAATCCTTTTTTCGCCATTTGCACCAAAGCGAGATATCATACGACGACGATCTTCAGCAAAGCGAGACCTACTCTTAGATTCCATTGCAGATGAATATTCTTCTAATTTGGAAAATTTGGAGAGCGAGAATCACTTTTTTGTGTTTACGAAGAACACCATGCAACCTCTCAGAGATGCCTTCTATCGCGTCTCGTGGTGTATGAAGAGATTGCAAAGCTGTGCCGAAGGCAAGTGATTTTTGTAATGTTGCGATCGGATGTTTCGATGGGAGAGAAGAATGGACGATAATAACATTGTACCTGAAATAGATGTGGATGCTGAATTGGCTCATGTTGGTCAGGAAATTGCTCGAAAGCAGGCTTTTCAGTTGTCAAGCAAATGGCCATGTGTAGCATTTTTAACAGGATCTTCTAGCCCTGACAGCCAATATGAAGTGAGTTCTTGCCTATACCTCCCCACATCTTAACCCTTCATTCTAACACTGGGTCTGTAGACCGATACGATGAAAGCCTCTGAATTTCTTCAAGTCATTCAAGGCGCAGCTGCGCTAGCCGAAGGTGTCCTGGTACGGTCTTTTTAGACTTTATTCGAGTGCATATTGGAATGAAATAATTGCAAAATTACTCACTTTTCACTGATATGCGTCTAGTTGGGAGTACAGCGACCACTTAACTTAATAGAAACCATACAAGAATCTATAGACGAAATGGAAAAGCAAAAGGCGTCTCTCCAACGTGCAGTATCATGGAACGATGTCTTTTCTACTTCAGATCAACGAAAGAAAATAACGGATACGAAAGATCAGATGTTGGAGGTAAGAACTCTCATGACCGAATTTTTGGACACGTTTACCGTTATGGGTTGTGTCGTTTGTATTTGCCCACTGATCAGCGGCTGATCGTTTTATTACTTCAGTTACAATTCAAAATCACCAAGCTCGCTTGTCAAGTCAATTACAGCCATCAAAGAGTATCAGATGAGATGGCGCAACTGCAAGCTCGACACGATAAGCAACTGGAAACAGCCATCAGAAACTATGTTAGGCACAAGATTGCCTCTGAGCGTCGCAAACTCGAGAAAATGCAATTATTATATGAAGGCGTCAATAGAAGCAGCGATCAGCTTGCTTGAATATTTTTTTTCTTCACCTCGGTAGGCTCAATGACTTATGGCCTAGTGCACACCTTGATATGGCAAAATGGATGGCACTGGTAAACGCTCAGGCGCATCGGAGCATGGTCGGACGTCAGCACACGGCAATGATCTACATGGCGGTTCCCACCTCAACACCTCCTTGTTGGGCTGTACGGTCTTTCCATTTTGATGTGTAAACCTGTTTACGGGGGGCTGCAAGGTCACTTCTAATCCGCGAGTTTGGCTCCTCCTTCAAAAGCCATGGTTCCATCGTAGTTGGCCAGCAAAACAAGAGCTGTTACTGCTAGAAAATACGTTTTATATCCTCCTGCTGTTTCCAGTCTAATTACCTCTCTTTCTTCTCTTGCTTTTGTTTTCCTTCTTCTCTTTTGAGCACCATTCCCCTCAGAGTCTCATTCAACTGACTCATCTCGACATCTCGTCCACCTTTCCTCCCTTGTACAAATATTGTTACATACATAAACACTACTGCTTCCAACCTCCATCAAAATGGGCTGCTGCCAATCCACTGAAGATATCGAAGGGCGACAGCGTAACGATGAGATCGACAACCAGTTAAAGAAAGATCGAATCAATATGAAGAGCGAAATCAAAATGCTCTTACTTGGTGAGGACTTGTATCTCAGGCATCTGTAGACTGTTCGTTGGTAGGCTAATCACGCATTCTCCCCCCCCCCCTTTTTATTTGGTTCTTTTGAACCATAGGCGCTGGTGAATCTGGAAAATCGACTATACTTAAGCAAATGAAATTGATACATGATGGCGGATATACATCGGAAGAACGCGAATCATTCAAAGAAGTTATATTCAGCAATACCATTCAATCAATGAGAGTCACTCTAGAAGCCATGGAGATGATGGGCTTACAATTCCAGCGATCAGAAAACTATAACTACAAACTAGCCGTTATGGACGCGCCATCACAGATCGATGGATCTCGTCTTGAACCACACCTTGCCGATGCTGTCTATTCATTATGGGCTGACCCTGCTACCAAACAGTGTGTTGCGCGAGCTAACGAATTCCAATTGAACGATTCAGCTAGATAGTCAGTATTTCCGTTTATGTCTTATTTTACCTTGGGTTCGAATCGAGCGTAGCTAACCTGCCTTTCTTTAGCTACTTTGACTCAATAGAGAGAATTGGACAACATAACTACTTACCCACCGACCAAGATGTATTACGCTCTCGTGTCAAGACGACAGGTATCACCGAAACCACCTTCGTTATCAGCAATTTGACTTATCGGATGTTTGATGTTGGCGGTCAACGAAGTGAGCGCAAAAAGTGGATCCACTGCTTTGAAAATGTGACGGCTATCATCTTCTTGATCGCCATATCTGAATATGACCAAGTCTTGATTGAGGATGAAACAGTGGTAAGTACCACACCATGCTGATATACCATGCCACTTGCTGTTTTTTCCCGAGGGTTCGCTGTCTAAATTGAGCTTTTCACAGAATCGTATGCAGGAGGCTTTGACCCTCTTTGATTCAATCTGCAATTCGCGCTGGTTCGTAAAGACGTCTATCATCCTCTTCTTGAACAAAATAGATCTCTTCAAAGAAAAGTTACCCAATAGTCCATTGGAACGATACTTTCCCGAGTTCCGAGTAAGTTGAAGCGTGCAAACCAGAAGGGTGGATTAGCTTTAAAAAGGAGATGATCGGTCAGGTTTGATCACATTACGAATTTTTTCTTATTTTATTTTGCTTTTTTCCCTCGGATTACTTTAGGGACCAAGCACGTACGAAGCAGCGTCGGAATACATCTTGAAGCGATTTGTATCGCTTAATCAATCCAGCACTAAGCAAGTGTATACCCACTTTACATGTGCAACCGACACTCAGCAAATCAAGTTCGTTATGGCGGCTGTCAACGATATCATTGTTCATAACAATTTGCGCGATGTTGGACTTTTATAAACGATGCTCAATTACCCTCCAAAATACTTATCTCCTCTCTCTCTCTTTTTTCTTTCTACCAAATTTTGTTAAAATAAAGCCATTGTAATTTTGTTTAAAAGAAAAAAATACCTTTGCCAGAATGGACTTGCATATCAAGTTTCTGTTATGGTTAGTGGCGCTTGTCGATCCTACTTGTGGTCGCAAGAGCTGAACATGTGTTTTATCAACGTCAGTATATCAAGTCTCTTCGGTTGTATTATGATGGATATACGCTATCTCAAGCCTATATGTTTTGATTGGGGATCATAATAATTATGTTGTGACTCCGATAGCCGAGTTTCTCACCGTCTGACTCACAAAGTTTTTTTAAATGATAGCAGTCGGGCTCCGAGCTTCGACTTTCACGGTTGTTCCAAACTGGTATCACATAGCATGGGAGCTCCGAAAATCAATGTCGTTGGCGCTGGCGTTCAAGGTCTTACAGTAGCTCTTATCCTTCAAAAGAAAGGTTACGATGTGACGGTGATCGCAAAGTACTGGCCGGGAGATCTCAGTATCGAATATACATCACCGTGGGCAGGCAAGTAAAACAGTCCATTTTTACCCAGCAGCTTCCCTGTGTATGCTGATGAAATTTTTTAGGCGCGGATTGGCAAGCTATGGCTTCCAATGAAGACTTACGATTGCAAAGTAATGACAACACAACGATGATCGCAGCTATATCGAGAAAGCCACATATCTCACATGCTCCTTCATGCTTTTACATCTAGAGTTTGAATCCGATACATTCAAAGTGTTATGGAAGCTCTCGCACCTCCGGCCGAAGGAAACCGGGATCATCAGAGTCCCGTCCGTCATGTACTTTGATGAAAAGACCGAAAATACTGTCGATCCTTGGTGGAAAGACCTGGTACCAGATGTAGGTAGCATCCGTTAAGCGTGGCTAACCCCTTCCTCGTTTCAAAAACCATGTTTTTTGTTAATTGCCCTTGCCATTAGTTCAAAATAATCCCTCAGGAGGAGTTACCCGGATCAGCGGTAGTTGGACTATCTCATACCAGTGGTAAATTGTGATTTTTGTTGCTATTATTTTATTGGGGGGGGAGCTGTCTGTGCGCTGGTAAGTACAGGATTAATTGAATGGTTCTCCCCTTTATTTCCCCAATGGACGCGATCTTACCGTAAATAGTGTGCATCAATACACCCCACTACCTCAAATGGCTCCTGTCAGAATTCACAGCACTGGGTGGGAAGGTACGCAAACAGTTCCTGCGCCACATTCAGGATGCTGCCGATGAAGACGGCTCAACGGCAGCCATTGTGAATTGTACTGGTTTGCAAGCTAGATACCTAGGGGGTGTAGAGGACAAGAAGGTGTTTGCCACGCGTGGTCAGACAGTTTTAGTTCGAGCTCCCCATTTCAAGAAGATCCTGACCCACCAAGGTAAAAAAAGTTCGATACGATGAGATCGGAACTGGGGGAACGGTATACTAAAACCTTTGGTTAGGCAAGGATTATGTGACTTACATTATTCCGCGTTCCAATGGAGATGTCATTCTTGGAGGAACACAGCAGCATCATAACTAGTGAGTATGCAGGGGGAATACATGTCTAATGGTAATACTAGAGGTTAATTGGTTATGTGATACAGTGATCAAGAACCCGATTTCGGCACTGCCCGCGCTATTATGGAGCGCACTTATAAGCACTTTCCCGAATTGACGCATGGAAAAGGCATTGAGGCATTGGACATCGTAAGGCAGAATGTGGGCCTGCGGCCGACTCGAGAAGGAGGTCCACGTGTCGAAAATGAGTTTAGCAGTAAGAAACCACGTTGCATTATGGATTATGTTTCGCAGTGGAGAATCTGACCCTCTCGCTTATTGTAGAGGCACCTTCGGGAAAAACATTGCTCATCACACACAACTATGGTCATGGTGGTTACGGTAAGTACCAATAAGGTCACGCGTAATGACAGGGTCACCGCATAAATTGATATCGGTTATGATGATAGGGGTGCAAACATCGTGGGGCAGTGCAACCGCCGCTGCCAAACTCGTGGTCAGCGGTCTCTCTCAGATTCAAGGAGCAGCTTCCGATGTCCACGGCTTGTTGGATGACCTTTGGAGTAAGCTTTGAGTCAAAATATAATATCATGTCTCGGTGGTTTGCAGTATGATCTATATGATTTTAATGACTTTTAAGACAAGAGCTGTGAAATAAACGCAAAAAAAAAAAACTCTCACAATGAAAGGAGTAATGTACAAAAATACAAGGTGCTCAAAGTAGAACAACATGGGGTAAAGGGAAGGGAGAACTAATGGAAAAAGTAATCACTCTCTTTGACTTGCTGGATATCGAATTCTCCCTTGGCAGGCAGAGGCATGAAAGTCAAGTCTTCCCAGCTGTGTGCATATTTTTTACCACGTCTTGCTGCGGCCGAAGCAGCGTCTGGATCTTCATCGTCATCGTCATCAGCATCTTCTTCGTCATTCACCGTACCAAAGACAGCTGCTAATTCATTGCCCTCGGACTTCTTCATGTCCTCAAGTTCCTTACGAACAACATCTTCAGAAGCAAATCCCATGCTGAGCACCTCCTTGTGCGCCTTTTCGGGGGAAAGCAACTTCTCAGCTTCTTCCTTGGCAGATTTCTTCGTTGCTCTGGGTACTTCACGAGATACAGGAACCTTGTATCCCTGGTAACGTTCAATAAACTCAGTACGCAAACTTTCCATAATGGGTTGTTTGTGAAGTTCAATGAATTGGTCACGGATGATCTTGTTCATGGTATCCACATCGGCTGCATGCGTCCAATAAGAGTCATGTACAGAGGCGAACGCTAGACCAGCATTTTGACAAGCCACAGCAGACATTAGCATGTGTGTTGCATCAAGAGAATGAATGAAGTTTGGAGGAAAGGCAGTACTCTGCTTGTGGGAGTTTACAGGGCAAGAAGCATCGGGATCCTCAATAAACACAGTTTGCAAAAGCGTGCTAACTTGTCGTTTTCCAACACGGCGGTAGGGTTGAACAATGGGTAGTCCCAGTGGCGTGGTCCATACAACAGATGTCATCTGATTAGCTCCTGGGTTGCGAGCAGAGAAGCTCTTCTTCTTGTTGGCAGTAGCATATATTTTCTCGATTGTGTACTCCATAGCAGTTTGATCCAACTCACTATTCGAGTCAGCCTTGAATCCCTCACCAATATTGGCATCCATGGCTCGGATGGTTTCTTCTGGTATACTTTTGGCAATACGGCGAGCAGAGTCAGTAAGCCAATCTTGAATTTGTCGTGCGCCATTGAACATCTCTCCAAGCGAAGCAAAGACCTTCTTAGCTAAATAGCCAGCCAAATGGTACACTTGATCCGAAGGGATATCGCTTCGTTCTTTCAGTCGATTTTCGATTTGTTGACGTGCACCAACAAATGTAACACCGTACACATTAGTCATGACAGTTTGCTTGACAATCTTTCGAGATATCTTGCCCTGCAAGATAACGGCATCTGGATGTCCTTCAGCAGCCTCTAGATCAACAAGTTTGTTCACCATTTCAGCAACACCGGTATACACATCAGCGGGTCGATCACTGGGTGCAAGATTGACAGCTTGAGCACCAGCCAAATCACCACCAAGTGCTGCATAATGCTGTAATCCGTTGCAAGTACCATCTTGATGAATTGGTAGCCGTGATTTGAAATTTTCGGGGTCTCCGCTACGGACTGCAGCAGAAACTTCATAACAAGCAGCCAGACATTGCCAAGGATCTTCCGACTGAAGCCACCAACGCTGGCCATTTAACGGATTGTCAGCGGAGTCAAAGATATGATCTAGATTCTCCATTACATAGTTCTCTCTTTCAGTGAATGAATGTTTGTCGTAACCATGAAGATTAGCAAGATGAATCTTGAGCCATCGGTAACCAGATGCACCAAGAGGTTTGGCAACGTCAAACTGAAGCAAGCCGCGACACAAATCGTTACCAAGATGGTTCAAAGTCGGAGGAATAGGATATGCTCGGCCACGGAAATCCATATTGTGAGGGAAATACATTGGAGTATCCAAGAACTAAACAAAAGTGGGTCGATAAGTTAACTCAATGAATAATGGATAGAATAAAAAAAAAAGAGGATCGCAAAACATACCGCTCTAGCAGTTTCAACTTTGTAGTTGACATCACATCGCAATGAATGATGATTTCGTTCCGTATTTTGTATTTCCTTAACTTTTTTGATCCAGTCCAGTTTTGCCTTTGGATCTGTGGCATAATTTTCAGGCTTCTCTGGAAGTGGAAGATTACCTTCCGTAACAGGCGGAATGTCAGCTATGGCGTCTCCGGAATTCCACGCTTGTAATATAACGTCAAACACTGGTCGATTGACTTTCCATCGCGTAGCACCCAAAACATCCAAACCAGTGAGAACTCGATCTAGGTAGCTCTCTTCAGAAGCACGCTTCAGGTATAAAACTTGTTCCGGGGAATCTTTGATTCGCATACAAATGCTCTTGGTGCTCAAATAACCACCAGAATTCCAGGTGAGCCAAGGACGAGGAGGAACAAGCATGGGCAGTAGACGAGGATGGAGAGTATCCCGAACAGGTTCCTTTGATAACATCTCAGTCAAGTTTGGTGAGAACTTGATGATTCCAACTCGTTTGCCGCGAACATATTGATAGGTGTGAAAAAATGCAGGTATCATTTCAGTTATCTTATTGCCGGTCTCCGGATTAATACTTGGAGTAGGAATTGTGGCAGCTTCAATGAGCAAACTGGTCAGAACACTTCCAACCTTAGCTCTCGTTGCACTAGGCCATACTGGATTCCACTCGCCGCTATCCAAAGCAGTGACTGTTTCTCCATCAGTGGTAGTTAATGCACTAGCGGATGATTCGTTTTGGTGAGATAGTCGCATACGCTCACGTCGTAAAGCCATGTTGAACAATTTTCCGCTTGAGAATAGAGCATGGGTTTCCTGGTTGCGAGCTCTGCTTTGCTGCGACTGTCTGTCCTTCATAAGAACGGCGTTCCATTCCATCTCCACTGCTCGGCCAACATCAATCAATGCTCTTGCTGTCTTCATACCATCAGCAACTCCAGAAGATCCGTGTAATCGCATAAGCTCTAGAATGGTAATGACTGACAGCTTCTCAGCCGGGAGAAGCTTCAAGAATGGTCCATACACCCGTCGGTCTACGATTTATAAGTCACTAGGTATACTTTTGAAAAGGAGTGACATCTACAATTGATCGTCTACTTACCACTGTCGTTTGACTTGTCGCATCTCTGAACTTCTTCCACAATCAATGGTGTCAGCCTTTGATGCCAGTTCCACATAATTCGTTTCAAAGGACTGAGGTTCATCGCTCCCAACTTGTCGCCACGAGCCAAAGTCTCTTGCTTTTCGTAGTTTAGCTTCTCTAAAGCTACTTCATATGCTCGCTCCTCAATTCGAAGCTGAAGTTCGTATGGGTCAGTGATGCCTGACTTTTTCGACTTTTCTAATGTCGCGAGATGTTCTTGCAAGAATTTCACACCAGTGGAGTTCGTTGACCGTGCTTCAGGTACCTGCGACATGGCATCCGCCAAAACATGGGACGCCTCTAGTGCTTGCTCAGTCGGCTCGATATTAAAAACTGACTTGGTTGCTGCTTCCAACTCTCCCAGCATCTCCGTCACTCCACGAGATGCATTTGAGCGATTCTCCTCAATCAGCTATATCAACATTTGTTTCAGTGACGTACTCAACGTTAACCGAAAAGATGATTCCAACCTTACCTTGAGAAATAGTTGTTCATCGCCATCCTTCAAGTAAGGTGATCGAAGCACCTGTTCCATTGTGAAACTGGTATCTTTCTTCATTTCTTGTAAGATTGCTCGCGCAGTTTGAAAACCTGCCGCTCTGTCATTCGGAAGACATGAATTAGTGCTGTCAAACAGATGCAGGTGCCTTGCTCATATGTAGTCCTTGACTTACTTCATGAAACCTCTCGTTACAATGGCATAGGTATCAGCATCCGGTGTCAAATTATGCTTTCGCATTTGATCAAACCACGTCAAGCATTGAGAAGTCAAAGGTTTTGGTGACGCCTCCACAAATCCTTCCAAGAAAGTGTTATAAATGTGGTTATCGGCAAAAATCTTCATTTCTTCTGGCTTGTTCTTGTACAGTTCAACCATGACTCTAGTCGCTCTATCCATATCATGAGAGCGAATGCATGCGTATAATACAGTAAAGCTCTCCGCGATATTAGTGGGTAATACTCTTGAAGCCACTTTGTAAGCTGGTAACGAAGGGTGTGGAAGTACAATTCGCTTAGGGCCAGAGGTGACTGTTGACTTCAATATGTCTAAAGGTGGCATTGAGTTTTTGGCACTCTCTGTAGCATGAGCTCCATTAGATATGGCTTTCTCGGCAGTCGCAATACCAGCACGTCTTTGCCATGCTACCGGATTTCGCAAGGTTGCCGAGTGCTGTGCGTGTCGGTGTAGTTGCTGGATTGCCACATTAGGCTGTAGTGACCTATGCGGCAGCTGTCTATACAAGCTAACAAGTGGTAACGACATGCTACGTAATTGGACCTGCAATGTCGTTGACTTGTCCTTCAATGTTAGCAAGTCCAAGACTTTTTCGTTTTTTACTTTTTTTTTTTTTTTTGCTGCCAAATTTCCACTCGGCATCAACTTTGACAGTCACAGGTCATCCACCTCCTCAGTGCCACCAGACGGGGCATAGCACGCTGGCCAACAGGTTTTCTCACTTGCAATGCCATGGAACCAACCACCGTTATTGAATTACAAGCCCTAACCAATGCTGCTAATGCGAAAAAGCATGAAGGAAATCTAGTTGCTAGTATTCCATATCTGGGTAAAATTGTTCATTTATTAGATAGCCAAACCTCCAAACAACGCTCAGCGCAAGACAAAAGTATGGCTCAAACGCTTGAGCTTATGGCGGCCGAAGCTCGCATAGATTTTGCCAACGCTCTCTTCCAAACCCAACAATATGCTGAGTGCGAAGTTCAAACAGGTTTGGTTTGCAAGTTTTTCGAAAGATATCTCAAGAAACCCGACCTCAATCAATCGGAACGCATCGGAATGCAGTCGAAGCTTCTAGTACAGTACGACGCGTGGGCTGACTGCTATGAAAATTTGGGCAATAGCTTTCTGGCCGACAAAATTCGCAAGCGGAAAGAGAAACTGCTCTCAAAATGAACAGTCACCTAAGCCACCAACCAAAAAATTTTATTCTGGGGGAAACACACTATTTAAACAAGCTGCATTCGTGAATATTACGGCTTTCATCTCTCTCTTAGTATTGGTAAGTGTCAAATATTCATTATTCATTCCCTTCTTCAAACATCATACGCGGGACGATGAAAATTTCTTTGTCTTCATTTTGTCTTATCGACCATGACGAAATAACCCGCTACGCTTCGCTGAGTGTAGCTGTATACTTGCCAGTATAAACTCCTGACCGCATCATATCCATACTTTATCAAACTCCACCTTGTTATAAGTCATCCTTCTAACATGACTTCTTTCAGACTTTTCTCAATACTATAGGAGATGTCCTCTCTTCATTCTCGGGAATAGTCCGCTCTTGGTATGTATGGAGTTCTGGATACATCTGCCAAAGGTCAAAGAGGATCGATATGATGAACACTTCCATATTCGCAGTTTCCACCGAAGGGACCTTGTTATGGGCTTCTGCTGCAGTGTATATTCTTTTAGAATATGCCCGGTGAACGCGGATGCAAGTAGCCGCTTGCAGTATGTTGCTCTTCCTGATGCTGGCTAGCAATTCTTCCTTGGATGTCTGATCCCGATCCTCTTCATCTTTGGCAGACTCGTAACAAATGTGAATCACAGTTGCTAATGTAAACTTTTACTTTAGGGCAGAGTATTCTTGTAACTATACCCTTTTACATTATAATGGGCAGCAATTTGCATGATGGTGAGTAATCCTTTCGAGTACCTTCATTCCTTCGTGGTTGATATGATGAAAGAAACAAACTACTCAGTAATAGGAAGAGCCGTCTTATGGGTTCTTCAAGCCCTGTGCTGACAAACGTTTGAAAACATATCTGAAATACCATACCTTTTCACATACCTATCCAATGCATTCAATAACTAATGCTTACAATCGTTTCTTTTCCTATCAGGCTCTTTTTTATGAAGTCCCATCTCAAGTTCTGCAGTGTAGGTAGTTTTTGGTGAATTATTAATAAATAGTGATTTCAGTCTTCCGAAGTTTTGCTTTTCATGAATGTTTTTACCTTCACCATCACCCATCTTTTTATTCTGTTACACATTCGCTCATATGATGAATCACCGTGTTTTTGGCACCTCTTGTTTGAATACTCACCCGCCAAAAGGCCGATGAGTATGATGCACGCAAAATCGGATCTGATGAACGATGTAACATGACAATAAAAAGTATCGCATTTACTATAAAACTCGATTGCATTCCCAATATCACGATACGTGTATTGTTTTGTTCTGAAAAATTTTAAAAGTTGTCGAGAGGTCACAATAGCGGACATTAGTGGAGATAGTTGTTCTAGAGAAGCAATGTTTTAAAGCAAGATGGCAATTGAGCTTTCTATGGGATGGGAAGAGTTAAGTCACTGTTGATGTTCATTTCGCCCGCATACGTTCTTAAAGGAGTGCACCAGCAATTTACAGATGATATCATTTCACAATTGCATGGTAAAACGAAGGCTTCAAACACTACATCGTTCTAAGAATATATCCCACAACTTGTCATAATTTGAACACTTTTGGCCAGAAACGCAACATTTTTCATGAATGAACTTTAGAAACTACTACGGTTTTAGCGAGCCGTAGCAAAGCGTAAGATTTTACCAACTTGTGTACCTACCCATGTGCACTGGTGAATGGCAAATCGCAAGAACAACTTTCTCCAACTCACTCGTGTTTGATTATTATCAACCACACGATAAAGGGACATACATTTGAATTGCAAAAGTGTGATATTATATAAAAACTTGAAAGGAAAAAAAGAAAATTTTTCATTAACACAATGTGGCAGTAAAGATAGGCTCAAACATCATTTATGGTTCCATTACCGACATTACCGACTACTATTATTCTGGGACAGATTACATACAACAAAGTCTTATCAGTGGATATTCTTTCTCATATCCAAGTGTTTGTATAGATGTATAGATTACGTATCTTCGATTCTAGTATGCAATATCATTTCTACTGCTCTATGGAATAAGGATAGTCTATCAGGCTAGAAGAAATAGTCTGCGAAAGTGGTAATTTGTGTGTTCATAAATAGCTTAAATCTTAGGTGATATACAAGCTATATGTCTAAGGAAAAGCGAAAGCAAGAGTTTCATGTTAGATCTTCGTTCTTCCTTCGTTTTAAGTCCTCATCGCATGGTCGTCGACGGGCTTTGCCGACGTCAATAGGTGTTGCTTAGCAACAAACGCCACACAGTTTATTCTTTTAACTCTTTGAGCGTCTGTTGCTAGGTGCACAAACCTGACAATGTGGAATCTGTCTTCGATCATTATAAAACGTTTATTCAAGAGTAGTATAAAATATCTACTGGAAAAAAGATAAAAATCCCATGACTCAAGCCTAATCAATGTTTTCACTCAACCCTTTCTACTACCAGCTCTGCGTTCTATTTCCCAAAAACTTGGACATCAAATCTATCCAAAAATGTCCTATAGACGATGAATGCGATTTCACTCCTTTAGAGGGTAACGTGGCCAGTGGTAGACTAGGATCAGCATTTGTTATTTTACAAAAAGACCACTTCACTGCACACATTGCTGGCCATACAATCAAATGTGACTACAATTGTCGAAATCGCGTTATGTCTGTCCTCTCGAGCTACCGGCATCTTGGACGCCTTGATGATGAGAAAGAGATTGTTGAAACTAATTTTGGACTCGACCTTATCGATGATGTTGTTCAAAACAATGAACTACCACATTTAATCTTCAGTAATGAAAGGTATCCGGAGCGGCGCAATACTAATACCATCCAGGAGCACTTCATCTCTGTGGACATCCAAAAGTTTGCAGAAATCACTAAATCCAAACCATGCAACCAAGACTCGTTTATAGTATGTCTGGGACGAAAAAATTACATTCACTATCGATTTATGTGTTGCAACGTGAAGACGCTCGAAACATACGAGTACACCAGTGAAACTAAATCTCGTATCGAAAAAGAGTTGATCGACAACGTCGATGGCTGTTTTGCCATATGGAAAGCTGAAGACGAGGCACGCAAGTTAAGCAAACCTGCTAAAAGGGTTTCCAACTTTCACTTAGTGGATTCCCAAGGCCATCCCGTAAAGGAGAATACTGATTACTATCTTGAAATGCATGATCAGCCTAACGATGTCCTGAAAATCAAGGAATACAAACCAATTATCTACGCCACATACCACCTCAATCGAGCAGACAGGATAGTTGTTAGATATTCCATTATAGATGGAATACACTATCTCATTTGCGAGGATCAATTTTTGCAAGTGCACGATTTTCAGGATGAAATCGGATTCAAGGATAAAATTCCTGAGAAAGAAAAGAGAATAGAATTTCATACAACGGAAAATAACACTTTCAGGACCGCTCAATGGGATAATGATATCTGGCTCACATTTCAAAAGGAAACGCTTAATCATAGTTCAGTAACTTTCAACGATAATGAGGCAGTTGTAAGATGGGATAAACCATTGGAATTGATCTTGAAAAGAGTACAAACTTAAATAAATGAAGTGTCCCTTTGAGTCAAAGAGTGAGTGTGCTTTTGAAGCTTTGGTTATATCTTCATTTGCAAACCAATGCTGCAGTCCAATTTTTTAACTTGCATGGAGTTGAAAATTTAGCTTCTCAGATTTTGTATTTTCAGGAATGGTGTTTTTGCTCGTTAGCTGGCAACCAAAGCTACTTGGCCACTTTTTCATAGCAACCACGTGACTCAGCTATAGAAACTGAGAAAGCGTCCTTGACGACAGATGTCGTACTGCTACCAAATTGGTATAAATATATGGGCTACAGATGAGAGTTATAAAATTGACAGCTGATAAATTCACAACATTTTCAAAGCACCACCGCTGACCCAAAAAGCACCACTATGGACGTTCTATATCCTAAAGGCTTTAATCTTTCTTCGATCGAAAAATGTATGATCGACTATGACTGCCACTTCATCGCATACGAAGATGACGAAGCAATCAATTCTAGACTAGGCACGGATTTCGTAATTCTGCAAGAAACATGCTTCATTGCTCATGTTAGTCGTGCTTCTACTGGTTATGCTAACGAAGAAGAATTCAAGTGTGACTACGATTGTCGCAATCGTGTCATGAAAGATTTATATCCGAACAAATGGGAGCGCTCTTTTCAATTTGATCTCGAAACAGTTGATGGTGTCATTCATAACACTTCACCGCCTTACCTGCTCTTCACAAATGAATGCATACGGGGTTATAGCTCAGATCATAATACTATCATCGCAAATTATACTAGAGTTGATATACCCAAGTTTGCAGAAATGATCAAGTCCAAACCGTGCAATGACAAGTTCTTCGTTGTATACCTCGGAGATGACCAATATATATGCTGTAACACGCGAACCCTCGAAACATACGAATACAAGTCAGTGATCAAATATCGTGTCATTCAGATACTATGTGGCGAGTCTGATGATCCATTCATCCAATTGAAATCTGAATACGAACAACTCAGTTCGATCAATCCACTACCAAAGTTCTCTGATTTCCAATTGAAGGACATTGAAGGACAACCTGTATTAGAAAATACAGATTATCGTCTTGAAATGTATGATTATGACGAGGAAGTTTTGGATATGCATGATTCTAAGCTTTACGCAACCTATTATCGGAATGCAACGGGCATGATGGTCGTCCAGTGCTCTATTATCGATGGAATATATTACCTTGTTCGGAAGAACAGATACTTACACAGTGCGGAGGATTATAAATATACTGTGAGCTTCACCGATCAAATTCCGGTCAAACACCAGAGGCTACAATTTCAAGTCACAGAGAAAAACACATTAAAGATAGTTCAATGGAATCAACTTAACTACCTCACAGCGTGTTCGGTAACCTCTAATTATACCGATATATCGCTGGAAGCAGGAAATGATGATCACCTTGAATTGTACTTAAAAAGGTTATAGAACCCCCCGCCATCAATAAATGTGTAAAAAAAATTACAGTTCAACTATGGAAGGATACTATGGTAGTTGATTCAGTGACTTTCTTGTAGCTTGCACTGTGTTGAATCATAAAGAACCGTGCGCCATTTGCACTTGGACAGCACGAACCTAGAAACCGCCAATTAGTTAAATGATAGATGTAAGAGTTCAGCATCAACATAACATCCAACGATAGATATTTGGCATATAATAATGTATCTAAGTTTGATTACAGAAAAAGAAATCTGACAGTATCTCAATGGTGTTCTTTCTTAGTCTTCTGGAAAAGTTTACAATTATAGGGCGATCAAAGCACATCAGTTTTGTCTACCTTCAGTTAAATCGAAAATGCCAGAGCATCTCCATATGTACTGTTTCTGTATTCAATGGAGTCGATCTAGTTACTATTTTTTCAAAATATTTCCTTCCCTTCAGTTTTGTAGGAGCAGCTTTCAATGGCAGCAATAGGCAGACCTCAAGAAGACATGAAACTTTTGAGACACTGCTACAGCTCTCGAGTTGATCATTCTAACATGAATACGAAGCAGAAGCGCATTATATACAGATATCTATTCAAAATTCTTACAATTCAGTGATAAGAAGCGTTTTCCTTAAGGTTTTGAAGGAAGAAATATCATGAGTTGCTAAGCAACAAGCGTTACATAACAACCACCGCCATGGCAACACCAACCTTCGTTGTTTGGAGCACAAGTTTGGCAAATATGGATTCTCCGACCATAAACGGTACCACCTAATAGAATATAAAATCAGTTTTGAGAAAATAATTCATTTTTCAGACACGGCTTCTTAACATAAAGCAACACTATGGACGTTCTATATCCAAAAGACTTTGATCTTACTTCTATCGAAAAATGTATGATGGACTATGACTGCCACTTCATCGCATACGAAGATGACGAAGCAATCAATTCCAGACTAGGCACGAATTTCGTAATTCTACAAGAAACATGCTTCATTGTTCATGTTGGTGGTGCTACTACTGGTTCTGGTAACGAAGAATTCAAGTGTGACTACGATTGTCGCAATCGTGTCATGAAGGACTTGCACCCAAAGAAAGGAGAAAAATTTCGCGGCATCTCCGCTACGAGAGGTACTGATGGTATCTATTACAACAATGCAGCACCTTATCTTCTCTTTACAAACGAATGCATAAGAGGATACGCAGGTACGGATAATACCATCATTGCCAACTATACACGAGTCGATATACCCAATTTTGCAGAAATAGCCAAGTCCAAGCGGTGTAACGAAAAGTTCTTTGATGTATACCTTGGGAATGATGACTACATATGCTGTAATAGGCAAACTCTCGAAACATACGTATACACATCAGTGACCAAACATCGTGTCATTCAGATACTATGTAGCGAGTCGGACGATCCGTTTCATCAATTGAAATCTGAAGACGAAAAGCTCAAATTGAGCAAGCCTCTACCAAGGAACTCCTCCGACTTTCATTTGAAAGACATTGAAGGACATACTGTAGAAGAAAATACTGACTACTATCTGGAAATATACGATCACGATGATGATGTTCTGGATATGTATGAAGATGAACTTTGGTCAAGATACTATGAATACCAAATTGAACAAACAATCGTTCAATGTTCCATTGTAAATGGAATACATTATCTTGTTTATGGAAACAAATACCTTCACGTTGCGGATGAAAGTAATGCAATAACACTTTCTAACCAAGTACCATATCAGCACCAGAGATTACAATTCCAATTCACTGAAAATAATACTTTCCGAACTGTTCAATGGAACCAATGCATCTTTCTCATACTCAACATATTAACGTGTTCTAGTGGGTCAGTGCAATTCACGGCAGATGATGGTCCACCTCTGGAGCTTTACTTGAAAAGAGTCTAAAATACATTCTAAAACTACTGAACATTGAAATTTAGCTGCCAAGTAAAGTAAATACATAAAATATATGGCACACGGACTCTCAAAACATATGACTATAGGTCAGTGGGCTAATATCCGCAAGAATAAGATACTATGCGGCAAGGTGGATGATCTTTACGTTCAAATTGAAATCTGAATAAAAACAATTGAAATCGATTAGGTCACTACCAAGGTCCTCTAAATTCCATCGAATCCATTGAAAGACAATCTGTATTGAAAAAAACAGATTATCGTCTAGAAATGTATGATTATGACTAGCATGTTTTGAAATGCATAGTATCAACTTTATACAACCTATTACGTAAACGGGTTGGACATGATGGTTGCCCGGTGCTTCGTTATCGATAGAATGGATCAACTTGTTCGAAAAACAAAACCCTACACATTCAGGATGGTAGAGACACCATGAACTTAACCGAGATATTCCCGGTCAAACATCAGAGATTACAACCTCAAGTCACGATGAAAAACTACCTCAAAGCGTGGATGGTGTCTCCAATTGTACTGCTCTATTAATAAAAGCAGGAATCGACGATCCCTTGAATTATGCTTCAAAAGGCTATGGAAGCTTCTGCAATAAATAACAGTGCAAAAAAAAATTACATCTCAGATATGGACAATTTTGAAGATACTTGATGTAGTAGTCTTCTTGAAGCATGTTATGAGTTAAAGTTTGAAGCACCCATGGCGTTCATTCAACTTGGACAGCATGTTCTAGAAACACAGCCCTCCCATTCCTGTGTTGGCTCAACAAGATCAAAGATGGCAAATATATACATCCGCCATCAGTATAGCATATGGAAGCAGAAGCTTGACTTGTATGATAAAGGTTTACGTTCTGAAAGTAGGGAAACATTCTCACATCATCTCTGCATACGTTTACTCAACCTTCAGGATAAATCTACATTACAGGGCCGTCAAACAACATCTTTTTCTCTCGTTCCTTATTTCAATCAAAATTGACAGAGCACATCCATATATATCTGTTTCAGTTGTCAATGTAGGTCGATATTTAAAACGAGTTCTGAATGTCTCCTTTCCCACAAGTATGCAGAATCGCGCGTAATGGCAGAAATGTCTTGTGATAGTATGGAACGTTTTAGATACTGCTACAGCTCTCGAATGGTTCTTTCTGAAAATAACTGCAAGAGCAACAGCACCTTCCTCCTCAGGTGTCTATCTATAAGGTATCCTTGCATTTTGGACGATTACGGATGTTTATTGATTGTTGTAGACGGAATAAATACATTATGTGTTGCTAAGCAACAAGCGTTACATAACAACCACCGCCACGACAACACCAACATTGGTTGCTGGAGCACAAGTTCGACCAATGCGGATTCTCCGACCATAAACGGTACCACCTGGAGTAGAATATAAAGATCAGCGTTGAGAAATAATTCATTTTTCAGGCACAGCTTCTGACACATACAGCAACACTATGGACGTTCTATTTCCAAAAGACTTTGATCTTACTTCTATCGAAAAATGTATGATGGACTATGACTGCCACTTCATTGCATATGAAGATGACGAAGCAATCAATTCCAGGCTAGGCACGAATTTCGTAATTCTACAAGAAACATGCTTCATTGTTCATGTTGGTGGTGCTACTACTGGTTCTGGTAACGAAGAATTCAAGTGTGACTACGATTGTCGCAATCGTGTCATGAAGGACTTGCACCCAAAGAAAGGAGAAAAATTTCGCGGCATCTCCGCTACGAGAGGTACTGATGGTATCTATTACAACAGTGCGATACCTTATCTGCTCTTTACAAACGAATGCATAAGAGGCTATGCAAGTACGGATAATACCATCATTGCCAACTATACACGAGTCGATATACCTAAATTTGCAGAAATAGCCAAGTCCAAGCGGTGTAACGAAAAGTTCTTTGATGTATACCTTGGGAATGATGACTACATATGCTGTAATAGGCAAACTCTAGAAACATACGAATACAAATCAGCGATCAAATACTGTGTCATTCGGATACTATGTGGCAAGTCCAATGATCCATTTCGTCAATTGATTAAGCCTCTACCCAGGAAGTCCTCCAACTTCCATTTGAAAGACATTGAAGGGCATATTGTGGAAGAAAATACTGATTACTATCTAGAATTATACGACAAAGACAGTGATGTTCTGAAAATTTGGGATAATCTCCTTCACTCAGGTTACTATCTTAGCCGAACAGAACGGATCATTGTTCAATGTTCCATTGTTAATGGAATACACTATCTTGTTTATAAAAACAAATACCTGCACGTTGCGGATGGAAGTGATGAAATTACGTTTACTGACCAGCTACCGGATCGGCACCAGAGATTACAATTCCAAGTCACTGAAGATAACGCCTTCCTAATTCTTAAATGGGACCAATGCAACTTTCTCATACTTGAAGTCATAACATGTTCTTATGGTTCTGTATACTTCACAACAAATTACTATTCACCTCTTGGGCTGTACTTGAAAAGGGTCTAGAAGTACATCCTAACATGATTACACGTCGAGTTTTAGCTGTAGAGTAAGAGAAATTCTGAATATTGTCGTTGGCAAAAGGAAGTACCAGGCAATTGCAGCCTATACAATGTTTCTTAAATCGGTTTGTGCATTAATTTAAAGATTTGATATTAACAAAAAAGTTGAGAAAAAAAATGAAGAGACAATATTCACGTCAAGCATGAGTGCCCCCCAATGGGTACGATATTAGTTACGTATAAGGTACTGTAGCTCTTCACTTCTTCTCCGCCTTGACACCTTTGTTACAAGTACTAGCCTTTCGCTGCAAAAAGTCGTCCAACTCTTTTCTTGCTCGCTCGGTACCTGAGTCGTATTCGCTACTATCTTCAGGATCAGTATTGGCTGTGGCACGTTTTGGACTCTTCGCCAATGACTTTCTCCCAGAACGAGTAGGCAAATTGGCGGCTTTATGTAAGCTTGTGTGCTTTTGGGAGCTAGCAAACTTTCGTAGAGGGCTATCGTTATCGTAGTGGACCTTTTTCCGCGCTTTACCAGCCAAATCTTTGTTGACTGCGGGCTCCAAACATGTGTTCTCCTCTTCTCGCTTAAGCTTTGTATCCGGTTTTTCATCCCGCCATTCGTTTTCATCCGAAATCATCTTTTGCTTGCTTCGTTCTCTTTTGAGGCGCCTGTTGAATTTGTAGCTTGCTCGCTTGGCATGAAAGCTTGGTTTTCGATTTACAGCTCTTTTAATCGGCGTGACAGACTTCTCCCCTAAAACGCGATTTATCACGGCTGCCTCCACCCCTTGTATACCTTCCTTGAAAATGAGATCGGTTGCTTCCATAAATGACAGACCCCGGCTCATTTTGTGCTTTAACACATCCGCTACTACCTTTTCCTGTTTCTTGGGAGAAGGAAATGGCATACACTCGACTTGTTTACCAGTAGGAGTGAGATCCAGCTCAGATTGTTCGGAATCAGATCTGTTGCCTTCTGAATCATCTTGGTTATCGGTGGACGTATTATTGCCATCTAGCACCACTTCTTTTAATTCACCCAAAGGTTCCTTAATAACATCAGTCTCGTCCGGTGGTGGTATCCTCTCAGAAACAGATGCCGTCGGAAGTCCAGTGGTCAGTGATTGCTTCTCTGGTTCAGCTTCAGATATATCGGTAGCTTTGACTTCCACTTCGAAGTGAGGGGTAATTTCAAGTATTTTTTCGCCGTGAACATCGGTTTCAGCTGTTATATTAACGTTGGCTTCGACTTCGGCACAAGGTTCGCTTCTGTTTTCTATTTCCTCGTCGTTTTCAAGGTCATCGTTGTCATCGCTTGGTTCCTTCACAGTACTTTTTGACATTTCTACTATTTGCTCTTCGTCTTCTTCATCAACTGTTTCCTCATCTTCCGTAGCCAGCTCTTCTTCCTCTGAATTTTCATCACTTCCATCAGTCATAGAAAGAGCTTCTTCTTCTATCACTTCTTCACTTTCAGAATCATGTCGATGGCTGTCAGTATCTTCCTGTGAGAGCTCATCTTGCTCATACTCCTCGGAAGAAGGGTCAAAATCTTCTTCTGTTGCTTTTTGTTGGTAAATAGGTAGTGTTGGTGTTACTCGCGGGATAGAAGGTGACGTTACATCTTGAACATTCAAATGCAGTGGGGTTGTTTGCGAAGTGACGACCACAAGCTGATCAACAGGATGAGGTTGGTTGGTAGATTTTGATAAAGATGGGCGCAATGACTTGATGAACTCCAAAAATTCGTTTCCTTTATGAGCAATGACTTCAATATCATCATCTCTGCAGCTGAGGAAGAATGCTTGAATTTCTGCCGGTGAAACGGTGTATGGCCGAATATAATTTGCGAAGCATCTACTGTAAAACTCGAGGTCATTTTTTGAAAATTTTGGCATCTTATGGCTGGATTCGTCGCTTATCGATGACACTTTGCGTTTCATTCCTAAGAAGCTTGCAATAGATCCATAGGTGGCTGTGCTAGTATCGTCAGTAGACTGGTTGATTTGACGCTGCCCAAAAAAGTTCATGAACATTTGCCGAATCTGAAAGTCATCAGCTAAGTTGAATGGTATCCGTCTGTCAACCCTAGGAATAACATCATCTCAGTAAATAGGCGGATCTAAAGAATCTTGGAGTGGACAGTAGCTTACCTTCCTGGTCGCAGAAGCGCAGCATCCAAAAGTTCAACTGAATTTGTAGCCATGAAAACAACTGGAAAAGATATTAGAATGTGCGTTAATGGCAGTAACAATGATTCATATCTCCTTACTTGTGCCTTCCTGTGATGTTACCCCATCCAAGCAATTCAAAATACTGTGCCAGCTAAGTCCATTGCGTATGTACTTGGACATTGAGGCAAGAGCATCGACATCTTCGATCAAAATCACTGAGTTTTGGGGGATGGTGTTCATCATTGAATTCAAGTTTGCTTCCGTTAAGGTTGGGTCGGAAAGGTTGATAGTGCATATATGCATGCGAAAGTAGGTAACCAAAGCCTGTACTAACGATGATTTTCCTGTTCCTGGAGGACCTTCAAATAGGTACGTGCGTCGATAAGGAATGTTCTGGTGTTGATATAATTTGCTGGATGCGGAGAAACGCTTTATGTCTTTGGACATTCGGTTAGTAACACGTAAATTGATATAGTAAATTTTGAAGGCTAATTATCACCTGCTATGAGATCTTCTTTTAACCCAACTGGCAAAACCACCGAATCTAAATCCCGTATCTCCTTGTAATATGTCGAAGACCCTGTTATTACAAAAGGTAAATTTAGCTATAAGTTATAGTCCACAGGTCATCCAAAGAATATTTTGCTTACATCGGTGGTGTGGGCTGATGTATTGATAGATCCGTATCTAATTTTGATAATGTGAGACCGTGTCGTCAGTTTAGACTTAAAATTCTTATCTATTACCTTTCCATCATGTCTTTTCTCAAATGATTTGATGGCTGTGTCAACAAGTTCTTGGAGACAAGTTGGACTTCTCGATAACGTCCATAGCCTAATGGTCTTATTCGAAATTTGATGTGTCGCCCGCTGGAAAGGGAACGATGGCTCATTGGACGGTGAATGTTGTTCCAAGGTGTCTTTGCGAATCCGGATCTTCTTTCCCTTGAAATGAATACTATGGCTCCCATACCCTGAGTTGCAGTTGATATGAAGACAATTGAGAAAATGCCGATTTAATTGGTACAATGAATTTAGCTTGCGTTATTGTTACCTGGCGTATACTTTACAGTTGAACTAGTTTGGCCATCGCTTTGTATTTTACGCTGCTGAAGATTTGACCCTACGATCGTCGTTGCAAGCAGATTATTGAATTCGTGATGTTTTGATATATCTGCTAAGAATTCTTCAACAGCCTGATACACTTCGTCTCGTTCTTCTATTGTTACGCTAACCGACACAGCGTTCCATATACGCGATTGCAAGTTGGACAGAGCAGTGTGTGAAGGGCCGAGTAGTGAGCCTAGAAATCTGTGTGAGTATTTAGTCTTATTGCTGACATTTTGAATTCAACCCGTACCGCATATAAGTAAAAAGGCGCCGGTAGACAAATATTCGTTGCCAACAAGACCGCGAATGGCATCGGTAACGGTTTTCCCCAGAAGATTCTCAGTATATCCCGGTTCAAATAGCTGCTTAACAGCTGAAAAGCTGGATTCTGTGAGCCGCTGGCTAGTTTCTTTGAGCCACGACCAGTCGAGATCTTGAAATGCTGCCATGTAGACAAACGCAGTATCTCCTGAAGATTTTCAAATATTAAACTCAGATGTACGCGTTTTACAGCGGCTAAACTTCTCGTGTCTCGTACAAAATTCGGGATATTTCTGACATTTCCATAGCATAATCTTACACCATCCGCATACATGCTCTTACGACATACCAGACAAAGGCTTAATTATCTGAACGACATGGGAAAATGATGCAGAAGCTCCCCAGAACAGCTCCAACATATTGGATCAAAGCACTCTTAGGAAACCAAAAAATCACTGTAGGGGATCCCGGGAAGCATGAATACCAAGGTGAGCAGAGTCTACGGGAATTGGATATTTAAATTGTGACCTATGCAAACACACGCGGAGCCACTGAAAAGAAGATACTTGACTTAACAACTACACGAGCTATCAACTGCTGGCAACTCATACATGAGAGAAGAGTACCCTAGGTTGGCAATCCTTTAGAATAGGCATCAGGAACGAGTTAACGCGTACGAATTCTAGAAAGCTAGAAAGTGATAAGATGGAAAGGAACCGCTAAACAAGTATCCAGAAGGTATAATACATGTATTTCGTATGATAAGGAGCGATTTAAGAAAAGCAAGTGTCCTCTAGTATAATATATATTTCCACTTACTGTATCATTTATCATTCATGATGCGCAGCGTCGGCAAAGTTAAAAACGGGATTGACCTGCAAGTCGTACTCAAGCCCAGACACCTCTTGAATAGCTATTCCTTTAATTCATGTGTTGCAAGGCTTGCACATGCAATGTCTCGGCCATCCTCTTACATCAGTTGAATGCAAAATTTGATGCTATTAATGTAAGTAAGAGTTACATCGTTTGTTAAAAAAGTCGGTCAGTGAAAGGGAAAGAGCCACAGCGTGACAGAGAGCCGCTGAATGTGGGAGGTGTGAGCGTGCAGTGCAATAAGAAGAAACTTGTCTGTAACTGGAAGCTGCTAAACTTTGACCTTAAATATTCTTGGCTTCACTTGCTAGCAGTAAACATTATGGTCATAGTTTGCATTTTAGAGCCCGTTGTATTCTCCCATTAGTTCCATATGAGACAATTTGCAATACTACTTACTGCGATCTAAAGGTAAGCAATGATAAATTGTAATACAGTTTGCATAGCCAGTCAATTAGCTTGCTGTCTTCAAAATAAAAACAGTTGAATGGTTCATTTGGCATACGGACATGTGCAATAATAGGACCATTTAAATTTCTCATATTCTAGACCATCTTGAGTGTAGGCTTATGGTATTTCGATCACAATTTCGGCTCACTCATTCAGTGCGATGTCAGCCATCTAAGTGAAATAATAAGATAAAGATGAATGAAGCTAGAGGCGTCAACGAGCTACACCTAGAAATCCGGGCAAAGTACTGCTTATGAGATCGGCCGAAAGGCAACAATGGCAACGTGCGGACACCAATTTCCACACCGCAACCATCAATGTTCCACAAGCTGGATTTTGGATCTCAAAATTAGAAAATCAGAGCTATCTGTTCAAACTTCCATCGTTTCCATTCTCTTTCTTCACCGTCAACTCCTTCCACCCATTCCACTCTTTTCACTCGAGGTTGTCGACAATCATGGTGCGTTCGATAGTGTTTATGCTATCGCTATGTGTGTTTCCGGGAATGATAAGCGCCCATAAAGCAACTTCATCACCTGGAAAGTATATCATAGAATTAGGAAATTCGCCAGATATCGATAGCTGTAAGTACCTGGTTCAAGGAGATGCGGAAATCCAAATCCAAATCATATTACTTACTTGATTGACATCGAAGATATCGACAAAATATTTGGTACATTGCAAGCAGCAGCACCTATTCCTATAAACAATACCATCCAACTCCTCAGCTACAGCCAAACAACTAAAAAACCCAGTAACGACTCAGTCCAGTTGTTACAAAATGTCAGCATTGGCGACTTTCGAGCAGTCACCGTTTCCGCTCATTCTCTCGACATTTTGCAAAAACTAGTCAAAGATCATCCTGATGTGCTGTCTATTGTGCCTGATGTTGATCTCACTTTCGACCTCCCGAAACCAACTGCCATTGGGTCTGAATATACCAAGCGATCTCTCAGAAAGGTACATTTGTAGAGTTAACTCAAGCGACTGTTGAACTTCGTTGGAAACTAACACTTAGCCTTGCAAATTTAGAGAAGCAACAATAATTTTCATGAATCCACCTATTACTCAAGGCAGTCAGGCGCACCTTGGAATTTGCTCCGCATATCCGAGCGTACCATAGGTGATACTCATAGCTATGGATATCGCAAAAGCGGAGGGTAAGTCTTTGCATTGTATTTCATAACGCTTAATGTTCAGTTATCTAAAGCGAATGTAAAGGCAAGGTGTCACCGTCTATGTCGTTGATGATGGAGTTGATATCTCCCACCCTGATTTTGGAGGCCGCGCCAAATTTGGATGGACTGCCATCCCCAAAGAGAAGAACAGCCCAGGAGGTGGTCATGGTAAGTCAATCACTAATATTTCGCAACTTTTCGATGGTGATGTCTCGCTAAAGACTCAATTGGCTTGCCACCGGTTCTATAGGAACTCATGTCTCAGGTATCATTGCTGGTAGCAAATATGGTGTTGCCAAAAAGGCACACTTGGTATCAGTCCAAGTGCTGGATAAAAATGGCAAAGGATCCATGTCGAATCTGATTGCTGGTCTCGACTGGGTTGCGAAACATGCCAAGCGAGGATCATCCATTGTCAATTTATCTCTGGGTGTTGCTAAGACCACGCCCGGTGCAAATGCCCTGAATCAAGGTATGAAGACATCAATGTCCCGTAGTACCATGGCTTCTTTCATGTTCTCATCTGGTTTTAATCCATTTAGCCGTTGATGCTCTCGTTAAAGCTGGTATTCCTGTCTTCGTCGCTGCTGGTAATTCTGCTAGGTAAACCGGGTTATTCCGTGCCGTACAATTCCATTGAAACAATCTGCTAATATTACCTTCAAACAGTGACGCATGCAACATCCTTCCCGCCGGTAACAAGAACGTATTTGCCGTCGCTGCTATTGACAATAAGGATGTAATGGATCCCAACGCTTGCTATGGAAAATGTGTCGATCTTTTCGCTCCAGGTGTAGACGTAACATCAGACTATTTGAACAATAAGGTTGCTACAATGTCTGGAAGTTCTATGGCGTAAGTTTAATTTAACCACACTAGACACTGAGAACAAGTGTAACTGACAGCACTTTTCTAAGGTCCCCACATATTGCTGGTCTGGCTGCAATCGAACTACCTTACATTAAATCCAAGAAACCCGCCGATGTCTACAAAGCGATCACCCATCGCGCCACTGCCAATCACATCAAGAATCTTAAGTCTCACACTGTTAATGGCATAGCGTACAGCAAATTTTAGACATACTAGAATTTGTAGCAATGCGTGCTAGCTATCAAAATAGCAAGTGATAATAAATTAGTTGCTTAATACATTACAGCTTTACTCTATAAGGATAGCACTAAAATCGAGTAGCCGGATCATAACCGGGAGAGTTCACTAGTGTTGTAACGCCCTTTGAAGATAGCAGAGTACCATAGGCTTCTAGTGAGACTTTGCCAAAGCTAGTACTATTATCCAATGGAACGACACCTATAGATAAAGTATTAGGTCCGTTGTGATTTAAAATGCCTTCTGGAATGTAGAATAGGCGTTGTGGACCGAGATCGTTTGCTGGAACATTGAAACTGAGCAAAATGCAGCTTGTGGTATAACGGGTTTACTTTTACCTACCATATTTTCCAAGCTTCCACCCATTCACGAATAGAACGGCTCGATATCGTTTGCTGGTATTATCTTCAAACCTTACACCAATGGGAACGTCATAATTTTCTGGAATGTCAAGATTGAAAGTTGTGCGATACCAAGAGAGTCCGGTCCTGTTCCTATCATCTGGTACTGAAACCTTCTCCCACTGCGAATCTGGGTAGCCGGGAAGGTGCCAACCCATTCTTTCTCCATACAATCCACCTTCATTGTATGGCCCACGGATTTTATCCACGATGTCTTCTCCGTTCAAATTACCTAGCAACAGCAGTTAGAGAGAGTATAATCTACCATAGCCTTTTCTTTGAATAACAACCTTGAACCTTCCACTCGATGCCATCAGGTTTGAGGCCGATCAATGATACATCTGTAAAACCACGTGGTTGTTTGTATGTGTCGTCTGCAGCACCATCCTCTTCGTGCCCAGTAGTCCATGCTAAAAGTGCCAACACATTTTTACCATTGGCATTCAGTATAGTTTTGTCGATAGCAAATGTTCCTGTGGGTGTCGTTTCACCTCCAAGGTACTCCCCATTCAACCAGGCAATCCAAGCACCGCCAGTTCCTGTGCTTGCAGTGATCATAATGTTTGTAACAGAATCGGAGTCATCAAATGTTCCTCGGAACCATAGGCTTCCATAGTGATAGCCTGAAAATGGATGTTGCGGTTAACATGAAAGATATATATTTCATACCTCTTGCTCATTCACTTTACCATATTCGTCACCATAGAGCACTGGGTATGTTGTCGGCTTGTATGGACTATTTGTACTTGTGTGGTTGGCGTTCATCCAGTCAGAATCATCAAATGACAGTTGCGTTTCTGGAGAGGCGCTAATGTACTGCCAGCTGGCTTTTGAAAGGTCGGTCAAAGTAATGTCAGCGCTGGGTCCCGGTATGAAGGACGTCCAGGTACCATAAGATGTGTTTCTTAGCTGAAGGGTTTGGTCGTTCCAGGTGATGGTGTTTATACTCTCAGAAGCGACAATTTCAATGTTAGTGTCTTGGTCTATGTCGCCATACAACGATAACGTGCTTCCTATTACTGAAGCATTGCGGACTAGATATGGTCCAGAAATGAGTACTCGCTCATCTGGTGCAATCTCAGGTGCCCACCATTTGGTCGCGCTTTCGTACCCAGCTACAAGGACCAAGAGGTCTTTGTTGGGTGATGAGATACATATTGGATTGGTGCCGTCGGGATGATGATAGTTGACCTGAAGGACATTGTTATTGTAGTCGCTTGTTACGTCAAAAGAACTACAAGTCAGATTGGCATCTCCAGAAGGATATTTCAGCGCAATTTCACCGGCATGTCCTTCATATGCATAAACCAGTAAAACATCTCGGGAATCTTGCACGATATGGGTAAAGATTTCACTTGTTGAATACACCAAATGTTGTGATCCAAAGTCGTAGTAAGCGGTGATGATTTTGGAATCTCGCCCATCTAGAGTCAAATAGGTACCCTTTTTGGCGGGAATAGAGTACCGACCATCTTCTGTACTTATGAATATATTAAAGCTAAAGAGATGACGTTAAGCGAATACTACCATTTATGCTCTGGCTCCTGTGTAACTTCACGCTTACTTGCTCACGCTTAAAGAAGACGCTATCAGATGCTGTGCTATGTAAAACTGTGTTTTAGTATTAGGGTCTTGTAGTGAGTCTACAAGGATAGCAAGGTTGGTCGAAAAGGCAGTACAGTGGTCTGTTGAAGTAAACGGCTTGACGGTGTTGATAAATGTAGCTAAACGTTTTATCAATACAATCATACATAGTGTCAATAATATTCAGATATAATGACTCACCTTGTAGCTTTACTTCATATGCCTTTGCAGTCATCATTCGAGGCTCTGATATTGAGGCTCCGTAATCGTAACTGGTATATACGGCTGAGGCTCATGAGATTCGGTACGAACGGGCAGCAACAAATTTTTGTCTTAACTCACTAGGCTCAGCCATATCTCCCCAAGTCGTTCCACCTAAAATGGTTGATGATCAATAAAATGGATGAGCTAAAATGACTGTCAATCAAAAATTACATACCATAGGCCATATACAGATTGTGAATGGTAGCTCCGTGGGCATAGTTGTTCTTGTAGAAAACCTTAGCGAAGCGCTCATTTACCAGTTGTTGGCAGCTGCCATAGCCAGGCCCACCTATTCAAGATAGTCATCAATTTCTATCACCCAATATAGTTCCTAAACATTCATCGGAAACACCTTACCCCATGGATCAAAAGCCCCTCCTGATTATGACAAAATGAATCAATAGTTCATCGTTTTAAACTATGAGCGTATAGCATTTCGTACCTTGGAACTCGTAGATTGCCAGTGGCTCACTTGGGTTCGTTACCTGATGAAATAGCCGGAAGATCTTTGGTGTTTTGAGGGGCCAGCTATCGGGATTACTGCAGTCAAATCCGACAGGGTATGAGTCAAAACCGTAAACATCGACGGAACCCTTGCCATTTGCAAAATTTCTCAAAGTTGCTGCGTCATTGAAAGTTGTTGGAACAACAATTCCATCGGCACGAACTTTCTCCTCTAGAGCTTGCATGTAGTTAGCATCCACATTGTAGGTATATTCGTTTTCTGCTCGTCAGTGTATGCGTTAGCGATGTAAAAGAAAGATCAAAGCCGGTTGTCAATTTGAAAAAATTCATTACCGATTTGGTATAGAATGATGGGACCGCCTTGATCGATTTGCTGTTTCTCAATGTAGGGATTGATGGCCGAAAAATATTCTTTCCAGTTTGCTTCGTACTCCTCATTGTTTTGCCTAGCTTTGCTCTTCATGTTAACCAGCCACCCTGGAAACCCTCCATTGTCAACTTCTGCATTGATCTGATCATTTCGTTATGATGAATGTCCAGCACGTTAGTACCTTGACGATAGCTGTAAACAATATTCGTCATCTTACATAAGGGCCCGGCCGAGCAATAACGTAAAGTCCCGCTTCTTGAGCCATCCGCAAACACTGTTCAATATCACGTATTCCTTCGAAATCATAATCGTCTTGCATGGATGAATGGTATGCCCAAGAAAAATACAACGATACAGTGTTGAATCCTAATGCTTTCATCTTTTGGAATACATCTCTCCATAAATCCGGTGAGGGTAGTCGAAAATACTGCGGGAATGAGAGTGTGAATGATGCCGTTTTATGTAGAGAACGTTGTAGACATGATCTTACATGAAATTCTCCCGAGAAAATGAACTTCCGCTCGCCATTGATCAATAGAGAGTATTTATCCCAAGTGACTTTGCTGGTAGTATTTGTTGCTGTCAGACTCAACACGACATTGATGAAAAAGATGACTACTACAGTCAATATTCCTTTTTGGAACATCTTTCCAGAACCAAAGAAACAGACCAAGATTTGTACCTGTTTATAAGTTTTTTGCGCAGTGTCCTGACCTCAAGTGTGAGAAACAGGGTACGCCTTAGACGGTTCCTGCCTTATATGGAGGTTGCTAGTCAGGCGCACGATCACCAACCTCTCTCGACCCGTGGTTTCAGATACTGCTGACTGGTGAATCAGCGTAGTTACAAATAGTAGTGATGAAGTTAAGGTGTGTTATCATTTCAATGAAAAAGCTCAGTAAATAAGTACAACTAGAGATTTCAGATCACCGAAGTATCAAAACAGGTAAAGCATCGAATATACAAGTTAGTGTCTAACCTCTAAGTTGATGTGGCTGAGCACGTGCAATGCAATGGCGTTGAGAATGATGGTGGACTGCATAATTGTCGCGCAAATGCCAGTGCTTCCTCGATGAGCGCAGAACCTTGTGAACGAATATATTTAGTTCTGAAGCAAAGACGACTGTGATCATGAAAAAACTCCTGATATGAAATAATGTATATACATGGTGCTTTCGTCTACTCTAGTCCTAAATATCGTACCGGATGAAATCATCCATCACTTTTCTAACAGCACAGATAGTTCAAAAACTTTCCATTTATTTTATAAATGATTTCACTATACTCAAAAAGATACACGCTCTGCATAAGAAGGTGAATCCACCATGCCAACAGTAGGCTTTGAAGAGAGTAGCTTTCCATACGGTTTGAGAGTGACTTCTCCTAAAGTCACCGCTTCGTCAACTGCAATGACACCAATAGCAATTGAATTTTTGCCATTATGGTTCAAAAGACCTTCAGGGAGATAGAACAGTGTTTGTGGCCCCAAGTCGTTAGCTGCAAACAATAAATTTTTGATTCAATAATGGTAAAAGCAATGCGGTGTTTCGCCCAGAGTATGTTGACTTACCATATTTTCCAAGTTGCCAACCATTGATAAAAAGCAGTGCTCGATAGCGCTCAGTTTTGGTATCACTGAATTGGATACCCATTGGAACATCGTAATTCTTGGGAAAATCGAGCTCAAATGTAGTGCGATACCACGAAACACCAGGTTTTGCTTTAGTGTCTGGAACAGTTGCGTCCCCCCAAGTCTCATCAGGATACTCTGGTAGGTGCCATCCCATGCGCTCACCATATAGACCACCTTCATTTAATGCACCACGGACGGTGTCAGCAATATCTTGCCCACCACTGTTGCCTAAAAATTGACGTGGGCATAGTTCATGTGAGAACCTTGGCATATAGTAAAATGTAGATGCTAAACGTACCTTGGATCTTCCAGGTTATTTCAGTAGTCTGACTTCCAAGTAAGCTCACATCAGAAAAACCTCTTGGCTGTTTATATTCGTCGTTTGTAACAAAATCTTCTTGATGACCAGTAGTCCACAATAGAAGCAAAATAACATTCTCCTCTGCTTGGCGAAGAACTGTATCATTCAATTGAAATTCGTAAAAATGGTTTGTCATTCCACCGAGATAATCCCCATTTAGCCAAGCAATCCACGCAGATCCAGGTCCCATTGTGGCATTGACTTTCAACCCAGTTATGTCTGATGTGGCGTTGAATTTACCGCGAAACCATAGGCTCCCAGTGTGATAACCTACAGACAGTTGAACATGTGTAAATATGTGCAGCTTTCAAAAAGGAAATGCCCATTATGTGTTGCATACCATAGTCATCTGCATAAAGTACGGGAAGGTTCATTGGTTGCCGTGGGTTATTAGTCGCTTGGTGATCGGCAGGAACCCAGTTTGTGTCATTAAAGTCGTTGGCTGTTTCAGGCGAGGCAGGGCTGTACTTCCATGTTGCTTGCGCCAAGTCAGGGATTTCTACATCTTGTTCTGGCCCAGGAAGCTGACCAGTTAGGGTGCCGTACTGTGTAGGCGTAACCACTACATGGATTCCATTCCAGGTAACCTCACTGATCACTTCTGAAACAATGATCTCAATGTCGGTAGTAACATCAGTATCGCCCATTAATACCAATTGACTTCCTTCAATTTCAGCGCTGCGAACAAGGTACGGTCCAGATACAAGAACCGTTTCACCTCCGGAGCTTTGGGGTGCCCACCATCTTAATGCACTACTATATCCTGATACAATCAATAGCATTTCGCTTCCGTCTTCCGAAGGAGTGGTAGAAATATAAGTGCTACCTTCAGGATGAATGTAGTTGACTTGTAGCACATTATGATCGAACGAGTTAGAAACATTTGCATCCACTCCATATGCTTGGATGTCGCCGGATACCGAAGTAATAGCAAATTCGCCGTGTTCGCCTTCATAAGCATATACAAGAATCACATCACGGGAATCTTGCTTGATGTGGGTGAATATTTCGCTGGTTGAATAAAGCAAGTGTTGCGAACCAAAGTCATAGCTAGCGGTAAGTATCTTCGCATCCCGTCCGTTCAAGGTGATATGAGTGTCAAGTTTGCGAGGTATGGCAAATTCACCATCCGCCGTATTGAGCTTAATATGAAAACTTGGTGAGAACATCAGTAAGAAGTTGATGATAGAGGGATTATGGTTGTCAAAATAAGCTTACTTATCAGCGTTTGTGGTGTTAGTGACTTGGTGTTGAACGATATAAAAAGTGGTTGCTCCGCTGACGTCTCTCAGCCCGTCCACTCGAATGGCAAAGTTGTCTACTTCAGCCGTGATATTGGTTGTAGTCAAAAACGGTTTGACATCGCGCAGGAAAGTTGCTATGAAGTAACAGTTATTAGGTACTAAACTGAGTCTCATTTTTGTCGTAAGATTTTAAAGATGATTCAATAGTACCTTGTAGCTTAATCTCATATGCCTTTGGAGTCATCAGACGAGCTTCTGATATTGGTGCTCCGTAGTCATAGCTAGTATAAACGGCTAAATTGCGTCGGATCAGAATTCATAAAGCTTGAAAGCAGATTGAGAGAATTCATTACTCACATGATGTAGGGCTCTCTCCCCAGCTGTTGTGGTCAAAACGTACGGGATAGAAGGGTCAGTCATTTCGTTTTGCCTCCGCAAGAAAAACCAAAGTCTCTCTATATTCATTTTTACCTTGTACCTCCTACAACAAAAATGATCAGTGTGCGTCAGTAAGAGTTAAAGTCACTTTCTGAGTCTTACCATAAGCCATATACAGATTCTGAATAGTTGCGCCTTGAGCGTAGTTGTTCTTGTAGAACACTTTCGCAAATTGTTCATTTACTAACTTTCGGCAATTGTCATATCCTGGCCCCTAAGATAAAGTTAATGAATGCATAATGTGACATGAACCAACTGGATTTATACTGACACCCCAGGGATCAAATGCTCCTCCTACAAAAAGGCATTAGTCACGGAAAATGTAATCGGATCCTAGCTTTACAACTCTACCTTGGAATTCGTAAAGCGCCATTGGTTGAGTCGGGTTCACATTAGCATGAAATTCTCGATAATATGTACTAGCGTTGACTGGCCATATATCAGGGTTTCTGCAGTCAAATTGAACTGGGTACCCATCCCATCCATAGATATCAACGGATCCTTCGCCACGAGCAAAATGGTCACCGGGCCAAGGATCATTGAATGTGGAGGGTACAGTCATACCATCCTCTCTGAATTTGTCTGCAATAGCTTGCATGTAAGAGGGGTCTATACCATAAGCGTATTCGTTTTCTGTAATTTTTTTTTATCAGTTCTACTGATTATGTACTCAAACTTTACATAGTCAATTGCATATACCAACCTATTTGATTGAGGATGATGGCACCGCCTTTGTCGATTTGATTAGGTACAAGATACTTGTCTACTTCTGTTAGCCATTCCTTCCATGCCGTTTCATATTCAGGATTTCCTACTCTTGCTTTGCTTTTCATCGTTGTTAGCCACCCCGGATATCCACCTTCTGAAACCTCAGCGTTGATCTAGAGGCTACAGTCAGAATAATATGACTTCATATTACATATATGAAATGTGCACATACATAAGGACCTGCTCGAGAGATTACATTGATGCCGTACTTCTTCGCAGTTTCCAAAAGTCTTGAAAGGTCCCTAACACCTTCAAAGTCATACACTCCTTGCTTTGGAGAATGGTATCCCCAATAAAAATAGATGGAGGCAGTGTTGAAACCTAGAGCCTTGAATTTTTCAAAAATGTCATCCCAAAGACCTGGCGATGGTAGGCGATAGTACTGGTAATTACGAGCGTTGAAGTCAGTGTCACTTTTATAGTTTTACGAAAAGTTCATGCTTACGTGGAACTCTCCTGAAAAGATAAATTGCCTTTCACCATTGATCTTCAGCGAATACTGATCCCAGGTGACCGGTTTAATAGAGTTGACTGCAGAGCTATTCAAGCCTGAAGCGGCCCCAATTAATGATAACACCAAGGATATGCTCGTGAAGAGCTTTTTTACAGGCATCGAAATTAGATTTTGCAATACGTGTTTCCAAGCGAAATATAACGATGCTGATTTTACTATGCTATTAAAATAGGTGTATCGAAATAACTAAACGTTTGATTGAAAAAGTTGAGTTCGGCGAGTGAAATGGGTATTTATATTGCAAAAAAAAGAAGCGGCTAAGAAAGCTAATTCTATTTCGTGCCGAGGGACGAGCTCAATGTAAAAAATTTCCATAATGGATTGGTTTCGGCGGTATATCCCCTTCGCCACATTTCTACCCAAGGCACAGCTGGTCACCTAGGTCATTCTCCGATAAATCGCAGTATGGGCATAATTTCACTTTCCAATAGGCAGAATTGATCAGCTTCAAGCTTATTTTTTAGTTAGAAAGAAAAATAAGCAGTAAGCAAGGAAAGATAATACATCTATTTGGGAGAACAATGTCTGCCAGTCAAGATTGTACCCTGATAAGTGGCTATGACTGACTTAAAGTAATATCTATAGAACATCATCTACTTCTAAACCAAATCAATGGCTTGATTTACGGGAGGCATATGTTGGAGAGTTGACTACTCCAACAGTAGGCTTGCCCGAGAGAAGCTTGGCATACGGTTCAATGGTTACCTCTCCAAGAGTCACTTCTTCATCAACGGCAACGACGCCAATAGCAATAGTGTTTTCACCATGGTGATTCAAAATACCTTCAGGTACATAGAATAGTGTTTGTGGACCCAAGTCATTTGCTATAGTGGTGCAAGGAACTTAGTCAGTTGCAGGCCAAACTATTGATTGCTGGTGGAAACGTACTTACCAAATTTACCGAATTGCCATCCGTTGATGAACAGCAATGCACGAAGGCGCTCAGTGCTGCTGCTCTCCTTGAAGCGAATACCAAGAGGAACATCGTGATTCTTTGGAATATTGAGATCGAATGTGGTACGATACCAGGAGACGCCGGATCGCTTGGTATCTGGTAGGGATACCTTCTTCCAGTTTTGATCTGGGTATCCGGGAAGGTGCCAACCCATACGTTCACCATAAAGTCCTCCTTCATTCAATGCGCCACGAACAGTATCAACAATGTTTTCACCACCAAGGTTTCCTAAAACAACATATCATCGTTAGCCACAAAATTCCAAGCAAAATCTTTGGTTTGAAAATCTATTAGTACCTTGCACTTTCCACGAAATGGGAGTCTTCTTACTGCCAGTCAAACTGACTTCAGTAAAACCTCTTGGGGTCTTGTACTGATCATTCACATTCCAATCTTCTTCGTGTCCAGTAGTCCACATCAATAGAGAAAGAACGTTATCTCCAGATTTCTCAAGGTCGGATTGTTTAATACTGAAATCCTTGACAATATCAGTTTCTCCACCAAGGTACTTTCCATTTAACCAAGCAACCCATGCGGAACCATATCCCATGGTAGCGTTGACTTTAATTCCAGATATATCTGAAGAAGACTTGAATTTACCACGGAACCAGAGACTTCCAGTGTGATAACCTACAAATAACCATATACATATTAGACCTTGTGCATAGACACTGTTTCTCCAAAAAAATTAATATTCGTACCATAATCATCGGAATAGAGGACAGGCAATGATGTCGGAGGGAAGGGGTTTGTGGTGGTTTTATGATCAGCAGCAACCCACTTGGAATCGTCAAAGTCGTTTGTTGTCTCAGGAGAGGCTGGACTGTACTTCCAGGTAGACTTTGTCAAGTCAGGAAGTTTGATGTTCTTGTTAGGGCCAGAAACCTTGCCAGTGAGTGTTCCATATTTGGTTGATTTGACAGAAACATTAACTCCGTTCCATGTAACTTGCTTGACAGCGCTAGATACAACAATTTCAAGGTTGGTGGTTGCATCTGTATCACCAGTCAAAGCCAAGCGCTTTCCATTGATCTCGGCACTACGGACCAAGTAAGGACCAGAAATAAGAACAGTCTCGCCTTTGGAGGTTTGAGGAGCCCACCACTTGACTGCTGTGTCGTATCCAGATACGATCAACAACAACTCTTTTCCGTTCTTTCCAGTAGCAGAAATGAAAGCGCTACCATGAGGGTACTTGTAGTTAATTTGGAGGACGTTCTTGTTGAGAGTGCTTGAGACACCTGCAGAGGTTCCGTACGCCTGTACTTTATTGGCCGATGAGGTGATGGCAACCTCGCCATCCTCACCTTCATATGCGTACACAAGGAGCACATCGCGAGCATCCTGTTGAGTATGAGTGAATATGTCACTAGTGGCATAAAGCAAATGTTGCGATCCAAAGTCATAGCTAGCTGTGATGATTTTTGCATCGCGACCGTTCAGAGTGATTGCAGTGCCAGACTTGCGAGGAACAGCGAACTTGCCATCGTTTGTATCAACAGTAACATGGAACCTAGAATTTGTTCTTTAGAATCTCATTCAGAAGATATGGTATGGACCACCCAAAAGTACTTACTTGTCGACGTTGGTGGTGTTGCTAAAAGCATGTTGCACGATGTAGAAAGTGGTGTCACTGCTAATATCCTTGATACCATCCACACGGATAGCATCGTTGTCAACTTCGGCAGTGGTGTTTGTGGTGGACACGAAAGGCTTGACATCACGCAAGAACGCACCTATAAAGTTAAGTATTAATAAAATAAAACTCTATATTGTTTTCTCGTGCGTTTGACTAGACAAGCTGGATACATTCTTACCTTGAAGCTTGATTTCATATGCCTTGGGAGTCATTAAGCCGGCCTCGGTAATAGGCGAACCGTAATCATAACTAGTGTAGACGGCTAAATGCTCATATGTAAGAAACGCTGACAGTTTTTATCAAAACGATAGACATGATATGTACCTGTAGTTGGAATTTCTCCCCAGCTGAGGTAAAGAAAAGAAAGCAGGTTTAGCAAGGTGGATTGATTACCAAATTATAATTTCGAAAAAGCCATTACCTTGTGCCACCTAAATAATGGACAAAGCATGGTCAGCCTCTGTTCAAAAGTGAACCCACATATTTCAATAAACCTACCATAACCCATATACAAACTCTGTATTGTTGCTCCTTGGGCATAGTTGTTCTTGTAGAAGATCTTTGCAAATCTTTCATTGGTAAGTTCGCGGCATTTTTCAAAACCAGCTCCCTAAACCGAGCGTTAGCAATAATTTCCGTGAAGTATAATTTTGATATCAAGTGGAACACATACACCCCAACCATCTATGGCTCCACCTTGGAACTCGTAGAGAGCCATTGGCTCCGTCGGGTTAGTGGAATCACGGAAATCTCTGAAATATGTGCTGACGTTACTTGGCCATACGTCAGGGTGACTGCAGTCAAAGAGAACAGGATAGCTGTCCCAGCCATAGATATCAACAGCCCCTTCACCAGTAGCCCAATGTCCTCCGGTCCATGGGTCATTAAAGGTTGTCGGTACGTCCATACCGTCTTTTTTGTACTTATCTGCCAAGGCAACCATGTAGCTAGGATCCAATCCGACAGCGTACTCGTTTTCTACATACATCACTGTCAATGATGAAACACCTTTGTACCAAGATGCTATTGCATTACTTACCGAGTTGATTGAGAATGATTGGACCACCGTTACCAATTTGATTAGGAACAAGGTGCTTATCTACAGCTGTCAACCATTCCTTCCATGCTTCGTCGTAAGATGGGTTGCTGGTACGTGCTGTTCCGTTAATGGTGGTCAGCCATCCAGGAAAACCTCCTTCCGAAACTTCGGCATTGATCTGTTTATCTCAGTCAGCACAGTAATTTATCACAATGCCCGCCTTGAATAGTACTTACGTATGGACCCGCACGAGAGATAATATTGATACCATACTTCTTGGCAGTTTCTAAGAACTTTGAAATATCTCTGACACCTTCAAAGTCATACACTCCTTGCTTTGGAGAATGGTAACCCCAATAAAAGTATATAGATGCGGTGTTGAAGTTGAGTGCCTTGAACTTCTCAAAAATGTCAGCCCATAGATCCGGTGAAGGCAGGCGATAATACTAAAATCCATCAAGTGTTAAAGTCTTTTACGTCCACTATATCAATGCAATGTAAAAGTGCTTACATGGAACTCTCCTGAAAACGTGAAAAGGCGTTCACCGTTAATTTTCAAGGAATACTTGTCCCAAGTGACAATCTTGCTGGAGTCGACAGTGCTTCCTGACACCACTCCAACCAGGGATAGTGCAAGAGAAATGCTTGCGACAAGTTTCTTTGCAACCATAATTTCACTAATCAATGCAACGTGCCTGAAACCGCTGAGCGAAGAAATAAGTGGGGGTTTTATTCAAGCGCCATGGCAATTTCCCCATGGAGTAAACTTTTGAGTTCAAATGTCACATCCAAAATTAATGCGAGCGTACCGTGGTTGCCGAACTGAGATCTTCACAGCTTTGAGTCCTTACAATCTTTAGCTCTAGCACCATAAGCTCATGCCGGGTACGACATTGACTCAACAACGTTCAATATGTACTGAATGCATCTCCTACTTGTTGGCTTGTGATGTACAATAAGTTTAGGTTGTGCAGTATTCCCCACACTTGTGCATCTCGGAATGCTAAGGAATAATTGAATTTGGGCATTTCTCCGAGCAAGTCTTTCATTCGTGTGCTACGGCATTACTCAAGCATCTCCGATTTAGACGGTCTGTCGGCCACGCTCAAGACCACTTCGTCCTTTTCTAAGCTTCGTCACATGGGCCACCGTATTACTGGATAGCCTGTGTACCAATTACCACATGCCTTCTTCCCTTTCTATGCTCACTGCATCACGGCCTGAACGCTCCCACTACAACCTTCTATGAAATGAAATTATGTAATCGAGTACGGAGATCCTCGGATTGCGTATACCTATAGAATGGGGTTGCTTATACTTTTCTAACAAATACATTCTGTCCTTCCACAGTAGATGTAAGGTCTTTTATCGACATCAGTGAAATAAATAGCAAGATGTTTAGTAAAGCAAGCTTGAGGGCGTATCAACCGTGTTATTCGGAAGCAAATCGTCTCTGTGCACCAATATTATGTTATGCCCTTGCCCTCGGTGTAATAGGTACATAATGTGGGGTAACACAAATTGATTACAAGCTACTACAACTTCGGCAAGTATTAGAGAGAAAATAAAAATGTATCTATGGAGATGCATCAAGGCAGGCCGGATAGACCTTCAAGAGTAGCATCGGTGGCTGGAATTTGTCTTGTATGATAGCGTTTAAGAAAAAGAAAGCAAATTTTTGTTTTCTACCAACGCTGTTGATATGAACGAGAATCTCTAGTCGGCATCGTTGAATAGTGCTGCATTTTTCCCATCATCGTCTTCACTTTCTGCGCCATCTGAATTGCTCTGCTCATCAAAGAAATGACTGAATTTGGATTCCTCGACGTCTTCTGTAATGGATGGCTTTCTATTAGGTCTGTTGTCGTCCTCGATCTCATCATCAGCGTGTGGATAGATTAAGTTTCCAAACTCAGCGCTCTCATGCATGATCGCTGTGGCAGTCGCCAAAGTATCATCGTCAACACCAGTAGGAGTGCGAGTTCTGCCAGATTGAATGTCTTGTTTAATAAGCCGTCGGCCACACTCAGGAACCAGAACTTGCTGTAAGTATTCTATAGGGTCTTGAGGGGAAGACTTCGCTGGTGTCAACTTTCCAGACTCGATTAGTAGCGTCGACAGCACTTTCATGATCCGATGTGAACCCTCTGCACCATAATATCCGGGCTGTGAGAAAAGTTAGTCAATGCCGAATATCCACAAGCTTGTGAAATCTAGGAAGCAAAACAATACCAGAGTGGACTCGAAGCGTTCCAAAACCTTGAGCGTGCTCCGCGCTTTGTTCTTGCCAAACTCTTCATAAGCTGCCATAACATTTTGATGAAATACGCTTGATATCTTTCCATTGATAATGTCTTCCATCTCGTCCATAAATAAAAAAATCCGCTCCTCCAATTCGTCAAAGTTTATATTCATGTAATAGCCTTTTTGAATGCCTTGTGGGATCATAATCTGTTCCTTCTTGTGCATTCGGCAAAAAAGATATCTCTCTCTGTTGGAAGCTGAAACTCGATTTTTGGAATATCGTGGTCGTATAAGTAATTGCATTGATGATGTCTGAGATTCATCCACATTGGGTGCTGAGCTGTCGTTGTTAGCCAATTCATCCACTGCCTGCTGTTCAGCATCATCATCTGTTGCGAGAACTTTAGCTAACGCATCCTCCAGTGATTTAGACAAGGGCTTCTCAAGGACTTGGTGACAATACGGGCATTTTAGAGCTGTACCAAAGATTGGGAAAAAAAGAAATGCGTCAGTGGGGAGAATATGTATAATTCATGACATGCAAATTGTCCATACTATTCGCGTTGTCTGATGTGTGATCCAAGGCTGAAACACTGGTCAGTCTTGCCTTGATTTCATCAATACTTTTCAACGATTCATTTTCCTTTCTACGACGGCTTTTCCTAGGCTTCGGTAGACTGAGGACATCTGTGCGTATAGTTGTTGAAACTCCAAAGGGATTTAATGGCTTGACTTTGCGTGGGAGTGATGCAGCAAACAGATCTTTTGTTTGCTCCTGACTAGCACTTGCTAAAGACCCCATGGACTTTTTCTTGAGGTAGGATAATGCTCGAACATTGCCGCTTGAGGACGGTACCTTGGTTGTCGGTAACTCAGACATATGCGAAGACGACGTGGAAAGCTTTAATGATTTGGTCTTTGGCGTTGACGGCTTGTAGTCGCTCTCCAATTTTGTGTTCTTCTTTGTTTCTGTATGGCTTTCTGAGAGTTGCAGCCGACTGCCATGCCTCTGTGATTCCGCATTCTCGCTTGGACGCTTTCTTTTGGAGCTCATGACAGAAGGTGGTACTTTCGAGCTTGCTTGAAAATCATCAAAGTCATCATCAAAAGAGCGAAAGGAGGTCTCTTTACTTGAACTGTTTTTCAGTGATCCTGACTGCATCCGCCGTGGATCTCCTTGGCGAATATGATGTCTATTGGTTAAATTGCTCATGAGGGAGGGGTGTTTAGGTGGGCTACTGCTGGAAACGTTCGTGCTTGTGACTGCGTAGGTGCAGCCAAGTTGACCTGGCTTTGCATTATAGTGAGGTACACTCGCACGGTACATTACAAGACATAGGTGGTATATAAATCAGTTTATGTTACATCAATAACTAAAGATCCTCTAAGATTTGCTTAACAGATCGATCTTCTGTACAAGCTCCACAATTTGGCTGCGATACATTTCCTTCACGTCCGATATATCAGCCCGTAATTCTTCCACTTGCTCCGTTCTCTCTCCAAGCATCTCCAACGCAGCATGATATCTAGAATAGTAGTTTAGATACTGTTTGAATCAGTTTTAATACAGAATTTGCATCGCGCCTCACCTTTGATTAAGCTCTTCGTGTTCAGCCTTCAACTTGTCCGCAGTCTTCGACTCTTCACGCCTTTGAAAATTGTGTTAAAGAAATGTTTCAAGCTACTTTAGGGAAGGATCGCCCATTACTTACAATTTATCTACATCGTGTGACAATTTGACTAGCTCTTCGGCGAGTTCATCTAGTTGGAGAACAAATGTCAATGTGGCGTGCTCCAAATGGGTCTAGCATTCAGGTTGAATAGGCTTACCTCTTGATTGCGCGGATTGCTGAGCTTGCACTTGATACAATTGATTTTGACCCTCAAGCTGCCTGATTGTAGCATTTAAACGTTCGATAACAATAGTTGGAGGGCCAGCTGAGCTGGAGACGGGTCCCATGTGAGGACTGCTATCGAAACTAGATCGGTTACTGGTTGCTGGACTCGATTGGTCAAAGGCTAATCGATTCGCTCGTGACTCGTCTGTATTTTCATTGACCCAGTTTGCTACAAATGAATTTTGGCGTTTGCTACGCCCGAGCGGAGAGGCCAAAGAAGTGGCTCGAAGCCGCTCTTGACGAGCTATTTCCTCCCATTTTTCTTTAGCTTCTTCTAACTGCTGCGCTGCCGTCTGCTCATATCGTCGTCGCTCATCATCCAATGACCTGGAGTGTTGTTCATCCATCATCTTCAAGTCGTTTTCCAATCCAGATAGCTTTTTCGCCATATCGGCGCTGGCCACTTTCTCTGCAGCCAATTGCTTCTCGCTGGCATCAAGTCGCTGTTGTAGGTCCTGAATTTGCTGTTGTAGTTTTTCCACTCTTTCACTCTGAAGATGTGCGATCAGTTACCGTCCATACTTCGCCTCTTCATACTTTGGCACTTACATATTGTGACACGGAAACTTCGAGTTGAGCCTCGTTGGCCGCCGATTGTGTGTGGGATGCTTTAGCCTCTTCCAGCTCCGATGAAAACCTTGGTGAAACAGTATTAGTTCCTGAATTCTCTATGCTACTCAGTCGCAATCTCAAGTCAAATCTTACCTCCTTTCCATCTCATCCCGGCTCTTCGTCATCTCGTTGATTTTCGCTTGTAAAACCTCAATTTGCCTCAACAATGGCTGCGTGGAATCATCCATATTAGAATGAACCTCATCAGCATAGGCTTCGGCGGCTTGCAAACGCTGTTGCAATCTCTGAAATGGGAGGTCAGCATGAATGGCTTCATAGATTACAGACGAATTCTGCGACGTTAGCTTACAGCAATGTCTTTTCGCAAGTTGTCTTCGCGATAACCAGCTTTTTCCTCGATCGTTTGAATAGCTATTTGAAGTTCGCGGATATTCTTTTTCAACTTTTCTTCAGTTTCCTCCGCTGTTGATCGAGTCTCGGTCAACTCTTTGTGAAGTCGGTCATTTGCTTTCAATTCTTTTTCTAAAGCTGCTGCATGGGCTGCTGAAGCTTCCATTTCTCCGCTCTCCTTAGCATCCGTCAACTCCTTCTGCACTTGTTCCAGTTGTGCCTACCAGTTCAACGTAGTGTAAGTTAAAAATGGTGTGAGTCAATCGGTAGTTCGAGGTTATCATTCTTACCTGACTGGCTTTCAATTCACTCTTTGTGTCTTCCAGGGTTTTCTCAAGTCGTGCGATCGTCTTTTGTTGTTTATTAGTTGCAATATTTGCGTTTTTCAACGATTCTGTCAATCCATTGATTCAAGATATTAGGTAAATTGATCCATCACGCGCACAATGCTAAATACAATACATACCGCTGTTCTTCTTTTCGGTTTCAGTCATTCTCGCAACTTTTGCATTGGCTTCAATGAGGTCGCTGGAACCCTTCTCTATCTTCTTCTGAAGATCCTGTACACTCTTGTCAGATTCTTGCTTGTCAGCACGCAGCTTTTTCAGAGCATTCATGTGCTTTAGCTCCCTCTTGGATAGCGCCTCTCCTTCTGCCATGAGACCTTGAATCTGAGTATCCTTCCCTGCCAGCTGAGAGCGTAAGTCATCCACCACTTTATTTCCGCTCTTGCTGCTCATGAGTTCGTCGATCTTGGATTTCAAGCGAGAAATTTCTGCGTCGCTTGAATCTTGTAATTGGTGCAATTGTTCGTGCAGTTCAGCATTGGACTTCATGACGCTCAAGACTTGCTCTTCTCGTTGTCGTATAATGGCATTCCATTTTTCGTCTTCATTTGCGCTGGCTGCATTGTCTTCTTTGGGAACTGAAGCTGATGTATCGGGTACCAACACCGTTGCTTCCTCTGTGTCGTTGTCTTCTGGTTCCATGATGGTCTCAGGCTTGTCTTTCTGAATGTCGATACTCTCGGACGGTTTCTCTTCCACATATTCTGTAATTTCTCGTGAAGCTTCATGTTCAGCTGTAGTTTCCGTAGATTCTTCATTCGCCTTAACTTCTACGGTCACTTCGCTGGCTTCATGTTCATTGGGTGTATTGTCCTCCACTGCTGCGCTCGTAGGTTCGGGGAGAGGCTGCGGTGTGGTATCTTCAATTTCGCTGTTTTCCTCTTCTTCCGCTATGGGTATTGTATTATCTTCTGTTTGTTCAGGCTCAGTGCTTTGGGGTTCGTTTTCTTCTCCAACATTTGGTGCATTGTCAGTGGCAGTCGTTTCAGGTTCCGTTTCCGCCTCGCCAGAGGAAATATCTTGTTGTTTGTCTACAATCGCTTGTTCCCCATCCGTTTCCACCAAAGGCTGCTCTCCTTCTTCTGATTTAGAAACATCATCGTCTTTCTCTACCTTCATTTCGCTTGAAGATTTAGCTTGTGAGGTTAAAATAGCATCTTTGGTGGTCGGTTTAGGTGTAGATCGTCCTGAATTCGATGGACTAGACGGCCTTCCCGCCTTTTCCGACATGACTGCCGCTAATCGTGCTGAGAGGTCTGTAGCTGAACGTGATGCCGGTTGGTTGCTGGGGAGCTTTCCTTGGGCGTTGCTTTTAGGAGACTCAGGTGCCTTGGTTGAATCTACCGGTTTCGTAGCGGTTGACGCTTTTGGTCGTTTACGTTGAATAGTTGTCACCATACCACTGTCGGGATCGACATACGTGTCGGTAAATGTTTCTGCGCAAAGGATTGTTAGATTGAAGCAAACTGCGTAGATCTCACCATTTCAAGCTTACCTTCATCTTGGGCATCTCCATTGTTCTTATTTGATAAACCTGTGGCATCCTGATCAAGCAGACTGTCGAATCTAGTCTCGACAGAGGAAATGGCTTGCTTGAAGAACCCTCCCCAGGCATTGGCACTGCCTTGCTTCTGATCGCCACCAAAGAAGCTCATGCTGCCGATTCCAAGGTGAGTGGTTGTCGGAATACGAAAGAGTGATTGTGAATGCAGCTGTAAATTCTTTAGCCTTTATGATCGCTCGCCAGGAGCGGTGAAGAGACACAAACACTGGAATAGACGAAGTACTGCAAAAGCCGAATAAATAGGTTACAAGAGCGCTATTGAAACTTGGTGACACCAAGACTTGCCACGACAACTCCATCCCCACGCAATATAATGGTATTTTGCCTGAAATTGTGAGTGCTGCAGAGTGGCCAGCAAATCTGCTCTGACCGTCGACAAAATGCATCCCTGGTCCATTCCCTCATTTCACACCCATCTTCATCCGTTTGTTCTCATCAAAAGCATCAATTTTTTTTAAAAGAGCATCGTTTTTAGGCTTACTCTACAGAAAATATGTCAGTTGCAATGTTTCTGGTTTTCCAAAGCTTTCGTTACTGATGATAATTCCTTATTTACATTTATGCGCTAACAAGAGAAACAGTGAAGTGTAAAATGAACAACAATCAATGTTATAAATGAGACTTGAACTCCCTAGGAATCATATTTGCAGCGTGCCATAAAGGCGAATATCCCGACTACTAGCACCAATGTAGACGCCATAATGACCGGAAAGAACCTTCCAAGTTCTACTCGGGGTATCCCAAACGCTAAGCTCTTTGGATATATTTACCAGGAATGAGACATTAGACATTTGACCTGGGTTGAGCATTATTTTCTCGAAACCTCGAAGGATTTTAGGTGGCTCTTCCGCACTCTGGGGAAAACCAATATATAATTGAGGAACTTCCGCTCCACCTGTACCTCCGGTATTGGTAATGCTTGCAGAAATTGTGATAGTTTTTCCTTCATTTTGGATTGAAAGATTACTATAGTTAAAGCTGGTGTATGACAAGCCATATCCGAACTCAAAGAGAGGAGTAATGTTTTTAGCATCAAACCATCGGTAGCCGATAAGTAGTCCTTCGCTGTAATTCACTGGTTGGGTTATCGAGGCATGGGCGGCGTAATCAGAAGATTTTCGAGCAATGGTATATGGAAGACGGCCAGATGGATTAATATCACCGAATAGAACATCTGCTATGGAATTACCAGTCTCTTCACCAGGCAACCCAGCATTGATGATGCCCTTGACTTTATCCACCCAGGGCATCAGAACGGCACCAGGCGTATGGATAACCACTACGATATTTTGATTCACTTGTGCAACTGCGTTTATAAGGTCATCTCCTCCATTCCATAGACTAAGATTGAAGCGATCACTTCCTTCGCCAGAATCGGCATTGACGAATACCACAGCTACATCTACAGCACCAGCTACTTGTACAGCTGAAAGCAGACTGTTACTAAGACTACTTTTGATGCGAGTGCTTTTGTTAGCTCGAGATGTAATGCCTTGAATCGGTGTAACAAGATCGAAAAAATAAGACCCTCCAGAGCCCCATCCAGCAGCGATAGTCCCAGTATCACACGGCCCTTCAGTACAACCTCCTGGACCATAAAACGCAGCACCCGCATCAGTACCTATGATTCCAAGGCTCGCAACGTTGCTTAGAGGGAGCACCGCGTCAAGGTTTCTCAATAAGATGGCGGAAGCAGCTCCAATTTCACGGATGGTTTTCTTGTGGCTGTCTTGCACATCAATGAATGGAGCTCTCTGAGGATCTTGAGAGTTAACACCTACAAGTGGGTAATTTTGATCCTGGCCAAACTTGTACCATGTAGCCAGAATTCGCGCAGCCATTGTGTCTATATTCCTTTGCGTAACTAGCCCATTCTGAAGCGATGCCAGTAAACTTGCACCCCAGAAAGTATCAGGACCAGGCATATCCATATCAAGGCCAGCCAGCAAACTTTTAGCCCCGGAGTGAGTTGACCCCCAATCACTCTGGACAAAGCCTTGAAAATTCATTTCTTGTCTCAATATTCGATTTAGTATGTCTTTGTTTTCACAGCCATATACGCCGTTAACCTGATTATAAGAGCACATGACGGAGCCAACATCTGCCTCAATAGCCCTTGCAAATGGCCACGCATAAACTTCGTGAATCGTTCTATCATCAGCGTTTGAGGTTCCCTAAATCTGATGTTATTATTTACTTGCTTTTAAATTTCACTATGAGAAAAAATGTCATTTACAGTTAAGCGGTCTGTTTCCTGTTCATTCAGTATATAATGCTTGGCGGTTGCAATCTGTAATCATATTTCGTTCACTTGTTAGCACAATGGGTAAGATGAAAACTGCTTACTATCAAGATTTTTCTTTTTTTTTAAAAAAAAAAAAAAAAAAATGGACAGGAGAGCGTCTAAAATTACATACTACACCGTAATCTTGAACACCTTGTATTGCGAGCTGGCCCATAATTCCAGTCAAATAGGGGTCTTCGCCGAAGCCTTCCCAATTACGGCCAGCTTCAGGAACACGAGCAAGATTAATATCAGGGCCGAGCTGGACGTTTATACCTTTTCCCCGGAATTCAGAACCTATATCGTGAGCACGTCGAAGAGCCAGGTTGCGATCAAACGTCGCCGCAGTATTAATGCTCGCAATACCACCTGTGACGTTGTATGCAACGCGAACGGCCAAAGGAGAGTCTTGAAGACATAAACCTGGCCAATTTATTCTGGTAATGGCAGCTGTATTGCCTATGCAAAGACCACTTCCAGTACCAGTTCCTAGTGCGACCTTCTCGTCTAGTGTTAAAGTCGATAGAGCTGTATAAGCTTTTTGGTAGGCTTGCTTCCAGGTGATTTGAGCGGCAGCGTGATTAAACGATGCTGTTATGGCTAGAAATATTAGGCATAAATATAGCTTCATATTTGAAGAGGGATAAAAGGATTTTTAAAAGGAAAGTTATGCCAATGCTGAGAGCAAGAATTCTTTTTTCGTTGTCAGCCCTTCCGTGCCACTATATCGCTACAGTTTACAACATATTTGTAACATCACCAAATATAACTGAAGGGATGCAATAGCTTTCGGTGTTCACTAAAAATAATCAAATCATATCCATACATAAGTCTAATTGACCAGAAGAAACATCCATCAGATAACGAAAGTGAGTTAAATACGCAAGAAGGGGGTGCACGGACGAAACGGGGAGACGACCGACGATATTGATACTCCAATGTACGTTTCGTTAATATGAACCTTTCCCGCTTGGTTTCATATTGTTTCTATTTTGTACCTCAATAACACATATCTTTGGTGCCTTAATGTTCTGTTTCTTTAAACATGGCACGTAGCCTATCGTTATGGTGCGAGCTCAACGGAGTCCTAATTTTTTTTTTTTTTTGAATTGACAAAATTCAAAATGTTTCAAAGCACGTTGCCGAATCCACCCCTCTCTCTCGTTTACTAACATGGTCCACGCTCAAGATGTCCCCATTGCCGTCATTGGCGGATCCGGTCTTTACCACCTCGACAACCTCGAAGTTATTGAGGAAGTTAACCCTGAGACTGTAAGTATAGGTTCAATGGTTCGTTGAATGTTGAAGTTTCTGATAACCAACTACTCTATACAACAGCCCTGGGGATTTCCCAGCGACAAAATTATCATTGCTCGCTCTCCCTCCGGATGCAAAATCGCCTTCTTGGCTCGCCATGGCCGCGGTCATTACCTCACTCCCTCCGAGGTACCTAGCCGTGCTAACATTGCCGCTTTGAAGCATCTCGGTGTTAAGGCCATCCTTGCTTTCTCCGCCGTCGGTTCCCTTCGTGAGGAAATCCCCCCCTGCGACTTCGTTCTGCCTGATCAGGTCATCGACAGAACTAAGGGAATCCGCCCATCCACATTCTTTGGTGAAGGTCTTGTTGCTCATGCTATGTTCGCTGACCCCTTCCACGCCGGTTTGGCCGATCTTGTCTATGCCCAGCGTGAAATTCTTGACTTTGGAGCTAAGATCCACAAGAACAAGACAGCCGTCTGCATGGAGGGACCTGCTTTCTCTACCCGCGCTGAGTCACACATGTACCGCGCTTGGGGTGCTGATATCATCAACATGTCTGCTTTGCCCGAAGCCAAGCTTGCTCGTGAAGCTGAAATCGACTACCAAATGGTTTGCATGTCCACTGATTACGACTGCTGGAGAGTTGAAGAGGAGGCTGTTACCGTAGAAACTGTTATGCAAAACATGGTCAACAACGGTTCCAATGCTAAGAAGCTTCTCTTGGCTGTGTTGCCTTCCTTGGAGGAGGCCGTTAGCAAGGATGCCTTGTTGCCCAACTACAAGGGTTCCATGAAGTTCTCTGGCATGACTGCTTCCGAGAAGAGATCCCCTGAAACCGTCAAGAAGTTGGAATATATTCTTCCCGGTTACTACTCATAGATTGTATCATTAATTAGACTACTGCGAGAATAAAGATGCCAATAACTGTATATCCGTATCTTCCATAGCAGCTGACAATTGCATCGTTGATAGAGCCTTTCTATGAATGAGTGTTATGAGATAAGCATATACAAACGTTGTTTGTCCAATCAGCGATGTTATAAATAACGACATTGAACATGTGCTACTACACTGGATTAAAGGAAGACACAGTTGATGCCAGCGCTTTGTTTAGACTCATTTGTATTACCATGTTATCATTATGTTTTTATTTACTAGCTGATAAAAGCTGTACATACTGTCCATTCAATTGGAAATCTTTGGCATAAGAAAGAAAAGTGGTGATGGAATCGCATACACCTGCTCATGTTGCATTACAAAACTATAGTTAAAAAAAAGTTCCTCTGTGGTATTCCCTTATGGATGGGCCCATATATTATCTTTCACAACCGTCAGCGGACCAGCCGCCATAACTCCACATTTGTCGCCACGATACTTTACTGCAATAGGTGAAGGTTCGCTCCCTGGAGATGAGCTTGTCCTTGAGCTTACGTCCAGGTCTGAAAAGTTCATATCTGTACATTCGCTTCCTTCCAAAGATACATTTGCGACGCTGGCCGTTAGCATCCTCAAAGTCTGGTCCAAAGCGTCATCATCGTCTTCTATGTTTGCGTTCGCTCCGGTATCTGTAAGTTTCCATTTGTACATATGATTGGGGCTTGGTAGAGATGTCTCAAAAGTCGAGAAGGAAGACAGATTGGACACCGGTTGCGCGGGATTTGCTTCATACATGTCTTGTCTTGGTGAATTAGCGCTGTTCGCTACCGTAGGGGTGGAAAAGCAGTTGGCGGGCATCATGAAGTGCACAATGTCCAGTGGGCACGGAATGCCACTTGTACCGATAAGCATAGTTTTCTGTCGCTCGGTAAATGCGGGACACATTATTCCGGACCTAACAAGGCGCTCCAAAAGGGTACAGTCAATTTGGACATAATCCTTGGACAAGTGGGTTTTCAAAGATTCTTTGATAGGAAAAGAAAAAATCATTAAGGCGGGATCTTTGGTATGGTGTCAAAAGCCTTTTCACCCACACTTACCAATAGCAAGTTTCAGCATTTCGTAAACATGATCTCTATGTAACGTGGTGATAAGATGGGCTTGATGCCAGGGGTACTTTGTTACCACGGTAATGATATTTTCAAATGGCCTCTCCGCACATTTTCTAGAAAAATGCAGCTGTCAAAGTGTGATGTGTGAGCAACCACAATGGAGTTTAACCAGAAAAGGCTACAATTGACCAAAACCATACCTTGTAGTTTCTGCATACAACAAGGAGAGAGTTGATCTCTTCTCTCGTGACAAATGGTGGGCACGCACCGCTAACATTTCCTCCTGCCGCTGTCGACATAGTACGAAGCACGGACGCATCAGGTGGGATTGCGGTTGTACCAATGAATTTACCGCGCCATTTAGGGAACACAACACGGAGGAACTCTTCCTGTGAACATTCTTGTACCCCTACTATTCTCCCTTTAAGTGGTCGCATGTTACATTGCTCGATCGCACGCTGCATATCGTTGTAGCTCACAAATTCGACATATGCATCGGAGAGTGTTTTTCCAGTAGTTCGATCCATCATGACCTTGACATAGCAGCGTTATTATCATTGTCTAATCTCGATTTTCATGTGATGGTGCCACTTACATGAATTGCCTGGTTGTAAAGGGAAGGGGAAGGGATTTGGAAGCAAGAAAAAAATTTCGCAATGTCTGCTTGAGAGACATCCCAAGGTATATTGCTCAGTTTTACACATGGCCAGTTGCCAGAGGATTGACTAAAGCTCATGCTAGTATTGCCGGTAGTTTGAATGTAGTCACTACCCACTTTTGGTTGATTATATTGAAAAGACATGGTATCTGTAAGTCTTCGAATGCCTGCTGTCTGTTGAGGTCTAGTGGGCACTGGCGAGCATTCGTATGGTGAAGGAGAGCCGCCTAAAGGTAGTAGCTCACTCGTAGCCTAGATGTAACTAATTAGTTGGTTATTCCCTAGTCAACCTTTATGCCCATTTTATCTTACCAAGTCACATTGAGGGCATACGACTGAATACCAATTGCCTCTTTGCAACGCTTCTGTGCGAGACAGCTTTGCACAAGAGGTACAAAGACCATGCATGCAAGGTTTCATGACAGCATTTGCCAAAGCTGTGCGGCATCCAACACACACATTGTAATCGGTAGGCAAAGTCAGCTGAGGAGCTGATCCTCGTCGCATTAAACTCATATACGAAGGCATTTGATGGCGGAAGAAGCTGCTCTCATCATTTGCTACGGAGTGCTTTCGTTGAAACAGGGACGGAGGCTGCCAGTTATCCTTTTGAAAAGGTGGATGAATTGGGGAATTGGGAACTGATTCAAATATATGTCGCAGTTGGTCGCTTCCATCCTGAAACTGTTGCGACACAAAAGCTGGAGTTCTTGCACATAGTTTCGTTGCCTGTATACGATAATAATAATAAAAAAAAAGGCGGGTCAATCATTTTACTTCTGCCGTCATACTGCTTACACAAGAGGCAAATACTGACATGCTCACGTTTCGACTCCATGCCAATAAAATCTGATTCTATTGCCGAAGCTGATGAAGTGCCAAAAGAAGTGTCCATAATGAAGTATACAGGCTATATGCTTTGGTTATAAATATTTTTTGTCAAAGTACGCAGCCGAAATGAACAATATTGGAAAGTCAAAAGTAATATTTAGTGCTTTTATATAAGTTTCATCAAAGATGATGTTTGACAAACACTCAAAGTGATAGTTTAATACGTTTGAAAGGTAAATTGAGTAAATGGGATTTTTCAGCAAACTGTGGTATGAGAGGAGTTTTCTTTAGTGGGCATAATTAATACAGCCCTGTTCATGGCTATTGGTCTGTGCTGGCAGCAAGAATTGCAAGTGTGAGAGAAAGCCGATTCATTTAACCCTAGCTTTAAGAGAATATCTGTGAATGATGGTGGGCTCTGTCATCAAGCCAAAGCTGGCAATTATGAAATTTTAAATTTATTTCGTGGTGTGTCTCATCCGGTATCGCCCCTCATTGACAATACCCCCTTACAGTCATTTCTTTCATTTTTGAAAACCTTGATGACATGCAAGGGGATTCCATTTTCAACATAGAAAAACCGCATGCCAGTTCGGCATTGCTTTTTCTCATTTGTTCCTCCCTGGCTTCAAATTTTTGGCAATGTTACTGAGACCAAGTAGGATGCAAAGCTTGGCCTGTTGCCAAGGGAATTTTCGTTGGCCGATAGGCGCCAGCTGTCGCTTAATCCTCATAACTGACTACTCATGGATATTCACTACGGAGATAATCAAGTTTGCGAGCGGACCGAAATCAGCCTTTCGTAAATTACCCGGGTATTTCAGTCACAGTGGATGGGCTTCCCCTGTGCAGGCGGCACTGAGTCATTTTGAAACAGAGACGGACGATCAATTGTTAATCGGTACATCATTTTTGCGTACTCCGGAAAGGCTATAAGCGAAGACCGCCAAGGTTAAACCACGTGTGCAGCACTCTCGTACACAGTGTTCATGCGCAACGTCGATAAGGTTCCATATCGTAGGAAGCTGTCAACGTGGACAGTCGAATTGATCAATGGAGGCTCGTTTATATACGTCTTTGCACTGATAGACCCATCTCTGCTGGTATCAACCTAAACAACTATCTCCGTTCAAAATTTTTGGTCTGAGGTGAATGGTAAGCAGAGGGAAGCTCAGTCATCAAATCCGGATGGGTTTCACAACGAAGGAACAAAGGTTTTTTTTTTTTTTTCTTTTTCAATATATTTTTTTTCTTTAAACCTCCTGTCGCAGTTACCTCTCTTTTCGTCTTATCCCTTCATACACATTCACTATGTTCAATCGTTTGAGGTCATTATCGAAGCCTCCAAGCCCTGTGGATGACGGTCCTACATGTAGCATTCCTATCTTAGACCCACCGGGCAATATCCCAACTCCAGTATCGTCACTGGATGATACCCAACAAGAGAAAGTATCCCGATTGCGAAAGCACTTTGACGAATACATGTTACCCGAAACCGACGAATACTACGAGAATGAGAAAGGTTTTTTGACTGATAATACGCTGCGCCGCTATCTTCGTGCACGAAAGTGGGATGAGCTGGTATGTTACTAAGCCGATCATGCAGACGCTGTTATAGCCACTTTACTAATTCATTTAATTAGGCTGCTATCAAGATGCTTGAAGCTACCGTTCAATGGAGAAGAACTGAAAAGCCAGAGTGTTACGACCCTGAATACATAAGCCCAGAGGTACGTTGCCACGGGAATTATGATGACCCGGTCGGTTGGTGGTGTGGTGATATTTGGGGGACGGGGAAACGTCGCCGAAATTACCGTGGTCTGGTGTAATCTACAAATTTTTACTTTCATCGACTAATAGAAACCTTTCTAATGAATATAGGCTGAGACCGGTAAAATGTATTTCTCAGGTTTTGATAAGACGGGTCGACCGATTTGGATTATGCGGCCTAGACTGGAAAATTCAAAGAATGCAGAGCGACAAGTCAAGCATATCATCTTCAGTTTGGAGCGGGCTATTAGACTAATGCCTGCTGGAGTAGAAAACATCTCAATCATTGTCGACTTCAAAGACGCATCCAGCGGCCACAGTCCTAGTGTAGCGACTTGTAAGAAATTTTTGGATATCCTCGGTAATCATTATCCAGAGCGGCTTGGAAAAGCGTTTGTGGTTTCAGGTAGGCCGCCGATGATTAATATAGTAAACCCAATTTTGAGTTTGTATTTGTTTGTGTTAACCTCACTATGATTTTTCAGCACCATGGGTCTTCCATGCCACCTTTAAAATTATATCCGTCTTCATGGACCCTGTCACCCTTGCAAAGATCAAATTTGCCATCGACAAGAAGGATGACTCTGAGAAAGAGCGCCAAAAGTCTCAAACTGAGAACGAGTGGGTCTTTTTAGAAGACTACATTGACGTCAACCAGCTGGAATCTGTGTATGGAGGTACTTATAACTTTAAGTACGACTTTGATGTCTATTGGAACGCTTTGTTAGATCACACTGGGCGGCCATATAAAGTGATCCGCTATTAGAATGTGCATTTTTAAAAAAACATTGTTCGAATCTGTTCAAAAAAAAAATTAAAAAAATCATTTAACACACTTTACAAGCGCGAACGAGATTTTTTTGTGACAGACAAAATTGGAGGTCGACGCGCTTACGGACGTGTAAGCGGTATTAGTAGATCTCTCTTGTGGTCCATCATAGAGCTTGGTATTCTACGCATTTCCGACTATCGCTTGAATTAACCACTTTATCGTTGGGAATGCATAAATGTCAAATGTGAATGGCGCAAGCGGCACAAGTAACGTGCCTTCTCATCAGTTGTAAGTGAATTTTCGAGAGGAACTTTGTACATGCTCATAGTACTAACCATACTATTGCACACAGCACAATGTACCAAGGCTCTATATCCGACAGAGCCATGGCACTGGCATCTACTACTGATGACAATGACCGTGATAGTATACACAGCGCAGAAAGTGACGATGGAGGGATGCATACTCCACTGCATCACATGAATCCAATACAGGATTATCTCAATTCCAGTCCGTTAGATCATGGTCCACCAGAGTTATCAACCATTTCAGAACAGTATGGGGATCCTTCCAGCCCATCACAACGAGCTTCAGCAGTCAGAAACCAACAAAACGTATGTAGTATCACCATTTGTATATGAACTGTGCCATCCATCCAACTTATCCTTGCCGTTCCCTATCCAGTTATCTTCATTATCACCCTTACTCAAATACGAAACCCCAAGGCTTGCACGGCATAGAGAATTAAGCACTGTTCGAGCTCTTCATGATACCTCCAATACAACTGGCTTAAATTCGCACACTCAGTATTCCAACGTAAGCAGACTGAATGATAGATTACACTTTTGTTTAGGCGCGCTTTCTGATGACATTTTATTCTAGTCGGCAACATCAGACCTTAACCTTATCACTCCTATCAGCAAACTTCCACCGAAACCCACTTCATCATCTCATAAATCTGTCACCAGGCGATTGCGACTCTCAGGTACTTGATATAATATTGTATGCGACGGTGTTCTGAAAAATATATTTACATTTCTCGTGACATTTCTACATCATAGCATCGCTTGGTCCGGCTGAAAGACTTGTTAGAAAAGGTGATAATTCTCCAAGTCATAGAGAAGACGCTAGAGCATCACCCTCTGCCGCCGATATCTGTAAGTCTGCAGGCATAGCCACAGCCTTATGTTTGGATAAATTTTCTGTACTGACTTTACTTTCACCAGATAAAACTTGGAATCGTCATTCTTTGGACAATCTCCCACCACCTCTTGACCCCCTAGAGACCGAAATAGGTGAGTAATTGTATTGATCGGTTGCTATATGAGCTCATTATCTAACTTATTGTAGCCCGATCAGAACCCCCGCGTTACGTCAACACCGAACGTACAAAACAATCGGCGCAAAGCAAACTATCTGCTGTAAATAATTCCCCTGATAGTAGTAAGTGTACGGTATATTGATCTACTGAGACAGTGTAAATGCTAACATGCTATGAAAAGGCTCTCCTTCTGAACTCGCTATATCATCTTCGTCTACCGAGACGACACCTGAGACAAAAACTAGTCCACAACCCAGGAAACGAATTCGAACTGGAATGGATGATAGGGCTCCTTCGTCATCTTCAAATGGCTATCATCCAGCATCATCACAAACCATAATACCGAAGGTTGGTGGACGAGAATGGTATTTTCGAGCTAAGGGTCGATAACTCATTTGTTTTCATTACAGTATCTTCCAGAAAATGTCACTGATAGATCCGCGTTGAAAGACATTATCAAATCTGGAAAAATGGTTAGTCAAACAACTTACTATAACGCTTGACCCGTCATGTTTGAGAAACTCAACTTCATATGTAGGATATCCCAAAATTGGAGGATTTGAGGAAACAAAACAATGCAACTACATCATACGCAACCACATCCATACCAACTAGCTTAGATACTTTGTACACTCGACATAATAGCCCCGACCTTCGATCAGAACTCCAGAGAGAGAATTCCATTGACAAACAGTTCGCCCACAGTCGCAACTCGCTCCCTGACTCTCTCACTCTCAACAATACCCCTGATGTCAAGTCAAGACAATATGGTGACCGTAGACAGCTTGAAAGTACCCGATTCTCGAATGTTTCTGATTACCAGACCAAAGATTCCACCTTGTCACGAAATTATATGAATGAGCAAGAGAGACGTGCCTTAGTGCGCCAACAAGAACAGGAGCGGTTGGAAAGAGCAGAACGTGAAAAGGAAAGGCTCGAACGCCAAGAGAGAGAAAAAATTGAACGTGAACTTGAGAGAAGAGAGCGTGAACGACGTGAATCTGAATATCGGCACGATCAGGAGCACAATCGAAAGGCGTCAGGATCAGGCCAATCTTTACAGCCACCTAATGCCAGACATATGCAAGATAACCAGGCTCCAATGCCACCTCCTAAAGCTGTTCCGACGCCTAACTGGAAAACAACATTGGTAGGATACTTTTTTTTTCTTCTTCAAAAGCGGTATATACAGTATCACAAAGTTCACAAATTTAACATCGCTCTATAGGTCAATAAGCATTGGTATACAGTGCTGGATCAGCTTGGTAAAGGTGGTACTGGGCGGGTATGGCGAGTGATGTCGCACACACATCATCGCGTCTTTGCTCTCAAACATGTTTCGTTGGCAGATGTGGATTCTGAAGCCACCATAAGCAGCTATATTAATGAAATTCGACTGCTTGAACGCCTGTCTGGTCACAGCCGTATTGTCAAATTGTACGACTATGAAGTCAATCAGCAGAATGGATATATACAAATGGTAAATACTTTTTGCTTTTTGAGAGATGCCATAATTCATGATGATTAAGTGCCTTCCTTCAGATCTTAGAATGTGGCGAACTAGACATGAACACATTACTGGCAAAACAACAAGGAAAGCCTATTAATCTTAATTTCATACGGATGTATTGGGAACAGGTTTGTTGGCAAAGGATTGAAATTGTTTGAGTAAAAGGCTCAGGACAGATGGACTAACTGTGCTCTATTATCAGATGCTTGAAGCTGTTCATGCCATCCATCAGCAAAAGATTGTTCATTCTGACTTGAAACCAGCCAACTTCATCCTTGTTCAGGGTGCTTTAAAGTTGATCGACTTTGGCATAGCAAAGGCCATTCCCAATGATACCACCAATATTCAGCGAGATATACAAGTTGGTACTTTGAATTACATGTCGCCGGAAGCCATCAAAGACTCTCAAGCTGGGCAACATGGTGGCCGGGAGATGATGAAGGTAAACATAAACGCAGCTATCAAATAAGCAATGCTTCTTCCTTCTCACGGGTCTTGTTTTTCATAGCTTGGTCGACCAAGTGATGTATGGTCGTTGGGATGTATATTGTATCAAATGGTGTATGGACGAACGCCGTTTCATCATGTTAAAGGCATGTGGCAGAAATTAGCTTGTATATCTAATCCAAGTCATGAAATCGAGTTCCCCAAAGTCGCGGTTCCCATTGCACCACCCGTACGGCAACCGGATGGTACGCTAGTGCCAGCCGAGCCGTTATCACCGACCAAGAATGGCGTACGTGTTGAAGCGGATCTACTCAACGTCATGAAATACTGTCTGCAACGAGATCCCAAGCAACGAAAAACCATTCCGCAACTTCTCAAAGATCCATTCATTAAGCCCGATCAAGTTCTCAAAAAGCTCTACGAGCATGCATACAAACAAGGGTCTGCAGGTCAGCCGCTTGACGCTGACTCTATGGACAAAGTCATTGAGGTATGTGGTATTCACCATCTGTAATTGGACACACGACCCCGAGAAAAGGAAGCAGCTGCTAACACATTGCCTCTTCTTGGGTACAGAATATTCTTGATGGCGATGTATAATTTGTACCATAGCTTTACTGTCTACAAACATTATGATTTCCCTCTGTTGTGAATTTCATGTCGCATAACCTATTTTTTTTATCTCGATAACCGCTCAATCAGCTTCTTTTCTTTTTTTTTTTTTATTTGTTGCGCATAGCGCGAACTTGTACATAAACTTCTTGTTTTCAGCAAGACAAAAAACAAAAAAGAGTCGGCCATTTTTGAGAAATGCGACCTCGGTCGAGATGGAACATTCATTAAAACGAAACAGACGGCAGGAAAAATTTACAGCTACAGTCGTCATCATATGGGGGTTGTAGCTTTCCAGATGTAAACGCGGTTGGACGCATCGACACTGACCAAGTATTCCATATTATGCGAGAACGACACGTCTCGAATAACACTGGTGCTTTGAGAATGGCTGAGAGTCTAAAATAAAGGAAGGGAGGGGTGAGCATGATAGAGGAGCGTACATAGCAACGGCGGGCGATACTTACTCTCTTGGGTGGCTGACGTTCCTTGCTACCATCTGGTAGATCTTTACTACGAGTACCGTTGCCAACATCGTATATTTGGATATTTCCTTCACAATCTCCTGATACCACAGCCTTTTCGCCTGTAACAACAATAAGATAAAAATGTGTGAGCAGTGCTGTTTTTCATTCAACTATTTCCATTCCTCCTTGCTACTTTACCTGCCGCTTCGTAAAGCTTCATGCGCTGACATGAAGCAGGTGACTCCGGCCATTCATAAGAAGTAAGAATATCAGCGTCTTTACGTGTGCTTTTCACAGGATTCCACATGATGAATTCCTCATCACTTGAAGCCCGGGAAACTAGGAAATGAAAACGGGAGGTTAAACTTGGCATAGGACAGGGGGGCTAATGAAAAAAGGGGAGTCCATACTGATGCATTGAAAGACGCTTCTGTCATTCCCAAGTTTTTCTATCATCAAAATGTCGTCCACATAGGACTCGTGCCATTCTTGAGATACAGGGTATTCTGCCATTGGACTACCGAATTGAACCATGCCTTGTCCTCGGCGTTTATGGCCCGGTTTAAACTTGATCATGGCGGCCATTTTGGCACTTCGGAGGCGGTTGATGGTGAGCGCACCTAAGCTGTATCGGTACATTTTACCGGTATCGCATCCGATGAAAAGCCACTTCATATCATTGGTGATGCACAGAGCAGTGGGTATTTCCGGTGTCTTGAGATTGAATCGTGCTAGACATCTGTGATAAACCCCCACCCATATATAACGTTAAATTAATACAGCTGCCATCTTATTAAAGGGATGCATAACGAATGCATCATTGACGTACATGCTAGTATCAAGTTTGCTCTCGGCAGACCCAATATCCCATAATCTGACCGTCATATCGCCACTAGCACCTGTAAATTACAAGTAAAGATGAGCTACATGAGTGTGATATATCGTGAACCATGTGAATAAGTTGCAGTACGTACTGAGAAGCCAACGCGGTTTCCTTTTAGAAAACATCAATCGGGAGACCTCTTTGCTGTGCCCAAAAAGATATCGGTAGCATTCTGATTGGGTAGGATTGAAGAGCTTGATAGTACCTAATTCACCAGCCGCTGCTAGAATATTGTATGGCTTTTCTTGTTCCCAAGTGTCCAAAGACGACAACGTAGTCCAAGCTAAGCAATAGAACTCTTCCTTGTTTTCAACGTGCGAATATCTTTTGATAACTCTGCCTAGCGAGGCATCAATCAACTCGACAGTATCACCTCCACAGACGGCGGCAATGTTGGATGAAGCTGGTGAGACGTATAGGGGTGATCAATACTGGATATTCACATAGTTCATATACTGTTTCATTTCCTTACTTTGACCAATTCCAGGTTCAAACTCAACCGCCCAAATATCCATGTCCTTAGTACCATCTCTGTTGGGAAAAAGTATTTTGGATGGACCTCGCAAAATATGAGTGAGTCGATAATTAGATTCTATAGCCAAGTCAATGTTAATTAGTATGGGATTGATGGACCACGCTCTATACACGTCATGTTGGTAAAAATTTCACTTTACCAAATATTGGAAAGGATCCAGATGTCTCTGTCTCAAGTATTATGGATGGTAACCTATCGGTGTCTCTGGAAGATTGCTTCTTTCCGGCCCTTGCTGCCGTCTTATTGATCTTATCTTTGAAACCCAATCCACCAACGTTGCGACGCTTTTCCGTATCGTCCTTGACGAAATATGTCTTGGTGCGGGTATCATACATGAGGTTTTCTTCAAACGGACTATCTTCCCTGGCATCTGCTAAGGCCATCTTTTTCGTTTCCGCGTCAACTTCATCTGAGCTCTCAATGTCAGATAGAATGAAATCTTCCTCGTTACGAAGAAAAGGTGACTTGGTCATCATGCGAGCCAGTCGTTCCTCGTCATCTCCTTCTTCGTTGTCATCTGTACCAGAGTCTTCATGATCGTCCTCTGAACTGTCGGTTGTGCTCTCATTGACTGGTGTCTTTGAAAGACGAGGTCTACCACGTGGCCGTTTAACCTCTGTCGGTAAGGTAGCTGGGACTTTGCGTGGTCGACCCAAAGGACGTTTGGGACCTGGCTCTTTGACAGGATACATGCGCGGTCTTCCAACAGGTGCAGGCGCTCCTGGTAATTTTTGAGGATGCTTTCTAGGCCGTCCAATGGGTTTCTTAATTTTCTCTGATTCATCGGATTCTGATGTTCGAACCTTTGGTGGTCTTCCCATGCGCTTCCTAGGTCGCCCAGATAAAGTGAGTTCTGAATAGTATCGGGATTTTTTGGGTGGTCTTCCAATGGGTTTCTTCTCCACGGCAACAGCATCTTCGGTGTCAGAAGGTTGAATTTTCGGTGGTCTTCCCATGCGTTTCTTTGGTTTTTCAACTTCATCTGTGTCTGAACCTCTAACCTTTGGTGGTCTCCCTAATTTCTTCTTAGGTCCGTCACTATGGCTGGCGCTGGTAGTTCCATCTACTCGTTGTTAAAGTCAATTCAATTTAGACGAACGTTATTGACCCTTTCATAGATAATTCATCATTACCTTCGTCTTCTACTATAAATCTGGGGAACTTGGTTTTCTTCACTTTTTTTGGTCGACCCCGACGTCTTGGTGCTATCGAGCTATCTGTAGCATCGTTATTGGATGAGGCTATCATTGTTGAGGTTTTAGTGGCTGCTCAATATCACCGGTAGATCGGTCGTTTGAGGCAGGGAATTTGCCTTTATACGTGGTTTGAAATATGGAAAGTTTGCTTACCTTCATATTGAGAACTTTGAGTTATATCGTCTGAATCATGTTGGCCAGAGCGTGGCGTTTCAGCGCTACCGGACGAAGTGGTACCTCCAAACGCGCTATTACGCTGCTTGGATGCCGACGTAGTTGCAATGTTGACGGCGTTTGCATTTTCGGTGGCTGAAGAGTAGCTAGATTCCTCGTCAGTGGTTAGCTGCGGATTCTGCGACTGAGATGTAAACGTTTTGAGGATGCGCTGAAAGAAGTTCGTAGGCTCTGTTGACTGCGAAGACTGCTGCTGCTTGCGAGAAGACCTAGACCTTTTAGTAGGACCGCTAGTTGAAGGAGAAAATGATCTCGTACGTTTTGGATGAGCCATGGTACTTGCTTCTTCACGATCGGAAACGCGTTGGGCCATGACAGTCGCAGTATAGCACGGACTAAAAAAAAAAATTCACAGGGTGGGGCATAACAGGAACAGCTGCTGTTTCGCTCATAAAAACGCGTTCATGTTTCAATCAGAATTTTTTTTTTATCTTTTTAGTTTTGGATAAGAGAGAAGAGAAAGAACAAGCAAATGAAATAAGATAAAGGAAAACGTCAACAGTAACAGAAAAAGCAACTACAAGAGCTTATATAATAATTGGTTTTAAAGGTTATCGGCGGCTTCCATTTTACCCATGCGGAAGGACATATTCATAACGCCTTTCCCAAGTTCTGTGGTAGGTGTATCGCCGGGATTACCATAGTCCTGATTGCTACCGGCTGAAGGCGGTTGTTGGTAGTCTACCTCACCTTGTTGCCAGTCACCATATGGTTGTTGTTGTTGTTGTTGTTGGTAATTGGATAAGTGGTTAGAGGGGGGAATATCAATTTTCATTTGGTATTTGCTAAGACTGGCTCCGCCAGATCTAGGTTCAAAAGCTGATGGAGGATACTGCGGTGGAGGTAGGTGCGGACCTGCGCTACTAGGTGTGGTCGGGTACGAAGGTGCATAGTACGGAGCCGAGGCGCTATCAGCTCGATGACGGTTCCAGCTGTCAGTGGCTGTATGAATATTCAGACCAAGCGGTGGATGCGAACTTTGATGTGCGTGCTGTGAATGATACATAGCTTCGCTGTGGTGCATGTTCGGATCAGGAGAGTGAACATCAACTCCACCTGGAGAATGAAATACAGGGGAATGGTGTTGTTCGTCAGGAGAAGCCATGTCTAGCGAGTGCTGAGGGTATCTTGGCATCATCATCGGCATGCCATCCGATCGCACAGGAGGCGAAACCAAAGCTCCGTAATGGTAAGGATAAGGGCTAGGATAAGGTGAATAGCTTGTCCCATATGCTTCCTGAGCACCTGGGCTCATTGGATGACGAGGATGCTGGGACGTAACAAAGCGTTCATCGTTGGAGTCTCCGTTAGAATGTCTAGAAAGGTTGTCGGAGTAATGGCCAGGGCTACGACCACGTACAACCAAGGGTGCGGTATGACATGTAGCTATCTTGTAGCGCTGATTGTTCTGACATTGCGCAAGTAACTCCACAACGATTTCATAATATTGCTGTGCAGCTCGTCTTTTGCCGTTATTGGCAGTAGCCGTCTTAAATTGTAAGCGCTCAAACGTCACAAGTGAAGTGAGCTGAACTTGATGATTTGGTGGATTGATACCGCCGCCTGGACCCAAATGACCGCCAGGACGAATGGGCTTTGGAGCAGGAACGATCTGGGGACCTTTATCACGCTTAGGGGTATGCTGAACAATATCAATTCGCTTATCGATGTCTGCCACTCTTGCACCGATTCCAAACATAAACTGCTGCACGGGAACAAAGCCATTTTCGGTTTTGATGCAGCATGGCAAATCAGGCTGTTCAATATACCCCATATCTTGAACGATATCGAAAGCACCACTGATTTGGAAATAGTTGCGGCGATAGCAGGTCCAATCATTATCGGCTAAAAAGAAACCTCGGTCGATTCTGCAGTTAAGATGAACTTGAAGTCTGCGTTTCAAAAGGAATAAGTAATATGAAAATTTAGTGTTTGCTATCCACCTTTTGAATTCCTACCCAGCTGATCTGTCCATAGTCCAAAGCTCAACGAGTTGCTTTGTAGGCGTAAATAACGGACCTCCCTTGACGGACATTCCATGGTCAGCTCTTCGAGACCTTCTTCCAGACATGATGGATGACATTGAGGAAGAACGTGAAGAAGCGCTCGGGCGTCGTGAGCTATCTCCATCATCGGCAATTGGAGAGGTAGGTTGGCTCAAAGTTTCGGAATGAATGGGAGACATGTCTTCAGGACGTGGAGTACCCGGCTGGGACATTGACGCTAGATGTCTAAAATAAAAGAAAAGCGTTTATGTTATTAAAATGCTGAGAGACACTCCGGCCAAAATTAGCAAAAAATCATTTACCCTGGATAGCCGGTGTCGGGCTTATGTTCATGGTGCCTGAGCGAGCGGGGAGCACTGGAGTTAGCATGAAATATTTTCTCGAGGCAATTTAGTGCTCAAAAATAGCGAAAATAACCCTCACATTGCATTGGAGTGAGCGACGTTAGGATATGGAGTATATGTTTGATAATAAGAGTCGCTCATCTCGGGCCGATTGGGTTGATTTTGGCTATGGTCATGCATTGACCATTTGTCATCTTCCATGGTGGATTGCATCTTCTTGTTTGCTGATAAAGTATAAAGGAAGGACTTGGCAAACAAGGGAAGCTGAATAAATGAAAGAAAGGAAGGTAGAAAGACAAAAACAAAACTACAGCAAAGTAGAAAGGAAAACGGCCAAATAAAATACGTTGGCTGTACCCAGAACAGCAATATATCCACAAGGTTGAAGAGGCGCCCATCCGCAATATAAAAAAATATGGAAACATCAGGCGTCGAAACGAACTTGGCTACCCGCCTTTATTTTTTCCTCTATCTTACATGCACTTGGATTTAAGCACGTCATGACCATCCAAGTCCACCTCGTTTACCTCCAAACTGCTGCTTTCGCATCTTGAGTCCATCCTGGAACTGCTTTTCAAGGTCTTGATTCATTCTCTGCTTAAATCCAGCATCGATTGCGCTATGACTGCTTTGAGATGAATCACCTAATCCAGCGTGTGGGGTGGGAGCTGCATCATTGCCAGCTTTCTTTGCGCCCAACAACCTTAAAAATTTGTTCTTCTGGGCATCGTCACCGCCAAACGATGCTTTAGACCAATCGTTCCATCGACCAGACTCCTCAGCGACTTCTGCCGCGGAAGGCGACTTAAAGCGGAAAGAGGTCATTCACCTATTTCGTAATGATTTTATAATACAATATAGTTACCCACTTTGACCTCAGTGCCCAGCTTCTTAACTGGCATGGACTCGCTTTCATCGTCGGATTCATGTTTTCGCTTTTTCTCTTTCTTGTCTATGGTCAAACGCACTTCAATTAGCTTCGTGTTGAAGTTGTTAGCATCCAATATGATCTTAACGCACCTTTGCTAACTTTCTCCTTCTTTGCTACTTTGTCTTTCTTTTCCTTCTTGTCCTTTTTATCCTTTTTGTCCTTCTTTTTTTTCTCCTGCTTGAATGCGGACATTTAGTCATACCAGCCATGAACAGACGCATTCAACGACATGCACGCAACTGAATTTACCTTGACTTCAACCTCTTCTGGAGACTCTACTGCCTTCTTTTCCTTCTTTTCTTTCTTTTCTTTCTTCTTTTCAGAATGACCCATAGTGTTTTTTAAAAAAAAAAGACAAGCAAGTGAAGCACAGTTTTTTTTTTAATGAGGCAGGCAGAATAAATTTTCCCAAAAAAAAAAAGCAAGTCCTTTGCAGGTACAGAGAAACGTGAAAATTCATATAATGGTGGTGGGGAGGGGTTGGTATTTGCTCTACAATTCAGCGTTTCTATTCTTTTCTAACGCAAGAACATCATCCTTCTTGTTCAAGGCTGCAAGCTCCTTTTCTGTCACACTTTTGTAAGTTGCGGTAGCGCTAGCTGGAACTGAACCACGTAAGCCCAATGCCGTCACTGAGGAAGCTCGAGAAAGCCCAAACCAACCAAACCGGAAAGCCAGTTCGTTTGCCGCAATCTCACCGAAGCCAAGCATGACTCCGTTAATGAAGGGTAGGATAAAGTTGATAGCTGTGGACTTCAAGACGAATATTAAAGTGGGATGTCGCCACCAAGGTTCGCGTCGAACAACAATAGTTTGAGATTTATAGCCTTCGTCATCGAGCTCACTTGCCGTAACGGCCATTTCGGTAATATTGGCCATTGGATTGCGAACAGAACAAGGAATGAAGAGAGATGCAACAAATGTTAGCCTTTGGTTGGAGTCACGGGATACACAAGGAAACCACGCACTGGGCGGCGCGCCTGAAAAATTCCAAACCTTGGCTTGACTTCACTGGCTGGCTGCATTTCAATTCCTTTGCACTTCTACTCATGTCGGCTCTGGTAAGCTCAATGCCCCTGGACTCTATTGATGTGCTAGCAACTAACGACACTTGATCTAGGACCTTTGGAAGGAGGGTTCTCCTGTAAGCGCGCCCATGCCCCCAAGCTTGTTCCCACTTGTCGCCTACATCACTGTCTCCATTGGTCTCGTTGCCACCGGAGCCTTTGCGGTGTAAGTGATTGAAGCATAGATGCAATCGTTACTTGCTCATACACGTTACTGATCTCTTCTATAGTCAAAAGCGAAATACACCTATTATGGAGCAGCTCTCACTCGCCATGCCTGCATCTATCATGCTCGGTGTCGGAACCGTTTTCACTTTCGTCTCGGTCGGCTTATACGTCTAAATGTCACCAACTCTTGTGCAATAAAAAAACTGAATACAGCATTTTCTTTATGTGATTATCTTTATTACACGAGTATTTGGAGATGACAATCGTCTTTGTTGGACATTATTGTTTCGATTTTTACAAGTTTAATTTACATTGATCCAAATTCTTTTTGGAACAGATTTTGATCAGTCCAGAAAAGAGAGAACCGACGCTTCTTTTCGGCTAGTTCAGCAGAGGTTGCCGTTTCCTATAAGAGATTTTAGTGTGAAGTGAAAATTATTGAGAGTTAGGTACCAACAGTCCATGATATGTTTCGATTCAGGCACATTGTGCTTTTTTACCTTTTGGAAGTGCTGTATCTCATTTTGTAGATCATTTACGAAGTTTTCCAACTGTTCGTGTAGCTGTAATGTTTCCTATGTTCCACCAACTTGTGTTAACTTTCGCATATCACGTAAAGCAATATCCGTGCTCTATATCATACCTCTGATATGTGCGTAACTGATTCCTGATCCTTGATATACACTTCGCTGAATTTTTCCATCATTTCTAATGCATTTTCGCTGCAAGGTTGTTCCAGGTTAATCTCGAATGTATGCATGTCAATAGCTTATCTGAAAAACCATTATACCTTTCAAGCATCATTTCGTTTATCTCTGCCATGGATGATTCCGTTCGGTCGTTGGCTCCTTCAATTTCGTTCTTCAACCTCTCCAAATGCTCTATTGCTGGTATGTCTTCATGATGAGGGTCCATAACTTCATCGAGCATATCGTCTGCATCCTCTTCAATTGAAGTCAGAGTTATGAATGCATCAGAAAACAAATGGAGTGAGGTTGTCTTACTTATTTGCATGCTAAGAATTTGTTTGAAGCTGTTGAGGAAGCTCTCTTCTTCGTCGTTAGAATCAATGTATCTGTCACACTGTGAAAGTGGCATAAGCGAAACGATTGAATTAGTAGCACCATGGTATGCATTGCTTACCAGCGAAGGATCCATTTGATGAGCAAGCTCTTCAACATCCAACAAAAACGCTCGTTGATGGTCTGTTCTTTCATTCAGTAGCTCCTCTTCAACTTCTAAAATGTACAATAACAATTGATTGGCGGCGGATTGCTCCATCAAAAGTTTGATAATCTGCACAGCCAGCATGTGAGCAACAGCGTAACCACATGTTGCAAAATTAACACATACCTTATCATAAGCTTCCACGTTGGCGCTAGTTGCAGTATCAGACCTCTTTCCTTGCGCTTTCGTAGCTGCTTTCAGACAGAAATCCGCGGCATCTGATATGCATGGCGAAAGTTTATCGCTGTCCAGCCGCGCTATAGCCTGTCGATCTTTTTTGATGATATCTTCATAGTCCTTTATGGATGACCTACATAAAATTTCAGCATTACATTTTTAAATTCACACGTACGGTTGACGTGCCAAAGAAAAAAAACACGTACCTTAGGATTGGCAGTATCTGTGGCAACCCATTCAGCTTTCCCTTTTCCTTTTCTAAAACTTGTACTGCTACTATTTGAGATTCCAAGTTAATTTCAGACATGACCAGATCCTTGTGAGATGATTCAATTCTTTCGAAAGCAAATGCATAGTGAGTATGTCAATCTGAAGTCAAAAATGTGCTTATAAGTAACCTATACCTATGCCGTAATCGTTCCAGTGTTTTGCTTTCGTAATTTTCTATCTGTGAACATAACATCAGCACCTAAGTTTGATGCTCCCGGAATAGACCGTGAACTTACCTCGGAGTTATCTGTATTCTTCAATTTCATAACGTTTGCTTCAATACCACCAGATAATCGCTCGTTACTTTGAAGTAGGCTATACATAGCAGCATCGCACTCGGCTACTCTACGCACTTTTATCTTGGCGTCAGTATCCAATTGAAGTCTGAGATGTCACTGAGTACAATAAGAATCTCGATGCACTCACCTTTTGGTTCAGTTGCACCCATTGTTGAGGTGGCATCATTGAACAACTCAGTTTGAGCGGTTTTGAGCTGTCTCGTGTAAGTCACCTCGAATTGTATTATCCAACTACTGTCATCCCTTTACTCACCTTCTCTAATTCCATATGTAATGCCCACCGCTCATGGTCCAAGGTATCAGACTTCTGAGCCATGGTTATATTCAGCAGATCGAGATCACGCTCAAGTTCTGATATGGATTGCCTGTAATAAGAAGTTCAGTTTTATTTATCAATCCTACATATGTATACATAAAAAAACTCTTACACTAGTATCTTGTGTTGCTTCAGCAGTGCTGTTGTGTATGAGGCCTGTCGGTTGGGTTCGCCATGCCTAGAAAAAGTTTATGAATGGAGAGTCTCCGAGTGTTGGGTAGGAATGGAGAGAATAACGTACCGATTGTCGGGCTCCTTTATAGAGTCGTTCGGCGGTTCTTTACGCTTAGCATGATGCATTTCATTAGCCATGCCTAACATGTAATATTGGTAGCAGCAAATATACTCGGTGTAAAACGCGTTTAGGACTACAGTGGAAAAAAGTCGCGAAATTTTCAAAAACTTGGTCGTTACGCGGGCTGCCTTCTCCGCTTCGCTATAATCACAATGGAGCCACCGAAATCCACGACTAATGATCAGAATGGTCTTGGAAAACGAGCGAAAAAACTCAATATGCTTTTTGAAAAATACATAGAACGAATAATACAGTCTGTCAGGTATGTTGGCATGATCGTATTCGCTCCATTTGCGCATTCCACACTGCTCACTGGCCGATCTGCACTTCAGTTACGCCAAATTCGCAATATGCTTCAGCGAACTAGATGAACAGCAACACGAGGCTCTGGTTATGGCACATCAACAAGTTTGCGAATATCTTGAAAAATCTATACGGGTAGGTTATGCAGGAAGCACTATGTTTGGGCGGCCAGATTCTAATTGCTTGTTTGTAGGAGGATTTCCACAGTATATTGGTTGAACGACAGTTGATAGAGAAATTAAACGAACTGGACAAACTAGTGGAGGAAGCAAAACGAAATAATACAGCAGAAGCCAGGAGGTCGGGAGCAGGGTAAGTGGCCGATCTTTAAAAGGCATCGATTATACGAGGGAAGACTAATATGATCACTTCAAAGGGTTGTTGTTGAACCGGAACAAGCATTACGTGCCCGGAGTGTACCTTTAAAGCAAGCGGAAATTGAGCGGTTACGGAAGCAGCATGCTGAGGTATGGAAGCGGTTATAGAATCAAAAACACGAAAAGCAAACTCATTCAATTAATTTGATGCGATTGTAGCTGCAAGGACAAAATCAAGACCTTATGAAAAGCATTGTCAACCAAAGAGATCAATTGGCGGGACTATGTAATAATGTATCACAATCATTGGGGCAATTTGAGCAGGTAATGCGAACGGTTTATATGGTATGATAGTCAAGAGGTGTACTCATTGCTTATATATCAACAGGCTGTTGAGACCGCTTCGGTCATGGCGGACTCACGTGATCGCACCTGAGGTGATCCTAATTGGTAACCACTGCCAAAATTGCGATTGTTTTCCATAATTTTTTTTTTCTTATTCACTGTCTTTGTAAGCTTAACGTTCTCGCTTCGCTCATACAACCTTCCAGTCCCTCCATTTTTGCTCTTTTATAATATCTTCTGTATAACATCTACAAATTACTCGAATGACATCTGCGAAGGTTGCACCTAATGCCAGTTCCACCAAATCCAAAGCTGATCCTGTGGTCAAATCGCCAGATCTGACGCTTGATTGCCTTAGGGTAGACCATTCTGTTGTTGCTAAGGAATTGGCAAAATTCCGGGCTTGCGAGCCTGCCACACGTACCTTGTATTGTCGTGAATGGGCACAATTCATTTACAAGCGACACTTCGCTTACAATTCGAAAACTCAGGAAGAAATGTCGCAACTGAGAACCATCTCTGGTCCAGGCGGCTATAAATTGTGTGTTGGAGGCCCCAGCTCAGATACTAGAGAGGTCGCTTCAATTGTCTGTACGCGAATCTCAAAGCTGATGGAGACATACTTTTCCGAAACGCAAAGAAGTACCCCACCAGGCGAGTTCTTGAGCAGTCTCCTATCTGAATGCGAAAGCTGGCAAAAACTGCCGAACAGTATGTCCTGGTTACCCGACTACTTCGACCCTATCGTCTTTGATAGTTTTCCCGACGCCATTCCATTGCCCGAAGATCCCAAAGATCCATCACAATTGCTAGACGCCATTATCATAGACAAAACATCCCTATCCCTCCCCAGCTCAAGCTTCCATTTGCTTAAAAATCTGAAGGCTGAAGTTCTTGCTTCACAATCTCAGGCTATCTGTGGTCACAGGAAGCCAATGGCAAAGACACCAGCTGATCTGGACACGGAACGCAAGATATTCACAGACAAGTTTGAAAAGGTCACAAATACTGTTTTCACCGATATTCAAAAGCTTTTGCAGGATGTCTGGAAAGATCTCAATGCAACTGTGGACGGACTCAGAACGTTGATGGCGGATTGGCGAAAGGAAATGGGCCCAGACCTCGTCATGCTTGTTTCCGAGTTCTGCCGAAACAATCGGGATAAGTTAGTTGGATTTAACGAATACTGGGGCCCTTATGCAGAAACTTTCAAGAAAAAGAAGAATACAACCTCAGTAGAAGAGATTGACAACGCATTCTACCAATATATTGACAACGCTCGCGACGCCATAACATTATTTGACAAGGAATTCATGACAGCAAGATACACAGCAACAATCAATCTGGTTCAAAATTTGCAAACGCTTTGTGGGGCTATTTTGGCGAAACAGATGGAAGACATGAAGACTCACGGTGTAGAGAAATTTCATAAGGCTGTGTTGGACAGCTGCTCCACTGCGCGAAACTTTGTGCTGAAACCCGAGCACCTTGAACATGTTCAAGACAATGTAGAGAATGTCAAAGAAAAAATGAAGATTATGCTCAAGGAACTATACGACGAGGTGGATAGCGTCAAAGAGCAATACGAAAAGGAATCTCAGAAGAACGTCTTTGGCCGTTTGGAGAAGCTGGCTCACAAGGAATTCAAAAAGAGACTAAAGAAGCTTGAAGTTATGCAGCAGTCCCTTCGACAAACATTCACCTCCGAATTTGCAACGAACGTCTTCCCAGAACAACAGTTTGCTCAATTGGCTCTTGTGACCTTAATCTCGGTCATGCAGGAAGGCGAACAAATGGAGTGCGATGCCATGGATGACTTTATGTTCGATTTTGTGGACGACAACGAAGAGCTTTTGGCTCAACGTGACGACTTGATACTTGATTTTGAGGAAGGTGTCCACACCGGCAGAACTCAGTTGTCCGGGCTTATAGGGAAGCTGTACTTAAAGGAGGGCATGCGTATCCAAGGAGATAGTTTGGCGTTGAAGCGTCAAAACAACTTGCTCAAGTCCATGGGTTTGCCAACCGATACTCCAGAAGAACCAACTGCTTCTCCGCCTACAGGAAGTGGCGGTAGTAAGAAGAAAAAGAAGAAGAAGAAGAACGCTAATACAAACACGAATGCTGATAATGAAGAAGTTACTACTGATGTCCCTGCAACAGCGGAAGTTGTCTCCACTAATGCTGTACCTGCGAAAGTTGTAGGCCAGACTAATGGCGATGACAAGAAGGCATCTACGAGCACGACTGGTTCTAAGGTGGCGGCCGTTGCTACACCTTCAGTCATTAGCGAGGCTGCTCAATCTGAGAAGCCAACTGGCAAATCTTCCCAACCTATCAATGCTAACAACCAGTCTTCTAGTGTGAATAAGGTACCAAGTGTTAATAAGCAAACTGCCACCATGGCAGCTACGCAGCCTAACACTGGCTCGAAAGCAAATGTTTCGAAGGTAGCCCAGGCAACCGTATCAAAATCGCCTCCATTTGAAGAAAAATCACCTATTAATACGGTTGAATCCCCTCCAAAAAAGACGCCTTGCACCAATCTCAAAGACAAGAAGGCGGATTCTGCAAAGCCCAAGGTGGAAGCAACTAATACTTTAGCGAAATCAAAGGAGACTGTTTCTAAAAACAAGTCAAAAATGCCTCCTGCATCAAGCTGGGTAACGCCTCCTGTTGCTCCAGCAGCGCTTGCCGATGATCAAAAGAAATCTGAAAAGCAAACGGACAATGCGTGGCCATCAGCGGAACCAACAGCACCATTGTGGGGTGAAAAGCCGAATATCACATTCAACAAAGGCGCAGCTGTGTGGGATGATTCTGAAAAGAAGGCGCAACCTGTCACTGGCAAACTTTGGGGTCAACAGCTGAATTCCCAAGACGTTATGGACCAAAGTGGATGGGACAACGTACCTCAGACATTGGCAAATGACTGGTCATCAAAACCCAATCAACAACCAAGTAAACCTTCACTAAATGCCCAAGTTCAAAACGATACTACACAACACCCTGTCTTGGATGTACACGAGCAAACCGAGAAGGGAGTGCCAAACTTTATGAAGCAGGATCCTACTTTCCAACTATCTAATACTTTGGAAGATCAAGATAAGCAAAGTGAACATCGAAGTGAACAGGGTGAATGGGATATGGCAAGTTCGATGGAGAAGTCTGTTGCTTCGGTTGCTATGGAAGTCGGTTCGGGTGAGATGACCAAATCAGCACCACATCTACCACCTGGACTTCAAATGGCACCCTCAACAAGAACTGAGAGCTCATCTGCTATGCACGATAATCTGGCTCATCAACACCCCGATACCCTTGTATCTGTGGTCCAAAGCCTTCAAGTTGAGAATGCACAACTGGTCAATGCCCTTCTTTCGGTACAGCAGGAGCTGAACACCATGAACGCACGCTATGGTGAACTGGTGACGCTTGCTAGAGAACGAGAAGCTCAAAAGGCACTTGAGATGGAAGAAGCACGTCGATATATTTTGAAGCTAGAGGCTAAAGTCCACTTGCTTGAGCCGGCCGAGGGCAGCCATTTCGATGTCAGCCGAAGAAACATGGAACGTGAAAGTAATAGTGGTCGTACCTACTCCAATGACGAATTTGCTGGACAAGGCAGAGAGGACAGACACCGACGCCAGCCACTAAGTAAGCCAAGGCATCAATCTTCAAGCTCTGCGGTCGAGAATCATGATCGGGATAGAAAACGCATCAACAATATGTGGCGAGATAGCCGAGTCATTAAATGTGGAAATTGCGGAGAAGCAGGACACAAAAGTAGCGACTGCCAGGTACATTTCGTAGTATAAGATTCTTACGTTTTGTTTTCGTATTCATCATTATCATTTCTGTTGTTTAGGATGCATGCCGTTACTGTGGAAGCAAAGCACATTTATCTGAATCTTGTGAACTCATCGTATAAGTGGAAACCCTACTCTCTTATACCCTTGTAAATACAATAAGACTTGATTCCAAAATCAGACGCAGGTGTCTTTAAACATGTAAAAAATTAATAGCTCATAAAATAAATTTCTGAAGAGAGTACGATTTTTCATCCTATATTTCAATGTATCTGTATCTGCTGTATGAATGGGATTTTCTGCATGGTTTCGATTGCTTCAGGCTCAAACGAAACAAAATGGGGTGTGAACAAAATGCCCATCGGACTTATGGAAAATCGCTTTTCCAGACAAAGGAATTTCAACAGTCAGCAAAATTAAGCCAGCTGGGGTAAATGTGACATATAAAAGGAAATGTTATAGTGTGGATACCTGAACCTCTTCATCTTCTCAAGCGTAATGGTGGATAACGAGCGAGTTCGCTTCCCTAAACTCAAGCCTGCCGAGCCACAAGGAACCCATTTGTTAGCCGTCGAGCGACAAAATGCCTCTTTCAAGCCGGAAGAGCTGTCAGTCTACATGCATGGCCAGCAATACCTGGATGCCCGAGAGTCTATCCTGAACATTTTACAAAATGACCCTATTCTGGGAGACAAAAGCCAAAGATACTACCAAGGTCGAGACCAACGATTTGATCGGGCTATGTTGAACGCAAAGCGATATGCAGAGTTGATTCGGTTAGTCGTTGAGGATGATTCAGTGAGAAAATAGGAACACTCGGCTAAATCGTATGTCTTTTTGACTTGGTTATAGACAGCACAACTGGAACGCCGACGAAGCACTGATTGCAGACATGTTGATCGATGAACCTAATCAGGTAAAATAGAGATGCGGACAAAGGTCTTGGTTTGACGTGCGCTGGTGATGAAGACTGACCATGACTTATAGTTCCGGTTACATCGCAGTATGTTCATGCCAACCATAGCCAACCAAGGAACAGAGGAACAAAAGGACTTCTTTTTACGGCCTGCAGAAAAGTATCAGATCATCGGGTGCTATGCACAGACAGAGGTAGGTGTCTCCTTGTACTTTTATTAGACTCCGCACTCTCTTGCTCACTTTGACTCTGTAATAGCTTGGGCACGGATCTAATGTTCAAGGTCTTGAAACAACTGCAACATATGACCCTTCTACGCAGTCTTTCATCCTCCACTCCCCAACTCTGACGGCAGCCAAATGGTGGATCGGTGGCCTCGGAAAGGCTGCTACCCACGCCTGTGTCATGGCCCGTTTGATCACTCAGGGTAAAGATCATGGCCCTCATCCCTTTATTGTTCAAGTCCGAAGCCTCGAGGATCATCGTCCAAGGAACGGAGTAACAGTTGGAGACATTGGTCCCAAATTTGGCGTATGTACCCTTTTTCTGTGAGCTATCCACTGCAATAAGACCTTTTTGCTGACCTGTTTTTTGTGCCCTAAAGTTCAATACTGTCGACAATGGATTTGTTATGTTTGATAACTACAGAATTCCCCACATCAGCATGCTCGCAAAGTTCTCTCAGGTAGTCAAAGCAACTGGCGAATATGTCAAACCACCCAATGCTAAGCTTTCGTACGGTACAATGGTCTTTGTCAGAGCTAACATCGTGATGGGTAAGTGGAAAAGCGAGCCAAACCGTTTCCCAACATTTATATAGCTGTAGCTTATCGTTAACATCCCTTTCCTCTACAGAGAGTCGATACGTACTTGCAAGAGCAGCAACCATTGCTGTCCGTTATGCAGCTGTTCGGTCTCAATTTGTGGATGCTTCTAATCCCAAGAAACTGGAAGGCACCAGCCGTACTGTAGAAACTCCTGTCATTGATTACAACATGGTTCAGTACAGATTATTCCCAGTGATTGCTCAAGCATATGCCTGTTTCTTCACTGGCAGAGAAATGTATAAGATGTACAATGAGAACCAGGATCGTATGGCACAAGGTGATTATTCATTCCTGGCTGATCTTCACGCTACTAGCTCTGGATTGAAGAGTTTGACCACTACCATCTCTTTGGCTGCTATCGAACAATGCCGGTAATTGCACTTTTCATCCTATTAAAGTTGATGTCACGGCATCATTTCTAAAATCCTATCTTGCACTGCAGTCGCGCTTGTGGCGGTCATGGATACTCCATGTTCTCTGGCTTCGGTAACTTTTACCAAGACTATCTTCCAAAAGTCACTGTAAGTTTATGCAAGTTTCATTTATCGTCTGTTAATAGCATGGTCACTAATTGAATCAATAGTGGGAAGGCGATAATTATATTTTAACTCAGCAAACGGCACGTTACCTGGGTAAAACCTTCAGATCCGTTGCAGCTAATAAGGGTAACCAACAGCTTAATACATTCTCGGAAAGATACATCCAAGACTACCTGTCTAACAGTGGTGCTCGATGCCCTGCCCAGTCGGCAGCTGACTTCCTCAATCCCGAAATTATCTTGTCGGCATACCGTTTTAGAGCCGCGCAAATGATTGAGACGTTTGTTCGCAAAACAGATCAAGAAAATAGAACTTTCAACTCCATGCTGGTCTTGGTATATCAAATCTCACGAGCACATTGTCAGCTCTTCATTGTGTCCAACTTTTTGGCCGCCGTCTTCCCTGGACCTACTCAAAAGGAACTTCCCAAGGAAGTGCTTAGTGTCCTGCGGACCATGGCACTTTTGTACGCTCTTTATACCATGGAGGAGGAACTTGCGGATTTCCTATGCTCTCAATACCTGTCATCCGATCAAGCCACGATGATAAAGGAGCAAGTAGTTCAGCTTTTAGGAAAAGTGCGACCCGATGCTGTAGCTTTGGTCGACGCCTTTGGTCTCCCAGACTACCTACTGAATTCTGCACTAGGCGACAGCAAAGGTGAAGTTTATGAGAAAATGACTGCCATGGCGGAAATGGAGCCGTTGAATCATAGAGCTGTTCACGAGAGTTATGAGGAAATTATCAAACCTTTTGTTCACGCCGGAAAGCATCTTTGGAAACGAGATAGTAATGGCATTGCTAGATTGTAATAATATATTATTTCTTTTTTCTACCTCATGTTTATTTCTCTTACACTGTTATGCTTTTGTTTTTTTTTGCCAATACATCCACTTTACAGTATCATAGATATTAGGCGAACGCCGGTAATTTTTGTCTTTTGTGATCGGAGGGAGTGTGCAGAGCTACCGTGACGCAAGAATTTAATTTTTGCTGGTAAATTCTACATTTCTGCTGTGAGATAAACAGTTCTGGCCGAATTCCGATCCAACCAACGTATACACCATGGAAGGAAAGCCGCAATCATCTTCGCGTACACCTAGCGACTTTTTGAATTCCGTCATCGGACGCCAAGTGCTTGTCAAGCTTAATTCTGGCATCGACTACCAAGGTATTTTGGAAATACTGGTGGATGTGCGGTACTTTGTGATTGAATTGATTGAACGCTAACATGACTTCACAGGAGTTTTGGCGTGCTTAGACGGCTATATGAACATTGCTTTGGAGAACACTGAAGAATATGTTGATGGGAAATTAAAGAACTCCTATGGCGATACTTTCATTCGCGGTAACAACGGTATGATCTCACGGAAGTGGTCGTCGCGATCTCGTCACCAGTACTAACACCACTTGCGTTATTTACAGTCTTGTATATCAGTGCCGCAAAGTCAACTTGATTAGCTCGAGCTTCTTACATTACACTTTATATTGTTTGTCTCTGGTTCTGGTCCTGTATTATATATACATAAAAATTATCTTTCATTCATTGCCTCGGTCTTTTGACCTCAATGGGTCTTGAGTACAACTTTTCATTCCCTTCCCATCCCCCACACAACGCTTTTACCAGGTGTGAACAGCCGCATTTATGGCCTCAGAGATTAGCATTATCTTGTTCACGTATTGTAAAGCGGAGATACCATTACTTTCTTCGTTCACAGTAATCAGACGGCAAACAACATCCCAGTACAGTGTATGTTGAATATGTTGTTGTGATGAAGTAAATTATTGTATGTAAAATGTGTATACACTGGTAGTATAATACAAAGCAGAGTGAGTAATATATGTGGCGAGAAAAAAGTTATCTAGTACACCGAATGCGTATATGATCGGTGTACTATGAAATTTTGGTACGAGTTGGAGGTACGGTAGCGTAGACTTGATTGTCTTTTGATCTTGTGAGACGGTTGTACACCTTTGGGAAATCGCGAGTTGCGTGATGATGGTTTTCCTCAAAGAACTGGGTAACTTTCTTGTTATGAATTGCAGGTTCAATTTCAACAGGAACAAGGCAGAAATCTCCTTGATGCTTCAATAGCATTTCAACCGCTTGGTTGGCTGTGATAATTTCGTGACGATCGGGTTCAGTTCCATTTCGGTAGAGAATATTCGGCGTGATTACGGTTGCCAAGTTCTTGATATCCATTTTGTTCTGAGATGAGAAACTAGATACCCATTGCAAAAAGTCACTGAGTGCTTCAAGACAATCACGATTGGCCTGTGGAAGCATACAACAAAGCAAATGTAGAGCTTTTCTTCTATCTTCTTCTGATTCAAGACCTGATTTGATAGAATCAGTACATTTTTCACAATGGAAGCAGGTCTTTATCTGCCATCTGACTTACTTTGTGAATAAATAAAAAGTCTATAAAGTTTTTGAGTCAAAAGCGGATCCGGCAGACTACGAAGAAACTTCTTGAAAAGGGCAGCGAGCTGAATGGAGTTGGTCTCTCCCTGTACTTGTCGACCGTTAGGATTATTGTCAATGTCCTCTACCATTTCTTGCAGGACTCTAATATTTCCGTTCTTCCGAAATATTCCTTCGACTGTCATATCTGCGATCTATGTGTTAGCTGCACCAAGCTTATTGCAGTTAACGCTTGTCAAATCAAACTTGGTATTTACCTAATTGCCTCATTCTCAATATAGAATCGCTGAAAATTCTTGGGAGCTTAAGCGGACAGGGACCAAATCCGAGTTTTGTGGTGACCCCATATCGTCCCAGGAGAGTCTCCAAGGGAACTGAAAATGTAGATGTCGGTTTTATCCCTCTTCGATTGGCCTTAAGAGAGGTAAACAATTTGTTCCATAAACCGCCACGTTTATGCTCTACTAGCTCCAATAGCTCATCCATAGTAAATTCTTCATGTACAAGAGGTTCCAATTGTAAAACGGCAGCATGTTTTGCTACCATGTACTGTAGCTTTGTCAACTCAGCAAGATATGTTTGCAATTTGCATTGATCTGGTGACATGCTCGGCGCTCGTCGAACGGAAGGAGTCGATTTCAATCTTGACGATTGCAATTTCGGGCCTGCCGTTGAAGGTCGCGCATCTAACCCATTCGGTTCACTCGCTAGACTTTGTTTTGAAAATCTAGACTCCAGCGGATTTCCAAAGATGCTAATTCTTGGTCGTGCTTGCGGAAATCGTTTGGCAAGACTTTTCGCCTTTTTCGATGATGATGTTTCTATCTCTACGACAGGAGCAGTAGTCTCTTCTGGTATGGAATCATGCTGATCAATGCTTCCAGATTGGATTGTATTTGCACGGCGTGATGAGCGAGAGGATGAACGAAATACTTTGTAAAGAGAATATCCTGATCGCATATCCTTTATATCAGAAGGTTGGAATGCGTTGTACTGTTTGTCACCCTCTGTGAACGTATTCGCATGTCGGCTGTTCCGTAATGACCTAGCCTTTGGATCCTCCATACGTGAGGCCTGTGTTGAAGATCGAATGGAATCTTCACTATTTCGAAAGGTCGGTTCTGAAAAGAAACGACATTAGGATGCGATTATGAAGGTTATTATGGTTTTAAAAGAGTCGCGCACCTGAGCTTCTCAAAAGGTTGTCAAGTCGGCATAACGATACCCAAAGCAAAAAAGAATATTGCTCAAGAAGCGATACCGATTCAAAACAAAGCAGCGATTTTTCTGGGTCAGCTCCATGACATCTATTGCAAAATAGAGCTAGAGAACTGACATCAAATACAGCATGGTTGATGTCATTTGATAATTTTTCATCACACCGTTTGCAGGAAAAGCATTGCTGATGCCATCGGTATCGCTTCATCCTGATGCACCCTTCTTCTATGATTTTGTTACATCCATAGCAAAGATCGGATGTGAAGTCAACTTTCGGTCCAATTGCTAAAGTTTTGTTGGTATATCGATGTGGAAGTCGGTTGTAACTAAGGTGCTTGAGGAACACAGATACTGCATTCTGTACGTCATATTGTTGTTCCTTCGAAATTTCAATATCAGAATACAAAAAAAATCAGCCGTACAAGCTAAGTGCAAAAAGAAATTGTAATGAAGGATACACATACCAATGTCAAAGCCGACCTGAGGCCAATTCGGATCAAACTTTTGAGATTGTTTGCAAGTCCAGTTATTAAAGACAATAAGTCTTGAGTAATACCAATTCGACGAAGTCCACTTTCTTGCGTTTGGGACAATAGTGCGAAAAAATCAACCGTTTTGCGGCTTAGAGCACGAGCTTCCTTTTTAAAGTTTGGCCCTATTATAATCCACCAAAATACCAATAAGTGACGAGCATCGATCGACAGTTGGGATTTCGTCAATTTTTTTTACCTTGTTCGTTTTTCTCGACGTACATTCCATCCAGTAAATCGATGGCCTGAAACAGAATATGAACATGGTCGATGAACCGTTTTGCCATATCAACACCGTCGATGTATTTTCCAATGGAGACATGCAGCAGCATGTCGGATATTGTTGCTGCAGACGACTCTTCAAATGCCGATAAAACCGTCCATATTTGATACACTTTTTCTTCTGTGTCTCTTTCCATTTTCTCCATGGCGTCCGGGTTCTCGCTGGATAGAGCTATAAGATAAAAGTTTGTAGACTTTAATACTATGAATCTTCTAATAGGCGTCCATGGTAGGAAATTCTCACCATAGCGTTGCTGCCCATAGAAATCGGATAATCGGACATTCCAAAACTACGTTCCAAAGTGTTAAAAATCATGGAGGATAATTTTTTTGAAACATGTAATATAGTGAATGTTAAATTCACCTTATTGATCATGTAGCATTCTGCATGCCAGCGTTCGTTATTATCTCCTTCGACAAATTGTTTGAAAATGGTGACACTACAGCCTTTACATCGAATGGCGTATTGAGTAGAATAGTGATAGTGGCATAGCACATTTCCTTCATGCTCATAATATAAGTCATCAGGACCAAAATGAGTAGGACACTGCGAGCAAGTGAAATGATCCAAGTGGTATTTCGAGTCAGCTGCCACAATATAAGTATCACGCAAGGCTTCACCACAGGTGCGGCATGTAAGATCAAGTCGCTTAAAGTAGTCGCGTTCGCATACTGGGACTAGTTTTCCATTCTGCTCTAGCGGAAAAAAATGCACTGACGCCAATGGTTTGCTACATACCTAAGGGGAACAAAAATATTTGTGTCAGTACGGCTATTTTGGGGGGAGGAATCAGAAAGTTCAGGTTGAGCAAGTCAGCCGGCGAGGCAATGGCTAAATGGTTTACGGAAATGGAGGCGATTCAAACTTACCCAGCACTGGAAGCAGTCGTAGTGATATGCTGACTGAAGAGCACGAACCGACTGTTTAGTCAGAGGTTTAGAGCACTCCGCACAAACTTTGGAAGGAAGCGGGTCGGAAGGCGATGTAGCAGTTAGCGTAGCCATACGGCGACGATATATTATAATAGAAGAAGAAGGAGCAAAGAATATGTTATAAAGAAGAAGAAGGAAGGAGCAAGTTCAAAAGACCAGTTCTGGGCCAGTTTCCTTTTTTATTCAGTAGCCAGGTTGGAACGAATGGCTTCTTCGAATCTAGAATGTAGCTTAATGCCAGTTTCCAAATGGACACTTGCTTTTGACTTATGCAGCGTCCCTATGTTGTCTAATTGCTGTATCTGCTCTTCGCTGAGCTGCCATAAATACCGGCGTACCGGTCTTCGTCTCGTACTTCGAAGTTGGCCAGGTATTGGTATTGTTTGTGCCATTAACATGGCATTGTCGGACTTACAGATAGCGAGCACATAGGGCAGATATTCGGCTACAATGCACCGAGCATCTTGAGCCTTGCTGCGCAAAGGTAGTAATGGCGCTATCAATGTCGATTGGTGATGGCTGTAAATACAGGGCATTAGAACAACCTTTCTTATCGTTTTTTCTTTGTTACTAACCATACGAAACTTTGCTATGCTTACACTAGAATAGATGTCGTTTCGCTTGTACTTCTTGTAATTGCTATATCTGGAACAACCTGCTCGTTTAATGTACTTGCAGCTTTCGCGATCCGACTATCCACGTCCCAATGATCGTAGTCGGTGGGTGTTTTCCAGAGTATCTTATAACCCAGCACATTGTCTTTGCTTGGTCCATATTCGTCAATCTCATCGATCTACATAGCAAACATACCTAATAAGTGACCGATCGCAATATAACCATTTCATAAAAAAAAATCTTTGCTTGTTTTTCCCCTGTTTCTCCTAAGCTGCCATACGTCCATACCATGCTATAGTACGTTTTGCCAAGATAAAATTTAACATACCTGATCTGCTTTACTGTCTTTCAGAAAAGCATCGATATAAGATTGAGCATCCGCTGCTTTAGCCATCGTCTCGAGGCTTAAGTTGCCCGATTCGCCATGGTTCGTGGTGATAGCTCGTCGTTCAGCCAAGACGGTGGCAATCTCATCATGAAACGTTTCATCCCTCCCTATAATTTGATCAATTAAGAATGGATAAACACCTAATGACATTTTATCACTTCCGGGGAACGCTTGTTTTCTTGACCAGAGTTCCAAGGAGTTTAACAATTTGCGAAGATCTTGTCCAAATATGATACACAGATAGTATAGTTCACATGGATCAATAAGATACCCTTCTGCAATGCATACCAGCTGCAAATACTGTGTTGTCGCCTCAATTGATGGTAATTCAAAGTACAGGGTGGTTTGGAGAGCTAATAAGTCATATGGTACAAGACCGATGTCTGAAGTGGAAAAATAAAAATCATAAAAGCAATATGTTTGATCAGCACAAAATGTCATCTGGTGATATCTACTGAAAGCATGGTCAATGCCGTTTTGTTTTTACCATTGCACGTCATGACAATAGGTCGCTTGCTCTTGTGTGCCAAACTAATCACCGAGCTCCAGAAAGTCTTATCCTCTTCGTACAGGATGTCAACTTCTTCCAAGAGAATGAGGCTTTGCTTCGGATTTCTCGCTTCGTTCAGCGGCGCTTCTGGAGCCAGCGGTGGCGGAGGCAACGACTCCACCTCCTCCGCTGAGCTAATATCTACCAAATCATTGGATACCTGGCTACCCGTTGTTTGTTGATCATCGTTTGCTTTGTGCTCAGGTACAGTAGATGTGGTGTTGGATTCGATATCTGTCGCAGTTGGAAGACCTTCAATATCCACATCTTCTGTTGCGGAGCTCGTATCCACTGAACTATCGGTAGGCGTTTCCGGAGGTGGCGATAAAGATTTCACCTTCATCCTTAAGAAGTGCCTCGTAATATCTCCACTTCCAATAGAAGCCTTGCTTGTAGCTTTAGACTTTTTGACTTTTGGTGCCGAATCTCCTTTTTTTGGCCTGCCTCGCTTCCGTTTTCCGCTGTCGCCGGAGACAAGCTTTTCGTCAGTAGGTTTGACGGAGTCAATGTGAGTCACTGCTTGCTCTTCAGGATTCACCTTGGTAAAGCTGGCGAAAGGGTCGAAGGTACTTCTGTCAACATGATCGAAAGAAACTTGGTGACTTTCTGCCATTTCACCAACCATGGCAAGTATGTCTTTGGCGCTTCGCTTCTGCCCCGCATTAATCTCGAAAACATCGTAACCAACCTCGTTAGCCGCGGTATAAACAGATGCAGTCTTGCCTACTCCGTGGCATCCCACAAGCAAAATCAGATTAGACCTTGCTTTCCCTTCCATTTTCTTCGTTTGACTTGAGGTCTGCTTTCGTCGCTTATTCGTTTTAATTGTACTAGGCATGAAATCCTGATCATTTTCGTCGATGTCTTGAATAGAAACATTCATGATATCGAAGATTTCTTTTTGGCTGTATCCATCCCCATCCTCATCCTCTACAATGAAATCTTGAAGCTCAGTTGGAATATTTGAACTTTTAGCTTTCGTACTCATTTTCCCAGTGACATTGTGGGATGATTTTTGTACTGCTTCAAGCGGTGCAACTATGGGCGAGACTTTCATTTCCTGTAACCAGTCACGAAGATATGTACAGTTACCAGAATTTCCCAACAATCCGTCAATAGTAAGTGGTCGATATTTGTCTCGCCAAGGAAAGCTGCGAGGATCCTGAGTTGGCAAGGCATCTTCGTCCGCCGGTGCCGGGTATAAATACTCAAATAGCGATAGACAGGCATCAGTTCTCCAGCCGTCGGGATACAATTTGTCTAATAAACGCAGCATTCGTGATCTTGACAGTAATGGGTACTTGAGGTCTGCAAAATCAGGTCGCGGCCGCCGCTTTGCCTCTGTCTCCTGCTCACTTCGAAGAGATCGCTGGTGAGCAAAAAATGCTGAGGATAATTGTTCAGGAACTGGTTGTTTCCGACGGGATTGCTTTGAAGTCGAGTGTGAATATGCATTGGTATCATGACTTTCTTCATGGTAACCTACGAAGAGTTCAATGAGCTCTTCAGCGCTAGGCTCACGCTGGTAAATATGTCCTCCCTCGAAAATATCTAAGTCGGGCCACTGAGGAGAGCACGGACTTGATTGCTTTCTAGAGGCAGTCCTTCTCGTGGGCTGTTTTGACGCGGCCACTGTGCCTTTGATTGGCGGTGGCTGCTGGAAAATGGTTGGAATGGTGACAGTTGACTGTGGTCGATCAGCATTGGTAGTTTCGGTAGTGGTGACGCATGGTGATTCGGCTTCTTGATCGACTTTGGCTCGAGGACGAAAAAACGGGTGAAGCTGGTCGTTTGGAGGGCGCTCAGCCATGGCCATTCTTTTTCTGCCGGCTTGAAAATTGCTAAAGCGCGACGCGCACCGGTATTAAGAAGTAATCGTTACCGGCAAAGTGGAACCTAAACATTTTTTAACACGCGACGTGGTGAAAGTCACTCGCCTGAGATTTCTTCTATCATACATTTTTATAAACTAAGCAAGCTAGTATTGAGTCCCTTTCTTTGAATGCAATAGAAATATAATCAAAACCACATCATTGCCTTCCTAGTACTTATACGCAACTGGTAGTTGTCGGGTGGACGAAGTTTGTGCTATTCGTTTTTGGAGCTATGAAAGTGCTGAAGAACACTCCATTATATAGCCATTTTGAGAAGCTCATTTATGATGACTAGTTTCTCTTCACCAGAGCCATTGAGAATGTTACAAACATAGAACGACGTATAAGAACCTGGTATGCCATTGAGGCGCGGGTAGGCTCGTATCTCGTGTTTCATTTCGTTTACCTATGTTATGCCCATCTCTGATACTCTTCAGTAGATATGTTTTTGATCATTTCTAATTGGATTCAAATTTATGAATATTTACTTAAGGTTATTCGGTAATACGGTACGTGGAGTGGGAACGGAACACAGTGCAATACAAATTTCTGGCCATGAGAAGAACTCCGCAACGACTGGCTCAGCTCACCTTGTCATATGCAACCATCCTCGCAAGCCGTTCCCGCATCCCAGCTATACACCAAGTTGAAGCGGGTGGGAAAAGGCGCATATGGTTCGGTATACAAAGGGTATGTTGAAATATCGTTTCGGTCTTCATTTACAGCCTACGCATACTAACCATGGTGCAGTCTTGACAATAAGTCAGGGAAGGTGATTGCAATCAAGATTTTGAATCTTGACACTGCCGAAGACGATGTCACAGATATCCAAAAAGAGATTACCCTCCTCTCAGACCTTACACGCTCTGGATCTGTCAATATTACTCCATATCATGGATGTTTCCTGAACAAAACGAAGCTTTGGATTATCATGGATTTTGCCGCAGGAGGGAGCGTTCTAAAACTAGTAAGTGAATTTTACTCAAGTGATATGAAAGTGAAATAGTTTTATACTTATTGAAACTTGTATTTGTATTTGCTCTTGCTGTAGATGAAGGCTGGCAAAATTGAAGAAAAGTATATAGCCGTAATTGCGAGGGAAGTCTTAATGGCTTTGAGATATCTGCACAAAAACAAAATCATACATCGCGATATCAAAGGTAACAGCATCATACATTCCTTTATCATGAAAACCTTATTGCAATTAACTGACATTCGATACATCTCGGTTTCAGCTGCAAATATATTGTTGACTGACGAAGGAAATATCCAATTATGTGATTTTGGCGTCGCTGGTCAGACATCGATGAATTGCTTGAAACGTAATTCCTTTGTGGGAACACCCTATTGGATGGCTCCAGAGGTCATACGGGAAGGAGCGTTGTATGATTTTAAGGTGAGTGAGGCGCTTCATTATATCTTTGGCTGTTGCTAAATATTTTAACTCAAATGATGTACTGTCAGGCCGACATTTGGTCCTTTGGTATAACTATTTACGAGATTGCGACCGGCAACCCTCCGTTAGCAAATCATCATCCAATGAAAGCTATTATCCTGATACCTCGGTCAAAACCACCGCAACTAGAAGGACAATTCTCGGCAGCAATCAAAGAATTTGTGGAACAGTGTGTGAATGAAGACCCAGATGAGGTACGATGATAGTTGTAGCCTCACTGCCAAAATACCGTTTTATTTAAACTATTATAATAATCATTTTTATTTAGCGACCGAGTGCAGATGACCTTCTCAAATCCAAATTTATACGATTTGCTAGCAAAACAAGCTCCACCATTTTGATAGACTTAATAAGGAGATACGATGAATGGAAGCAAGAACAGGAGGCCAAGAGAAGCAGTTTTACCTCGCAGGACATGAATAACAGGTATTTCATTAAGGATTGGCTAACACCGCCGGAGCGGAAGATACATGTTACTTACTTTTGGACCGGCAAAAAGTGATATAGATGACGAATTTGAAATTAGTGACTTTGACGACCTCAATAATGATGCATGGGAGTTTGATGTGAGTACTGCTGCTGAAGCGTGCACTGGTGCTGTCTTCTCGTTATTAATAATTCCTATCGCACTACGTAGACTTTTAAAAGCGAACAGCCACCCGCCATACTTAGGTCACAAACCGACATCACTTCAGTTTCACCTCCATCTACCAGCATTATACCCAACGATACAACAGTTACTCAAGCTGACTTTCTACAACCATCTCTTGGAGGACGTCCATATCAAAGGGCATATTCCGACACGCATCCTTTAGTACGCCTCTTCATCGATACAAAGTCTGCTCAGAACGCACAAGGCAATAATCTCTCTGTAAATAACCCCAATGCCTTTTATGGTAGCCCTTCTGCGCCGTCAGCATCCAATACAATATCAAGTACCCCAAGCATCTCTCCGTCGGTCTTCCCTTCTACAAATGCGGATCCAATCCTTGATCTTTCCAGTGCAACTTTAGTTCCCGGATCATATTCAGTGAACTCGACTGTGGCAACTGCTCGCCAGGTTGACAGGAAAGCAGCAGGAGAACTTCGAATAGGTCATGAACATTTCGATGTATCACATTCCCCTGCTCCGTCAGCGGTAGGACTCTCATTATCTGCACAGCAAGTTCCCTTGGCTTCGCCACATTTAAAGCCTTTGGATTCAACTAGCGTAACCCCCACAGCAACTTTGAAAAACAGCGATGCTCATAACTTTGATCAGTTATCTGGCGAGCACCACGATGCACACTCAATGTTTGACCTGAACACGTCTACAACCATCACTAGTACGGCTAGGTTGACTCCACAGCAGACTTCTTTAGCGCCAACCACGCCGCGGTCCTTTGAGAAATTGTCACCCACTGGTCTTGGTATCAGTAAGCCTCTAGCCATGCGTCAAGGCTCTCTACCAGATCAATTACCGCCATCTCGACCGGGATCCCGCCGACCCTCACGGGCTACTGGTGTATCGCCAGGCGCCGAAGAGTTTGATTCAGAGGCTGCAGAGATTGCGCTTACTCAATATGCCAGGAGAGTAAGGTCGACAACCAACTTACATCCTGAAGATGAGATGCCTTTAAAGGCACTTGTCACTAATAAGCACCAAATGCAAGAAGACGATAAAAAAGGGATTGCAACAGGCAGCAAGTTTGGAGGTGGTGTAGGTGATAGCAGCGCACGACATCTACAGAATATTACCACCTCTGGCCACTACTTTTCGTCACCAACTTCTAGTCCTACCACAACAATGCTACCCGAACTGCGCCCACTTCGCTTAGCCTCCTTGAGAAGTAGTGAAGATGTTTATCAGGAATTAGCTATTACCTTGAATAACCTTGATGAACATCTTGATGCTGTTGAACATGCATTATCAGCTATAAAGTTGTAAACCCTCTTACATCGTTTAATTTTACGTTTTATTTTATTTTTTGAAATGATACGTATATTACAGCCCTCTGAAAATAACTGCATGCAGATAGAGCCAAACAAATTGTGTACAACAGGTATAGAGACAGTATAGGCGCGCAAAGGCATTGCTTTACTGCCGGTGATTATTTTTGGGAATCCACCGCTATAGGCTCATAGCTTCCACTACTACCGTTGGTTGTCAATTTTGGTGGAATAGGTGTAAACGAGGATGTATTTATATTAGAGTCTTGGTTATTGTTATGGCCCGGTGTATTAGGTTGTGGTGTATTTGGACGATACTCTGATGCTGGCTATAAATTTTATATTGATCGCACATTAACATAAGAATAGCAAACTGAATTGTAACATCGCCATAAAAGCCCATACCTTATGGTCTTGCCCACTTGACGATCTGCCTTTTGAACTCGATACTGCTGTGCTGGAGGAATATAGATCTAACATATCAAAGACAGCGTCTACAGAAAAGGTCAGTTTAATGAGGTCAACTAGGGATATTTCATGGCAGTCAAAACCTACCCTCTATCTCATCTAGTTTGGTTGAAACCAGCTCCCACCATTCACTGTCTTCATCTGCAGTCAATTCGTGCGCAATAAGCTTGGAGGCTAGATATATAGAAGCACCGGCTATGATTTGAGGAGTATAAAGAAGACAAAGAGGAGATTTGATACTAATGGGAAAGGTCAGCCACAGCTGGGTTGATAAGCTAAATAGAATCTTACATACCTGTCATTGACAAACATCCAGGCGGTTTGCGCAAGACGGTTTGACTCTGATGAAAAAGCCACGTCAATCAATACGCATACATCTACATTATTGCCATAAAATGTGACTAACCTCGTAGTTCATGGATGTATAGTAACAGGTAGTGATATGGATGTTCTATGGTCAGATCAAAGCAGATAGCCTCTAAAAGAACGCCTTCGTCGTATAAGATGATGTCCCTCCATCTTTGAAAATCCTTACTTTGCTCATCTAGCACAAGTTTCTCGTTTTTGGCGGCTTTTTGAGCGCAGACTGTCACTATGTCACGCAGCTTACGTCCAGATTCTTCCACTTTGGTCGCTAAAAAGATGGCTGTCGCGGCGATGTCCTACAACCAACTGGCATTAAGTGGGATATCCTCTTTTAAAGTAAGCCAACTGCAAAAACATATCATTTCACTTACATAAAATGGGTAGTCCTTGAGTGACTTTCGCATAAAAAATCGATGGAAGAACACCATTGCCGTTGCTATTGTAATTTGAGGTCTACTCGCGAAGATGCAGAGTTAGTTCGAGTCTCTTCGAAAAGTGTAAAGAAAGACTTCTTACTTACAGTTTTAGTGTCATGCCTACAGATTGTATGAAATTACAACCTTTGGCTCTGTCTTCCTTCTCTTTCTTGACGCTGAATCCGTCAATGGTTATAGAAGGGGTATTGGACAATGCCTCCTTACGATAATACCATTGTTGCTGAAACTGTGTTAGAACCATTTGTGTCCGACGATCGCTTACGCAGAAGTTCATAGGGTCAGGCATACCTGGCTTACTTCCGATGGTGAGGCCATGTAAGGTAGCAAAATGGTGACAGACGTTTTCAAAAGAACCTCGAACAATTGCTCACCAATTTTATGGAACATATCCCCGTCAATAAAACTTAACTCAGACAACAGTAGTCTACGATAAGAACAAACTGAAAACGTTCATACAAACTATCAAAACTGACTGGCAAAGTCATGGCTGAACCAATTAACAACATAGTTACGATTAACGTGTTATTGTGGCAATAGTATACATCTTCGCAACCCCAATTCTAACATTTACAAGGTATCATTGTAGAATACAAATAGATAAATAAACGCATCTAATACTACGGTATATTATAAAGCAAAAGTAGATAGTGGAAACTGCTTACGCATCTTCCGAATCAAGCTTACTGGTGAATGACATCTGCTGACCCTTTACAAGAACCTCGATGCGTAATTCGGTGCTGGCGAAAATGAAGTCAATTTGAAGGTCAACGCGGTCTCCGGCACGAACACCAGGGAGATGCGGGATTTCTATGGGGAAATCTGCGATTTTTCGAACACCGGGATCAGTAACCTGCCGTGGTATTGGCCCATCACCATCATAGGCATACAAGTCGGCTGGACAATTGAGCAATGGTTAATGTCTTGTAACAGTTATAGGTTAGGGTATGCCTGTTAATACTTACTCTCTGTGTTGGCTGGATAAGATATCCAAAAGTTTTTACGGATGGGATGATCTTGTACTTCGATTCTGTCGCCTTTTCGAAGATATACGTCGAATCTTGTAGAACAACGCTTAACACCATCAACAGTAATAATTGCGCTATCTTCGGGATCCAGCCCTTCTTCAAATTTCATTCGAGTCATCACGCCGTAAGTTCGCCGCGCAATTTTGCTTGTCACTTTGTTTGGATGTAGTGCGTGCATAACAGCACCATGGACGACAGCTAACTCGCCTCGAGGTGGCGAAGCGATCATGGTCACTCGATCGCGAAATTCTTTTTCAACCATAGAGTATAAATAATTAGAAGATCCAAAGCCGCCAACCATAAATATAGCGTTTATGTAAGTCTTGCATTGTCGCAGCTGCTCGTCAATAAGCTTTATAACCCGGTTAATCACCGGTTTAAAGACTCGGTCATTTAACTCGTCTGCAGTGAGAAGAAGAATTCCGTTCTATATCGAAGTAAGTATTAGTTAAAAGATATATACCACTTTCTCTTTGTGGATGCAATCATGACTCCTCATACCTCCAATCCTATAGATTCGTCCGTCTGATCACACTGTGCTGACGCAGGTAGCTGTAGGTATTGCGTGTCCTTTCCATTGAATTCAGGCTAAACAAATCGTTAGTGACCATTATTAAAACAAGCTATAGTTGATAGACCATTCATAGTACCTTGATAGTTTGAACAAATTCATCCATCATTATCTCAAAGGCACATGCTGGAATGGATTTGATGTATCGTTTGAGTTTCGATCTCAAAAGCTTCCGCATATTCTCGTCAATGTATGCTCCTCCGCAGAGTCCGCCTTGGCCTTTTGTAAGTTCCTTCAAAGTTCTTGGTTGTTTTGGATCTAAGTGTTCTATCTCGCTGAAGACAAAGAGAAATCATCAGTATCGGCATAGAACTAAATTCGTCAAAGTGTCAAGACACTTACTAAACAATAAGATCCACAGTGCCACCACCAGCATCAACAATCATAAATTTGTCTCCGTGTTGAAGGTTCCAAGATTCACTGCGCTTTTCACAGTACAGAGCTGCAGCTTCAGGCTCGCTTATTAATATGAGGCGTTCAACGGGATCGTCTCGTGATATGATACCAGACCGTAAAGCTGCTTCTCGCATGCTAGTCTTAGCTCTGTCAGACCAAATGGCAGGCACAGTTAAGCAGTATCGGAATCTTTCAGGTTCGATGTTATTTGCAAATCCCTTTCGTAGTTCTTCCATGGCGTTCTGATGAAAAAGCTTAAGGTAGTCCGAGATCGGTCTGATAGGGTCGAACGTCTCAGATCCAACTATTAAAGGCGGTAATTCGCCATACTCCTGGTTATCCGATAGATGAAGCTTAAAACACTTAAGTAAAGTCGAGTCCTTCGTATTTGGCTTCAGTACGGCTAATCTGGCGCCGTTACCCCAATCTTGAACCTTTAGCGGCTTATGCTTATAAAGGAGCAACGTCGGTGTCTAAAATGAGCAGGATGTGCGTCAGGGTCGGCTAGTTACAACTTTAGGGTGTATTGCTGAGAGCAATCTAACAAGTCATACCTTGGAATAAAAACCACTATATTTATGCCATTTCGTGATGTCTTGAATATTTTCATCTTCAGCAAATGCGTAGCTGCATCCCTGTTGACAATAGATAATGTGTCAATAATGCAAAGCACCGATCTCTCAAATATTTACAATGAATCGTTGCGATACCGACTGAAAAAGTTGTACCTAAAAAGATATGACACCATAACCGAATCATTAGTTATACTCTGGGGATACTGTCAGTTTTGAAAATGGCAGTGGCCACCTACCGAAATCAATAGCAACGACTACAGCGTATTTCTTGAAGTCTATTGGCCGGCTCTCTGTAACTGGCTTTACCAAAGGCGAAGACGGTGGAACGGTATTAGCAATATCGTTTTGATCACCGTTAGTATTGACAGGTAGTGTAGGCAAAGGCTCGACGGGTGTTGTGGTCATTGATGGGGCCTCCGTACTTTGTGCACGAAATTAGTGATTTCAAAGCGACTTTCAGGTACAGCTAACGCCAATCAGTACAAAGCGAATTACCTAGGCTTGCTACTTCTCCGGAACAGATTATGCATCACAGAGGTTGACTACTGCGCAGAAACAACGAGGAAAAGTTGTATTGGAGAAAGCCAAGAATAGCGATGGTTTTTTAAGGCTAAAATAAAATGGGCCATTTTTGGTACTCATTTGTGTCCTACTCTGATGGATGCGAAAAACCACAGGCACAATGCTAAGTGTCCGGCTGAACAGGGTGGTTGAATATTGGATGTCATGATAAACTCTTTTAAAAAATGCTGAAGCCTGTTGCGAACATCTAGTTTTTAACCACAAGGAACACTGAGAGCTACTGTGCATCATTATAGCGGTAAAGTACGTAATGACAACGTAGCTGGCAGTACATGTGTTGCAAACGCTTACTCAATCAACTGTTTCCGCACGGCTATTAGGCCCAAAGGCCGTTGACCACATTTCGCTAAAAACAATCAAGGTATCAAAGTGCAACTTTGTCATTCATGATTTGACCTGTTGCATAATTTTATTGCGGAAGACATTCAGCGCAAACACCTATTTGGAGCAAGTATGTCAATCTATGCATCTTGGTCATCGTCCTCTTCCTCCTCCAATAAATCAACCACAAGTGTCGCACTTGGCCACAGCATAGATTGATCCTTGATAACGCTATCGGTGGGCTGAAAGACAGTTCGTGGATAGGGTGTCATAACAGTGAACTCAAATTTGTGACTATAGTTTGACGGTGGCTTTGTGCACTCTGTTGTGTCGATTTCAGGGTCTTGAATGATCGGGTATGCTTCAACATATTGGTACAAGGTCTATAGGCATGATAAGCAAACCCGATTTATGAATTGATAAAGTCAAATTTGCAAAATTTACCTCTAAGGTATCGTCAGCTTTGAATCTTCTAATCACGCGAGAACCATCAGGAAGCCTGAAGCTGAGTCTTGTAACACCTCCAGGGTGGTTTGCGTCAGGTTCTTCAGTGAATTGATTGCAAAGGTAATATTGGTACTGTTGCTTTTTCTTTTCTAACTCTTCCTTTTCCAGCTGAGCTCGCTGGGCATCCTCTTCCGCACGAGCGGCTTCTTCGCGAGCCTGTTGAGCTTTACGTTCCTGTGAAATATAAATGCATTAGACGAAAGATACTGCGAAATGACCATTCACTAAATAATTACCTTCTCCTGGTCTGCTTTCAGACTCTCCCGATATGCTCGATCTTGTTCATCTCTAAGGGATCTCTCCATCTCGCGTTCTTCCTTTTCTCTTCGCATGCGATCCAGGCCAGGGCCATAACGATCTTTTGCGCTCTGTAGGCGGCGAACGACAGAGGCGGCATCATTAACCCCTTCGATCCTGTCAACTACTGTCATTTTTGGAGTGGCATTGACAGCACCGCCAGGATATTGTAAAGTAATGACGGCGATGAATGGGTATGTGGTTGCTTGAAGAGTTGTGCTGACTACAATGTCAAATTTTGCTTAATAAAACACCATATGTACGAATACGATACAGTAGCAAGACGAAACCCACCTTGGTAACCTTCTGTTTCTCGCACATTACCGCCCCAAGTAAGGATATTATTCTCTCGTACAAAATTTATCAACTCCTCGGAAGTGAGAGTGTCGCTGTATAACACGTATTAGGCGAGCCTACAGAGACTTTGTAATATGATATCGTCAGTGACTTACCGACAAAAAGTTGGTGTGTCATCATGTTCATCGCTCTGAAGGACAACCATTAAAAAACTGAGCTGTCGCTTGGCTGTCTCGAGAGCTTGTGAATAACCGCCAGCGAAAAAGTCAACATGGGTTGCACCATATTGGTCTTCGAATTCCCGTAAAAAGCGAGCAGCGATTGCTTGTGGATCTTGTCGCTGCTGGGATAATGGGACACTTCTGTTTCCACCTGTTATTGACTGACGTGTGAAGTAGCGTGCTGTTCCCAGGAGTTTAAATTTTAATAAGGTACATGCTACGAAGATGAAACACTCTGGCCAAGACTTACATGCGAAGGATAACATGGCCCATGTAATATTCCAAGCAAATCCGAACGGCCAAGCCAGAAACGAGAAAATTCCCCATTTTCGAGTTTGCCTTGCGTGCGTTCGTTGCGGTATAGTTGGTCGGGTGCTTGAAGTCAAAGGGGTTGTCTCAGATGATGTAGAGGCAGCCACCTCTTCCGCAAGCTTTTCGCGGGTAGCTGAAGCAGACTCAACAGCCGCTGCTCCATCGAAAACGCTTTGAACCGCCATCTGAATTCGTTATTTGCGTAAGAAATAGTATATTCGAGGAACACCTTTGAGTACGAGAACGCACTGTACCTCTAGATTCCAGTCATAACGAGTCAACTTGACCAAAGCTTCACCTATATCGTCAATCTGAGTAACAGACTATATCAAAAGAAGAAGACATGTGTCAATTGCCATAGGAAGTGGGGGCAATAAACGAGTTGGCTATCTGATAACTGGGAATTGATCTCAAGGACTATCGGCCAATAAAACTGACAATGAGGCATAAATGAAGATTCGACAAATTGACTATAATTTACCTGAAACTGTTCTAATACATCCTTTTGTTGCGGTGTAAGGGAATCCAAGGCATCCATGCTTATGATGTAAAATTCAATAGAAACCAAAGGATGGAATTGCTGAGCGAGCACTGAAATGACCTTTGCTTTCGTCACCCTGTCAACTCCGCATTGGAATTCCCTTTCAACTTGAATTTTTTCCCGGCCAGTAATTCTTCCATTAACAATCTAATTCCACATGGCCGATATCAATCCAACTATACCTGACACCGGAGCCGTTGAGGAACCTATTGATCTTGTTCGACTTTCTTTGGACGAGAGAATTTATGTCAAATTACGCGGTGATCGAGAACTGCGTGGCAGATTGCACGTAAGTTGATCGATTACCCAGCCTATGTAAACAGAGCTAACGAAAGACTAATCGACTTTTTTTCACGAAACAGGCATTTGACGGCCATTTGAATTTGGTTCTTGGAGAAGTAGAAGAAACTATCACAATTGTTGATGTCAACGAAGATACCAACGAAGAAGTTATACGGGTACGATATCTGACTGGGTGCTCGTTCTACCAAAATTCGATTTCTGTTAACAGTGCTTAAATTGCTTTTAGATCGTCAAGCGAAATTCCGATATGCTTTTCGTACGTGGTGACGGTGTCATCTTGGTAAGTCATATATGAAGTTTAAAGGATCAGTTCAACCCGGATATTATTTCTAAATTTGCAATGACTATCATAGCTTTCTCCGCCAAGTAGAGCATAGATCATATCTGCTGATATTGTTAAACGGCCCACCGTAATTGCATTAATACATTCATATTCAAACTTGTATGTTGTGCAGTTATGAGTTTTTGCTTTTTTAAAAAATGTCACACATGAGCGCCAATAAGTATAGCATTAATTCGAACGTCGACATTAGCAACACTGAGGAAGTACATTTTGGGGTTAACCCCTTTGGCTGATAGTCTAAAGTACATTAGATATACGATTAACTCAATACATTGAAAGAATAATATGTTCGTTTGGCATGCATGCGCAAGCTAAGGCTATCTACATTACGAAACATTGGCTGCATTTGAGCCGCTCGATGCAATGTTTGCTTGTGAGCGCGAATTGGACATTTCGAATGATTGGCCGCTAGTGCCTGAGGTGTTCCCGAGTTGATAATCATCTTCTTTCGGACCATAATCAGCAGCCAGCTGTTGTGAGATACTTACATCGTCATTCGTTGCTAATTCGTTTCTTTTCGCAATTCTGGGCTCAAATGGTATGCCACTGTGAGGAGACCATAACGATGGATAGTATTGATGGTACGCAAAAAAAGCAAATAAAGTGCCTATCAAAGCTGCAACTACCACATCCCAAGTGTGATGCTTGTAATCTGTGATGCGGGATACGCCTATTAGAACCGCTCCGAGAATTGGCATAGTAACGATGAAGCCACGATAGAAGTAACCAGTCTTCATTACAAATAACCGTAATTTTCCAGCAAAGTAGAGTGAGAGGTATACGAGACCAGCAAATCCAACTGGTTTGGACCGATGATCAAAAGAAGCGTTACTACTTGAAACATAATCGGCTTACATACTTCATGTGCAGTACATACCAGAGGTGTGGCCACTTGGGAAGGATTTGAACGCGTCTTTTAGAAGATAATCGAGGGGTCGAGTACAAACCGATAAATTGCTCAGGCCCAAAGGAGGATCCACAGCACCTTCTCTGGGTGCACATACAGCTAAAAAGTCAGGTCGGTGAGCACCCACTGTCAGCTACCATCATACGGAAGAATTGATGTCAGAACATGTAGGCTAATGAGAAATAGACATTACGAGCCTACCTTGACTATCTCTGTAATCATGATGGTAAATGATACTGATAGCAGCAGGCCCAGAGTTCCATTGTGAAGATCAAGTGGACTGCGGACTAAAAATATAGACACGAGGGCGATTATGATGAATGGTACAACCACAGCAAGTACCTAAGTTACAAGAATATAGCAGGGTTAACATAAGTCAGAGCGTTTGTCTGTCAAGCGAGAATTATTTTGAGCATCTTACAGCCAAGACCCCTATTGACAGGGTATCGTTCTTCAATGAATACATTAATCGACGGTTTTGCAAGGGAAATTCTGAGAAGAACGGGTCGACACTATCAATCACCAGAAAGACGACAATAAGAATTATGACCAGAACCCAGTCTTTAAGGTATGATAGGAAAAGATGCTTTCTTCTCCCTTTTAAAGGTTTTAAAGCCATTGCAAATTATAGGAACAAAGTAAGAAGCAGGTGAAAAGATCGTCAAGCGAGTGAAGCTTTTGAGGATTTTGACCAATAGATTTCAACTCCGATCTTAGACAGCAGTAGTGGCGATGACGATTACGGCAAATCGGAAGTTACAGAAAATTCATGGTCATCTGAAGTCATCAAATTTATATCCAAGATACTCAAAATCACTTTTTATGAATGACCTAATTCTCATTTGCCCTCCATCATGATGTTGATGAGTAGACGCCTTGGATGAACATAACAAATAGCAAAGGAATGCCAACCATGTAGGCGAAGCAATATTGCCTAAAATGGATGGCCACTCGCATCACGTTCTTACCAGACGTTGATATCATAGCACTAGTATGCTGTGTAGGGCATAGTACTCGGGTGTAGCTTGACCGCTGCAAAAACAACTTAAGTGCGGGAAGATTAGGAGAAAAGGATGAAGGTTTGAATGATGTACAGAGGAGCTTTTACTTCGAAATTCTACATTTCTTATTATACTTATGTTACAAGAATAGCTACAGCCTATGGGCAATACTAACATTTAATGTCGGGTGATTCTAAAAGGATGTCTTTCCAAGGTACAGCAAGCGAGTAACCGTCTGCAAAAGCTATTCGACAACTCTGCTTGTTGCTAGTGCATGATTGAATTGTACCTGAATGTTGAAACAAAGGTTAAGCAATTGGTACAAATACACACAGATGAGGAACGAGAGATGAGCATATACCAGCAAAATAAGGACCCCCTTTCCATCTGGCCCATATTGGTGTGTTAGGTTTGAACTTTGCAGCCATTTCTTGAGCATGCTTTGTGCGTTGAGCCAATTTTTCCAATTCCCGCTTCTACAAGGCACAAGGTACGAATTTTAAGTTAACGTATTCCCGTGCACTCTTTCCTTTGCCATTGCTTAATGTACTCACTGGATCGTGCGTTGGGCAGTAGCCTTCTTTCAGAATCGTACCATCCTCCAATTCTTCCACATGAAGTGTAAGTTCTGCATCTTTGGCACAACTTGTGTGAAATGCTCTACAGCAACGCCCTTTCCTGCACTGAATGCATGCGCCGTCCACTTTTCCGCAAAGTAAGCATTTCTAAATGGTAAAACGGTTAATCTCCCAGGTAAGAGCACTATTGAGGGTCACAATTATCCACTGGTGCTTACCAACTTCCATCGCGCATTAGGTATACTATCAACTCCAACAACGATATCGCCTTTTGGTCCGGCCACCACACGCGTATCAGGCACAAACTCAGCACATAATCGATGCGCCCGGCGTCCATCGTCCGTTGGTAGGTCAGCTCCGAGCAAAGGGCATAGAACACACTGAAGAGCCCATTGGATGAGAAAAATTGCGGAAACTTAATCCTTATCCATGTTATGCTTACCTTATCAACACCAACCGCGGGTTGAGGAGGGTCCTTCTGCTTTCTCTTTCGTTTTCGTACCACTTCCTCTCCTTCGCTGCTCGACGGCTTCTCTTCCTCTAGGACATGCGGTTCAAATACGGACACATCAATTTTTACACTGTCACCTATACAGGTGCATGCTTTCGCCTGTCGACCAATTTCCACCCAAGAATCCAATGCAAAGTTGGTACTTTCGGCGCAGTTGAATCCAAGGTTGTAACCGGAATGATATCCATATGGAAACGTGATGACAAATTCTCCCTCATGCTGGACGAGCCGGCTGACGGGGATGGAGTTGTTGGCCAGTATAGTTGGTGACGCTATGAAAGTCTTATGTCGCAAAAACTCACTGCAGGATTTATAAGCCGGAGAGAAGATATCTAACATAACGCAGAATTAGGGGGCCACGAACGCCAAAGCTTCTGTCACGCAAGATGTAGAGACTTACTTTGCATCACTGTCTCAAACCGCTTTCTATAAGTTGCAGGAATGGCGTACCACTGCTTTGGCGCTCCGAAATGTAGATAGTTGATTGAGTACAGATCCATGTCCTTTTACCAATATTAGTGGTCAGTATCGTCTTCACAAAAATCGTACTCTGACGGAATCCTTTCCAATTATACCTCTACATGCCACGCAAACGTCGCTTTCCATTGCCCGAAATATAGGTAAGCTGTGTTGACACCTGGAAGCTCCACCCCAATCCTATTCAATATATTATCCAGCTTATTCACATTCCAAGTCTTGGTAGAATCCTCAAACAAGGCTGAAATTGCAACATCGCATTATTAAACACCTCTTCATTGATACCGAAGGAATCTCAAGCCCGCTGACTTACTTCCTTGCATATCAGCACCATACATGGGTTGTGAAAAGGTAAGGTTTCGCCAATATGTGCGCTCCATTTCCTTACAATACTCTACGGTGTATTTTTCGTCATCCTCACAGTGATAATCAAAGGTAAGTGGGTCGTGGTTATCGGACTGAGCTAATTCCAACTCCTCAGCTTTGATCATTCGTTTCGTTTTTATTGGCTGTCCTTCTGCGGCTAAGGTGTTCAGCTTTCTTGGCGGAGAAGGTGGTGGAGATCTGAGATGAGTTTCTTGATGTAATGACATGGTGGTACTGGAATATTTCTGGGCATGGCCATCCAAGGCTGCGGAACCCTTTGGAATATTCCCATGCTTTGATTTTGATCGGGTCTGTAATGAGCAAAACTTGATTTCAGATATGCTTTCTCAAGAAAACCATAACCGGTAGGTTAAACTTACGCTGGCTGAAGGTGGGGCTTGTGATGCTATTGTTGGCCCAGAAGGTAAATATGGTATTGGTTAATCATGATCCGAGGCGACATGTGACCATTATTGAAACAGTAAGTCTTACGTTTTCGTGGGTCAGTCTCCATAGCCAGTGGAGATTCATGATGAGTAACTTTACGCTTTTTGATGGCAGGTAGGGACTGAGGCTGAGTCACTTTGGCTGTTGGAGGACGATGTGCTTCTGATTCGCAAAGCTGGTGCCATTGTTGTACGGTATATGGTCGTCTTTTTTCAACGTTTGTTTGGGTGTAGATACCTTGACTACCGATGATGTGCTGAACCTAGAAAAAAAAAGGATCAGATAAGCATTGTGACGATATATTACGCTTGAATACTTTTGAGAGCTTACAATTGGATTTCGAACTCGCACTGTTTCTAGCATATTTTGTACGTCTGGAAGTGACTTTGTCCTGGTGGGTTCGAAGAGATAAAGAGCTCAGCGATTGTAGTAGGCGCAGCATAGCTAAATAATACTAGACAAAGCACTGACCATTCTTTCGGCGGTATGATTTTGACGATTCCTGCTTCCCGTCCATATGAATCTATTGCCTGAACGAAAGAAAGAAAGTCTTCAAATTCGGCCATAGTTGGGCGAAAGACTGGTATAACACCGCCATTTTCCTATTAATTGAGTAATTTCGTCATTATGAGTGTATAATTCCCGATCTTTTAATACCATTGGAGTTGGCATTGGATGCATACTTGGTCGTAGTATTCGGCTGGTTCGATATTCCGAAGATGTGACATAAAGGGAGGGTCGATTTGTTTGACGGATCCAATTGTATGGTTTGCAAATGTAGGCTAATTCCAAGAAAGAAAAAAGGGAAAATTTTGCTTTTAAAATTTTAATAATCGTAGAGCATGTAATGGCTGGTGCTATAGCTCTGAGAGCTCTTGACATTGACGAGAGGAAGCAAAAATACACCTTAATTTTTTGCTAGCGATTTGAACTGGAAAAGTATTGACCCACAGATGTGTTGTGGCCGTATGGCCAGTTTCTTACTACTACCTCGACAAAATGTCATATCTTTATTTCGCAGCATAGGGACATCCCCGTCCATTTTACTATCAGATTTCAGCCATGGAACGTCATCGAATTATATAATGTCTTTTTTCTAAAGTTCGCTAGCGAAAGTATGTTTGATGAAAGTATTTTCAAATTCCTTTCCTAAGGGCTGACAGTTGCACATTATTTTTATAACTTTATCACAGTATGCTTTTTCAATGTTTTTGCTGATATGAACTGAATTTGTACCATCGCCAGGTATAATGTACGCTTTGAGCGATGACAACAGAGACTGCGATACATGCTAGAGACACTAAAATCTAGTTCGATGAATGCAATATATTGGACACGACAGCTGGTGTCGATGTTTTCTACTCACAGATTTTGTTCCCAAGAAAGTCTTATTATTCGCTTGTTAGTTGATAATGAAATGCGATAATTTCAATGCCAAACCTAATTTTCGCAGCCGTTTGCGGTCTCCGTTCCCCGACATTCAAACATTAATGGTCGTTAACCGAAAGCTACTATGAATATTGTAGTATTGGTCTTATGGTTAACTGGGTAAGTGCAGTTTCATTCGTTTGAAAATGCTCTATAATGGTCTACCGCTGTCAAAAATAAGGATAAGCCTGATTGTCTTGGTGAGTTCAATCGTAGTATTCATGTGAATAAAAATCGTAACCGAAAGCAATAACGGTAGTGCCAAGAGAGTTTGACCAGAATATTAACATTTATGGTATGAAGTTGTCTATTCTCGCCAAGCTTCGTTAGTATATGCCAAATTTCATTGATTGCCTTTTGAGCCATGCTGTACAGAAACATGTAGACGATATTGGCATATAAAATCTACCCTTCAACAGCGACAACCAGTAAACAGTCCATGTGATGTGAATAATGAAACACTATACATTTAGTCTTAGTAGAATCAACATGACTATTTTTCTATGTAGTAACTATTTAGATGCATTATTTTACAGAAGCTCCATTTTGGCTTTGGTTGAACACAAATTATCGATTGTCGTGACTGATTTCACCAATAGAGAACTGGCACGAGTCCGACACGGTTTATACTTGGAGCAAATATGAAGCTATTCACTTCTACAATCCTGCTCCTCGCGCTAGCATCGAACGCACTTGCAGCATCCAATGCTCCAGAAATAGAACATGGTTCGTGTTTCGATTTCTCATTCCCTTGGTGGACGTGCTAATAATCCAGCATTAGGTCTTGAAAAGGTCACATGCGGTAGCATCATCAAACTCACGAATGTCGACACTGGATACAAGCTACACTCTCATACAGTAGCGTATGGTATGTGTTGAACTCAATCTGCGCTGACTGTTCTATTTATCGGGTGTTGATCACTCTATTCCTTGTACAATAGCATCCGGATCAGGACAACAATCGGTTACTGCCCTTTCGTCATCCGTAGACGCGAATAGTTTTTGGAAAGTTCAAGCCTCGTATGGTCGAGGCTGCTTGAGAGGGTGAGAATACTTTCTTGGAAGTTACAAATAGCGGTCGAAAATGCGATCTGACACTTTTTCTGCAGTGAACCTATACCTTGTGGAGCAACGATTCGTCTACACCACGTTGGCACCAAGGGATATTTACATTCGCATAATCATCACTCTCCATTATCTCACCAACAAGAAGTCAGTTGTTTCGATAAAGAAGATACTGGTATGTCATGGAATGAAAAACTGGTGTCTAAAATTGGCTTCAGGACTAACGTGAATACTGCCTTTAGGTGACGACTGGCGTTTGGTGTGCACCGGCAAGAGTAAAGAATGGATGCGAGAAGAAAGCGTACGATTGGTGCATGTAGAGACCAAGAAGTACCTGAGTACAAGTCCTAGATTCACTTTTGCTGCGCCGATTTCAGGGCAATTAGAAGTTTCATGTGGCGGAAAGGATGGCTCGACCACGCTATGGGCTGCTCAGGTAAGAACGTTCAACAACGCTGATTACTTATTTGACAACTATTAATCGTATCATTGTGATATGCGGCGTTCTTTGAAACAGGAAGGAGTCTATTTTGCTTGATTAGAAAAAAAAATAAACGTTATAAAAAGGAATTCGTCCCTTGACGTCTTTAAATGACTATGGTTACAAGAATGAGAGGATTGAGATTTTTGATGTGGAGCTAATACGTCTAAACGATGACTTGGGTGTCACCAAAAGCCACTGGTTTATATTCTGCTTCACTAAGTGTGTCGGAAGGCAACATGAAGTCTTTGTTCTCAAAGAGGTAATGCTTGTTGATTGCATCCATGCATGCTCTGAACTCTGCCATTTTCATTGAGTTACCATAACCTACGAATAGCAACATTAGCCAGTGTTCTATCTATCATAACCTCTTTATATTGAACTAACCTTCACCGAGCTTTTCTTCTCCAGAAAAGACACCAACAATGAAAACTGCGGAATTGGTTGCTCTTCCGGTTTCCTTCAAGAGTCTGGAGAGAGGCTTTTCTTTGCCATATCTAGTTGTGAGACGAGAAAGATGTGCTTTTGGGTTTTCGATCTTGACAACATCACTGACATTGACATCTCTTGCCAGTATATGGGCATGAACAAACTTCTTTGCAGCTTCTGCGCCTTTCTCCTGGTGAACTAAACCAATGATAGCATTCAAGGCACTGCTCATGGTTTCTGAGTGGTATGCTCCTTCAGACTCGGCAGCGTCCCAGCGTAAAACATGCTGAAGACCAATTTCGCGACCATACTTGGCTAAACTGTTGTTGCCGATGTAGGCTGTCAACACTTTGTCAAAGGCAGCTGGTGGCAGTCTGGGGTAACGAGCACGCAAATACTCTGTACAGAACAGACCAGCCACTCTTTTGCCAAGAATCTCCAATTGTGCGTTGTTGACATCGCCAAAAGACTTGTGAGTTACTGCACGTTCCAATGCAGGTTGAGAAACTTCTAAACCAACACGAGCTCCAAATGCTGAAAGAGCTGGTGATGCTGCCGATGCTGTCTGTACGTTTCGAGCACCATAGGCCGCTGAAAGTGATTTGTGAGGATTTGTTGAATGCAGAGATCTTGTTTTAGTGAATGCTACTATACTTACAGAAGCTACGGGAAAATAGACGATTGCTAAACATGCTGAAGGTTATTTTGTTCCAGTAACTGGCAAAATGGCAAAAAAGATGCTCCTATAAATTTTGGCAGTCCTGTCATGTTTATTTACATGGAATAATTCAATAAAATTTTCCAAAAAATGGTGGCATTACCCGACAAGCGAGGAGTTGGCGATCATCTGGTCGCTAAGGCATGTAAAGGCGGCCGTTTCTGATGATGTTAAAAAGTCTTCGACCATTCACAATAAAAGATAAATTTATAGTATTTTAAAATGAATATGTGACCAAAGTTGAGAAGAACACATGAAAAATGCCCAAGATACGAGGAAAACTTTATGCCATAAAGACTGGAACGATATGAACGGACGGCACAACATCGAGTTGATCGAAAGATGCAGTAAAGGGGACATTTTGACATACTACCTCTAGAAAATATATAACATAACGAGATAAAGGATTTACATTGCTTTAGCCATGTTTATTGTCCCCTAAGTCACTCCATTCCGCAGAAACGATAGTTTGTTGCTTAGGAAAGGGGTTCTGAGTACACCGACATCATTGCACTGAAACTCGGTGTTAAATATATATATGTTTCAGAATAAAGTAGATGTAATTGGCAACGTTACCCATAGCTGAAGAAACAAGAAAAAGTAAATCATTTTAAAAACAAAATGTTCGTTAGCAATCCGTTTGAAATATATCTGTTATCCTCTTTTGAGTACATTTCTCAATATGCATTCATTTGCGCATACAGTAACGTTATATACTTTTCCGCAGGATAGGCCATATAGACAAGATTGTACTAGTTGTAACCGGATTCATTTAATGGGTTTTTACGAAGGCTAACATCTAAAGTTTTAAAAAGACATTAGTGGAATTCAGATGTGGTTACATATTCTCTAGTATGCGAAGCACATTAGTTGGTGTTTGGGCTCGTTCCGTACAATGAATAGAATACGTATGGAAGTGATTTGTGCATACGTCAGGAGTATTCAATGTGTTCCTTGGTCCCCTAGATCCCAAAAAAAATTATTGGTAGAGTCCCTTGAACCCCCACGCACAGAATGTCTCAACTGAAGCTAGAGCAGGCTTGTACTTGGTGTCTGGGAAATCTTTTCCCAATAGAGGGCACGTTTTCTGTTGCCTTTCATCACTCTTCATGCATCTGAGCTATCGAAAGTGTCCTGGCTTTCCCCTCTCTTGATCTTTTCCTCAATCTTTATTCTATTGAAATAACATAAGCGTGCATTGACTTCAAAAAAAGTTGGGAGATAAAAAATAACCGTGACTATGATGACATTGGAGCAAGAACAAGACGGGCTGGAACCGCATTTGAAAAAGCATCACCGTACCACATCCTCTAGCAAGTCTAGCAAGGTACTTCTGCAATCCTCCTCTCTAGAATTTCTGCATATGCCTCCTCACGAATTCATGAAGAGCTCAAGCGCAGATGACATCGATTCCCCAACATCCCTTTCTTTGTCTACCTCTTCGTCCATTTCTCCAAAGTCATCGGCATCCACTTTGTTCACTCGAGCACAAATTCGACTATCTTCGAAGTTTCCAAAGCGGGTTCAGTCCACTCTTTTTCCAGTGAGGGAAAACAAACAAGTAACCCAAGACAGAGGAATATTGGGGCACAGAGGATCGGCCTCTGTGACGTCGCTGCGAGAGACAGCAAGAGATGAGGAAGAGTGTGAGGACGATAGAGTTAAAATGCCCTCTATAACAGAATCCATAACAGGCTATCATGTCCCTTGGAGATATTATCATCGCAGAAAGGTAAACGGGTTTTTGTCGCTCTTTACTAGAAGTGGAAAACATCTGCGTGGAGATTGACTGGCCGCTTTTTATTTTTTGTCAAAGTTTACAGCAGATTCAGAGGAGCCGCATCTCTTTCATCGTGAATCTACGCAGTCTTTGAATATGCCTCTGCAAGTATCGCAGTTGGCAGACCAACCTACTTTAAACGAACCCACTCGTCCACATAGCATATCGTCCTGGCGTCCGACGACTGATATGTTCGACAACTCCTCCGCTCCTTCCACATTACGTTGCGCAGATGCGATCGGTGGCCATTTATCAGCTGGTCTGAGGCCAACCTCTCCTTTTTCTGTGTCTGACTCGTCTGACGGTGAACAGCTAGACGTTATTCCCTTTGGAGTCGCCGGTCTTCGCCAACGCTGCCAATGCTTGTTGAATCAAGACACTATATCAGCAAAAGACTTGGGAACCTTACTAGAATCTTCAGAGTTATTGGCTCTTGGATACGATGATATAGCTAGCCAGAAGGATATCAGCTACATTCGAGAGCAACTTCAAGCTAGAAGAATTGATCCAACGGCAATGGTAAGGATAATTCTCCACGAATTAAAAAACCTACCCAACTCCGCAAAGAATCCCATTTTTTTTTTTTAATAATACCATGCCATTCAACAGCTTAAGCAACTTTTGACAATCGCATCCAACCTGCATTTTGAACCCATGATGACTATTACTGCAGACGGATATGTGATTGAAGATGTTTTTCCTTCAAAAGTACCGTCAGAGCATTTGGATCTGCAAACACGCTGGTTTCGACGGCACTTTGTTGGGAAGGCCTACGCCACATTTGTCGGCCCCAATCACATTATTTCTGTCGTACGGGAGGAGGCAAGAGAGTTCTGTGGACCTGGAAATGCTGCTGCAAAGATTTTGGGACAGCAATATCGGATCATCATCCGAACAAGCAAGGTAAATGACTTGTGGGTTGTTTGCTTCATGAAATGTGTGTAACATTATTATGTTTCATACTGAACGTACCATTTCAGTTGCCAGATCAACGACATGTCATTCATGAGGTTGTTGCCAACGAAATGGAAAACAGGATCGAATTCTCAAAGGGAAGTGGTAGTTCTAGCCATGGTTCAATGAACAGCAACAGCAAGAGAGTACCCTTTTCCTCGCGTCACACCAGGAATCGTACCATGCGTGCCGCTGTTGCCTCGGTGTTTCCTGAAGCGGACCTAGGCAGTTTCAAAGAGCTATCGGCGGAAGAAACTATTCATTTGGGATTAGAGCGCGAGCTCCTTCGTTTCGATGAATCAGGGGTACGCAGTTAACAGTATGTTTATGACCTTTGACCTATTACTGATTTCCCCTTTTTTTTACCCACTGCAGTCACCAAACCATTACAAGTTTGGTGTTATGGTTGTTAAACCTGGCCAGACTATCGAAGAAGACTGGTTTTCAAATACAGATTGCTCGCCATCATTTTGGCGCATGATGAATGCCATTGCAAATAAGGTTGAACTGAAGGGATATTTTGGCTGGGCAGGAGGACTAGACACAAAAAGTAAGACATGAGTACATGCGGCCTTACATCAGGAATCACTATTCATACCTTTTCTCTTTCGTGTTAGCTGGAGAGTCTGGGACCCATGTTTACACCTCTAAATGGAAAGATTTTGACATTGTATACCATGTGGCCCCACTGATCCCAGCTCGAAAGAGCGATCGACAACAAATCCATAGAAAAAGACATGTTGGTAACGGTATGTTTGCAGAGCGTTATGTATTTTTACACCCACAATTTGAATGACGGTACTAATGCTGCCCCTACGACATAGATATTGTATCACTTATCTTCTTAGAGGGAGATGCCAAATTCTGCCCATCGGTGATTAAGTCGCAGTTTCTTCACGTATTCATTTTGGTGCGTGAGGAAATGGTGGATGATCACGTTGCTTGGAGGTAAAATATGTGATACTTTTTTTTCCGTTTTTACTAAAATGTGAGAAGCACTGCGTGGCTGTCAACTGACTTATATAACCATAGGGTTGAAGTCATTCACAATGAAAACGTTCCTGAGTTTGGGCCCGTACTGCCTGCTCCAGCACTAATTTACAGTGCTCATGACTTACGAGCATTCCTTTCAACAAAACGTAAGTTCATAGCACGGCCAAGTTTGGATGTATGACTTAGAAATATCACTGACTGCTTTTCTTTAGTCATCAATGCTGAAAATGCAGCGCTCAAGTCACCCAAGTTTGCTATCCCTAATGCAAGAGCCAGAGAAGGAATCCTTGACAATCTCATCAAGACAGGAACCAAGCCTGGATCACCCAGCGGAATAACAAGGTCTTCAACCGGTGTCAGTAGTGATCCGTTATCGGCTAGAGTTCGAAGAGGTGCGGTGCGATCAGAATCGTCCTTAGTACCCCCCAACCTCCCTCCCATGCCAACACCATCTAGATCGAGCATGTTGAAGGAGTTGACGGGTTTGGCTCGAAGACGAAGCGGTGTTCAAGAAAAAGTTAAAAAGGAACAACCACGACGAGCTACATCAGCTCCGACTCGTGACAAAGATGCAACGAAGAACAAGACAACTTGTAGGTTAACTATAATACAAGCCATCGCATAGTCCGCTTTGATTTAACCACGTTTTCTATTGACCCTCGCTAGCAGCTCCCAATCCACCTTTGCCAACCGAAAGCGCTAAAACGGCCCAACCTATACGATCCTATTCCACTACGAAAGTCAGTACAACTCGTGCAAAACCTGTTGTAGACACATTATCGACCTCGCCTCAACCCAATGCCAGCGATGGTAAGTCAACGGTGATATTAGAACGGTCAGATATACCGTCACCGGCTGATCATCTGCCTCCTATGGGATTGACAGCTTTCAAATCCCGTGCACATAATCTGTTCATGATCGGACGACGTGAATCATCTAAACCTGACAAAACACAGCCAGACAATTCGAAACGATTCTTGCGAACATCGGCCGCGTTACAAAAATTGACCCCTAGTATGACCATGTCGACTAAATCACCTAGCCAACCAATAGATTCAAAATCCCAGAGAGGATGATATCAAAGTTTAGAATGACCTTAACACTTTTCACTTCTGTACCATCATCTTATTCCCTACTTTCCCTTTCGTCTTATGTACAATTTGTTATCCATACAATCTATGCACTCTACATTCTTTTTTTTTTCGGCACAACAATCAAAACAACATAACTCCATTCTTTCAATGCGCATTGATTATGTAAAGAGGTGCATACATTTTCAGTGAGCTTCGTAATATCTCTAAATAAATATATTTCCACCATAATATATTCACTGAGGATGTTATGGTTCTTACGGAGGTCATTTCTTTCTTTTAATCAAGTAAAGGGATTTAGAGCCCTTGCTTTAAGTGGTTTATCATTGACATTTCAACAGATACGGATGCTATCGAGTAGTCTATGGTGACCGCTCAAAACGTGATCCATCAAATGGTATGAAAGAACACCTATTTCAAATGTACAACAGAAGGAGAGGGGAGAACCACAAAGACACATAAAATTGAAGAAAGAGTTGACTGATCAAACAGTAAAAGACAAACATAAAGTTGAACAGGAAGGATTATGAAAGGAGAAAAAAGAAATTGAAGAAAGAAAACGTGCCAGTTGGGTAAGAATTATACTACTAATGCAATACCCGCTTAGTCACGGAGGGAGGTAGCAGGAAGTGAGAAGGCAGACCGAGCGAACGTGGTATGGGATGGACAGTAGTCATTACTCGACGATAGCACCAAATGTATTTTCACCAGAATAACTGTGCACGGGTGAAATGATAATGTTAGTGAATGAAAATTTGAAAGTGACCACGAGGTAGTCCGTAACGCTACTTACGTGATATACAAGAAACCATCCTCGTCCTTGTGCTCCTCATACATTGAACTCATTAACGCTACATGACAGATAAATGGGAACCACATGAGTTAGCCATTCTCGAAATAACCCCCACCAACCGTTGTTCTCTCGAAAGCCAATTTTTAACTTACCTGCTGTTGGGGGTAGGATTTCATTCACAAAGATAAAGATGGCCTTCTCTGGGCTGAGCTTAATTCTCTTGCGAATTACGTATACAAATTGACCTACGGTCAAGTCAGATGGAACCAGATACTTCTTCTTGTCAATAGTAGCAATGTCAGATTTATCGACTTTTTCGCAAATAACGGGGATTCGGTCAGGGTACTTTGTTCGAATACGGTCAGCTTCGGCCTTTCGCTTCTCTATAATATAAAGTAGGGTGTTAGTGTTATCGTTCTTGGCAACTAGCAGTAGCAGATAGGTCGGAGGACAAACAAAAGTCAGATCATTTCAAAATGCTTACCAAAGGGATGTTCGTCCTTAAACTTGGATCTCATTTGTGTAGGAATGTACAGACGGTATTAACGCAATGAAGTAAAGTTGGGTGAGTAAACGGGTGAAAGTGGGTGGGTGAAAACGTAGTTGGTAGCCCATATATTTAAAGCAAACTGCGGTTGGAGCGTGACCTGGCAAGTCTCGTGATTCTCTGATGCTGTGCACTTGGTGCGGGAGAGACCTTTTTTCATTTTGGTCCCATGAAGCTCAGTCAGTGCATTGACCTTCTGCTTGAGCTTACCACAAACCAAACCCTTTCACTTCTCTTACTGATCACTCCAGGCAAAAGCGTAGACCCAAATTTTGAAAAACTTAAAAAATATGTAATTTGTATTGTCTAATCTTGAAACAATAAGGTGAATAAAACCAAGGTGAAATCGGAAAAAAATTAATTCATGAAGAGTGATCGGAAAGCTATCATGTATTCAATCCGAAGCGGCCACTTCTTTCTTGCTGCCGCTACTGCCAATTCTGAACATTTTGCCAAGCGAAAATTTAATAGGAGAGCCGGCAGATGAGGTATTAGAAACAGAACGAGCTTTGACAGATTTGGTGGTGCGTTTGTAAGCATCCTATAAAAGTGAAATTGATTTAGCATACAACAAGCTTCTGGATGAGTTGCGAGTGGCAAAGTGAAATACATACCAAGAAAGCGATTTGAGGCTTATTGAAAGCGCCTCTTCTTTTTCTGCGCACATATTCAACAGCATCTAAAGGTTGCATGCCCATTTCAATAAGAGCAATAGCAACTAGGACTGGAGCACGGCCAAGACCGGCAACACAGTGAACAGCAATGGTGGGTCTCATATCGGGATCATCTTGGCTCGTGCTAGCGTTCATTCTAGCTTCTCTGTCGCGTGTTTCGACCAGTTTCAGCCACTGACCAATAATAGCCGGAGGGGGAACTCCGCCATCACGGAAAGGCAGATCCAGAACATTGATGCCTTCCTCAGTGAGTCTACTGGCGTTATAAGTAGCTTGGCAGCATCGAACAACATCGGTGACGTTGAGACGGCGGAACTCATCCATATAAAGAGGAAGAGTCGACTCTGTGGGGCAATCCAAAAGAAGGAATCGCAGAGGGGATAAGGAGATAGCTGGTGTCTCGATTACGGAGAAAGCACGGGAGAGTGGTGAACATCTAGCTCGGGAGCTATAGCGGCCGTCGGTGGTGTTGATCATATTCATTGAGAAGAAGAGTGTTAAGTAGAGTTGGCTTGGTTTGGGTGGGGCAAATGTGAGTGGGGAGAGAAGATAGCTCTGGTGGCGATTAACAAAAGGGTATGTAGATTGTTTTTTGGGAGAGTGATTTAGAAAATGGTTTGGTTTTCTTTGGCAAGTGATAGTTCGCTGCGAATAATGTAATCAGTTGCAAGACCAATTATCCAGGATCCAACAATGTGCAAGGGAATTCTTGAAGTTGAATCAAAGGGAAAGAAGCAGCGGGAACAGAGAGCAAAGCGTTCAAGGAGCAGCCGACAGTGTTAAGAAGATCGTACTGAGGTTGAGTAAAGGGTTGTTGCATAGGTAGTGGGAGCAGTAATCAGCAATGGATGTTGATGCTTTCCAAGAGGAAAGAAAGACGTAAAGGAAAAACAACACTCTGAGTTAGAGCTTTTGGAAAAAATATAGTGAAAGCTGATTGGTATTGTAAAAAAAATTTTCCCTTTCCAGAAATGCACACCGAAAGATGGTTCTGATAAGCTTGGTAGCTTGAAAAATGTGAATTGACTACGGTTCATGACCAATCGTGACTAAAGAAACCAATTCTAGATGCACCATGACATGCTAATCAATATCGCTTTGTTGTCTTCTTTCTATTTTCTTACACTGTAGGTGATCGGATCCTATTTGCTCATGCTGATTCTGCGTGAATATTGCCTTGAAACCCAGCTCCAATAATGTTTGGGTTTTGGACGCAACCGGCCCAATTTGTATACTGTTCACATCGACTTCGCCAGCAAACCAATGCTGCTTTATTCTATTTGCTAAATATATTAAACAAAAAAATTGAAACAACCGCATAACGCTACCAAAGGTACTTGAAAAGATTCTTAGTTGGATCATCTGGTTGCTGTGGTGTAGCTTCGTTATAAAGCTGGTATATGCCGCTATATCCCGAGTGGCTTTCAGATGGTGCTAGTACCTCCGTGTCAACAATCCTTGTCGGGCAGTTGCCTCTACATTCTCCCATGACAAGCGAGATATATTCAAGCGCTTTTTCCCACTGACTCAAACTGATCATATTATCAGCCAAAATATACATTCGTCGCTCAAAAATGGAGAGGTCGCGAAGTTGCTCATCCTTTTGCATTTCTGGGCTAAGGCATATGTCTGAAAACTGAAGGGCGAGACCCATTGATCCTACGTCAACTTGTCGCTCATCATCATCCACCGCAGGATGGAACGCAGATAGAAACTCCTGAAGAGGGATAATTGCTATCGGTGGGCGATCCTAAAAGGACAGAAAGGTTTTGAATTTAGGTTCTGAGGTCTTTTTTGCAAATGAGGTTTCCTTTTTGGAATAGGTCTGAACACATAAAAAAGAAACCTGTGACTCACTCACCTCTCTATATTCAAAATCAAACAACTCAAGGTTGGAACCTTTGAGTACTGTCCAGTATCGTCGCCATCGCTAGTCAAAAAATATGACATAGTGAAATTGTTAGGAAATATCGGAAGTTTTTCTCGTTTGTTTTTTTTGGTCCGTCTGCTTTTTTTTAAATGGCTAATCAACCCCCTCAAATGCAGCCAATTATACGCCAAAGTTATACTTACAGGAGTCATTCCACCTCGCACATATACTGTCAGATAGTCTTCGTAAAACCGTGTTTGATTAACCACCGCCATGGTTCGATGGTTAACGTGCAGTCCAATGCTGACCAATATTTGAAAGTTATCCGTGCAGCTATTTTCTGGCCAGCCCTTTAAGTCTATGCGATGAATGCGTTTCTCAGTAGGTCCAATGGTATCAAACTCGATGCTTTCCTTTCCCAGGCAGACTTCTAGTGCCCTCTTGTTACTGCGAAGGAACGATGAACCTTTAGTCTGGCTATAGATACTGAGATTAGCCACGAACGGACCTTCCACATCACTGTTTGCAAAAAATAATAAATAACTAGTCTGACAACATGCAATATCCAAAACCAAAATCTGCTCACAATAAGAAGGTTTCATCAAAATTCGCTTGGGCACTTGACTTGCCACACCTTGTGCTTCTCATTAACTCGCTGGAGCACACGTCGTTCTCTATTTGAAGCTCGCAACGAACATCGCGGCCTTAAAAAAGTGAGATTCAATTTTGTTTCGTAAACGCATTAACAACCTTGTCAACATCGTGCACATGGCGTTCTGTTTGGAAAGAAACACCTACATTTGGCAGATGATTTGCTTGTGATCTGCAATACTCTAAAGTAAAAAAGCCCTTTCGGGACAAATTGTGTCCGAGTTCCTTTGGGCGTGGACCGTTTTCCTTGCGACAAAGCTTTCTTAAAGATCACAGCATTTTTTTTTCGGTTGTTTAGTGCGGCGCCTTCTGCCACCGCCCCTTTCTGAAGCCATTCCATTGTCTCTTTCGAAAATTCGTCAAGTGATCGAATAGGCCCATTATAGTGTACTATGGGTTTCGTCACAGTCAATGCGGTTCGCACGGTTGCAAGTATGGAGCCTTTTGGTATATCAGATGTTTGTGGGCTTGAGGGCAAAATTTTCTTATGTCGTAGACCTTGTGCGGATACAATAGCCATTCGCACAAGAGATTTTTTGAAGACTGAACGCATAGAGAGTGTAGGAGATGGAGTGGTATACAACTTGTTACTATTTTTGCCAAAAGTAGATGAACTTAGTCCCTTCAAAATGGCATGCTGTCGCAAGGGACGGTTTGGGGGAGAAAGCGTGGTTCGGGATCCTTGAACGTTTGACATCTTGCCCTGGTAATACAGCGGGAAGAAGAAGAAGGAGGAAAATAACAACCAGTGATTTGCAAAATGGCAGACCCAGCTATAATAGCCTGAACAAGACCTCTCGATCCGTATTGTAGGAAACATTACCTTAAACTTCCGAGAGCAATCGGTAGCGCATCGGACAATTTTCATTATCTGTTTGTGCACCTGCCATGAGTGAGGGTCAGTATTACAATCATTGCTACTATACTCTGACTACTGCAACCCACACCTTTCTTTAGTGTGGCTACCGATGATTGTCCCCGATAGTAGAATTAAGTTGATTTTTTCCAGTGCATTCAGCAGCAGGTCCTGAAGAAATTAAGGACAAGCCTATTCGATCGAGTGGATTTTCTGGCATGGATGCAAAAGCCATAGAGAAAATACAAGGAATATAAAATCTAGACGCAGCAGTGCTTCACAACAGTACGGATTAGAGATCAAAACTATCTTCATTAAGTTACTGGTTATGTATTGCGATGGCAATGTGTCGCTGATGGACGCATGTTCCTCGTAATTTGAAAAAAAGCAAGAATACAATCAAATGTTTACACCTTTTCCCCTGAAGTGCTACAGAAAAGATGATTAGTGCTGATAGACACTAAAAACAAACTGTCGAAATGGTGTTGCTGACTTGCCGTTCAAAGGGTTTTGAACAGGTCAAAAAAAAAAGAAAGATGACGAAGTCTCTTGTTATTTGCCAGCTGATGCTATGCAGACACTGGATGTACCATTTTTACACATGGCCAGGCAAGTGACTTATAACATACTGATGAGCACAATCTGCCGTTTCAGTATTCTGTTAGCATTTTCCGTAGAACTACAGTCTTGATACATGAACCTTGAATGGCTCTCTCTTCTACGTTACGCAAATAAATGGCTCTTTTTTTTTTTTTTTTTATCTTGCTCGTTCGGTACCAATCTTGTTACAGTTCATATAAAACACCTGAAAACCAGCAATCCTTTGGATCCAAAGAATCTCCAAAACTTCATTCAATACCAGGCTTTACAAGATTCCTTTTAATAAGTTTGAGCAAACGTAGCATCAAAAAAAAAGTTTTAAAATTATAATTATTTTTGCTCTTTACAGCCAGTTGGCTGGTGAGTTCGTCGGCGAACTAAAAAAGTTAAAATTTTCAAATAGCGCAATTGAGGGTACTTCAAGAGCGTTTTCATCGCAACCTGATAGAGTTTGCATTGAGCATGCTTCCATCTCATCGAATTATGAGACATGGAAAGCAAGTATACGATGACGATGACAAATACAATAAATACGACAAGCCTTGGTCAGGGCAGCCTACATGGCGGCAGGTACTGTCATTTTCCATGACCAGGAGGATTTTCATCCCAACGCCGTTGGTCTAACCGAAGTAATCCTGATTTACCACCTACAGTCAATCTATTCAAGTTTGAAGAAACCTTTGATTCGATATTCGTTGTTTGCCCTCATTTTGGTCATACTATTATTGATATATGCGTTGGAATCGAATCATACGGAAATGATTGAACGCTGGAAGCAGAATGGTGGTGTATATAACGCAGGCGATGATCCCGGTGTCGTCAGAGACGACAAAAACAACGAAGTAATTGCAAATATACCGAAACCAAAATCGAAGGGAAAAGACGGGAAACAAAAAGATGCAGACGTGAAGGACAAAGACGTACCTTACGGTAGCGACGAAGAACGCGATTATGCAAAGGTCAAAGAAATGATGGATTCCGAAAATTATCAGAATCCTGTTTCCACCGAAAAACTTCTCTTCAAGCAATCGCCACCTCCAGCGTCATTATATGATGCTGACCCCAAATGGGCGGCAAGACAGGAGCAGGTGCGACAAGCTTTTAAGCACGCCTGGAAAGGTTATGCAACGGATTGCTTTGGAATGGACGAATACCAGCCGTTGTCACATAAGGGTCATGATTGGTCACCGGGCGGTATTGGATTGATGATTATAGATTCTTTGGATACCATCATGCTTATGAATCTGGAAGAAGAATATACTCAAGCACGGGATTGGATCGAAAATCGTCTTAGTTTTGACAAAAATCAAGATGTGAATTTGTTCGAAACCACCATTCGAGTTTTGGGTGGATTGTTATCTGCATACCATTTATCTGATAATGACCAACTTTACCTTGACAAGGCAACTGATCTCGGAAACCGACTTTTGGGAGCTTTTGATTCGGATTCTGGAATTCCGTATGCTGGTGTGGTTCTATCTACAGGAAGGGCGCATAAGGTTCAATACATTCAAAGCAGCACAGCCGAAGTGACCACTATTCAGATGGAATTTAAATACCTTAGTCACCTCACAGGCGATAAAAAGTATTGGAACAAGGTCGAAACTGTCATGGAGCGGATACGACAGATGATTGATGATAATCGTACGTTGGATGGACTTGTACCTATCATGATAGAGTAAGTTCATGCATACCTATTCCGGAACAGAAACATTGGCTGGATGATAACATGTTGCATTTATATTGTTTCCAGCCCACATTCTGGTGGTTTTTCAGGATCTGAGATTCGTTTGGGATCCCGGGGTGACAGCTATTATGGTAAAATTGGGTTTCTCGCCAGAGGCAATATTGTGTATCACTAACACTCACTAACGACCATTGATAAACTCTACACAGAATATCTTTTGAAACAGTATTTGCAAACGGACAAGACGGAAGAGGTCTATCGGAATATGTATGACCAAACTGTCAATGCCATGAAGAAATACTTGGTTCGCCATTCACAGCCTAGCGAGTTTTTGTTTTTGGGAGAGCTTCCCCAAGGAAGAAACAGTCCTGACCAAATTTCACCAAAGATGGATCATCTTGTATGCTTTATGGGTGGAAGTTTTGCGCTTGGAGCTACAGAAGGACCTTCTCTAAAGGAAAACAGGCGACAATTGTCCAGCCAAGATTTGGAAGACATCCGGCTCGGAGAGGAGCTTACAAGAACATGTTATGAAATGTACAATAGCACAGCTACAGGGCTTGCCAGCGAGATTGTTTATTTCAATATGCAGCCTGAAGATAAAGATGCAAGTCAAGGTTCTCATATTCCAGATATCATGATCAAGCCACGAGATACCCATTGTCTTTTGCGACCAGAAACTGTAGAAAGCTTATTTTTGCTTTGGCGGATCACTGGTGACGAAATGTATAGGTAAATCAGTCGGCCTCCAATTAAGGGACTTTTTACGCCGTGACGTACTGACGATATTATGACCGACAGAGAGTGGGGTTGGAAAATTTTTGAAGCTTTCGAGAAGCACACCAAATTGCCCAATGGTGGCTACGCAGCGCTTAGAGACGTAACCGTTGTACCTCCTCCCCAAGACGACCGTATGGATACATTCTTTTTGGTAAGTAATCGAGAGTTTATATTTCTTGTGTGATTCTGTTCTGACTCTCAATTTCCCATATAGGCTGAGACCTTAAAGTACCTATATCTTCTATTTGGACCCACCGACATCATTCCTTTGGATAAATACGTATTCAACACTGAAGCTCATCCATTGCCGGTATTCAAGCCTCGTTGGTAATAGTTTAGCCATATATGAAAAGACGTTGTATTAGCTAGAGCTGTCAAAAGTCCCCAGTTCGCTTTGTAATTCTTCTGCAGGCACCGCTTGCAGTGCTTTTTTTTGCTTGAGATTCCCCCAGCTGTGACCAAGCAGGCTGACCACGTGTCGGTTTTTAGATATCCGCCAGTTAAAAAAAAAAGGTTCATTTCCTACTCTGATCAATTTCCGGCCAGCCAGCTTCTTGTTCCCTTCCTTACTTGTCAATACACATTCTAATGCTGAGATGAAGTTTGCAAAATACTTGGAATCAGAAAGCATTCCGGAATGGAGAAAGGCATATATAGACTATAAAGGGCTGAAGAAAAAATTGAAAGCCATTGAAAAGGTTGATACCTGATATGATCGAGAGAGTTTTGACGAAATAACAGTGTTTAAACTATGGTTGCCTACCTACACTACAGCACAAGAAATCAAAAGATACACGAGCATCGTTCACCACTCACATATCAGACGATGAGAATTCAACTTATGTTGCAGAAGATCAAATTGATCCAGTGGATACTCCCAGAAGTTCGAATCTGATTCGTCGTGCTCGAACAGAGCCATTCATTTCATCGCAAAACTCGAATGCGATAAGTGGATTTCCGAGTGGGCTGTGGAGACGGCTCTCCTGGAAATATGGAAGGGATACTGCCTTATCCGAGTTGGAATCTCGACCAGGTAAGTGATGATCTCACTTTGAACATGTACATGCACCAATCTGCAAACAATGGATGCTTAATTATTTGCTTTAGCGTCCCTTCAAAGTCGCCAGGGCTGCGTACTTGATGATGTGCTGGAACATGCTACCCAACCAGAGCGTGATTTTTTCTATGCCCTGGACACGGAGCTGGAACGTATAGCAAACTTTTATCATGGTATTTTGACCCCTTTGCTTTGATGGTGGATATTCCAAGTGTTTGAGACTAAGAAGTGTTTGGTAAACAAATTAGAAAAAAAAAATGAAGCGGAAACGAAGCTGACAACGCTCAAAAATCAAATCATGTTGATCGAGGAGTATGGCAAACATTTGGTGAAAGTTTCGGTTTGTATTATTCTTTTTTTTTTTTTTAGAGGGTGAGGCATTTCTATCACTGCAATGGAAATTAACTTCATCACAATGTGAACAGCCTGTCGACCCGTATGAGCATCCCAAAATACAACGAGTCCTGGCGTGGATGCGATTGCGTGTACCTGAAATGTCCGATCAAACTAATGCCATGGAAGCTGGAGATCCAAATATACCGCCAATATCTCCAGTTAAGCAAATTGACGTACAAGAGTCGCACCACATAAGTTACAAGGTTTTTAGTTTAACTTTAATATTTCTCAAACGGATTTAGTCTCAGGTTGGATCTAACATTATTAACTGTAGGTGGCCAGGGGTCGTTTGAAGAAAGCTTTGTTTGAGTTTTACAGGAGTTTGGAGTTTCTGCGAAATTACAAAGTATGATGTTGTATCAAGGGTGACCCGGGGTTTTGCAGTGCATATCGTATTAACATTAGTTTCCAGGCACTCAACGCAACAGGATTTGCGAAAATTCTCAAGAAGTTTGATAAGGTAAGCAGTGAATTGGGAAATGTAAAGCTGAGGCTCAGATCACTCAACTTCATCAATTATCTAGACGGCAGGATGGAAGGCTACCAACCTTTATAACCAGAAGCTTCAAGAATATGATTGGTATCGAGCAAAAGACCTTGACCTACTGATTAAAGAAACAGAGGTAGGTTCAGATCATGTAACGTTATTCTGGATGACAATTGCGCTAACTCCTGCTTTCAGAAACTGTACGTCAATGAATTTGCAGGCGGCCACCGCAGACGTGGAATGAGAAAATTGCGCATACCAGAAACGGGTCGAGATTATCACTCGCCCGTGTTACGCACTGGTCTCTACTTAGGATTAGCGCTTCCTGCCTTTATACGTTGTTGCGAGATAGGTAAGTACAGCAAAATGTGGAGGGGGGGGGGAATCTCCAAAGTCAGATCATCGCTAATTCAGCCTTGTTCTCCAGCTCTCGACCCATCTACACCCACCAGATTACCCAATATATTCACCAATTTACAGATCTACGCCTGTTTCCTACTACCTATTGTTTTTTGCATGGGGTTTTCGATCAATCTCATGGTCTGGAGCAAATCCAGGATCAATTACAAATTCATTTTCGAATTCGACCCACGAGACAATCTTAATTATCATCAATTTGCAGAGGTGAGTAGAACGAATTGAGGCAGGGGAGAGCTTAACTAACGCTTCATGACTGCGCATCCAATGCTAATGCTCTTACATGGTCAACTAACAGCTACCATCACTCATATTGTTAATCATGGTATACGTTATGTATATCGATTTCACTGAACTGTTTGCACCCGCAATACCTTCGGAAATCTGTCCTTTGATATTTTTCATCATTTCCGCTGTGATACTGCTGTGTCCTTTCAACATCTTATACCTTTCCGCCAGACGATGGTTGGGGATTGCCCTGGTGAGTATCTACTTGCTTTTGAATCAGCTCAAATAGTTACTTCATGCAGACTGACATTGTTGTTCACACAGGGGCGTATTTTATTGAGTTATTGTTTTAGAGTTGAATTCAGAGATTTCTTTATCGCTGATGAATTGAACAGCTTGTCATACTCATTCTGGACCCTATCCTATTTCTTCTGCGCTTACGGATGGCACTGGACAGCATTAGGTTTGTGATTGTAGAACACAGTTCTGTATGAGTCTACATGAAAATGCTAACCGTGTTGTACTGTAGATCAACATTGTGCAGTTACAAAAATGTGGATAACACCCATTATTGCCAGTTTACCACCTTGGTGGCGTTTGTTGCAATGTATCCGCCGTTACAGGGACTCTGGGGAACGAGTCCATCTTGTCAACGCCGGCAAATATGTGACCAGCATTTGGGCTACGTCGCTGACGGGTGCTCGGCGTATTCATAGTATGTATATCCAGCTAAGCAATAATGTGGAACCCGAGAAACATTTTCCTGACTCAGCTTCCACCTTAGATGATCCGGCGATGCAGGCAGCCTGGATAGTGGCATGTGTAATCAACAGCACTTATACCTCTGTTTGGGACTTAAAAATGGATTGGGGGTTACTACAACCTCATAGTCGAAACCTTTTGCTTCGAAATGATCTTGTTTTTTATCATTGGGTAAGCGTTGTAAAAGGAAACTACGTGACAACCCGCTGTTTCTCTAACACTTTATACATCACTAGACTTACTACGTCGCTATGCCTGTCAATGTGATTCTTCGCTTTTCCTGGCTTGTCAACACTGTGAGCATTCCTTTGGGAGGCCAAGTTCTTGGATTTATATCAGGAGCATTAGAAGTATATCGACGCTTTCAGTGGAACTTTTTCCGATTGGAAAATGAACACTTGAACAACTGCGGTCAATTCCGTGCCATCAAAGAAATTCCACTTCCATTCACAGTTATGGAAGAGACTGGAAGTCGTCGTGGTAGTGAGATACGTCTTCCCACCGACGATACGGAAAGATACCCCGAAGAAGAAATGACGAGTGTCTCGCGCCGCAACACTTTGAGGAAAATATCATCTCGCCCAAGTTCTTCTCAAGGAACATTCTACGGTAGACGAGATTTCGAAAGCAAGCATGATGATGACGCTGACGCTAAAGGCAAGCCGTCAGATGGCGTATTCAACCGCATAACAAACTTGGTGGCTCATTCACCTGATAGTGACTCAGAAGAAGATGACGATGACGATGAAGAAGGCGCTCATAGTGATCATTAAATGTATAATACAATTCTCACTATACTCACCATATCATTGCTTACATGATCTATTTAAAAAAAAAAAATGCCAACCATAGCGTCGGCATTAAAAGGATCAACCCTTTTATTCCATATCATTCAAATAAAACAGCATTATTCATTGAACACTTAGTATTAACGATGCTTCCACACCTTTTTATCGTCAATTCGCGGTATCAAATGATGCGATAATGTAAAATTGTGTATTTTGGGGGTACGGATAAATTTAGAAATAAAAAAGCTCAATGTGATGGAACTAAAACTAATGGTGTCTGCTAAAATCATCAGGAGTTGTATCGGTTACAATGCCCTGTTCTCTATCGGCAACTCTCTTGTTTTCAGCAGCGGTTGCCATTTGAATAAGTGTGTCAAGTTCACCAGACTTTTCGCACATGGACTTGAACATGCCTGTTCCAGCATCCTTGCAGAGCAGGTTATAAGGTGTATCATACTCAGAGATGGTACCTTGGTCGAGGACAAGCACTCGGTCATAATCGATAATGGTTCGCAGACGGTGAGCAATACAGATAAGAGTCTTTGGGCAAGAAAGATAGCTAAGGTTAGTTTTTGAAATGATATTCAGAAGCATTGTAGATCATTTAACATACCGATTCTGAGAACTCTTCCCGGATAGTGATTTGAATCTTTCTGTCGGTCTCGTAGTCAACGCTAGCAGTGGCTTCGTCCATAATGATGAGTCGACTGTCGCGAAGAAGTGCTCTCGCCATGCAAAGAAGTTGCCTTTGGCCTTGAGAGAAGTTCTGACCACCATCACTGACTGGAGCTTCCAAAGACGAGATACCTTTGTTATTTTCTTCCTCTGTGGCTGTAGCAGAGTCAATGTTATCACCGCTTCCAATAGAGCTTCCCTCACCCGGAGTGGAGCTGGGAGACTGGTTTACAAGATGTACACGGGTAAGAATGTCCCAGATAGCCTCGTCTGAGTGGATTTCCAAAGGATCAAGATTGGATCGGATGGTGCCTGAAAACAGGACAGCATCCTGAGGAATAATGGTAAGCTTTGATCGCAAGCTCTCAACGCCAATCTAAGGAAAGCATTATGAAATTAGTGAATAGGAAGGATTACCAACGCACCTGTTCGTTTTAACACTTACATGGGTAATGTCGACACCGTCAATCTTGATGTGACCAGTGGTAGGATCAACAAATCGGAACAAGCTAAGAGCTAGTGTACTCTTACCAGAACCAGTTCTGCCGACAACACCGACCTTCTCATGAGGATGGATATCAAAGCTGATGTCCTTGATGACAGGGTCAAGGTCAGGAGCGTACGAAATGCTGAGATCCTTGATTTCGACTGCGGCTGTGGTAGGCCATGCAGCTGCAGGCTCGTGGCCTTCAATAATGTACGGTGGCTCTTGCTCAATTTCAAGATATTCCTGAACACGTTCGACAGAGTTAAGGTTCATTTCGACTTGAGTGTATTGACGGACAAACCAGTATACACCTTCCAAGAATCCTCTTGAGAAAGTCAAGGAAAGACCAGCCAAACCAGCGTCAATAGAGCCAATTTTCAACACAATGAAGACACCAGCAGCAAGTGTGACAATGGCGCCGGTAAGTTCGATACGACAGTACAGCCAGCGATTGCTCATCCAAAGTAGATAGAACGATGAAGTATAGGTATCGAGTCTATATAACATCTCGCGCATAAATCTTTCTTGAGCACCGTAGGCACGAATGGTGCTAACGCCAACCAGAGTTTCTGAGAAGTGACTGTAGATAGGCGAACGACTGACAGAGTTCAGCCGCTTGAATTCTCTGGAAACTTGAAGATAAAGTTTTCCGATCATAACATAGAGCACGGCTGTTTCAAGAAAAAAAAAGGGCAGAGGCGTAAGTGGACAATTATATAAGTCATCATGTACACCATTCCTCTCATTACTTACAAACTAACAAGCACGCAATGATAAACATTGGGGTAACTGTTATCATGACTACAGCTGCAGCGATGACCATGGTAATACATTCAAATAATACCAAAGCGTTTCTGGCCATTTGTGTATCAATGGTAGCAACGTCCTTGCCGAAACGGTTGAGAATTCTTCCAACAGGTGTGGTGTCGAAGAATCGCATAGGAGCATGAACAATACGATCCAACATTTTGTGGAACAGTACTTGTGCACCACGGACGGAACCTCGGTAAGTCAAAATAGCCTTCATAACATCAATGACAAGGAAGACGAAGCACAAGAGAGCATAGACGCCAATATAGTAATCAACATTCACCGGCTCACCCTTGTTGGCTATCCAAGGTCGCAGAACTGCGTCTGTAGGAGCCTTTTCGGCGAGATAGTTGGCGAACTTGAGAGGAGTATAGTAAATAGGAAGGTCGTTTTGAGTGAGCAAACCAGCCTGGTAGAAGTTAGCCGAAAAGCTAGAATCCGCTTCTTGGTAAGCAGCAGCCCAGACACGAATCCAATACGACTGTGCAATGATAAGAAGTCTAGAGATAATGAAGGCAGCGATCACAGAGCCCCAGAAGAACCATCCACCGCATGCATCAAAGTAAGCCTTGTAAACATGCAATTTAACACCACCAACTTCAGATGTCTCTTCTTTGATGAGCTTCTTGGCTTCTTCTTTGGATTCGCCAAGATCGATGTCCACTTCCTCTTCTGTGCCTGTTTCTTCAATGGCGTCTGCTTCATGAGCATTTTCGGCACTGTCATCTTCACCAAGCATATCCTGAAGAATCTTTCTGTCTCGAAGGTCCTTAACATATCCGCATCCGCTAACGGAACCATTTTCCAACTTGACAATGTACTTGGCACGAGGGAGACAAAGTTTGACGTGATGAGTCACCAGGATAACAGTACGGCCGACCATGAGTTCACCCAATAAACACTTGAAGTACAGATGCTTAGCAGTGTGAGAGTCCACAGCTGAAAGGCAGTCGTCCAAAAGTACAGTCTTTGCATGTGAATAGATCGCTCGAGCAAGAGCAACACGCTGTTTTTGTCCACCGGACAGAGAGATTCCTTTTTCGCCAATTTCAGTGCGATCACCGTCTGGCAAAACCGAGAGATCCTTCACCAAAGCGCATTGCCGCAAAACCTTCTTGTAACGAGTTTCCTCGAACTTTTCACCAAACAGAATGTTATCACGAATAGATGCATGTTGTAAGAAAGCAGTCTGGCTGACAAAGGCTACATCCGTTATTTTGAGTTCAGGGTAGTTGGGATCCACTTGAGGGTACATTGAAAAGTTTTCGGAATTGCGTAATTTAGAGGGCAAGTGAACTCTGCCATCGACACAATCCATTTCTCCAAGAAGGGCATATAGCAAACTTGTCTTTCCTGATCCAGTGGGACCACACACAATAGTTATCTCGCCAGTAGGGAAGTCTAATTGAGGTATACGCAATGTGAACGGTGGTGCTTGGTTTTGTTCGGAAGCCGCGTCAGTCTCAGCATTGTCCTTTTTCTTCTGTGCCTCCTCGGGCAAGGGAATATGCCATTGGAAGGAAGCATTCTCGAATCCAGTTCTGGTGATCTTTTCATACTGAGGCTTTCCGCTCTCGTCCATATATTCAGAATCATCGATAACAGCTAACTTGATCTCTTCCTCCTTGAGGTAGTCTGAAATACGAGTCAAACTGGCATATGCTTCTGAGAATGTGCTAAAGGCATCAGGCAATAACAATAGAGGGTTGCGCAACATGTCAAACAATGTGATAGCAACGAATGCGACACTAACGTACCAAAACCAGCAAGTTAGTAAAAAGAGGTGTAGAATTTCAAGTCATGAGAGATGGATGAATCGTTACCTAGCAGTGAGTTCTTGGTTTGATATTTTAGTATACCACATGAAGGTAGCAATGGTAACCAAGGTGGGGGTGATCATATATAAAGCCTCGAAAAGAATGGAATACGTAACCACTCTCCACAAATGCTTAATTTCAACGGCACGAGCATCATTGACCTTTTGAGTCCAAGTCTTCTCCCAAGCAAAGAACTTAACCATACGAATACCTTGAAGAAGTTCGTTGGTAAGCTCGTTTCTCTTGTCCTTGGCAGCCATAAGAGTTGTGTAGACCTTGTTCAACTTGACACTAAGCCATCCGGTGATGGGGAACGATATAAGCATGATAACCAATCCAATCAAAGCGGCCACACCAAGTAGTTTGTAAAGATAGAAGAGAGCAATGAAGATTTCAACAGGACTGTTGTAGAACATGTTGACAAAACTAGGTATAATGCCCAATCTGTCAGCGTCAACACTCATCAAGTTGGTGACCTTGCCTACATTGCTAATAGCGCCAACGTCCTCCTCATCTTCTCCTTCTTTCTTGTCCTTCTTTGCTGCTTCAACCTTACCAGCGACATCCTTTCGTTTGAGAGTCTTGTAAAAAATTTCGGCATCGAGCTGGTTGAAAGCTCGGACGTTCCATCGTCGACCATAAAACAAGTGTACAGTTGCGACAAGCATTTTGAAAATGCTGGTGAGGAACATCATAAATACATAGAAGTAGGCTACGGAAATAGGGCGTCCGTTGGGATTTTCAAGATACTCCAAGAACTTTTGCAAGAAGTAGGGAACAGTATATGATATGGCTACTGTGATGTTGGATACCACAAGCTGAAGTAGAACAGAGTCCCAACTTGCCATGATCATTCGCTTAAGAACTTTATAGCTAGGCGTGGTCTTCAAAGTGTCTTGGAAATCCATGAAATTCCATCTGGCACGGTGTTGAACACTAAGGGTATAAATGTCCTCACGCGAGAGTGGTTGCTTGTTACCGAAAATGACCAACGGGGTCATCCAGTCGAAAATAGCCCAGGAAAACACACTAGCCCACGTTTCTGTTGACAATTGAAGTCCCTGTTCATACCAATCCATATAAGTGACCTCTTCCTTTGCATGCCTCCGCTAATCCAAGTACTCACGTTCTTTAAGATTTTTCCATCCTCCGTGACTTCCATGGTTTCGTCGTCAACAAGCACAAAGTTTCTTGGATCTATATCTTGTGGTTGCAGGACCGAAATGAACCAAAGTATGGTACAGAAAGTGGCATAGACTGGAGCCAGGACCTTTTCAACGCCAGAAGTGGTATCCAAGATAGATGATCGTAGACGGATCCATGACACGGAGAAGGTAAGAGTGTAGAAAAACAAAATCAGGATATGGTGTCGATTAGCATTCGAAACACTTCCTTTGTAAGTGGAAAAGATGGTAGACGACAGCAGCAAAAAGATGTACGCCTGCAAGCATCAGTGCGTTAGTCAAATGCTGGTAAATTGAGGGTCATGATGACTCTGAAAACCGTGCTCACCCAAGCAGCAAAACTAAGAATAGGATCCAAGACCAGGTATATAGGTGCTTGGTCACTCGACACGAAGTCTCTCAATCTCCAAGCAAACAGAAAAGTGTATTGCCCCATTGTTAACAAAACGAACACGGATTGCACAAGTTGGGGTAGGGGCTGTTTCCATCTGTTGGGGAGATTTGGAAGCTTTTCCTCACTCACTGGCATATAATCATGACTCTTTGAAAACTTCTTTGACAGTTGGTATATCAAAGCAATCAAAGAGAACAGTAAAGGAACAGTAGCATCAAGCACACTATTTTTTTGTTTAAAAAAAAAGAAAAAGAAAAGCAAACGGACCGCAAACAGATAAGCAACTTAATACACAGTAGCTGTATCTACTAATTGAGCCTCCATGAGGGACTTACGTTTCTCTAAAGCAAGGGCTTAAGTCCAGACCGTCGTCCGTCAGCGGTCCCTGAGTATTGAAGTTAATATCAATGAAGGTGCACGGTGATAATTATTTATCGGTAGGTAGTGTGACCGAGAAAAGTTGTAACCAAGAAAAAAAATGTATACCTGATACTGTTCACCGCAGATTGCTGAGAACAATGTCATGTGTCAAGGATCGCTTGATTGGAAGAAAAAAGATTGGGTAGAGATGTGACTTTAATAAATAGAGCGACTCGAGAATGCTGGAAATGCTTGACTTATATTCGCAGGTGCAAACGCCTATAAACAGTAATTATCTCTGGATTCAGTCAGTGGTGCCTTTTGTACGACAACGCCGCAGTCAGTTGCGTGTAACTTTTTCTGATAAGCAAATTTGAAGCTTATGCAATGTTATTACTGCGGTTTAAACCTCGTTACCAAATGTTTGAAAGTACTGAATGACTCAAAGCCAAGCGTGTTGTACCAAAAGGTGACCATGGTGAGGATCTCTTTCCATCTCAGGTCGTGAAGGCCCATTTGTCTAAAAATTGCTTTATCAGGCATTTCTCCGCCTTACTACAGCCCAACTTCTTCTCTGCCCTTGGAGCTATGAGCATCCGTTCCGAATTTGAAAGCACGAACAAATGCTACACGTGTTAACATAGCACAGGGCAACGATTTCAGGGTAAATCGGACTCACTCATTCTAAACGTTAAGCTAAGTTTAGAGCAGCTAATTTCCTAAATTACAAGCAGGTACATATTCTGGTAAGCGGCGAAAAATCATACTCTCACAAATTGCAAGCAAGATCTTGGTTAAAGCGGACGTCGATGAACATGGTGACTTAATGGACCCTATTCGATTTAAACGTTGAGGACTGGGGTTATCATAAGCGACGAATCGGCAATCAGTTTTGTTTACGGTATCCAGCAAGGCAAACAATGCACACCTTCAACCATCCTATTACTTTACATACCATCCATTATCCTTCTATAGCCGAATTTCGGCTATTTAATTGGGGGTTGCTTAACATGCTATCAAAGTGATTGGTTCCAGTCGACTGTCTCTGACACGCCGCAGCATTTGTGGTATTCGTCTCGTGCTGTCCGTGCGTTATGGGCGTTTCCCTTCTGGAGTGCGTATTCCCTTATCAGTCGGCTTGGGTGCATGCTCTCCGAACCTAGGTCTTCTAGGCAAAGTAACGAATTATAAAAAGGTAATATAAGGGGCTTGGCGACTACACTCAAGCACAATAGAACGGCCGATCATCCGATACCAATGCTGAGTTCAGCGATGGTATGAACGTACAATTTGGCGTATGCATGTAGTCCGCGAACGACAAGCATATTACTGTTGATTATCCCCAATATTTTTTGTTATTATCATTTCTTCTTTACATCTACAATTCATCACTTCGACGCTGATATTGTCTTGTTGTTCAGCCTACCGATATATTGCTAACCTGATGCATTGCGTTGTTTGCCTTTCATACGAAGCTGTTACACCTAGCTATATTTAGTCATCAGAATGAATTAATTCGCTTGTACTTCAGCTTGGCATGTGTCGCAAATCTATCTTTCCCAACAATTATCTTATAATATACGTAGAAATGTCAAGTAAAAAATCGCTGTTGCAGGACGATTCCAAAATGACCAGCCTTCATATCGTAGCATGGACTTTATCGCACAACCGAGACATGTAAGCCTTCTCATCATCAAAGTAGGCCATTGTTTACTTTAGAGCCTGTCCATTATCTTCTGGTGACGTTTTTATTCGCGTTGGGGCTCTGCCAAGAGGATGAGGTGAAGCTTTATGAAAGTGCTGATGCTCAGGCGGACTCAACCCTGCCAACACGTGACGGTGACCTAACTTGTCGCCCGACTGGACATGAACATCACACGTCGGACCACAAAGGACCTGTACAAGCTCCACCTTTCTTTATGACGGACACTAATCAGCTCAGTTCCTCGCTATCTGATCAGCCAGAGGCCCAAGGAGTTAAAACACTCGTTGGAGAAAACACCACTGATAGCCAACAGCTGGCTACTTCCAACGGTAGTGTGCCTAAAGAGCAATCCGGATCTATCGCCCAAGCTACCCCAGCCTTGACAAGCGATCACCATCCATCCGATGCATGGGAGCAAGACACGACCACTTCACCTCGCCTGCAAGTTGTCGACGAAAAGCAGGAGTTCACGTAAGTCGGGGACATGATGAAGGAAATGCATCTGCCTAGTATAACTTACGTTGATATATGCCCATTCCTCCTAATGCAGGAATGATTTACCAGAGTATATGGAGAAATGGGGTCTAGCACATGCAGGCTTCGACTACAATTGTGTTGCAGTGTTTGGATCTCAAAGCACAGGAAAGAGTAAGCAAGCACACACCCTACAAGCCGCTTAATTGTTTTATGCATAATTATGCTTACGCATTTTCCTAAAAGGTACTCTTCTCAACCGCCTGTTCGGTACTACATTCGACGTTATGGATGAAACCCAGCGAAGACAAACAACAAAGGGTATTTGGATGTCTCGTGGTCGTGGCATGCGTGTACTAGTAATGGATGTTGAAGGAACCGATGGCCGCGAACGTGGTGAAGACCAAGATTTCGAAAGAAAATCAGCCCTGTTCTCCATGGCTACCAGCGAAGTCATTATTCTCAATCTGTGGGAACATCAAGTCGGATTGTATCAAGGCGCCAATATGGGTCTATTGAAGACTGTCTTTGAAGTCAACTTGCAGCTTTTCCAAAGTCAGCGAGGGTAAGAACATAGTTTTCACCTAATGCATTTAATGATAGTGGCCTGTGCTGAATTAACTGCCTTCTATTTTCAGAAAGGAAAAGACTCTTCTGTTCTTTGTCATCCGAGATCATGTAGGCTCTACTCCCCTAGCCAACTTGTCAAACACTTTACAAGCTGATTTGGAAAAGATTTGGGCAGGCTTGTCCAAGGTAGGTAGCCGCCCGCCCTGACGTGTGATTGCAAAACATTCCACCTAATATTATGCACAGCCGGAAGGTTTGGAGAACTGCAAGATTCAGGATTACTTTGATTTTATGTACACTGGACTGCCCCACAAAGTCCTTCTTCCCGAGAAATTCGACACTGAAGTCGATAATCTTCGCTCAAGGTACATTTGCTCATCCACATCGCTCTATACAAACCAGTTTTGAAAAAGATGACTTATTCTGATGAATAGATTCACCAACCCTTCGGACCCCAATTTTGTTTTCCATCCTAATTACCACAAGCGTATTCCAGCTGATGGTTTCCACGTCTATGCCTCTGGCATTTGGGAGCAGATCATGAGCAACAAGGACTTGGATCTTCCCACACAGCAAGAACTCTTGGCTCAGTATCGATGTGATGAGATTGCCAATGTAAGTAATTGATTTTCACGTTACATCCGGACTTTTTGTTTGCAGGTAATTCTAACTTCCATGTATAGACTGCATCTGAAGTATTTTTGGAAGCCATATCTGCCCTCAAAGCACCAGTTTTGGAAAAGGGACAAATTGTCTCCGACTTGGGTTCACAGATGTCAGACGCTAGACAGCAAGCTCTCAAGTCTTTTGATAAAGATGCATCCAGATACCATGCTGGAGTGTATGAGAAGAAGCGACTTGAAATGTTGAAGAAGCTGAATGCACAACTGAGCGTATATTTTGTTGGACAACTTCGAAATTTGCACAAGCAAGCGGTTTTGAAATTCCAAGATCATATCAAGGTATGGAAAAAGCCAGAATTTTGTAAACTGATAAAACATGGCTAATGTTGCTTACCTATTGTCTCATTAATGAAATCAGAATGAACTCAAGAAGCCTTCTTACAATTTCGCAACTGTCGTTGAAAACGCTACCGCCACTTCTGAGAAATATTTCAAAGACAATGCCGAAGAAATCGTGTTACAAGACACCGATTGGTCTTACGAATCGGAATTCGTTCAACTGAAGGAAGACTTCTCTGAGCTCTCCGGCAAGGCTCGGTCAGATGAGATTAGGAAGATGACAAAGGCTTTGGAGAAGCAAGTGGAGAATGAATTAGCCGAGCCTGTCTCTATGGCTTTGAATAATCCATCTGCAGATATGTGGCACAAGATATTATCTACGTATCGAACGGCGAAGGAGAATGGTCAAGATACTTTGATCAAGAAAGCAAAGAGTAAGTAGCAGCATGAAAAAAATTTAGTGAGTCGTGACTACTATGCAATACTAAACTACATCCAACCACCAGGCTTTAACTCGTCTGACGATGAATTGGAAGAGTCTGTTAATAACCTTGTTCTCCAATCATGGTTACTGCTTCGACGGAAGATTGATGAAGAGCTTGCCGACAGCATGCTATTGCTCAAGCTGCGATCTAAATTCGAGGAGAAGTTTCGATATGATGATCAAGGACTTCCAAAGGTGTGGAAGCCCGAAGATGATATCGATGCATACTTCAAGAAGGCCAGAGATGATGTGAGTGCTTTTTTTTTTTTTTTTTTTCAATGTGTCGAGTGAACCACGCTCAACATTGACTAAACCATACATCATCTTCAGACTCTTGCTTTGATACCTCTTTTTGCAAAGATTGATACATCACAAGATGATGATTTGACAGTAGAATCCACAGAAGATTTTGATTACCAGAGATCCCTCACTGTCTTGGGCGAATCCAAACAACTCGATATCACAAACAGATTCAAACGCGAATCCGATGCCTTCTACCTTGAAGCTAAGCGATCTATTGTGGCCACTACTGCCAAAATTCCAATGTGGCTTATTGTCCTCCTCATTGTCCTTGGATGGAACGAGTTCATGGCTATCCTCACCAGCCCTATCTACCTTATCATGTTTGTATTCCTCATAACAACCGGATACATCGTCTACGCTCTCAACCTTTGGGGACCCTTAGAGCGGGTTCTCTCCGCTATTGCAGGTGAAGCCACCAAAATCATCCGTGAAAAAGTCGAACATGGCGTCGAACGAGCAAGAGATCAAGGTATCGAGCTCAACGCCATGAAGTCTTTTACTGGCTCATCAAGTCATGATTCTAATCAACGAGATAAGGCGGATTAGAGAGCTATTATAATTAATTGTATTGATGGGTAGCTCAAATATCACTATTGTAATAGGTGTGGTGTAGAAATCTATATACATAGCAAAGATATAAACTTTATCTTGCTACTTCTCCACAATGAGGATTGCTTGTATGTGAGACCAAGAGCAGTTCATCTCTTGGTATAGGAATGTTGGTTCAAGTTTCTGTTTCATTGTCAGTCGCCTCTTCGAGATTGAGGTGCTTGTTGGTGAGGAAATCAAACTGATCCTCCTTCTGTAAGCACTGGTATACGTGATTTGGAACCAACAGCTTTCGCTCGTATGGTTCGATTTGATCATGGTTGGAAGGTGACGTAGTGTTATCGCTTGAGGATTCGTTTCTATAAATGTTGGCGCTGCCTTTAAGAATCCGGCGAAGTAACACTTTGGTAGCCTAAAGTATGCACTTCTTCAGCAAGCAGTACGAGTGAGGGAGTGTGGTTTGCTGGGTACTTACCTCGTATAGCAGGGATCCTGCAACTAGCCGTTGATCTATCGCTTCTTCTAAGGTACACCGGTCATCCTTGGTTTGAATGTCTCCGTCTCGAGTTTGTACAATATCATTTGCGATCACGCTAGGTAATCGAAGTTGATCTACGGAGGCCCAAATCCAGTCTAACCCTCGTTCCCGAGCAGGGTCTGGCATTTCAGCTATTCGTTCCGTCTCCACCGTGCGAACTTCTTCAACGAGCTGTAGCGTCTTTGGCTCAGTGGCATTCGTCTGCAGTTTGTCGCCAATTGGTAGTGTCGATTGATCAATATCCAGTTCCATGTCATCTAGTAATATTGATGGGGGATTATTAAATCAATAAAATGACAGTGTATCTGCCTAAACTCCTTCAACTAACCTTGCTCTTTAACTTGATCCCAGCCTTTACCTAATTTTTGCAACAATGGTAAAATATTGGTAACGCTGTTCATACCACCAGTGCGTTTGCGATAACTCCAGCCCTTTGGTCGATATTGACAAGCTTCATCGCTGACATGAGAGTCGTATGTATGCAAAGCTCGGAGTGTTCCACAAAATTTACAATATCCAAGGGCGATCTCCTCTTGCACATTATGTACAACAGGTTTCCCTATGGAGGTATCATGCATTTTGATAGGTGTAAACTCATTCTCTCTGCACCACAAAACACATTTTTTGGTAGTTAACGTCTCTGCTGCTTGCTTTAGAACGGGATCACCACTCGCTATAGCTTGTTGTTGCACCGCTAATCGAAAAGCACGAGACCGTTGCCACTGCAATTATTGACACTCTGAATGAATACAGTGCCTATGATTGACTTAAACAACCATTTTACTTACCTCCAATGCCTTGCGATGACCAACATGATAATCAAAATACATATTTGTGGTAGGCGCACAGCAGTATGTGGTGGTTTGCGTGCTGGGTGGTGCTAATTGCCGCACGGATAAACAGTGAGTTTCTTTGATATTATAGACATCGATGAAAAAGCTGCTTACCATGAGCTCTTATGATAGGGAAGGACGAGATAGTAGACCGCATCAACTCATCAAGAGGATCTCGGCGTTGTACTACTTGTCCAGTGACTTCGTTTCGATTATCTGGTAGAGTCTGTCTCGAAACTGCAGCCTTAGGATCAATGAATTCTGTATTTCTGTCCAATTCCAGTGCAATGTATCTTTCCGAGCCTAAAGTTTGCTGTCCACTATGACTATCATCCAGCTGCAGACATAAATCGGTCAATGTTGAGAATAAAAAAGCTCGTATTGCGTGGTGGCTATGCTTACCTTCAATTGATGGAATACATCAACTAGCTTGTTTCGACGACTGTCTGCAAAATGAAGTTGTACTCGTATGGGAAATTCTCCCCATCCTAATCGACTTAGATGAAATGGAGGCACATTAACGTCAATAACGTCGCTTGGCTTGTAGCTTGGATGCAGGTGGTATCTGACGCATGATATAAAGGATGCAATATTTTCATCGCCTGGAGGTGTAGTAACGTATATCATCCACTTGTGCGTGTACTGCCGTAATCCAGGCTCTCGTTTGTCTAAAAACTTACAGGATAAGTACACTGGGAGCCTTAAGATGACACTAAAGAGGCAACCAACCTATGGGTATGAATTTGCTAACATTGCCTAAAATCACACGTTTCTTTATGTAGAACCTTGATCCATGCTCGTTGGTGTGGGGATTGACGACAACGGAAATTGATTCGACTGGCTTGGTCTCTTCTGCGCCGCTTTCTTTCTTTGGTTGCATTTCCTGGCTAATAACGTTTTGTTGCTGACAAGGTACATCAACCTTGGCATGGATACCTTCTTTCACAGGAGCTACGCGTTCAAGATCTCCTTCTTCACGTTTGATGCTGCTCTCAAGTTTTGACGGAATATCTGCACAGTTGTCAGAGCTTTCCTGCAAATTCGCATCTTGAATTGGCACCTTGTCTCTCGCTGGAAGCACCAATGCGTTGTCTTCGTCGTCCGAGTCCAATACAACATCTTCATCAAAAACCTTAATTGTTGGCTACAATAATGCAATCAATTACTATCGAGACATCAGACTTTAAAAAATGCTTTGAACAATATCTCACTCGTTTTACATCTGCCTTCTTGGTTCTGATAAAAATTCAGATCAATGTGAGTAAATGAGTCAACATTATTGTCATATTAATGGGGAAGCTTACCTGTTACTTGTTAATGGCTTTGTTAGTGGCCGCAATCGAATTGGATGGTCGAATGGAACTTCGGATTCGTCAATCGGTGTACCACATTGCTTAATCATCTCTTCGTACGGTCCAAATTCCAATCCATGCGCTATTCGACAGTGATTGAGAAATCCTTGTTGGTTCGCAAAGTCATCTCTGTGACATCTTGGGCATGCAAGACTTTCAAATCCAATCAAGTCAGTTATCAAGTACACACTCCTAAAAAATGCTTGTAAGATGTTTTACCTGACATATACACCATCAGCGCGTCTTCCGAATAGAGTTTTGGTTGAATTGTCGGAGGAGAATTTAAAATTTGGTCGCGCTTGCCTTTGTGCAGTGTCGAATTGTAAAGATGAGGATATAGAAGGCAACGGAAAACTTTTGTTGGAAGCTATGGCTTGCAATGCGGATCGACGAGTATTATGTTGTGCTTCTGGAGCTGATAAAGCTGCGACATCTATCGACCATAGCATAAGTATCACACTTTTTGTCATAGCAACGTAAATATCTGTATCTTCGTTGCCAACGTACCATTATGGACAGCTTGACGTATATCAATCAAAATTTCTTCTGCTTTTCCAATTTCTTCGCGTATGGCAGATATCTCTCTATATTTCAAGAAGATCTCTAAATCAAACTGGTGATCGATGATCTCTTCAATCTTTGCTCTCTTTTCTTCGTCTACAAAACACTTTGTTCAGTCTCGTCCACTGCCATCATGTACCAAAAATCCTTTGTAACGTACCTTCTGAAGCTAGCCTGTTGGCCTGGTCTCCTGAGGTAGTGTGTGTAGCTCCATTCATGAATGGAAGACAGAGGTATGAGAACCAGTCCTAACTGTGCCGCTATTAGAAAAAATCTGAAATTGCTTAATACTACCGTTGAAATAGTGACGTCGTTTGCGAAACTTTCACCGTCGAGTGGAAAAGGGAATTCAGCGACAATGGGATCGCGTCTGTCATCGACAATGTCAGTGAACACGATGGCAAATACGAACGACTCACAACAATGGTCGATCCTGGAAAAACTACTTCTAGCCCAATGTGTTTACAATTTTGGAGAAGATAACTGGCCGTTAATATCAAAAACACTTCGACAAAATGTTTTGACTCACCGATCACAAGAATTTTATAATCAAAAGGTCTGTAGACATCCAGCAATTGTATATATCACCGACAATGACTTAACAATTCCTTATAGAATTGCTCATTGGAATATTTTACCATGATTGAGGAGTTAGAATCCGCAAGGTTCGTGGTTGCACCAGTAAACGCGAAATGACACTATTGAAAGACCCTCATCTAAAATTTCCTTACACTTAATTCCTAATAGACGACTTTCAGCTGCTGCCATTGTCAATTCATCGGTGCAAGAGATGCCTCCGGTAGTAAAACTCGCAAAGCAACTTTATCTCGAGCGCATGGAAGAACTCAAAGCACAGATAAAAGCTGATGAAGAATCGTTTAGGAAATTGGTCACCGAAATTGATGAAATTCGATCCGGGAAATGGGACGCCAAGTTGAAAGAATTATTTCCTGAGGTATCTGAATCAACGCCGATGGAAATCATCAACGACAGTCAGGTTCCAGATGATAATTCATTAAGCGCTGGAGCGGCAGGAAATGAAGTTACTGCCCATCATGCTAGCGCAGTCCCGGATATAACGGTCCCATCATCCGAAGAAAAGATAGACTTCAAAACTGAAGTAGAGGAGAAGCCACTGGATTCTAAAACTCCTGAGGCACCATCGATAGTTTCGGAAGCGGCTCAAATAATTGTCGAATCCAACGTGAATGCCACGTCACTTGAATCCAACACCATCTTAGCAGATGCTACATCCTTACTTGCGGCGAATTCCTCTGTGGATGAGAAAGAAAGTACAATGGCAACACCAGAGGTTAATGAGACTAAAGTGCCGAACATTACATCGACGGGGCCATCTCCAGAGGATGTAACGCAGTCAGTTGTCGACACCGTCGTTGAAGAGCAAACACCATTTATACCACAGGAGCCATCCGAAATGGTCGAAGAAAACGAAGTAATGACAGAAAATGATGCTCATGCCGAACAGGCCGAAATATTAGCACCTACTGCAGAAGTAACACCAGCAGTAACGCCAAAAGAAGAGACTGAAGTAAAGCATGATATCTCTACAAAACGCAAACCAGACGATAGTGATATGATGAGCGTAGATAATTCACCGAAACGTGCCAGAACCCAGTCGAGGTCTCCGTCAGTTGTGGCAGAACATGCTACAGACATCGTGTCACCTGCCATAGAAACACCACAAATGGAGACACCGGCATCAGGAATACCAGAGACAGAAGTAGTCGATACGACAACCGAAACACCAGAAAGGCGGCCTGAGACGCCGGTGGTGACCGCAGTGGAAGAAATGCAAGGTAAATTATAGGCAATATCGAAAATATGCTTATCGATGATTTTCTTAAACTTTTTTTTTTTCTCTAGACATTGATCATATTGCTCGTGTCCCTGATACCCCCGAAGGCTCTGTTAGTGTTGCCAGCAATGCAGCCAATAGTACTGTAACGACGCCTGGACCATCCACATCTGACCGTAGGAAAGGGCCTAGCTCGAGGGAGCTGGAACAACGACAAAAGTCATGGTTGAAGAACATCAACTTGTTATGGAGTGAAATTTCAAATCACAAGAATGGAGCTATGTTCATGAACCCAATCAAGGAAAGTATTGCGCCAAGATATTACGAGATAGTAAAACGACCAATGGACCTTAAGCAAATCAAGCAAAGAATCCGAGATGGGGTAGGTGGCGTAGAATGCTGGAAATGCCCGGGTCGACGATAGACATTGTCTGATACTCATATGCTTTTTATTTCATTTCTTTTTGTAGACTATTCGAAACACTTTGGAGTTTGAACGAGATATTCTATTGATGCTCACAAACTCTTTGATATACAATAAGGAAGGAACTGAAGTGTACCAAATGGCTTTGGAAATGCTGGAAGATGTTCAGGAACAAATACGAGTTTTCAAGACGGCCGACGCATACTCATCAACCGGTAATGGACCAAAAGATACCAGTCATGGATTGCGACGAAGAAGTATTGTAAGCGATGGCGGGTCCATCCAAGGCGATGCGGATAATGCATAAGCGAGGAAAATTCGCAGTACTGAATTTGAAAGGACGATATTGGTTGCACAAACTGTCCCCCCGCTCAGTGAAGGAAATATCGTGCACTCTGTAATTTACTCAATCATGATAATATCTACGCATCTTGGTTGATTGACACCCGCTTTCCCTTTAGAAACCGAATAAAAAAACTGTTTTGATAATTGTACAGTAGTTATTGAAAAAATAAAAAGAATAAACATTAAAAGATGGATCTTTCGTTAGTAGCACGATAACGAAATTTTGTAAGCCTATCAGCAGGCGCTGCACAATTTACCCTTCCGCCCAGTTACTACTGTACCACTTGCTTTTTTACCTTGAGTGGCAATCTTTTTAATCATCCAGCAAATTTGCGTCCTCTGTATACCCTAATTCTTGTCTGATGGGCGCCGTATGCTGCAAGGAAGATGACATTGCTTTCAATGAAGAAGGTACGATTATGGTTTTTGATTTGAAACTAGTGGCTACATTTTGGTTCCTGGATTTTATTGACATTTCTCCCAAAAAAAAAAAAAAAAAACTTAAAAACGTGCATGGTCACTTCAATGGTATAGTCGAGGTAATAATGCCCTTCATGTCTAGAGCTATAACATATCACTTCAAAAAACTAACCATACTCTAGTTGAACCACTTTTACCTATTGCGATCAGTAGGCAAAGGAGCCTTTGGCAAAGTTCGAGTGGTGCAGCACAAATCAACTAAGCAGTTGTATGCCTTGAAATATATCAACAAAGCCAAATGTATCAAAATGCGAGCAGTAGACAATATCATATCCGAGCGCCGTCTTCTTGAACAAATCGACTACAGTTTGATTGTCAATTTGCGTTACGCATTTCAAGATGATGAGAACCTGTTCATGATTCTCGATCTTATGTTAGGTGGCGATCTGCGGTTCCATCTCGAACGAGTGGGAACACTCCCTGAAGACCAGGTGCGGTTCTATGCTGCCGAATTGGCATTAGGCCTGAACTACCTCCACAGACGACGTATTGTTCATCGGTACGTTGATAGTTTACTTTCTGACATGCAAGCTCCTGTATGCATGAGCAAACCATATTTACATTAGCCCATTTTACCCCACGCTTCTATTAGGGACTTGAAACCTGACAACATTCTCCTGGACGAAAATGGCCATGCACATCTGACGGACTTTAATATTGCAGTTCACTATAGCGATAAAAAACCACTTACAGCTGTAGCTGGGTCTATGGCATACATGGCACCAGAAGTGCTACAAAAAAAGGGATACTTTTCCTCAGTGGATTGGTGGTCGCTGGGAGTAGTATTGTTTGAACTTCTCTTTGGAAAGGTGTGTGATACCCTACTTGTCTATAAATGTACCAATGGGTTGATTTGATGTCGTACTGACCCGTTTTAACCCCACTTTTTGTAAGCGCCCCTTTCGTGGTAAAACCAACGAGTCTCTCACCAAATCGATTACTAGCGAACCAGCAAAATATCCTGAAAACGTTTTTGAGCTCGTATCACCCCAATGCCTGGATTTCTTGCAAGGTCTCTTGACTCGTGACCCATCGCAACGTATTGGCGTCGATGGTGGCTTTGAGAAGATTCGAAGTCATGGGTGGTTTAAGGGTATCGACTGGCACGCCATGGAGCGGAAGGAGCTCAAGCCGCCTTTTACTCCCGATGTAAGTACACCGCCTCCGCCAAAAAAAAAGGCTATTTTTTGAAACTACGAACTGACCGATTATCTATGTACAGAGCAAGAGGGCCAACTTTGATCCATCGCACGAGCTAGAGGAAATCCTATTGGAAGACAACCCACTGAAGGTCAGGAAAAGGTCCAAACCAGTTGCATCCAACGCTGGAGGCTCTATCAAAAGTCAGATCAGTCAAAACCATGATCAATCTCCAGAAATGCAAATCATGGACGATAAATTCTTGACTTACGATTATACCAAGCCGCACGAAAATGCTATGCGCCAACAAGAATTTGAACAACGACGATGGGCACATAAATCTGGCACTGACAGTCGTGTCACGCAAATAACAGATGAAGCGAGATATTCACAGCCAACCACTAGGTCGTACAAATCTAATGTTTTAGACCAGATCAATAGCAAGCCAGCTACACCGATATCAGCAGGCGATATCTTAAAAATGGATGAGCTGGCAAGGATGGCTAGAATGAGTAGTGGTCATGGCCAAAGTACTGAGTCTGAGTGGCGTCCACCTTCTGGTATTCTGTCACCTTCAAGTATAGAATCAAAGAGCTATATAAGGCCAACGCCTACAACAGCCCACTCATCTCCGACCGTACAAAGGTGGGATAATTACAATCCCCCTGATGCTGGTAGGTCTTCACCGTCTCGACAGGTTAGAAACGGTGTTCGCCGTTATAGTGACCCTGCTTATGCAGATGACCATGACCCATTCATCGATCACCCAGCTTCGCCCGGGAAAGCACCTAATTATGGCTCAGAAAGGTCATCGAACGAACAACCCGTTTACAACCGATCCGACAGTTCATATTATCGGAGACGACTTTCAGACGACAGCGGACCGTATCCTCCTTCGCCCATTCCCAGTGAAACAGGCTTGCTTAAAGGACATGGCTATCCTATTGAGCAATCACAACAAGGATATGGAGTGAAAACTGCATTCCCAATGCCACCACCTCAACAACCTCCTCCACCAATTCCTTCTAGTCAACCCGTCTTTCGACCTCATAGAATATCGGGTCGTCCCAGTCGTGAAAAACTGCCCATGATGTTGCCCTCGCAACAAGGCGGACAGGCTTCCATGTCATCCCCAGGAACACCTGTAGTCCCTCCTAGACAGCTTCCACCCACTGCACCTATACCACCCGTACCCTCCTCCACAGCTGCTAAACCAAGACCAACGTACAATCCAAACGTAAGCCGTGCCAACATGATGCCTGGCCCTCCTCCACAATCTGCACCTCCTCCTATTCCAGTATTGCCACCACTTCCCAATGATCGAATGTAGCATATATAAAGCATAAGTTCATTTCTGTACACAGAGGCAATGGCGCAATTTCGTTCAAACAAAATTTTTTCATTGTAATACCTGTCACTCTTCCCTTAATCTGCTGTATTTGTTGTACGATTCCTTCTTTCCGTTTCTTTGTTTCTATTTATTATCGGCTTTGGTTGCCACCGGGCAAAATGGATGTTTCCCAATTTTACAGCACACAATACACTGTACAACTCTTTTTTTTTTTAATTGTTTGTAGTAAAGAAAAAAAAAATGAAAACATCCAATCATTGGAGAAAGAAGAAAAGAGCATGCATGAATGCAATCTATTGGGTTGATATAAAAAAGAACTATAATAAGGCGTGATGCTAAAAATGGTACGATAAACGAGCAAACAGAAAAAGAAGACCAAAAATGTGAAGAAATTCCTGATTGGAATGGCAAACGCTGCAAAGGATGGGTGCCAACGACCAGCGTTGAACAAATCACGGTAAGTAAAAATAAAAAGGTGGCAAGCAAATTGGTTAAGTTGCTGGTTTCTTTTCGGACTTCCGCATTAGTTTGGCATAATCTATAGCGTCGTAGCATAAATTGCATTAAGAGAGTGAGTTACAAGAGGAGTTCTTTCGAATCGATCGGATCTGAGAACTATTCCTTACGTAGTCCACAAGCATTGCACAAGGTTCGAGCTCCATCCGGTCCACGTCGCCACTCTGGGGTATCAGTCGTGTTACATGAATGGCATCTTGGACTGCCAGTTGCTCGTTTCTGTACACACTTTAGTATTTTTGAACGCACCAATGTTTGTAAAGCAAGTAAGAAATGGTATCGTGAAAGGTTTCTTACCGCTCGGCGTCTATATTGTTTTACAGGCAACGACGACTTGCCGTCTTGATTGTGTCGATCGTTGCGATTGGCGTCATAGTCATAGTCCATCTGAGTTTATCCCAATTGTCAAATGGAATGATGAGCGAAGGCGGGAAAAATAATAATAATAAAAAAAAAATTGATCAGAATTATGCAAAAAAAATAGCTCACTGAAAATGCATGTACTATAGTACCACTTACATCTGGTGATCGTTTGGTGCTTCCTCGATCGTTATCATCCAACCATTCATACCGTGGCCGTGATGAAGAAGATCGCATGCTTCTTAATCCTCTCAGCAAGTTACGGGCATTTTTTTCCATGGCGTCGAATAATTCGTACTGCTCTACTCGGGTGTCATTGGTTGCGATCAACGATTTGTACCGATCCATATCTTCACACAGTAGGTGACACTGAGATATAACCTAAATTTACAATATCGGTACCCAGCACCACCAAATCTCTGTGTCAGTCATTGAAAATATCCCAAAAACACTACAAGGGAACATCAATTGCTTCACCTTTTCCATATCTGATCGCTGGGCTGAGTCATGATCGTAGGTCTCACTGTTCATACTATCATAGGACGGCGTTCGAGATGGCAAGGTCCATAATTGCCTTCGAGGTATGCTCATGACGGATGGTGTAGAATCTATCCGGCCTCCAAACATACCTGGTCGTTCAGTAGGTAGGATAGGTGGTAGTAATGGGGGAGTGTGCTGATTCGGCATTCTATAATTTGGGGTTGAAGCCCAGGTTACAATAAAAGCAACGGGGGCATCTCAAAATGAAGTAGTAGTCACCTTTGATTACAAGCTGAATCACTTTCTGTAGCTAGTTTGCTCTCCTTTGCGCTCTCTGCCGTACATGGAGAGCATAGTTGGAATACATCCATGATATCGAAAAGTTGAAAAAAGAGTGTGTCAAAAAGTCAAGGTTGCTTTTTTCCACTTTGTGTCTGAGATTTTTTTGTTTTCGGAAACTGAAAATGTACCCACTGGCAAGAGCTTTTCAAAACTAGGATATGAGGGCCAATAAGCAGTAATGGCTGCTGCTGCTTTTTATTTGCATTTTTTACACTTGTTTCGTTTCTTATTTAAATTTGATTTCTATTATTTACAAATGGTGGAGATCAATCTTGCCTACTGGCTGTTGGCCGGTGATACCTCCCAGCTCACCGGTATCGGGCTGTTCCTTAATATGGTCTCTGGTTCCTCCAGTGTTCTTGGGCTGAGCATGCTTTTCTCCACCTTCTTGCTTCTCGTTTCCAGCACTCTTTTGAGGCTTTTCATTTTCCTGGATGGTTACAGAAGGTTGCTGTTGGTTGGAACCTGGGCGTTCTGACATTGCCTGTCCATTGTCTTGCACACTTCCAGACTGGGGGGTTTGATACACGTCTTGGGTCTGTTGGCCACCAGTTAGGTTTTCTTGGTTTTCTTGTCCTGACAATGCCCGACCATTGTCCTGAACAGTGCCAGATGGAATGTTTTGGTTCATGCCTTGGGTCTGTTGGCCACCAGTTAGATTTTCTTGGTTTCCTTGTCCTGACAATGCCCGACCATTGTCCTGAACAGTATCAGATAGGGGGTGTTGATTCAGACCTTGGGTCTGTTGGCCACCAGTTAGGTTTTCTTCGTTTCCTTGTCCTGACATTGCCCGTCCATTGTCCTGAACAGTGTTAGCTGGAGGGTGTTGACCCAGGCCTTGGGTCTGTTGGCTACCGGTTAGGTTTCCTTGGCTACCTTGTCCTGACATTGCCCGTCCATTGTCCTGAACAGTGTCAGACTGAAGGTTCTGGTTCATGCCTTGGGTCTGTTGGCCACCAGTGAGGCTTCCATGGTTTCCTTGATCAAGTCCTCCTGAATGAGATTGGTTATAGGTGTCCTTGACTTGTTGAGCAGGTGATTCCTGAGTGTTGGTAGGATTTGACTGATATTCAGACATGATGTAATGTGAGTATTAAAATGAGATGCAGAAGAAATAATTGCTCTATTAGTTCAATTTATATTTTTTATGCAAGCTCAGACGGCACTGAAGTCATAGCGAGTGATGAGATCATGATTCGAACGTAAATACCATAAAGAGATTACTCAAAATTATAGAAAAAATTGGAACAATCCACGTGATGTCCAAAAAAAGCACAACGCGTACAAAAAGTTTGAACAAAGAAAGGCTTGTCCTTTAATTTTAGGCTGCTCACGGTTTTTTTTTTTTTTTTTTGCCTTCTGCGCTTGCTCCAGCCTACTACCTCTTTAACCCTACCCATAATCTTCAACATGAAAATAAAAAACACGCCTCAAGATAGGTTCAGTCACTTTGATAAGCACGTCGACCGAACACCAAATCTCAGTAGTCGAAATCAGCGGCCTGGTTGGACAAGGTCTCGGTGCAAATCTCCATTTTCCGCCGAAGGGGACGCCAAGCAACACCCAGCTTACTACAACAAGAAGGTAATGTACTACCCCTTCTATAAGAAAAAGTATTCTTGATAAACCACTGACCTTTTTGCCATTCTTTCCTTGTGAATAGCGACGGCGGACTCCACCTTCTCTCAACAAGGATGATCTAACATATCATCCTCAGCATACCAGTGCATTATCAGACGAATACCTTTTAGAATTACGAAGAAAAGCATTTACAGAGCTTCATGTTCAGACCCAAGCTTATAACGATTCGTTCGTGGCCCGTATGCAGTATATGGAATCCTTGCCCCAAGAAGAACAACGACATTTGTGGGGTATGCTGACTGATCCAAATGAAAGCCCCAACGATAAAGACACCCAGGCTGTGCTAGAGATTATTGATATGCTGGAGCGAAATTCTGTGAATGATTATGGCGCTTACCTTGAACGCCTTCAGGTAAAGGCCGAGTTCCCTTGATTTAGTCTGCGGAATGCACACCCTCATTCTGACCATTTCCCCCAATGGTAGACTCTAGATGATTCACCGTCTTCTCCTGAGCACGACGTTGGAGACTTTTGGTAATGGCCAGAAGTGAACAAACTATATCTTCTTGTATACACCAGCTTCTTACACCATCAACTGATACACCATGACCGAACTCCACCATCCCGGCTGTCTTTCGGCGACACTGCACTTCACCGTTCAAACCAACTACATTTCTTTTCGTTTCGATCCATCATAACAAAACTACCAAAAACATCTATATAATTATAATCCCACTGTCACCTTGAGTTTCGACCATCGGCGCTTGTATAAAAAAAAACTCCCCTCCCACACATATATAAAAAAAACCTTAGTACTTCAACCAACCATCTGGATTTGTTACAAAGCAACCCTTTAAAGCAACGTATATAACTGTAGTATTTTTCTAGACTCCACCTTCGATTTCTCTTCATTATTTATCTATCGATGTGTCGAATTGTCTAATACCTCTACCTCTAGAGTGTACAAGTAAATAAACTCTATTACACGCACCAATATAATTTTTCAGGATGGCCCCCATGGGCACAAGTGAGAACTGGCACGTGTGTATGAGGAACTGATATTTATTTAAACATGTTAGCCGCCGCTCCTACTATAGGCAAAAGGCGCGGATGTCCAACCGGTTGACTCCAAGGTAATCAGGAGGACGAGGAGCATTGCATTCTGCCAATATCATGGCAATATATATATATATTTTGAGGATTTTTCTTTTTTCCTATGGCAACCCGCGGAATAACTACATTTATTGCACCCAAGACACGTCTCCGGTGATGGCTGGTGGCAGCTTCTTGACACCGTAGCCCGTCCACTCTGCGCCCATCTCCAGTTCTAACCTAGCACCGGATTCACCTGCTATCTCACTATGGCGAAACCAAGAACGATCAAAAGGCTGGCCATTCAACGTCGCTTTTTGAATGTAGCGATTGGTATCAGTCAAGTTGTTGGCCACGATGGTAAAAACTTGGTTTGGACCTATCAGTAAGGAGGTCTCAGTAAACAAGGGTGAAGACAAGAGATAGACGTCTGTTCCCGACACGGGATAAAAGCCCATCATCGACCAAACAACAAATGATCCTTCTGCACCACTATCATCATTGCCTTTAGCAGTGGAGATTTTAAAGTTGTTAACATGGTAGATATGGCCAGATACTTCATCCTATCCTTCCTTACCTGGTAATCCCGACGAATTGGTGGAGAAATGGGTTCTCAATAAGGTACGAATGATATCAGTGGTTTTATCTATTCGCCCTGCCCAATTGTAGAGGTAAGGGATAAGGAAGGCTAACGGCGGAAAATCATTAATACTGTAAATCTGAAGTTGCCGGATATGGTAATGATGACACCAATGGAACTTGCCTGGTTCGTCGCCCATGTCATGATAGCCTTTGTCAAAGTAATGATCGAGCCGCTTGACGTATTGCTCAGGCCCTCCCATCAATTCTATCAATTTGATTTGATCTTGTGGAGCTGAAAAGCTGTAGATCCAAGATGATTCTTCGTAAAACTCTCCTCCCTTCATCGAAGCAATTGGATGTCAGCAACAACAATATATGCCGCAAAACCGAGTCAAAAAAGATAGGCTGACTGACTTACTCTGGAGTCAAGAAAGCAACTAAAATGATTTAGGGTCGGCCCGCAAAATTGAGGTGGATATAGATCCCATGAGCCGTTCTAAAAGATACAGACATTAGGACCATACAGGTATTGTCAATCCAGGATCGAGCCCTCACCTGATATCTTGGCATAATGAAGCCTGAAAATCCATCTTCTTCTACATCTGGATTCCAGAGGTTGATCCAATTATTTGCTCTTGCCAGATACTCTTTATAAACACTAGTGTTTCCAAGTTCTAGAATAAAGTGTCGATAAAAATGGTGCTGTGTATGAGATGTAGGGGCCCCATCACTTACGGTGAGCTGCCAGCGCGATGGCGAAGTCGTTGCGAGAATACTCAATGGTACGTGAGGCAGAGCGAGCTGACCTCTGAGGTGCGTCATATGTGGAGTCTTCAGGTGCTGGAGCATACCCATTTTCACTGTAGAATTCAATGTCGGTTCGTCCATGCACCGTCCAGCCTTGGTACATTGGTTCCTATTGAATAAAATCAGTATCAGACCTTGCCGATACATGACGACGTGATTGCTAGCTACTCACAACAGTGGCATCCTTCATCATCGCTTGAAAACCGTCTTCCCAAGAAACGCCACCATAGTTTGCACCATGCTTGACCAGAAAGTCTGTCAGTGGCATTTCGGCATTGCTTCCGCCTTGTGAATAGCCTGGGCCCATACCCATGTAACAATCTGGCATATACCCTTCATTTCGATATATGTCTATCAAGCCTCGAACCATCTCAGCCAGTGGTTGTGAGTGAGTCATGGCGTAAAGCGGCATGACACCATGATATGTATCCCTAAGGTACGAGTATGAGATAAAGCACATAAAACTAGTCAGTGCATATATACACAGATAGCCTTACCAAAGACAATAAAAATCATCATAGTATGGCTCTGATGATTCCCACTTGGGATTCTCCCCGGTTTTGTTTACGGGTGAGATGAAGTGACGGTATAACTGCGATTCGAGAAGTAAATAGAGTGTTCATCGCATATGTGCAAAGTTGACATGACTTCTTACACTGGAATAAAAAAGGACTTTATCGTCTTCTGTTCCGCCATCCACACGAATTTTGCCCAATGTGTCCTCCCAGGTCTTCTTCGCTGCCATATGTGTCAAGTCAAAGTCAAATGCTGGCACTTCATCCTCAGCGCTGGCGCAAGCTTGTGCCTCAGATACAAAGGAGATGCCAACCCTGGAGATAAGAGGCTCTTCCAAGGTCATAGTGTCAAATTGAACCAATGCACCAAGGCCTATAAATCGGCATTATTACTTGTGATCCAGCTAGCAGCGTGGTATCAAGATCATCGGATTCTTACCGCCCCAACCTCCGGTCAAAGTAGTCTCGGTCTCATTGTGTAGCTGATCGTCAAATAAGGCGGCGCTTGACGGTTTCAAATTGAAGTCAGTACAAAAGAAGACTTTAAATGCACCGGTGGGAGCGAAGCTGGGCCGGTAGGTACCGTAACCAGTAATTCGTGTGTTTTCTCTCTTGTCGCGGTCGAGGTTGATCATACCGCCCATAAAGGACTCCATGAGATCTCGGCCAACATTTATCATGACTGCAACCTTGCTTGCATTATGAAAGTCATATCGGAAGACGCTGGTTTTGTGAGCTGCCGTCATCTCCACCGTCACATTAAACCTATCTAATCCTATCGCGAAATATCCAGGGGATGCCACTATAGGGCGATTACATTAGATTTTTGCATTGATGACCACAAGAAACCCAATTTGCTTACCCTGTGATCCTTCTATCCTCAGTGAAGCATAATCCCAAATCTCCCACTCCTCTCCCGCTAATGGTTGTACTTGTATATTTCCGTAGCTGTAGCACAAGGATCGGTGGATCAGACATCGCGGTGGCTTACATTAAAGCGAGATGGAAGAATACATACCTGGGATTCTGGCAATGGATGCGAAGACCAGCATGATAATAGTGTGAAATAAAAGTGATTGTTAGGTACTCATCAAAAGCTTGCAAAATACATGTGCTCAGCGGTATTTACCCCTCCTGTCTATTACGGGGCGAACGCAAAAGAGAGATTCATTAATCAGGTTGGTTTCATTGACGAACAAGTCCTTAGTGTCATTAACCTACCCCATCGCTATGGAGCTGAGAAAAACCGCGAATGATGCCGCTAGGATTATAGCCAGCTTGGTTATCGTTGCCCGTCATATCAGGGCCAGGTTTTGCTATGCCGAAAGGCAGCGTTGCACCAGGAAAGACATGCCTATAACACAAGATTAATGTCATGAGCAGCCAGCTTTTCATAAGCTCTAATGTATTTTTTTATATCATACCCTGGACCGCTGGTGCCAATAAATGGGTCAACGTATATGGTATTGTCTCGGTAGTAAAAGTTGTCGGTGTTATCGTTATGTGAAACAAGTCTTGTTACTCGTGAGGACGGTGATACACGAGCGACAAGGAAAAAAAGAACGGTAACAGCCAAAACAATACACGCACGCAAGATGAAGCGGCCAGATGATGAGCGTCGTGGTAATCGAAAGGTCGTCATGATGAAGTTGGCAAATTGATGTGCATGTGGAGTTTGTTCAGGTACAGACAGTTTTTTATTTTAGCACAGTAACCTTTACCCGAATTTCTTAAAGCAGCCACACTTTTGCGCTGGCTTGAATCCCAGGTTTTCTGCTCCATTTGCCGAAAGTGGCAATTACAATATCGCCTTTGTATTCATGTTTATTGAGAATTCACATTATTCCTTCAGGCAATGATTTGGGAATGCAGAATCCACGTAACCGATCATCTATCAAAAACATCCCAGCAGCAAACTGCTTCTGATCAAACCAGCCGTCTCCTCGTACGTCAATTAGTCTTGCAATATCGCTCAAGTTTTGGTCACCGATACGACTTTCTCTCCAAATTTCTACAGCAGTGTCTTGATATATGTACCCTTGTTCATTTTTTTCTTTAAATAGACCGTCATACTTGATGCGATCAGCTATGGGGATGGTTTTCCGAATAGCAGCAGTTGGCGGAGGAGGTAAATGCGAAGTAGGTCTAGGCGAAGTACCGTTGCCCATGGCTTGGGATTGTCGTCTACTTGATAAGGGTCTTGGAGGAGGTGTGGGGCCACTTGGTCTCTGTAGAGTTTCAGCACTTGATCGAGGTCGCGAAGGAAGTGGTGGGGCATTCGCTTGATTGTCAGGGTATATTTGAGACTGTACTTGGGGTCGACGAGGCATTACCCTTGGTGGTGCTTGTGGCTCATGCACAGCAGAATTTGGTCGAGCTGGAATCGGTTGTGGAGGCCTATTAATATCTAAAGTGTTACTGTTCCTGTTCATGCTGGAATTAGGTCGCGCGGGCGGTGATGGATGTGAAGGCAACGAAGGAGATATGCGCCTCGGTGGTGCTTGTGGCTCAAGTAGAGCAGAAGTTGGCCGACTAGAAACTGAATTGACAGGCTTATCATAATCCGAGGCACTACTGCTTCTATTGGAGCTGGTTCGCACTGGTGGGGATGGATGCGACCCAAGCGATGAAGGCACCCGTTTAGGAACACTAGGGCTAGTCGTAGTCCGAATGATAGGTATTTCCTCCGTATCACCCTTCCTTATTTCATTCATTTCAGTTTGATTAGGTGACCCTCGAGAGCCTCCAGTGGTGACCATGCTTTGGCGCTTGACAAGCGAGGGCGAAGATATAGGGGGTGGCTGGGTTTGTTTCGAAGCAGCGTCTACTGCTGCCCACTTTTTACGCAGTTCTGAAGGCTTCATGAAAGCTACATCTTCTTCACCTTGGTGCGTTGTTTCTGTTTCCTTTACAGGTATAGGTGAAGGTATAGGCGCTGATTGATTTACATGAGGTTTACCGGCCTGTATGTGTGCTGGTTTTGGAGCAGGCGTTGGCACAGGTTGTTTGGCGGACTGTGGCGTAACCTTTGACTTTTCTAATCGAGCCCTTAATTCTTTGACGGAAAAGGATCCTTCTACTTCACTGTTGCTCATAGTGGTGTCATCAGCTGATGATTTATTGTTCATCAAGGGCTTTGGACCTCCACCACCGAGCTCTTGCGGGCTGGCTCTGAAACGATTGTCTCCGGCGGAAGACGCTATTTCCGTGGACCCGTTGGTATTTTCCTTGCCAACATTTCCCAATGTTGCTCTAGAGTCGTTATTTACGAGAGACTTTCTTGGCTTGCTCGGTACAGGCATGACAGGGACAATCTCGACGTAATTGAATGGAAACAGGCCACTTTCCCCTGACTTCTGTAAAACGCCATAATACCATCCCGACTCTTGAGATTCAACTGCATTCTCAATAATGTCTCCTTTTTGGAAAGATAATTCATCTGGACTTTCTGTAGCATCACAGTTGTATAATGCCCTGACGGTTGCCATGACAAGTGATTCAACTTTAGACCGTGATGCTCCTGGTGGTGGCAAGGTTGATTCCGCCAGGTAATGAGCAGTCACGAATTTCCTATTATGTCGTTGAAACCAGACAGAAAAAAAAAAAAGTGGAGAGAAAAGCTTCAATCCCCACCGTCCTCCATCCTGAACATGACCGACAATTTGGTCAATGACCACCTGGCAGAGCTATTTGGGTACATCAGTATAGCATGCTGGGTTGTTGTATTAACACCGTAAGGCGTCGTCACATCGTATCTTTGTACACACACAATGTTTCTCTTACACCACCTAACACAAAAATTCAGACAAATATACCTTAACTATCGCAACAAAACTGGAGACGGCATTTCTTTCAATTTTTTGCTCCTATGGTTGATTGGAGATATCATGAACATTTTGGGCATTATATTACAAAAATTGATGTTCACAGTGGTAAGTTCTCATTTGAGCAGTACAAAAGCCCTGCATGCCACCTTTTTTTGCACCGCTGATATTGATTGTTTGTAAAGTTTCTCCTTGGTGTGTATTACATACTGAGCGATGCCATCATTGTTCTTCAAGTTCTCTATTATCGAAGGACCTCATCATACCACCCACTTAACGATCATGGCGAAATCCTATCCGATGCTTATGGATCAACGACTTCGCCGGCCGACAACGACGCGACCATGTTTGAGATGATCAAGTGCGAAAATAAACAAAAACGAGTAGTCAAACGAATAGCCACATTCTGGGTAGCAACAGCAACGTTTATTACTGGTTCGATTGTCTGCGTGATATGGTCCTTGTGGCCAACAGGATCTCCGACAGATGTGGACTTGAGCCAACTCAAACTGATTCCTCAACTACTTGGCTGGACAAGTGCGTCGTTCTATATCTTCAGCCGGATACCTCAAATTCTCAAAACGTTTAGAGATGAATCGGTTGAAGGATTGAGCATCGGCATGTTTGTATTCAGCGTGGTAGGAAACATCACATTTGCCATCGTAAGTTTAGAAGTACAGAATGTGTTTGGGGGGTAGAGAAGGTAGAGCGGTCGGTCATGGCGGCTTGATTTGGGAATTTTTAGTTTCCAAAAACATAACATGATTTTTGCTGATCAATTATTGCCGCTCAATAACGGTTTTTATTAGTCTATCGTTTTGAAATCCCAAGACCCTACTTACATTGCAATCAATATGCCCTGGCTCTACGGCTCTGCTGGAACATTATTTTTTGATTTTACGGTATGTTGTACCTAGAACTAATGTGCGAATCAATTTGTTTATGTACTAGGTAATTGACATCGCGGAAATGCTTGTTGTTTCACCGTTATTAGATTTTTCTTCAATTCCACCTTTATCGAAAACCTGAAACTATTTTGGCATGATCTACATCGGACAGATCAAGAAGCAGCCAAAAAAAATTTTTTTGTGGGACGATGACACCCGAAAAAAAAAAGATGTAGGTAGTGCAAGCGAAATTTAGTTTGGACTATGAGAGTTTATAGAGTGTATTATAGTGATTTGTAGAGAGAGAAAAGCCATAGAGTGAATATACAAATGGAGAAAACGTGAAATTTTTTGAAGAAATGAAATGGGATAGCAATGTAAAGTTTCTTCTTTCCAACCAGATGAAAGAAGTCATCGGAAGGCACCACGATATGACGAGCACAGCCTGTCATATCGAAGTGGCTCGGCATGTAGAGCTCGAATCAATCGAACCTTTAGGTTTCCATTGCGGAGGATCATGGCGTAATCGATGGACTCGCATATGTCTCCTTAGATTACTGCAAACACTGAAGCGCCTACCGCATGAAGGTTCTGGGCATGCATAGGGTTTTTCACCAGTATGAGAGTAGGAATGGACCCGTAATGATGACGGCCTGGCGAACGTCTTGTTACAATCCGGACAAATGTACCGATGGACCCCGCTGGCTTGCTGTGAACTAGCTTGAGAGTTCTTGGTGCCAAATACAATAATGCCATTCTCATGAGGTGGCGAGGGAGTGCTGTCCGATACGTGGTCGTCCTCTAGACGAGGGTTTTTAAATGCAGATGTTTGTACAATTACAGGACGGGCAACTTCTTCGGATGAGGATGCCGACTGTCTATCGCCAGCAGATTGACGACGATGATATGCATTTAAATCCTGAAGCTGGGATGCTTCAGACATCGATCGACAATGCCTTTGCGTGGCGGAGTGAGGCTGCTGATCGGCTACTGTTGATCCCCACATGTTTTGCTGTAGTGCATTGGTAGATGGGTCACTGATATCGCTGCTGGGCGGAGACCAGGAAGCTGCCGGAGAGGATGTTGGTGTGCTGGAGGGTGATCTATGTATTTCTAACGTAGGGGACGGCCGCGGTGGGGGTACATGACTATCTTTCACAGGTTTATAGAATGCAGCGGAATTCAACGACATATCATGATCGGATAGTGGCTCATAATCGGTTACGACGTGTTGGTGAAGAGCAGCTAGTAATGCGAACTCATGTTAAAGAACTGGTGTGACACAAAGGGCTATGTGCATAAAAGGCGGCAGCGGGTATGTTATTCTTACCTGACCAGGGATGGACATCGTCTTCTTCTCGAAGTAAGAGATGCTTGATGGACGGTAGAAATTGTCTATCGGCAGGCATATCGAAGGTGAAAAGAAGTGGCAAATTTTAACACAGGGAGAAGCGAAAGAAAAAAAATAATAATAATTGAAACTTCAGGCAAAAAGAAGAAGAAGAAAAGAAACCCGTTTTATTTAAATGGGAGAGAGACGAGCACGAGTGCAGGCTGGCGATCATGCGTCGGTCGATCATCAAGCTGAGGAGGAAAGCCTTTTGTGAGGCGTACAACTCATGAGGTTTGGTCATGGGATAGCATAGCTTGAAAGATCTAAGCACAATCATCTCTAATCTCTCAAGGATCTCTCCTTGGCTTCTTTACCTCACCACTTGTATTAAGAACCACAAAGTGCTCGATTTTCCTTCCTGGAAACACCTGCTCGAGGATAATAGAGGCGGCGGGGATAAGAGGGTGGTTAGCACATTGGCGGCCATGCAACAAGGATTGTTTGCCCTCCTGACTCGCTCAGCGCTCTGAAGATCTGAGCGCATCAGTTCCGCACCGGTGCAAGTACCGATCATGGGGTATTCGGAGACTGCTCCAGTTGAGTTAGCCCGAGCCAAAAGGTATGGTTGTACTCATGACTCTCGGATCTTCTTATCCCACTTTGCTTTTTTTTTTGTTTTTCTTCTCTCCCCCAAAAATTGTTTTCCAGGTCATCATTTTTTTTCTTTCAAAAGGGAATTTTTTCCTAAAAGTTGAATTTCATTCATCTAAATATCACGTCATTCAAGATATGCCCAACTTTGCGCCGTTTGAATGCTTTACCTTTGCATGTGATGGCTGACTGTTCAGTTGGGGATAATATTGTATTTACCTCTTTATTCAATGAATGGACGAATCACCTCAGACATCATTGCACCGTCCACCATCGGTTTTAACTACAGATTCTGAGCCATCTTCTCTCCCAGTGAAACGGCTTCTCAGGCACTCTGATATGGATAACCTTGAGACACTGCAAAATCGATACGCACGAACTCGCCCAGACCAGACAAATACAATTATGGATAATTTCATGTCCGTCAATACCACTCGTACATCTCGAGACCTGCCATCATTAACTGAACAAGAGCCACAATCCCCCCGTCGGAGCTTCACCTCATCATCGAAGAAATGGCCACTTCAGGACGGTCGCCTTCAAGTATGGGAAACCCCTTAATGCAATTAATGTCGAAAGTCGCGTTTTACTAAGTATTATATCACCAGATTACCGTCATGACAATCCAATTGAATGTACCGGTACAAAGGCCTTATATCAAGCTAACACTTGGAGGTAAGATCCCATTTTGTTTTGAGCCTAGCTGCATGAAATTAGACCCTCTGACTACAAGGACTGACATATCATGGGGTCCAAACAGACCAGTCATTCACTACATCAGTCAGTGAATTTCATGAAGGCAGATGGTATGAAGGGTTCGAATTTAAGGTAAGGAGACATAAATACCAGCTTAGGCAGGTCCATCAAAACACGCATTGACTTGTATTGTGAAGGTGTCCTACCATGCCCAATTGTTCGACACCATCCATATGGACCTATTTGACTCGTACAGCTTTTTTGCCGACCGTCATGTTGGGAGAGCAGAAATACGTTTGCGACATTTGGATGGATTACCAGAAGTGTTCACCAGCTACTATGAGATATGGGATAAGAAGCTAACCACGGCATCTAGCTCAGCTGTTGGAAGGCGAAAGACATTATCAGCCAATATCGGTGCTATACAAAGCCGTATCTATTACCGATACAAAAAGGACGAACTAATCAATCAGCCAGAAAAAATACCAGAGCTGCAGCCTCCAGGTTTCTATGTGACAACCAGCCAGTCACTGATAACCGAGGAACAGATTGCCAACGAATTCGAGCGACACTTGAAATTTCAACGCGAGAGAAATAAGGCTGGTATCACCTTCAGAAAATACGAAGAAGGAAACGAATACGGTGAAAATAATCTTGACAACTATGAGGAATTCGATGACTTTGATGACGAAGGAGAAGAAGACGAAGAGGCTGGCTTGTCACGACCGTTATCATCCAAACCAGAAAAAAAGCCTTCAGAAGCGACGTTGACAGAGAGTGTCGCAGAGAAGTCGACTAAAAGTACATGGTCGAGTTACTTTGGATTTGGAAATGGCAAGAAAACGGATCCATCCGCAGCATCTTCGACGAGAACATCATCATCAGCCACGCTACAAGAATCACGAAGTGTAAACGCCTTTGGGGGGATTGTAGATGATGACGATACCCTCAAGTCCTATCCACTTCTGGACACATTGGGGGCATGGACAACGACCAAAGAAACAAATCAAGTTCTCAGATCGATCGGGAAACTACTCGCGGCATTTGTAAGTCTAGTGGATCTCCACTTCATTTCTCGCATTTATGGCATCCCCGGAGCCTAAAAGATATGCCATTTTCAAATTTTAGGGTCAAGGATTTGAACTTTCAAATTTACAAGTCTTAGTTGGATTCACCGTCCTGGAAAAGTTTTATACCGACCTCCCAAAGTAAGAAATTCATCAAATGTCAAAACTGTATGAGGTCGTACATTTTTGTCTAATCCATCGGGATATTATGATCAGAAATAGAACCTGGGATCTTGTCACGGATCTTGGCGAAATTGAGCCTGCTGCTCACTTTTGGAAGTTTTCTATAGCTGCATGTAAGTTTGTTCAGTCGTGGGGGGGAGAGAAGGACGGAACAGAATAGAAGAAAAAGGGGCCCAATGTCAGATGACTTATGTCACTAGCGTCACTGTTTACAAACAAACAACATCCTAATATATGGTACGGTTACAGATGGTTGGAAGGGCCTCACGTTCATAGGCAAGAGTAATGGCATATTGACCAACGCCACTCGTAAACACTCTGATGCCCTTAGCGTCATCGAGTATTTATCACTTCCAAAAGAAGATTTGTTAGCATATGAGTTCAGAACTGGCGAAGTGTTCCGTCCTTCATACTTTATTGCGCGTGACCGTGCGACGAATTCGATTGTTTTAAGCATAAGAGGTACCATGGTAAGGGCGATGACACCGATATGCTATACATGGCAAACGGCTGCTGACGTTTTATTGACACTTTGACTACATAGAGCGCATTTGACACCCTCACTGACCTTGTTTGTGAATATGAGCAATGGAAAGGCGGCTTAGTACATCGAGGCATGAAGGTATGGAGGTAACTTAGCCCTTTCAAGCCAAAAGATCCATATGATAACCAAAATCTTTGCTTTGTATTTTTCCCTTGGTTTTCCCTTATCACCTTGCACATCTTTTTTCTTACTTTAGTCATCCGCCTTGTGGTTTTTCCGCAACGTGGCACCTCAACTGATTGCTTACACAAACCAGCATGCTACGTCCGCCCTGTACATTGTGGGACATAGCTTAGGATCCTCGACAGCTGCTATTCTAACGATCATGCTTCTCGATTACATTGACGAGTTCCGTAAATCTGCTGATCAAAATGACAAGCAAGATTTTCAGATCAAATGCTTCGGATTTGCTCCTGCATGTGGCCTTAGCTTAGATCTAAGCCAACGATACAAGGACCATATTCAATCATACGTGTTTGGAGATGACGTGGTCAGCAAGATGAGCTATGGGTCTATGATGGATGTCAAAGAACTTGTCATCGCAAGCTCGGAAGCGGCACAGGGCCTTAGTTATAGTAAGGTCTTTCTAAGCACCCAGCTTGAAGGTCCAAAATGGAAGACCATATTTGACGCTGTCGCAGACTGTCGAACGAAATGTTTGGAGTCACTTGCAAATCCTAGAGTATGTCAAATTTTAGGCAATATGACCACTCCCACATGTCTTTTTATTGATCCCTCCTTTTTTTTTGTGGAACAGTTGTATGTAGCTGGAACGGTATATCAATTTTGGCTCGATCCAACGCCTAGTAATCCTACCCGAATGGTCATAGAGCGGACGAATGCAAAACAGGTTTCGCAAGAAGTGGTGGTCAAGCGCAGTATATTCCTGGACCATTTACCTACCAACTTTGATGTAGCGTTTACAAGAGCCCGGGAAGCACTTATGATTCACGGTGGTCAACACCGAGTCAGCACGGACGCCAAGGAAGCTCCTGCAGGTATACTTGACAAGTCCATGGCAGAACGCAGTGGCCGCATCTCCTTAGATAAAGATCTCAAACAAGTTGCACAAGAACAAAAAATTGAAGAGCTGCAGAACTCGGATGTTGCATAAAGACAATACGAAAGTCGCTCTTCAATATGTACAAAAGATTGGCACAGGCTGGGGACTTGCTGCGAATAGATTTAGATTACTCAACTGTAAATACTATTTTAACCCAAAAGAACACGCATAATATTAGATGAATCAGCTTCTAAGTAAACTTAAATGGAAGCTTTGCTTTAAAGTAGCTGTTTCAGACGTTGTTCAATCTTTGTGGGCATTTGACTTTTATCCAAGCGCATAATAATGTGGAGTGATTGTGGGCGGGGCTTGTAATTCTTTTTGCCACGCGAAAGAGACAATACCCAGTTGTGCCTTCTCCACACACAAATGAACTTAGACCAAACCGAATTCGATTATATTATCCTGGGTACTGGACTTACGGAGTCCATACTTGCAGCGTAAGCATTGCTCGTAGTATGGTGCATCGACCTTGACTGCAGGAGCTAATCGTTGTACTGTTAGAGCCATTGCAAAGACTGGAAAGTCAGTTCTTCATGTTGATGACGCTGATTACTATGGAGGCAAATGGGCTGCCCATTCGTTTGGCGATCTTCTTAAATGGATAAGAACACAGAGATTGGGTAGGTATATTTTCAGGTCAACAGATATTATTGGAATACTACGCTTACACTTGTATTAGATGGTGATATCGCCAACAAAGAGACAAACGACGCTCCTCCTTCATTAAATGGTAAATACCCTTACTCAATAGATAGCTCGATGATCCTTAAACGCTAACGTAATTGAATAGGTTTAAGCATAGATGGAAAGCATGCGGTCAATGTGAATGCCCTGAAAGCTCGCAACGAAAGCATTCGACATGTGTCCTTTTTTTGCTACCCGACGGAATCCGATAACATAACCGAAGATGACAAATCCACGCTTTATTCAGACACCAACATACTGCTGGATATGAATCGAGAAAGTCCTCTTGATTATGCCCGTGATACCATTGTTAAAGCCCTGAGCGATCGGTTCACCAATCCTAGCAAGATCACTAAGGAAGCGATCGAATTTGAGGTGGATCAACTTGTCCTCGGCTTTCCTCCCACTTCATCTTTCTCTCTAGATATCAAGGACTCCATTGGCCGAGTTCAAACCTTGAAAGAAGCTCTGGATGCATCTCGACATTACAACTTTGACCTTTCACCAAAGTTACTGTCGTGTCGTGGAGAAATGGTCGAAGTTTTAATCAAGAGTGGAATTGGTCGGTATCTCGAATTCAAGGGCTTGGAAGAGAGCTATGTATTTGAAGCTGAATCACAGACATTTGACAAGGTAACGTTTTTTATTAAAGGTTTTCCCGCAGTATGATTATGCTAAGATTGATACCTTGTCATTTTAAAGGTCCCTATTTCTAAGGAAGATGTTTTTTCAACGGATACTATCGCGCTGATTGATAAACGAAAATTGATGCGGTTTTTGACGCTTGCTATGAGTGACGAGATCGATCCATCTATTCTTGAAAGTGAGTAGTTACTTTTCTCGAAGAGTCGATATGCTACCAAGTGAACCGAACTCTAACCAAGTGGTTTGCTTATCCACTAGCCTATGGCAACCAGCCTTTTAAGACCATGTTGGAAGAAAAATTCAAGATAAATGGAAAACTTCAAATGGCAATTATATACGCAATTGCTCTTGTTCATGACGATGCAGAAAAAGGTATGTTTGGCGAATATAATGGCTAAAATGCGAAATTGATAACCAGGGTTAACCATTCTCTTATAGTGTCAGCAAGCGAGGGATTAGAAAAAACGAGGGCATATCTCAAGTCTCTGGGTCGATTTGGTCGTTGTGCGTTTTTGAGACCATTATATGGTGGAGCTAGCGAAGTCGCACAGGCTTTCTGTAGGGCATGTGCTGTTCATGGAGGGATATACATGCTGAATCAACCTGTAGATAAATTTTTGCTGAATGAGGATCGATCACAGGCATCAGGCATCGTCACTCGCGACGGTCAACAATTCACCAGTAAATGGATCATCGGTAGTATGGAGTATATGAACGAAGAGTGGATTTCTAAGCAAGCTGAAGAGGAAAGGTAAGTTGACGCCAAGTACTACGAGCATGGCTTGGCTCCACCAAATAATTTGTTTCAATCCTATCAATAGTACGCGGTGGACTTCCAGAGCGATATTGATAACCAATGAGCCACCCATTATATCAGAGGGCTCGGAAAAAGAAAACATCAGATTTTCGGTATTCCCACCCAGTGAACAAGATGACATTGCGAAGCCAATATTTGCCCTTCAACTGAGTATCGAAAGCATGAGCTGTCCACGCAACAAGTGTAAGTGTAGCAATAGATGTGATATGCATATACTCAAGGTGGTTTACTAACTGTCAATTGACCGTGCGCTTTAGACATGACCTACTTATCAGTCATTAGTGATGAACCAGAACGAGATGCTAAATCCGAACTAGAGAAAGCAGTGGAGAAGCTGATCAAAAATTCCGAACGTAAGTGGCATCGCTTTCAACTAGGATATGATTGAAAAACCAATTCATTGACCTCTCATTTTTAAACTACATAGATATCCAGCCATTATTCTTGCTATACTATAAACAACGCTCACAAGAATCGAGCCTAATTGCAACTGATAGCATCCCCAAGAATATCATTGCTTGTAGCGATCCTGATGAGCTGCTAGACCTGGATGAGCCGCTATCTGAAGCGCAAAAGGTATTCATACGCTGTTGTGGAGAAGACGAAGAGTTTTTGCCCGCTCCGGAAGTAGACCCAGATCTGGAAGAGTAAAACGACAATATATCTTTAAACTTAACGTAAAGCTCAATTTAATAAAAGCCTGACTTTGTGAAAAATTTCGCCAAGACGCCTTGTCAATTGTATAAAAGAGGACTCGACTAATTTTTGGAAATAGTGGTTTTCACATTCTTGGCACATCTCTCTTAACAATGGGTAACCAACCATCAGCGATACAATTTCAACCTGCAATAGATTCCCGCAACGAACAATTGGAGGCAGCCAACCATTCTAGATACCTCGCGGCTGAGGAAGCAAAGTTTATTCGTGAGAGCGAAGAAGAAGCAGAGTCGGCCCGTGCTAGCGGGCATACGGCAGCTGGTACGCACTGAACACATTTTTCAGCCTCAATGTAATTTGTATCAGATATTCACAACCCCCATTTCACACTAGCTGAAGATCTGGAAAAACAGGCAGATATCCATCGTGTCCGAATGCATGAACACAACCAAGCGGCTGCCAAGGCCGTCTTCTTCGCCAATAACCCCTCTAGAGACAGTCATGTATTACTACTCCATGGTTTATCCACAAACGAAGCTATACCCCTCGTCCGAAATCACATTGCTCGGCTATACAACATTGATTCTATAAAACATATCGTTATCTTGACAGGACTTGAACGGATATCACAAGACATTATCCAAAGCTTCTGGCCGGCCGCAGAACGAGCTATGCGGGAATTCGATGTCGATATACAATGCAACAAGCCAAGTGACGGTGTTGTTTATATCAAATTTGGAGACTCTACTGGAGGAGACCCGTCGGATAGTCTTCTTGGCGAAGACTTTTTACAAACTGATATTCCTGTAAGTTTAACATTGATAGAATTGTACTCCAGCTTCTGACGATTGTGATGATTTAATCTTGCTGATTTAAGGATAGACGTAAGCAAAGTCCATTGGAACAGGCAACATCGTTCCTGAATTCCAAGTCGGCTGAGGAGTTGGTGAACAAGTGGGGAGGCGTGGCTCTAGGAGCCGCCACTTTGATAGGCTCGGCAGCTGCGGCGACCATTATATACAACAGAAAACGGGCAGAACAGAAGCGTTCATAAATGAAATAAAAAAGGCCATCCCCCAAATTGTTATTACCATGTAATGAAGCCTAGAGTTATGAAGTCAAGTTGTGCATTTCTTTTCTTGTAGCTCTGGCATCAGTACGGTTCAAAAGTTTGCATTGTGACAGAGTGGAAGTGTATCGTGGAAATTTTGCAGCTTTTAATTGTTCAGACATTATTTTTTTTTGGGTTCATTCGACAAGCAATGAATGTCAACACCGTTGGCAATCAGTTTTGTAGGCGGCTGAAGCCCACCCTTTCTGCGAGAATACGGACCCTTTCTACCATAGCCGAGGTAAGTTCCTCACTATTTCGACCATTTCACTGCCCTCTCATATACTGACTTACTCTCCTTAGCTCAATAAACTTCGCAACACGCATCAAGCAGACGCGAATGATGTCCTGAAGGAATGCTGGGGAAATATCAAAGACCGAGGAAAGGCTATTAATGCATATATCAGTGTTGAAGACAAGGATTATCTCCAACAACAAGCAAGTGAAGCGCAGACGCGATGGTTTAAAGGTATGTTTAGACCGTGGTGCTTGTTCATGCAGTCCATTTTAAAAAATTCCGTCGATGTCTCCACTGAACATCCTATCACTCTAGGACAAGCCAAAAGTGTTGTAGATGGTGTACCAATAGCGATTAAAGACAATATATGTACAGAACGTATGACGACGACGTGTGGGTCGAAAATGCTGGAAGGTAAGCCTACCTCTATTGGATTCATGCAAAATTTTCACTGTCGTATGAAAACCTAACGAGAAGGTTAGATTTTGAGTCTCCATACGATGCCACCGTTGTGAAATTATTACGTGACGCTGGTGCCCTAATTGTTGCAAAATGCAACCTGGATCAGTTTGGAATGGGGTAAGCTCTCACCTTCATGAAAGAACCAACACTGGACCTCCAAAGTTAGCTTAACAGATATGATTACCGAACAGATCACACAATGTACATAGTCATTTCGGCCATGTTAATAACCCCAAAAACACGGATGGACATTTTCACTTTTCCTTGGAGTCACTTCCTTCCCATCAACGATCAGCGGGTGGAAGTTCTGGTGGAAGTGCAGCAGCAGTCGCGGCAGATTTATGCTTTGCGTAAGTGGAGGGTGGGGAGTGTTGAAACCTGAAGTCTGCATTGGTTTCTAATTCACAACTGTCCATCATTTGTGTATAGTGCTTTGGGATCAGATACTGGTGGCTCTGTTCGGCTGCCTGCGTCATACTGTGGAATCGTAGGATTTAAGCCTTCTTACGGTCGCATTTCAAGAAGGGGCCTCATAGCGTACGCCAACTCTCTTGACACAGTCGGTATATTGGCCAAGGATACTCACGATGCCGAACTGATTTACGGTACCGGCCTTTGCATTGCGGGTTTGTGTAGAAAAAGGCATTAACGAATTGTTTCGTCACCAGATTTACTGTCAAAGTACGATAAACAAGACCCAACATCTATGTTACCATCTATGAGAGAAAGAATTCAGCAAGAGTATGCTGACTGTTACGATACTATGGACCCTGATAGTTTGAAAGGCGTGCGAATCGGTGTTCCTCAGGTAAGCATTAAGTGTATCATTTTGTGAAAGATGTATGGTTATATGTGGTAGCTAAGCATAAGCCAAACCATAGGAATACAGAGTAAAGGAGTTGGACGAGTCTATCATGGAGATATGGCGCATGGGAATTCAGAAATTACAAAAGTTGGGAGCTACCATTGTCCCTATCTCATTACCAAATACTCAGTATGCACTACCAGCCTATTACATTCTGGCTTTGGCTGAAGCTAGCTCCAATATGGCACGATACGATGGAATGAGATACGGTCAGTTGATAATCGAGTTCAATAGCATTGTTGATAGGGCTTGACTATAACACTTTCTGGTTTTCAAGGTCACACCGCTGAGACGACAACATCAGATTTATTGTATGCTGATGCCAGAACTGAGGGACTTGGAGCAGAAGTAAAACGCCGTATTATGATGGGCACGTTTGCGCTGTCAGCAGGGTATAGATCATTTCCGCATTCAAGGATTGGATGAGGTATTCACACTACCACCATAACTAAACAGATTTGACCTTTGCAGACACTACGAAGATCACTTTTTGCCAGCCCAGAAAATCCGACGACTTGTACAGACCGATTTCAACAATGTGTTTTGTATGCCCAACCCATTATTAGACGATGCAGTGGCGGATCTCAGCAATACCAGCAAGGTGCATGCTATCATTACTCCTGGAGCCATTTCTACTGCGCCGTTGATCTCAAAATGTATTCCTGAGGTGGATGACCCGACGCAACATACCAGCGTCAAATCTGTCGATGGGTTTATTGACGATGTTATGACTGTTCCTGCTAGCTTGGCTGGAATCCCTGCAATCACTGTTCCTGCTGGAAAATCGACTGTGGACGGATGGCCAGTTGGTCTTCAACTACTAGCTCAGTATGGCGACGAAAAGACCCTCCTACACGTTGCCAAGTTGTTTCAGTCATGATTGCCAAAGCGCTCAGGCCAAGTTTTTGTTTCATATTGATTATTTTTTAAAATAAATGGTTTAAAAAAAAAAAAAAAGATTAGTCGATCCAAAGCAAGCCACCGCCAAATACCGGGCACGGAGGTTGATTGGAATTCCCATTGTGCTTCTGTTACGAAAGGCAACATCATCCCGCTCCACGTTTCAGAGTTATTATCCACTATTGGACCACAATATGATAATGAGTTGTATAAATCATCTTATTGGACAACAATATACGTTTACAACTATCTATGAATGCTGTCTTTTAGCTTCATCAATATCTACACAGCTTCAAACTCTTCTATCACATTTTACCATGTGCCTATTAACCTCAACGCATTCGAGTCCATCATGAAAGAACGGCCAGCCAATCATTGGGCGCACGTGTAGTGAGCCTAAATGGTGGGACTTAATTTGGACATCCGACTCCGCCTTTAAAATTTATGTGCCAACCCTTCAAGAACATAGTTGGCTCGTTCCATAATCGATCTCTTTCGTTCATTCCTTCTCTCCTTTCACAATGTCCACTCCTGAGGTAACTGTCGGTAAGGGTAAAAACATTCCCACCCAACCTCCACAAGGAAAGGAACCCCAAGTCGCCATTCGAACGTATTCTCAGCGGGTCGATCAAAGGTTTGTTCAGTACGCCTTCTACTCCACGTACCTTAATCTCGTTCCGGAGGGGATCTACGCCCGGTTGAAATCACCTTCAATTATCATATTCTGGCTTATGGCATCTACATTTGCATATATCGAGATCCCTAAAGCTATACTACACTTGGAGCTCTCCGGGAAGTTCATGCTGGGCATCAAGATCTTTCTGGTCATAGCTAGTATTGCGCTCGGATTGGTAGCCATTATTTGGTATGTTGACAAGATGGTGATCTCAGCTCGAATTGAACATGGATTGGCAAATGACATGGGAGATATTCAACAATTCTATCTTGGATTCAACACCGAGGAAACCGTAGAAGGGGACAAGAAGGTCACTAAAGTCAAGCCGGTTGAAGGCGAGAAGAATGATTCACATTTCTGGGTCCTCACTGTGGACGACAATGTAGTTGGATGTATTGGTTTGAACCATTCTCAAGTTGACAAGTTGGATAAATACTATGCAGAACCCATCAAGGCTGCTGCTAAGACCCCCGAAACGGTTGAACCTGCAGTAGATGAAAGTTCATGGTTGTTCAAAGTATTCAGTGCCGTTGCTAAGGTCGACGACTTGATCAGTTTCTGTGTTGTAAGCGGACACAACGCTGCCATTGGTCTTTACCGTAAGGTTGTACCCCTTCCCGACAACGTCGTCCTGTTCAAAGCACACAAGAAGAATGAGGCTAGTCTGCAGCGTTTGGCTATCAAGACCGAATACCAAAACCATGGCCTTGCTAGCATCCTTATCAAGCGTGCCATTCTTTGGGCTCATCAGCACAAGATCGAGTACCTTTTTGCCACCACTGACGAATTGCAGAAGCATGCAGCCACCATTTTGAGCACCAAATATGGATTCCAGAAGGTTGAGGTGAAGAAGACCGGTTACTATAGCCGTGAGACTCTGTGGAGACTGGATGTTAACGAATGGATTGAAAAATCCTTGAAAGAGAAGGAGCAAGAGGCTCAGCAAAACGAAAACGGGAAGAGTCAAAAGGCCACATCTTCCTCCAAAAAATAGACATTTCCTTGTAAAGGAATCGATTCCTTTTGCTAAAAGCTGCTTCGTTTACTGCCCTCATTTAAAGTCAACTCTATGTGGCTCTACTAATAATTCTGTATTGCATTTTGCTTTTTGTGATATATTCCATTCCAATGTTATCTTACTATCTACACCCTTTTGCGAATCAAAAATGAAATATATGTGTATAACCATGATTACTTAAAGTCTGCTATCGTACGGAAACGTTTATCGTATTCCTGCACAGTTTTTTCATACCCTACCTATCTTGTCTCTTTACTTGGAAACATCATCCCAAGTCTTGAATTCGGTTCTGATTGATTTATATCAACATGCGATCAAGATGGTAGACTAATTCCGTATCTGTTGCGCCTAAGAAAAATTGGTCTTTATATACCCACATCAATGGCCCAAAACTTCATCAGGAACAAACAGTTTTCTTCAAGGCGCCAGTTTGGTACTATGGGTCCGGCAGGCAGTTTGTACTACACAAGAAAGGTGCCAATGCCAAGGGCCAAGTTGTCGGCGATTGAAATATCGCCCAAGCATGTTGGCATAGATGCACGCACTACGCACTTGGCAAACGAGGAATACTATATAATGGCTATAGACGTCAAACTTTGAGATATCATTCCATCCATCAAAAACAAATTCTAGTTCCTTCAAAGCAACATGCCTTTCTTCAAGCACACTTCCAAGTCCTCTGCAAGCTCTACATCCGGTGCCTCTGCCTCTTCTACCAAGACTGCAAGCACAAAGCAAGCAAAGAAAACCGCTCCTCGTGCAATCTTTCCCACTTACCCGATGCAACACAGTCCAATCAATCGCATGTAATGCCAATGAAAAATGCCAAAAGCAGCCCTGTTCTCAGCCTATATGTATTTTAGAAAGTTGTACAAATCCCCAATAAAATAAACAACATATGTATCATATCACATTTCAGGTACCAGCGCGTTGCTTGGTGATGCTTTTATACCTTATTCGATAATAAGTTCTCAGTTATAATACCTTTTCTTCTATTTTATAGCACATAGCCATAATGAAAAGTAGCTGCACCTATTGAAAAAAAAAGAATCTCCAAAGTATGTGGTTTTGTTTTTGCAACCCATGCACAAGAGCATTCAAAGTATTTATCTGAACATGTCACTATTCATGCCAACCCAAATCTAGCGGCCATCGAGCTGCTGAAGCAAATAATTAACTACCTTTCAATTCTCAAAAAACAAGTAGAGACCATCTTTGTAATGGCCACATCACTTTTTCATGTATTTGCAGTTGATGTGGTCAGTGCCAAAGACTACCAAAGCGGTGCAAATTATACGTTCAAAAAAGGATAAAAGAAAATCACACAAAAAATTTATTACAACCTGTAATTTTAAATGAAGCTTTTTCTTTTCTTTTGCTTTGGTCACAACTTGAAAGGCGGCAGCATCATGAATTTGCCAGTTATCCTCCTATTACCTGGCCCTTACAAGGTCGCTCGCCGTGAAGTTTTCATACTCCGCTCCGGGAGCTGACCTACAAAGAGGTTCATGCAAACTATGCACACCTGTTAACCATCATGCTTTGCTCCATGGTGAGGTCATCGCGGGCCTTAAATGCTAAAATAAAACATCTATGCCAAACCGTTTATCCATCCTCAAAGTCATATCGGTAGGCTAATATAGGGGAGGAGGAAGCTCGAGGACTTAAGCTTTTTAAAAAATTGTTTTCAAAGTGTTACCAAGTTACCCTCTCAGGTACACACTCTACAAGGCCCTACAAACCGCCAAAAACCGCTTCCTCCTCCCGAAAAAACGCTCATAAACACCCTTCATTACATGAGCTTTCCAGAAAATGAGTCAAGCCTACCACTTCATTCAACTTATTTTGGCCGCAACCCCCTCAATATCGGCCATCTCAATGGACCCTGAACATCACACAAAACCATAAATCAGGGCTATCCAAGGACTTTCCGGTCAACTTTTACGTTCATACCCCCCAAGAACAGAGCAAAGTTGCCAAGGCCACCCATTATTCATAGGCATACATCGTGAAATTTCGATGCCTACCAAACGTAACTTTCTGGTCGACTTTCTACGTTCACATCCCAAAGAACAAAAGTAAGTTATTAAGAAAGTTCTTTCATTATAGACATATACCGTAAAATCTAACAAACGTCCAAAGTCCATTCAAGGAGCAATATACGTGGCCAACTATCCCAAAATGTCTCTACAAACACCATAAACCAGAGCCCTAACAGTTGGCAAAACACGCGCGCATCCATCAACTAATCATCAATCATTACATAAACATTCAAAGTTCTACTCAAGAACTGGTGTATGTGGCCAATTCACCAAAAAATGACTCTACAATCACCCCATACAAGAGTCCCAATATCCGGCCAAATCATCCACGTACAATCAAACGAAACACTCAAATACACCAAACAAAAGTTCTATTCAGAAACCGTTAAGCGTAGTCAGTTCCACCAAAACCGTCCCAGCAATTACCTTAAAAACGACTAAACAGCCCACTAAATACGCAAATGTAAACGGTCAAAGATGTATTTCATTACATCAAATATATGGATTTGCTGATTATATATCGCAATCATCGTAAGATCCTATTAGTCGACTGGACATAGTGTTGATGATCAGCTACTAATACCGTCTTTAGACAATAGATACAAGGCTTGGCTCTTTTCAAAACGGGAGAGAAAAAATGAAGACGAGAATTGTAATTAGAGTAGAAAACTTAGTATAGAATGTAGCTAGATAAATAATGATTTAAGAGAAGAAGAGAAAGAAAAAAAAATGAACAAAAAGATGAAAGAAAAAAAGAGAAAAGAACAAAGATACAAGAACTAAAGAGAAAAGAACAAAAGACAAAGAGAAAAAAGATTGGATGAGAAAATGTGAGTGATAAAAAAAAAGAAATAGAAGACAAAGAGGGGAGAGTAACAGTTGATGATAAAAAAAAAAAAACAATAGAACAAAATGGGAGAGTAAACTGATGGCGAAAAAACGAAAGGGAGAGTAAAACGAGAGGCGAAAAACGGGAGAGTAAATTGATGGCGAAAAAATGGGAGAGAAACATTGTGCGGCGATACCTTCAAACTTTCACTACCATTATTACAAATTCTTTACAATCAATTCATACTTGTATTATTCAAAGCAGATGCTTTACAAATGAAATGAAAGACCTTT